TATGTTCTGGTCTACAATGATTAGTAATGCTTAACAATATGTTTTGATGACAGATAGTAATTAATCTTTAGAAAACAGTCAAAAAATCCCAAAAACAATTGTACCAAATATTTGGTGAATAATATACACCAGAGACTTGATATAAATACCATTGTATTCTGCTTTAAATTCTCTACAAGTTTTATATAAGCTTGAAGGGGTGTTTACTATCAAGAATCAAATAGTTTTAGGTCGATAATAGATTTAGAAAACTCATGGACCATCATCCAGAACAATAAAGATTCAATCTCCGTTTGGCCTTCGCATGTGTACTGATGTATCATTCTCTAAACCGGATCTCCAAATGCGTAGAAACAAGCAGTTCAAGCACCGGTCACATCAGATCATAAACTTTGACGTGAAACAGGATTCAGTTACGATCCATATCATGGCATGTTCAGGATAATGGATTGGATCTGTTATCCTATCACCCAAATCAACCCATCTAATACCTTATCCTCACATCAAATCCCTCAATTTGAATAGTATATAAACCCTCTTATTTTCAATGTAATAAACGATATTCTTTACCTGATTAATTTCATACTCTTTTTTTTTATAAATAATTTATTTCTGATATATCACTTAGTATAAGTAGAATAACTCTTGTCTTCATCAATAAATTTTTAGTTTTTGTGTTTGATCTTATTCAAATAAGTCTTTTGTTTTTATAATATCGAACATTTTTTTATAAGCTACAAATAACAATCCTTTTATTCTTTGTGCTTAACATTAATTATCCTTATAGAAAGGATAGATCAGGGTGCTTCGGATGAGAGTCTAATTATTCATCCAGGCAAAAGATAAATCATGATGATTAGCTTGCTGGAGTTGTCTTTTAGCATGATTAGACATTACTTGATTTGAGTTGACTTATTTGTCAACCTAATTAATAGAACCTTTATTCATTGTTATAGTATATAAGAAGGATCATCTACCTGGCCAGTAGAGAGACTTCAGTTTTACTTTACACCTGTCAGTTTGATAATAAGACATACCTTTATCCAGTTAACTTTACTGGTTTTTTTATTCTTTTTTTTCCGTGAATTTTAGTCTGTAAAGCCTCAAGTTCCACAGTGAGATCAAGTCAAATTTGAACACGAAAATACCCCCACTGTACAATTTCAAATTAAATTGCCGCAATTAAGACTGCTACTGCAGAAGACTGAGGCCAAATTTACTGGTCGTGACGTCGGATAGGGCGCCCTCTCATTTTCTATACATCCGTTTTTTTATCCTTTTTGCAAAACGCGTTTAATATCGAACCATGATGGTTTTGGAACCCTTTTGATTGAAAATAGCATTCTAGCTTCTGATAACACGGTCTTGTACTGTTAATAGTGCTTTATACTGCTTCTTTGAAATGGAATATGGTAGGTAGCATTCCATAACGAACACTGGAAAGCATAGAATTAACACTAATTGAATTTGTTTATTAGGTTTTGATAATTTTTTTGCCTCTTTGACGTCGGTGCTGCCGCCATTCCTTTTCTGCTATCTCTGTTGTCTGCTTCTTTGGTCTTTATCCGGTCTCTGCTGGTGTCGTTTTTTCTTTGGTTTTTCTATGGTGCTGGTGTTGCTGCTGCTAGTCAGGTCTTTTCTGGTCTACTATTCTAGGCGTAGTAGGCTCGTTCTCTGGTGCATCTCTGGTGATTCCATATTCTGAGGCCTATCTGTTGTGGTTCTGATAAGTGGTAAGTATCTTTTTTCTTCTGGCGGCGATAATATAAATCTTCTTTGAACGTTTGTATTATTGCTTGCTTTATCGTGATAATGCATTCGTAATGTTTGCCTTGTTGCGCTTTTTTTTTTCTTTCTTTTGTTGGCTGTGATATGATCAGTTCAACGGATGCTTGCAATGTCGTTACTTCTTATGTATGAACAACAAGCATGATGTGCTGCTATATATCTGTATTGCCGTTGCAATACTACTTTGTTATATGGCCGTGGGTTGTTGTCTGTGCTGCCTCTGTCGCTTCACATGAAACAACATTAGTCATTATGTTGTATTACACACTTATACTACTATTGCTCATGCAATTATGTATGTTTGTGTTCCTTTGCATCAGACTATTATCATGCACGTTGCTCATATATGCATTTTTGTTGCAACAACAGCGAGCTGTTCTCAACATTCTTTGATGTTGTATTTCTTATGCTTTTCTTTAACTCACTTTTTTTTTACGTGAGTGTTGCTTTTTTGCCTACATACTACTACTATAATACTCTTATAGTACTGTAGCATGTTCTTTTCTTTTTCTTTCTTTTATCATGTTTCTTTGAAGCATACTTTTTTTTACGTTGTGTGGATGTGCCTATCCCTGAAACTCAACAAGACATTATCCGAGGCTAGGAGGTAGATAGGCTGCCTCCACTTGGTTATCGCTACTTACTTTAGTGATGATTGAGGGTCTCAATGCCTGAATTTAAAGCTAGGTGGTGTAAGTAAGGCATGCTCTAGCACTTGGGGGAAGTTTGATGATAGCAGCGGCTATATTGCTATTATAGCGGCGCTTAAAATTTTGCCTCACATCAAAACCGGGGGAAACCCTCGCAATTTTTTTTTTAGGTCAGCGGAGTTTTCGAGCGATTTGATTGGCTGAGAGGTTGAAGTACCAAAGGGTTACAACTAGTTGATTTCCTATTGACCTGCCATTTATTACCATGATTTTGTGTTTGTAGTAAAAGTGCGTAGTAGCCAAATAAACATAATTTAAGTCCTTCTCTGTTCAAAAGTGATATAAGGTAAAGTTGCTGAATCTGGCATCTATTACGCAGTTCGAAGTGAGTTATGTCTTTTAAATGTAGTATTACGTTGTGGGAACATATACAGTATAAGTATAGCAATACACTAGGCACCAGACCCTTCCAGTGTTAAACGTCTCAACAAGCATCTATCGTTTATCACCGATTTCCCACATGTCTCACTTCTATGGGCTGCTATCTTTTACCTCACATCAAACTCTGGATGTACAAAATGTTTCCGGTTTTCAGGTTTGGGCCATCATTTATAAAATCAAGTTTTGAAGCTCGATTTTGAAATTCGCTTTGAAGGTAGCATATTTCTTGTATACCAAATTTAAGGGAGAAAAACGAAAGTGTAGTTGGTTTTTAGGAGGGATGATGAGTTACTGATTATCAACGAAAGATTTTGGAAAGAAGACAATTTTGAGCAAAGGTCTACGTATAAAACTTATTGGAAGCTGGTAGCTACAAGAGATTGCGAGCGGTAGATTGATGGATTAGCATTGGGAAACGTTTTAGTGAAACCTTGTACTGAAAACCTTGTAGTCAAAACCTTTTGGTTAAACCTTTGTCCGTTATGATTTGGTAAAAGGTCAAAGGTGTGCGGCACATTTCATCAAAAGAGAAGAATAGGGTTTTCACGCCATATGCTTATGTTAGAGATTTCGTATCACAGTAATCGTATGCTTATTTTGAGGGGTCGCTAACAAACATATAAACGGATTTTCAGTCGCTACAATGGCTGTCAGATAATAAGCGAGTAAAATGTAACGTAACCAACATTACAAAAAACAGTGGTTAGACGCTATTATCTGTAGTACTGCCAACTCAATCAAGTCTGTTTCCATGAATAAGATCTTTCTCCTTTTTGCTTGCTCTACCAAAGGAGGCATCATTTGGGCACCCATTACGATACTTACTTTCAAAAATCGGATTCCAACCCTTCAAATTGGAGTTTACAGTGGCACAAAACCTTTTCTTTAATAACAGCACGGAAACATTTATACAGTGTTCAAGTCTATGATATAAATTCAGGGCATGCATCGACTAATGCTAGCGCACAAAGAAGCAAGACTTGAGCGACCGTTTTTTGACAGTTTAACAGGGACTAACTTATTGAGCGCTGTAGATCCATGAGAACTGTATTTGGTCCAAAAATGATTGCATGCCAATAGTTGTATCCATTTCGTTGGAATATAAGTGTTGGCGCAAGGGAGCTGTTTTAACGTTACATCAATTGACATATAAAACAAAGAACGATACAAAAAATGCCATATTACATTAATATTAAGTTTTGTTTTTGGTTTTGACATAATACAGGATTATCAATAAAAATGTTTGCTGTTTGTAAAAGAGCTCTTCCTAAAAGTTCGTGTATACTGCAGATGATATAACTCTCTGGTTTCTGACCAAGATTAAATACGTTGTATTTAATGCTAATTTTGCTATGACCAGCCTGACACTTGGTTTTTGAAATATTGTCGATAGCAGCTCGAAAATTTTCGATGCTGGTCATTATCACATCTGGCAAAATTGTGTTTCATCCAAATCTACTGTTATCCTATACCTATGAGCTCCTTCTGGTCTCCCGCCTTGAAATATAAACGTCCTGAACCTGCCGCCAAGCTGACTATTATCTCAAGCAACGTTTGCAGCTGTGTGCATGTATGCTAGCAATGCAAGTGTCAGCCAGATGCTATAAAAGTCGATCATAGAAAGCAGTGTTGTCGCTGATTGTGAGAAAATGGTCAGACGAGGATTAAAGGAAGGATATCATTCCTAGTGCGGCAACCCAATGAGATGATGAAAAGGCTAAAATCATGGCATGCACTTATAAATTTCATGGATACAGCCATCCTCACCCATAGACATTGTTAAGCGTTGACACAATGATTAATTATTCTGTCAAGTTCTTTGGCCACACCTGAAGAGTGCCAGGTTAAAGCGTTCATGCACAGTATGGCGGGTACATACAGTGTTTGCTGTAATGTTTTATTGTAAAGGTTGACTTGGCTCAAGAATGGAAAGGGGAGCACAGGGAAGATCAATAACGGAATGATGGTGATTATTATTTTTAGCATTTAATTTTTTGTAGAATTCTTAAACTATTGAGGGCTTTCAGAGAAATGTATGGAGGAGAAAAAGAAAATAAAGGGGGGAGAAGGGAGCATAGCATGAGAGATGGATGGGCTGATGAATTATGGTATGAAATGCTATTACATATCTACATGGGCAATATTGGAAGGCGATAAACAAGATGGAGGAGTAGAAGACGGATGTTGGGAATGGGGAGAAAGAGTCGACGAAGATGCCGGCAATAGTGTTGATGCTACTGTATCATTACCATGAGTTGTAGCCTGGGTAGTTGACAGAAAATCAACAAAATTCTTCTTGATACTAGACAAGGTATCCACGATGCTCATCTCCATTGTACCTTGACCACGTTCGAATTCATACACCATAACTAAGAGAGGGGTAAATTCTGGAGCAACTGCAGCAGGAGTGAGATCATCTGTCATTATGTCAGTGCTACTAGAGAGCATTCCTTCCATAGGCTGTGTTACTCTAGATTCAATATCCTCAAACACCTGCATTTAAGGAGTAAGTGTCTATGTTTACATCTAATCACTATGTGTCGACCTACCTGTACGACACATAAATTGTTGATTGCGATATCCACTTCATCCCAAGATTGCAGCGAGCGGATACCCTTCATAAAGGCATCAAAGAATTGATTGACATAGACAAAGCTGTACATGTATTTGCCTTCATTGATCCAGAGAGCCTGCTGCACTTCCTTTGATTCCAAGACAACATTGCCGAACGAGTAGATGGTGGTGGTGCATTCAATGGTGCGACGGTCTTGTGTCTCGAAAAACGAAGTATTATTGAAGAAGAAATCTGTCATGTTTAAATTCAAATCAAGTTTGACCTAAATGTCAACTATGTGAGTTCAAAGTATGATGAAGCACTCCTTTTTTTTACGCTCCTACTGTACCTTGGCGGCTAATGTAGTGACAGCCGGGTTAGTCGAAAGATCCGTCAGGGAGGGACATTTGTTCTTGGCGACCAAAGATGCATCAATTGTAGGGATGCAATTAGGTACACATTCTGGTAAATTGGCAAGTGTATGGGGAATAGTAATCTAAAACACGTTAGTACAAGATGACAGCTAGCCCCTGATGAACACTTACAGATGGGTCATAGGGAAGTGAGTATTCGAGGTATAAGCATATGTAATTTGGCCATAAAGGGTAGATGGACGGATCAATCCAGATATTGTTAGAGTTGCTAGGTAGTGTCATACTTGATGGACCTTCCATCATCATGTGTATATTAGAGGAGGCAGCAGTATGAAAGTGCATATTATTGTTCATAGCAAAAGGCTTCTTTTGTTTCTTGTTGTATTTTCGAGCAGTGTTCAGCTTTTTGGGTTTTTTGAGCTGCTTGACTACAGAGGAAGATCCAAAATTAGAGTCTAACAAGTCGACTACTGTGGGTTTCTGGTTTGCATTTGACGCATTATCGTAAGGAAACAATTGTTGCAATACATCATTGGTAGTGGCATTAGCGAGATTTTGAAATGACAAGGAAGTAGCCATGCCACCAACACTTGCATCTGCTGATGAAGCGGATGTGTTTGCTGTTGAGCCACTGTTGTTGCTATTATTGGCATTGCCATTGGATAGAGTACCAAAGAAAGGCTCATAAAATGGATCTTTGATATCCAACATGGAAAGCGAGGCTTGTTGATCATTATACATGATGTCAAAAACATAGTCGGCCGGCGACGGAGAGGAAGACATGGAAGATTCATCAGAGGAGAGATCTGTCAAGTTAAGCTTTTGCTGGTGGTGATGATGGTGTGTGTTAGTATTGCTGCTCTGACGGCGAGGCATGGTGGCTATTTTAGGCTTTCTATGCGTCTGAGTTGTTGTGGCAAAGCCTTCATCTTCGATGGAATCAGTCAATAAACGCATAACTAGATGATAGTTTGAGTCTCTTGTTTGGAATAACAAATGCTGGCAAGCTTACAGTGAGGATCTCCTTTGCGAGTATTCTTCAAGACTTGGATATGCGATGATACTTGCTTTCTGGTGCGTACCTTGCCCGTTTTGCGGAAAATAAAATCAGAAATCAATTCATTTCGCCCTGAAAATCATAATTTGCATAAATATTCCACGAGTCAGATCAGAACAATGGCATCAAACGCTTACCACACGGCTTTCCGTTGACTAGGATCTTTCTTCTGCCTAATTTTGGGATTGTCTCCAATGCTAAAATACAGTTTTTGTCAGTGAAAATGACAAGAGCTTTTAAAAATTAAAATGTACCTTTGATGAACGCATCTTCAACATCTGGTGGCCACACTTGTTGCTGTACAACGGCATCATTAGGAACAGATGCGCTTTCTTTTTCATATAGACAATAACAAACCTCTTCTTTTTCTTTACTTGAATTCATGTCCTTTTGTAACATGTGCTGTCGTGGCTGAAACTGATTATTGACGTGTCGATATTGGCGTGATCTTTTGTCTTTTGAGCCATTGAAGTGATCGTTGCTCCCATTCGAGTCGTTGTTGTTGGAGGCGAAAAAAATATCTTGAGCGCAAGCCAACATGATGTCTTGAATTGAGAGAAAAGAAGAAAGGAGAAAGGAAAGAAAAAGAGTAAATAAACACCAAAAAATCCCAAAGGGGTTTTATACCAGTGGAAAAAAGATTTGTTGTGATGAGTGCAGTATTTGCGTCTGTGAGCCGTGTATATATATGAAAATAGATATACATGTGCAAATTGCAGTTGTAACTGTATTATTCCCTGGTGAAGCTTTGTTCACAAATCAAAAAGAACATGAAACATCGAGTCTTTTACTTGATTTGGTGTCGTTGGAATGGTCTATTTCACCTCAAATATAGTAATAAATATGTCCTTTTTTCGTAGCTGGTTGTTTTATCAATGCTCTAATAGCTATATCCCCTTTTGAAATGAATAAATTAAAAATCATTAAAAATCGAATGTGCCTCTGATTCTCTCTCTCTCTCTATAAGAAAGCAACATGTCATGCTGATCTTGGTTTTGCAGAAAATTCGTGGATAGGAAATTTATTCATCAGGGCATATAAACATTATGCATCGCCCTCTCTCTCACTCTACGACAGTGCTTATATTTGTCATAAATTTCATATTTACCAAATTGAGTCAATCTATCCCTACCCCTTGAGTATAAACTATTAACACGGTTTTCTTTCAAATTAAACTCGAGTCTCTATATGACGATTCTATTTATCCATATACACCACAAGTTATCCCTTGAATAATAAAAAAAAAAAATAGACCCTCACTCTATGAATGACGATGATGGTGGGATGTTGATCTATCAAAACATAGTGTACACAGACATTCAACATGTCATTTCTTTTTATTTATGTATTTATTGCTGCTGCTGTTGTTGTTGTTGTTGTTGTTGTTGTTGTTGTTGGCGTTGTTGCTTATTGTTACCATAGTGATTGTTGCTTCTACGGTTATTATTGTTATTTACAGACTTCTCCACTTTGACATCTAATGGTTTATCGAATAATTCGGATTGCACTTTGATGAATTGGTCTGCCATGGCCTTTTGTGCGTCTTGATTATGCTTGTATACAACGAAACCATAACGGAGGTATTGAAATGTTTCGGGACACTATCATTGTGGGTTCAATCGTCATGCTTGCCATGTCATTACCATCACTTACTCTCAGTAATTTATATTCCACCATGTCACCATAAGAGCCCAATGTCTTGAAGACTTCCCGAGCATGTGCTACGCTAGGAATATTGTCAGATACTCGGAAGAAGGCACGGGTGGGTGTAATTGTGCTTTTGGTTGCTTGTGTAGCTGCTGCCTTGAGTGTAGATGCCATAGTATACAATGCAAGGAAAAAAAAAAAGTGAAAGAAGGGCCCTGGATAATTCAAGTCGCCTGTGATACGATACAATTAAAGCAATGTTCCGTGACGCTTTTGCAGTGCTATTCCCAGCTTTGATCCAGGTGGCGCATCATCCATGCTTGGAAGCTACGTCTGATGGATGGGCCCTGTGCAGCAACTGACCGTAAGCTGATTCAGATGAGATTATACTGGATAAAGGTGATTGTAAGACGCCACACTGCATTGCTAGCAAAAGTTTAACCTTGGAAATGCTACAGCCTTGGATGCTTACAAACATTGCATAACACAACATGCCTCATGCTGGCCACATTTAACGTCGTTTGTCTGTGCTGATCATTGCATGTGTAAGTGTGTGCGGGATAATTTCCGTTGCTGCACATGCGATCTGTTGCCATCTCAAATTCTTGATGCTTTTGTCCGTAAATCACATTTGTTTGTTTATAAATTTTACAGCATAATGAAAATGATGAAGGTGCATATCAAATGTTGAAAGAGACATAAATATATTTATTTTTTAAGGAGGAATAAGAAGAAGAAGAAGAAGAAGAAGAAGAAGAAGAGATTAAATTTAAACTGACAAATAAAGAAAATGACTATGAGGATGTGGGTCGTTGCAATGATGGCGAGGTACGAGACTGACTCGGCGGTGGAGTGAGTGGATAAATGGGATAATGTGTAATGGTGTAATCTACTGCTGATGTAGCAAATGTTCTTTTAGAGAGTTGATCTATGTAAAATGATCAGTCATTTGATTGCATTGTAGACAAGGCACATAGCAACGCTTACCCATCAAACTAGGAATCGCACCTGAAGTCTTCCATTCATTGGTGTGATCGTGCTGCTGCTTAAGGGACGATGTACTGCGTGCAGAGGTCGGTGGACTTGGCAGATGCTGTTGCTGTTGCTGTTGCTGCTGCTCCATCAAAAACTTATCCAGTTCATGCCGCTTGCTAGTGCTTCCCGAAGAAGAGGGTGGTGACAGTGGCCACATGGACATGGGGGACTGTGTGGATATAGAGGGTGATGAAGTGGAAGCGAGTGGATAAGGTTGGCTCAGGTTTACGCCACTGGACATGGTGGACGATGAGGAGGGCGAAATCGAGAGGTTGAGCATGGAATGTGCTATACTTGTTTGTGAATTGGATGGTCGCATGATCGAAACTGGGCTTGTTGTCGCGGGTGATGTAGGAGGCAGCGGAGGAGGTGTGGATGGATGAGGAGGCGGGGAAAGTGAGCCATAGCGTGTGGGCGATGAATAAGGCGAAGCTGCGTTGATACGAGAGTGAGCATCACTAAAGATCATGATTGCATTTCCTACAGACTTACCTCGTCGCTTGATTTCGTATTTGCTCTTCAGCTCCAATTGCTCTTTGGCTACATTGATGCCTTGCACGGAATGACGACAAGGCCTGACCTTATGACTACCACCTGTTTTTAGATGATGAGGATCATTTGTGATGAGCAATGAAGGGGTGGAAAGAGGGCTGGGCGTGAATGCAGTCATTAGTCTTTCAATACGTCTGAGTCTATCTTCAATACGATCCATGGCTTCACCTGGAGCAACCGCTGTTGTTGCGCCAGTGATGGTCGATTTGCCGCCACCATGGTGCTTATTAACATGTCTTCGCTCTGAATTGTTTACACAATCAATATTGTTCGTTGCACAGAAATTACATGGACTTGCTCCATCACATTTTGTCTTTCTTCTTCTACATGTCTCACAAGCTGATCCTGAACTGAGTCTTCGAGCTGCCTGCGTTGAAAAGACGCCTCGAGAATGGTCTGTCACTACGCTGTAAACGCAATCTTGATTTGCCTCTTTGCAGTGAGCGCAGGGTCTTTCCGAGTTGCAGACACGTCGTCGTTTTCTACATTGCTCGCAGGATTTCTTGAGCGAATTTAGTCGGCCCACTGACACTTTTTGCTGTGGTTGTTGTTGCTGTTGATTGACATGTTGATATGGTTGCTGTTGGCTGTGCGATGAGGATGAGGATGAGGATGAGGTAGGAGGCGATTCAAAAGGCATGTTAGAGAGCGAGAGCAGATGTAAAAAAAGAAAGAGAAGGAAAGAAAGAAACAATAATTAAAACGTTGGCTTGCTGTGTAATGGCTCACTTTCTTTCTTTCTTTCTTTGTGTGTGTGTGTGTGTGTTTGTGCGTGCCTTATTCAGCAAACCCCTCTATTTATCTATACTATCCCTCATTTCGGTCGGTATTCACTCCGGACCCGAGTTTGTGTACCTTTTTTTACAGTAAAAAAAAAAAAAAAAAAAAAAAAAAAAAAAAAAAAAAAAAACGACAATGTGATATCGATCCCCACACAGTTCACTTTAGGTCTAATGACGCTCTACTGTAGCTTCCCACTTGTGTCATCCCAGATCACTCTTCTTTTCCTATCCAACCCTGTTCGCCTCAAGCCACTTGACATTTCATCATGATGGATTCTTCCAAGCTGGCTTTGATGGACATTCAACTAGGAGCATCAAGCGTTGTACCATGACAAATGGGTTGTGATATAGAGTAGCACATCTTACGCTTGTGATACAAACAAGGTAGTTGGATTTCTGTCACAGGGTCAAATACTGATTGTTTTTGCCGGTTAACCCGAAGGTAAGACAAATAGCAAGTATTTATATATACATCAAGCAAGATCACTTTTTTTTATTGTCTTCAATACCTATTGTTGGATAGAGCCGATGAAGACAGAAACGACACTGGGTTGGCATCGTTGGCGCTGATATGGGTGATCCACTCATGCTTCAGGCCTTCTTGCGGCGTCATACGTCTGGATGGATCCCATTGCAGACAGCGTTCAACAAAGTCGATAAACACAAGATCATGGCATTTGAGTGCTTGGAACAGGGATCGTGTACCTGGATATCGTTTCTTGCCTTTGGAATTGGCCACGATGCGAGGATTTCCAATGGAATCTAAAGGATACAAATGAGTCTATACATGCGAGTAGCATTGCAGCGTGGCGAGCTTACCGAAAAACAGCTTCCTTCGCGAGCATCGTTCAACAAGGTGTCTATCCGGCAATCCCATGGTCTCCATAATGCAACTCAATTGCTCTTGCTCATTTTCGCCAGGAAATAATGGCAATCCCGTATACAACTCTGCTATAATACAACCCACACTCCACATGTCGATGGCTTTGTGGTATGAAATACCCAAAATAACTTCAGGTGATCTGTAAAATCGACTTTGAATATAAGTATACACGCGCTCTGATTCAAAGCAACTACTGCCAAAATCAATGACCTTGATTGAGCTTTTTGCAGGATGTTTCAACATGATATTTTCAGGCTTTAAATCGCAGTGAATGACATTGTGTTCTGCCAGCATGGAGAGTGATTGCAGTATCTGAAAAGTCATCCTATTCCATAAAGATTGAGCATGGATGTATTCCCACTTGTCCAACTGAAGCTTACCTTCTAATCAAACTCAAGCTAAAACCTTGGAAATGATTGCTCTTGATAAACTCGTACAAGTTCATCGACAAGCATTCAAAGGCAATGCACAGATGATTTCTGAAATAAAAGTAATCCGTCATCTGTATGGTATGAAACTGGTCTTGTGGGTCCCATTCCACCAGCTTCTTTAGAATGTTCACTTCTGTAATGGCTTGCGCATGGAACCGCTTCTTGTTGCGAATCAACTTGATGGCTACCATTTGTGCCGTCTTGTGATCAAAGCATTTGACAACCTGACCAAATGAACCGCGCCCAAGGACATCGATGACTTCGTACCTATAGGCTAAATGATCTTGCATCACAATCTTGTAATCTCCTCTTTCGTCGTCAAATCCGAAATTGTGTTCACCAGCTGTGTGTTTTGTCTGTGCGTGGGGTCCCACAAAGTAGATTTGGCTGTAATCGTGAATCTCGATTTGCTTTTCATAGTCGCTCAGGTATTGGCCGTAGTATTTGAGAGCGGTCGAGATGCTCTTGGGCGATCTGGCCCCTTCGACGACTGAAGGGGAGGGAGCAGCTGCAGCATTAGCGCTGGCTGAAGGTGGTGGAGGTGTAGCTGCAGATTTGCTGGCATTGCTGTTGCTATGGTGATGGTGATGATGACGATGTGAGTGATGGTGATGGTGATGGTGATGATGGTGCGCATGTTGTTGTTGGTGCTGTTGGTACTGTTGCTGCTGCTGCTGCAAAAGTAACTGCTGACTCAGGTGTATCTTTGCTGGTGCAGCCTGTATGGGCACTTGATGCTGGGTATTCGGCTGACGGCAACTAGCAGCTCTTCTGACCTTTGTGCTGGCAGACGTACTCATGCTACTACTTGCTGCTGCTGTCAATGAAACATCTTTACTGGTGTTTGACGTGGGGATATGGCTCTTTCGTTTGGGCATCACATTGGATAGTGATGGTTTCCGTTCCAGTCGTTTAATGTCGTATCCCAGACCACCCGAGCCAAGATCGTGGCCAGGAGGCGCTTTGGCATGGCTGTTGGTTAATGGCTGTTTCTTGTTTGCAGGAGAGAAATCATCCAGTGACGAGAGATGAGCCAATTTGATCTTGTTACTACTTGAAGAAGGCGTTGTCGACGTACTTTGTCGCAGTTGTATCGATGCAGCTGTGGAAGGCTTCTTTTGCAAGTTGCTGGGAATGGTCATTTGTATAGGATTCAAGGTCATTGGGGGTAATGGCATCGTTGGTATAGGTGGAGGTGTAGCCAAACTACCAGGCAATGTCTAATGGTACATACAGTTATTAGGGGGTTTTGCTTCTAAAAAGGAGAGACATGCTATTTACCTTTCCTCGCTTACGTCCGATCGTTTTGGTGGTCGTATTGCTGTTGGAGACGGGTGCTGCTGCTATGGCGTGCTGAGACATAGACTGTGATAGAGGCAAGGACTGTTCCCGCACAGGTGGATCCACTGTGGATTCATGCCTTTTTGCCTTGAGCTCGCTCGCATTAATAAACGACGAGTGCCTGTCTCTTTGTATTTCCAGCTCCTTGATGTCCTTTTCAATCTCTGCTAGATCATGACTCAGGTTCATGGCATAGATAGAGGTTGCTGGGGTCAATTGCATGGTTTGCTCAATGGGCGTCAGTGTAGGTGATGTCAATTTACTGTCTGCTGTCTGCTGTCGATGCTGTATCTTGCTATTATCGCTGGTAGGTCGACTACTGCTGACTGCACTGGACAAATCACTGCCGCCACTGATGGTACTATCTCCACTCTTTTTCTTTCGCACAACAACTGAATTTGTTCTCGATTTCAATGCTTGTTGCAGCTTGGGCACGGCTGGAATGGGAGGCACAGCAGGTACGTCGGATGCATTCAGGCTGCTCGTTCGAGGTGGCGGTGGGGAATAGGTGAATGATCGATGTCGACTATGACGAGAATATCCCTGATATTCAGACAATCCATTATTAATATTAGAAGTATTATGATTAGGTGTAGTAGTAGTAGTAGTAATAGTAGTAGTAGTAGTAGTAGTAGTAGTAGTAGTAGTATTCGTAGATTGGGGTAACTTTGGAGGAGCATCGTGTGGTAATATGCTGGAAGACACCGTTCTTCTCGGCTCACGAGTTGAAGCAGGCAAACTGAGTCGATCATTGCTGCTTGGCTGAGGCGACGTCTTTTTGTCCTTGCTGAAGCTTAGCTTTCGCTTGACTTTGTTCATGAATTGCATGGATTGCTTTTTCTCTGGTAGACGAGGTTGGTCATGAAAGATGTCTGGATGTTGCGGTGGAGGTGGAGGCGATCTTAGCTTTGTTCTGGGCGTATGGTCTCTCATGGATCTGGTCTTTCGAACAGTGATGGGCTCCTTCTCAGTGGTGGGGTTTTGGTGGTGGAATGTGCGTCGGTTGGTGGATCTCGAGGGAGCGTCCTGCTGGTGGATAGCCGTGGTTTCTTGTGGATGAGGAGAGTCGTAGGTGTCTAGCCAATCGTGCTCTAGAGTGTTGTTCAAGATGTCCAGGTAAGAGGGCACAAGGTTGCTCACCTCTGAATCAGACGAGTTGCGTGGAGGCATCATTTGAGTGGTGAGCCACTCAGGCTTGGTTGCTGCTGGTTTGTTGGCTGTAGCAGTAGGCGTTGTGCTGCTGTTATAGAAGCGAGAGGTGGAGACGGTGCTGGACGAACGACTTGTAGTCAATCGTCTGGTATGTGGTTGTCCTCGCTGATGATTGATGTAAGCCCATGTATCGTCTTGTTCAGAGGAGGACATGTATTTGAGGGATTCAAGAAAGAGAGCGAGAGAAGAAGAGAGAAGAAAGGTGATTTAAATGAGTTAAAAATATCTCTAGATAAAAGGAGCTTTCTCGTTTAAAGTTTCTGATGTGCACACAACTGATTGTATCTCTGTATTTTTAGCTTGTGTTGCTTGATAAAACAATGTCGGGTTACTCTCACATCAGTTGTCTCTGTAGCACGTGTTTGTATCAACGTCTCTCTATGAAAGCGAGTCATATAACTAGTTCATGGCATGAATTCATCTCTCTTTCTTCTCTCGGTCTCGCTCTCATTAAAATGAACCAGGATGATCTCTCCAAACAACTGAATAGCTTCTCCATATCCTCAAGCGAAGAAAAGATTACAGAGGCATTGAACAAGACACACATAGCATCCACACCCACTGTGCCATCCATTTTTAGTCTTCCATCACAGCCAACACAGCCATCACCATCACAGCAGCCTTCTTTTTACAGTGGAGACGTGCAGAACAAAACCAACTACCTCAACACAGATACAACCTCGGACTGGGATCCATCATCATCATCTACCAGCCATTGGAATCATACGCCATCACAGACGACTGTAACAGAAGATGGCTGGGGAGACGGACCTCCCAGCTATACAAGCATCTCGCAAGGCACCTACTTTGGCTTCAATTCCATCCTGGAAGCACCCAATGCCATACTGGCCCACTCAACGCATGCAAACGCAAGCACAAATACCACAGCCTTCAGTCGTTACAGAGGCATGCCAGTGACATTTGCTTCAGCTGCGGCAGAGGCTGCTGCTGGTGCTACAAAGAACAGTGATATACCAAAATAAATCAGTGGAATCATGCTGTCTGCTGCTGCTTTTCTTTTTATTGCAATTAATTGCTATTCTTTTTCATCTCTTCTTGTATCTTGCGGTGCAATACGCACATGTAATCCACATACGTCTGAACCTCGACATTGCGGTCCTCTGACATCCAAGTAGCAAACATGAATTCGAGAGCATCCTTTTCCTGTCTGACCACATGCAGCGCCAGATATTTAACGCGAGAGGCTTGCAGCTGTCTCATCAGACCGTGCACTTCTTCAGACAGCACATTGGCTTGCACAGGCAGTGTAATCTAATTCAGGGTAATTGAGTCCATTTGGCTATGATTCACTCTAAGAGCGACAGCTTACCATATTGGGGTCCACTTCATCCAGCGTCTTGACATTAAACAGATTTTCAATGAATTCAGTGGATAGTGATTTACCCAACCAGAGGTACAGATCAGATCCTGTGTCTACTAAATAACATCCCTTACTGTCCAGTCTATCATACGAGCATCGGATCATCTTGGGTAGCTTGCTTTGCCCATTCAAATCTGCTGTGTTGTATTGTAGGCTGAGGTCATGCAAAGGATACATGCGAGGATATAGAGTCCACACCAGTTCAGCTACGCTGAGTGTGTTGAACATGCTCATACCAGCAGCCCTTGAATCAATGTTGACGTCGTTGCCAGCTATAATACATCGATGAGTTACTGCCTACAAACACTTATCTATACCATACTCACTTCCTCTCAAAACTGCAGATCGAATAGCACCATGAACATAAACAGGGAGCAGCTTAAAGGCTTCAGGTAGAATCAGCTGACCAGGAGATGTAGCGGCAGCACAGTTCAGTCGATACGCTGTCAAAATATCCACACAAGCATCGGTCATCTTTTTGTGCAGATCCTTTCTATTCTTGTGGTGCAAATCAAAAATGACCTGTCTCAGCATAATACTGACAGTGGTGTCTACATCGCCATATCGGAAGACGTCTGCAATTTGCTCGGTGGCAGCCAGTTGCAAGTTGTGGATTCTGACACGACGATGGCCATCTCGGGTGGTGTACAGTAGCGCACATTGGAAGGAAGCGCCTCGGTTGGGATCCAACTTGCCATCATGCTTCAGTACAGCTGCAATCGTCTTGTCTTCATCGATACCAGCCACATCGCATTCCGTGTATACACTCATGTGGCAGTTACCGAAATGATCCATCACTTGCAAGCCGTCAGAACAACGAATACGGAAGATACCATCAAATCCAGTTTCACGGTGCAAATCATGGTCCAGTTGATAGATGATGCGATATTTTTCAGCCAGAGAAAAGTTAGGGAAATAACGGAAATCGCCACCTGTCAAGTGAGAGACTACGTTGAGTGTAGCTACATCCATGTATTGATGAGGGAAGCCCCAGGTATTGACGCACACACCGCTCTTGACACATGCCTCGCCCAGCTCCTTGTATCTGTCGTTTTGTGCTGCTAATAGGTTCTTTTCCTTGTCTGTGCCATACAAGGACTTGTCGTCTCGAGACTTTAAGAGGTCCAAGCCATAGTTGGGGAGGCATGTTTGGAAGACAAACATCTGTCCACCCGTGTCCTTGAGAGCTTGTAAACCGCCACGAACAGCAGCCGTGTACACAGATTCAGCACGGGTGGTGTCTTTGAACATCTGTGGTAAACTATCCAAGAGTTCCATGATGACATGTCTATAGATCCAGAGGTTAATTGCGAGCTAGATGTAACTTGATATGCAGACGCTTACCTTGACTCGAAGGGATCAGCCAAAAATCCAGCTTGAAGAGGCACAAACACATCATTGATATCTGATACCACCAACATTTGAGCACTTGCTAATCCAGGCTATCATAAAAGACATACAACAAATCAATGTCATGCTACCAACATCCTTGGCCAGATCAACTTACTGCCAAATTGTAGAAATGGACATCCTTGTTGAATGTCAAAATACCGATTTTGTTGTTCAATTTAGGGTTTCCTTGACCATCATAGAGAGCATGTTTCAAGGCTTCACACACACTCTGGAGCATACCACTCTGAATAGCTTGCACCGAAACATCCAAAGCAAACACATAGTTGAGAGCAACAGGAGGTCTGTCCTTGGAATAATAGTCCTTGGTCACTTCAAATTCAACGGATCCATAGCGCAGTTCAGGCCTCTCATTGACATCCACACGTCTACCCGACATATCCACGTTGGCAAAGTACCAATCAGGCACTGCATTGGAGTGTGTGCAAATATTACACTCAAACTTGGAACCACCATGTGTAAACACGCACCAAGGATTGATGTAAGCTCTGCAACGACTACAACGAATAGGCCCCTCCTCACCGTGATCCACGACTTGAATACCCACTTCATCCGATCTCAATTTAGCCAATGGTTGAACCACCAGACCCAGTGGTAATTTGGACCTGTCGGCCAATTCCTTGTTGCATGGCATACGATCCACGGTAGATCGCATGAATCGAGGATTGCAGTTACCTTGGTCTAGACCGATAAAGTTGGTGGTAGCAAATGGCACTCGATCTCGCTCCAATGTACCGAAAAACTTGTCCTCAAAGAGCTCTTGATCTTGCTCACGAACTTGAACAGGTGCAGGCATTTGATCGGGATCAATGCGTGGACGTGGTTGTGTGGGAGGTCGTAATTCAGGTGGGAGTTGCTGGTCTGTGTTGCTGTAAGGCGCATTGGTATAACCAACACCTGCAGCAGCAGATTGGTGATGGTGTGCGTGGTGAGAGCGAGAAGAAGCAACAGAGGTTGGCTGAGGTGTTTGGAACCTAGGTTGGCTGAATTGAGGTTGTTGTTGCTGCTGCATGGCTTGAGGCTGGAATGGTTGTTGTTGAGGCTGCATTTGTGGGTTATGGTGCTGCTGTTGTAGGCTGTTGGGCCAAGGACCTTGCTGCTGCTGCTGTTGTTGTTGTTGAGATGGAGCAGGTTGACCCATAACATTGGTATCATGACTGACATAGACACGTCTCGATTTGCCAGTTGTTGGTTGACGCACTTGTTGCTGAGGAACAGGTGGTTGCTAATATTACATGATTGGGATCAGCTAAAAAACACACACACACACACAACGAAAGTATAGCTATCAAAGAAACACTTACCATTTGAGGAGGCGACATTGTTGGTTGTTGTTGCTGGATGTTCATGCTTTGCATAGGTGCAACCAAATTGCCTTGTTGTGGCGATAAAGGCCTCATGTGAGGAGGAGAAGCGACTGGTCTCATTGCTTGTTGTGCTTGTTGTTGCTGAGGAGGAGGAGAAGACATCATTGGTCTTTGCTGCTGTTGTGCTATTTGAGGCAACATCATAGGGGGCCTCGTAGGCGAGTTCATGTTGGGTCTCATCATGGGTGGTCGAGCACCTAGAGGAGTGCCCACAGGACGCATCGGTTGTCCTTGCATAACGGGTCGAATGGGAGCTACGGTGATTGTCCTCGTTAGAATGATCTCGACATTTGTCTTTGCGAGAGAAGCTTACCTCCACCACTAACAACATGTAGAGGTCGAACACCAGGTACGCCAGGCTGTGGATGAGGCGCCATCTGTGGTTGCATCCCATTGGGAGTGGTTGGTCGAACACCCATCTGTGATGGTCTTTGCTGTTCCATATTGGTTGATTTTGTGTTTAACAGAGAAAGAAAGAAAAAGAAAAACAAGAAAAAAGCTCTGTAGAAATAACAGTAGATACGTGTAAACTTGTGATGCATTTTGTATAACAGACAAATTATCACTGAGTTGAAATGGAGCAGTGACCGTAAAGAGCTGATGAAGGTACACATGTTGCTTATGTAAATCAAAAGTGAAGCATGGATCAAAAAAAAAAGGGGGGGGGCAGTCGACTCATGTCATTTCAATCAGCATGGCCTTACCTAACATCAAAGAGGTTGTGCTATGGATTCCAATTTACTCTGTTGAAAATGCTTGATTTGTTTCACACCCTCTTAAACCCGTTATTTGCTGGTACATCTCTGCATGTTAAAAAGACAAAACTCGTATGTAGAAAAGTGGTCAGTGTGATATATACCTGTGCGAACTACCTACGAGCTGCATTGATAACTGGAGCTTATAAATAACAAATGGATCAGGCTCGAGTGCTTTGTTTCTTTCTCTCTCGTTCTATACATCTAACAATCCATTCACCCATCACACAGAATGGTATATTCCAAAGAGTACAAGCAAAAGATTGCCTTTGAATATCCTTGCTACATCTGTGGTAGTGTTCTTAGCAAGGCAAGGCAAACTATCAATCACCTTGAAAACATTCATGGCTACAAGATCAATGGTCGCTCTGTAGGTCGCAGACGACCTGAAAACCCTAACTTTGTCTATATTAATGACCCTAAGAAGAGAACCGACTTTGAAGTTTACCATTGCTCATGCCCCTCCTGCTGGTTCCATTGTTCTTGTGACGAAAATGCTCTCACCGCCCTCGCTAACCATATCAATGAATTTCATAACCCTCAAAATGTGGACCCTGGCAAGAATGAGAATGGTCTTATCAGAGCTCCTCAAGTCAATTATGTTTCCAGAAGCAAGATCTTACCTGTAGATAGCGATGGCGAAGAGACAGATGGATTGGAGAGTGAAGAGGAGGAGGAGACAAACAAGCAGCCACCGAAAACCAAAGCCAAAGCTCAGCCCAAGAACAAGAAGAAGGATACGAATCAATTGGGTATTAATGACATCTATCAAAGAGTGGTCGACCTTACTGAAATGTTCAAAGCCCTCATGAACAACGACAACAACAAACAACAAGGCTAGTTACGTCGCTCATGAGGTCATCTGTTTTCCCTTATAGCTAATAAATCATTCTCATCAAGAGCTACTGTATATCTTTTCATCTCATTTTTCTCAACAGATGTCCATCTTTACACTGATATATGAAATAAACTTTCTTTTCTTTTGGAAACAAAAGCCCTTTGCCAATACGCATTACTGATTCTATCAGTGGAACGCAACCAAAGCTGATGTCTTGGTCAGATTTGCATGTACCATTTTTGATCATACGAATATCTTGTAACTTCAAAAGCCACCATCGCATGGTGGATATTATCAAGCATAGATAACATTGGCGTTCTCTTGGTCGTCATCAATGAGGCTTTAAGCATAAATTTTTAGTTGAAAGTTTGGTGCAACAGACGTGTTTGATATCGAGAATAAGAAACCTAATTACTTTCGAATTCCAGAGTGATAGAATAGAATTTGACCATGGAAATGCAGGCTTTCTTACAGGCTGATGGTTATTGATGTCGGTCAACATCACCTTCTGTATCCTCTAAAGTATCGATGCCTCTCATCTGAAAAGGAATGACAGGGATCCGAAATATTTACTGAACAGCAGCGGCACGTATCACTGATTACCCTGATTCATTTCATTAGAATACTGGAACCTTCAACAAATCTCCTGCAAATAGAGACCTATCAAGTGTCTGCTATTGCATGAGAAGCCCTTATAACTGTGGGACTGACCCTTTTCGAATGCTCCACATCTGTATCAATGGGAGTAATCCGTATAAAGACATACAGTACACCTGCATTGCTTTCTAATGCTCAAAAGTATGCAAATCACAGCAGAAATCAGATACACTTGAATCGTGTTTTCTCATGCTTAAAGCCGTTTTAAGCCATTGGAATAGCACCAAACAATTGCTCTCAACTTGCACTAACTTTCTGATACCTTTGCTCAACTCTTTTTTGAGATTGTCGAAATTCGACCAAAAATCCATGAGGGATACCTCATGATTTTCATTGAAAATTAAACGATCGTGTTTTTGACCACAAAAATGAAGACTTCTACTATGGTATATATTAGATCCAAATGTCCTCCGCGATCCAAAGCAACCCTTAGAACTTTGTTTGTGCAACCTTCATATGTAAAATCTCAACATTTTGGTTAAAAACCTCATTTTATATTTTCAAACTTTGCCAGATGAGTTCATTCAAAAGACATCTTTTATTCAGCACCATTAGACGCGCCTTGAACAGTACTTCAAGGAAGCTTAAGGAAGTATAGGTCAATTGGCATTACTTTCATAGTCGAATCTGACAAAACAGTTTAAACAAAGTCGAATTTGAACAAAAATCAGCAAATCATCAGAAAAAATACGCATCGAATATTGGTGTTTTTGGCTGGCAATTTGTATGCCACTCTGGTTTAAGGGCTTATTATATATGCTTTTGAGAGCTCATTACTTGATACCTATATTTGATCGCTGCAAATTGCTCCTTTTTAACTGTGAAATGTAGAACTGCTATTCTATTATCCAATCCAAAATTGCATACGAGGCTTTGAGTGTGGAAACAGTGAGTGTGGGGCAATATCTAAAGCAAAATTTATGTATACTTCAGCTGATTTGCAACACATATGTCTGTTCATGTTTAGCGCTTTATACAGAGCATCAAAATGCTCAAAAGAAGAAAGGGTTTTTGCATTACCATGACATACATTGAGTAGGAGCAGCAAGCATAATAGTTTGTTGTGAACGTTATCAACAAGAGCATTAATAAACTGCCATAGATGGCTCTGTTAAATATACAGGCTACGTTATTTGCACTCGATTTATGAAAATTTGAGCATAAATATAGAGCCTCTTGTAGCCAATTTAACCAAAGGTTGATTGCCTCATCTCAAATATTAGCCAAAATGTTTTCTATTGACTGATAAACTGAAAACACTGTATGTATTCGGTATGAGATAGCTTCTGCCCGAATGAGCAGGCAAAATACTGTTTTTTTTTGCCTTGCATCTCTATGTACCTCTCTCTCTCTCAAACAACCGAATCCCGATTAAACCATGAAGCGAATACAAGATAAGATTCCTAAATTTAATTTCTGATACAAATAGTAATATAATAATGGAGTATGGGGGTATTGAATGGACAAGATATTTAAACTGCCTTTTGTGAATGATGAGATGGTACTAATTTGGATAAGAGCTCTGGCCTTATTGATGCAAGTTCTAATGTCGTATATCATGTTAACACCATCAATGCTCCAAATACACACGACCGTATCAACACAATTTAAATACCTTGCTTTGTAAAATCAAACAACTTTGGCAACGCTAATCCACTCAACATTTTGACATTTGGGTCACGCAACTCATCGAAATAAGGATGTGCCATCGCCTCAAATGCAGTTAATCGTTCATTGGGTGAATACTTGAGCAATAGCCCAACAAAGTCAATAGCGTCTTGAGGTGTTTTCGATTTGAATACCTTGGCGAACGGATGAGCTTTAATTTGTGGGAATCGATGCTCGGTGTAATTTGGATTCATGGATAATAGCTGATCTTTGGTGGGTGTACCCAAGACTTTGATAATCTCTACCAATTGATCAATACCGCTTTCGCCTGGGAATAAAGGTTGACATAACATGAGTTCAGCCATAACACATCCTGTCGACCAAATGTCGATAGTTACGGTGTAATTCTGAGCACCAAATATAAGCTCGGGAGCGCGATAATAACGTGAGCAAATATAAGATACGTTGGGTTCATCAGGTAAAAGCATTTTAGCACTGTTTGTTTGGATTTGGATTTTAGATTCACTGTTTGTTTATATACTGATAATTGACTGTACCTTCCGAAATCACATAATTTGACTACACCAGTAGATGGATCCAAGAGTAAATTTTGTGGTTTGATATCACGATGACAAATACCAACCGAGTGGATGTAAGCAAGCGAACGCAGGATTTGATAGGTGTAGAGTTTAATATAGAGAGGTGGCATCAGTTGCTTTGATTTAGCATAATGTCTGGTTGCACGATATAAGGTTTCTGGTATATACTCCAATACTAGATTAAGATATACCTCGTCCTTCTGTTGGTTTGATGTTACGAGTTTAGTTTCGGCATGACACACATGAATTTGAGCCTGAAAATCTTACCTTGGAATCACCTTGAGAGTAGAAAAACGCTTTCAAGGATACCACATTTTGATGAGAGATTGTTTTCATTATTTGCAATTCACGATTCTGAATATATCAGTTCATTGTTAGCTGTCTTGCATTCCTCCTATACAATGCACTGTGTACCTTGAATCTTTTATCTTGCAACACCTTCTTAATAGCAACATCTTCGCCCGTTTGAAGTAGCTTGGCCTGATAGACAACACCAAAGGAGCCGTTGCCAGCCACCTTGTACTTTGTATAATGCAGTTGAATATCTTGTCCAGTTTTACCGTCTTTGGCCGAGACTTTAGTTACTTTGTACGGTTCTGCTATTGGGTTGTTTGAGGTTGAAATCAGCTCCACTATTACTATGAGATGTTTGTTCATGCGTACCTGATAGTTTCAAACCATTCATGATTTATATAAGATTTAAAAGAGAGGGGGAAAAAGGAAAAAGATAAAAGAAAAAGTAAACAAGAGAAGAAAAAGGGAAATGTGCAAATAGGAGAAAGGGCTTCTTGGTTGGTGCGTGCGTGTTTGCGTGTGTGATTTTAATAATTTAGATTTGGGGGAACTGAGATGCCATGTTTGTGGTCAAGGATATACACCTTTTACCAAAATGATGTCGCGCTTTTAAAAAAAGAGTGTTGCACAGTTCGTACTGTATACAGTATAACTAGCCGATCAATCTCGCTACCCTCGATGACGGCGTTACCCTGCAGGCTTTCGCTGAAAAGATTCCTAATTAGAGATAATAAAAATATGGCATAAAAGTAGATTTTAAACAATCAATTAATAGTAAAAAAAAAAAAAAAGGCTATATCAGAGTCAGGAGGGGAGAGGTATCCATTCGCTGATGTTGCTCGTGAGATGGCGGCATAAAGCTGGCCATGCGTAAATACAGAACTTGTGTAAGATCTACAGCAACTTTTTTGAAATATTTCCATTGCAAAAGACACCTTACAGGGAGGAACTCCCAATAAAAATAGTATTCGGGCTAAGTAATTGTTCTTTCAAATGCGTGATCCTCATTTGATCAGCATCGCAACCAACATTGTCACCCTTAGAAAGGCATTTGGGCCAGCCAGCAGCAATGCCGCCGCCAAAATTAATTCAAACCCAGTTTATTTTTTTGTTCAAGATTGGACAGATTTCGTCTTTTTTCGACTTCTGTGATCTGTTTTATGATATTCGACTATATAAACTATGATGATCACCCTACGCTTCCTAATACATTCTTGGAGTGCTTTTCAAGGCGCTTCTAATGGTGCTAACTGTAATAAATGTTTTGACTTAAATTATTGAGCAATTTAATAAAATTTGAAATGAGGTTTTTAGCGAAAATAGTCATATTTTGCATATGAAAACCTCATAGAAGTGGTTTCAGAGGTTGCTTTGGGTCGAGAGAAACATTTTGAATTAATATATGCCATAGTAAAAGTCTTCATTTTCAAGGTAAAAAATGCGATCATTTGATTTTCGATGTAAACCATGAGGCCCCTCTCATGCTTTTTGGTCGATTTTTGGCCATTTTTTTTTTGAGTCCCCAAAAAGTTGAGCAAAGGTGTCAGGAAGTTACTACTACTCAAGTACAATTGCTTGGTGTCATTCCGGCGGCTCAGGAAAATCTACATTTCAAGATATGATGGCCTAAAACCTATCGAATTTGGCTGTATTTTTGCTTTATAATATCTTTATTTACACGGCATGAGTTACATCTCTGGTAGCTGAAGTCTTCTGGAAGAGCAGTTCTTTAGCTTGTACAGCTTCTAATTCGAATAGGAGGCATATTGACTTTGGTAAAGCAAATTTTGATGCGTTATATTGTTCGTAAGCTTGTTAATAATGAGAATGAGAAATCGAATTTGCTGCTTGAATATTATAGTTTTGCTACTCGCTTCGCTATGGTAACCCCCCCCCCCAATAAATCAATGCTATCCAATGCTGGATTAAATGCTTAGTCGCCAAGATTTTGCGCCTTTGCTTTGCTACGGTAAAAACCCCTTATAAATCAATACTATCAAGTGTTGAATTGGATGCGTTATGTTCTTGGTGGAGGGGCTTCGCCTCTTCCCAATGTCAGCTTCGTCTGATTTTTCGATTGAGGTATAAAAACTTCTTTCCTATCTTCTTTCCACAATTATTTCCCTGTACTTACAGATACAACGTTTTAAGACAAATCAGCAGTAGTGGCCAGGTATGCTTTTTATACTTAATTTAATTCATGCAAGCTCAATTCAAATAACATTACATTTAGTTGGTTTTAATAAATATCTTTAATTTATATATATTCTTATCTCTTCTTCATGTATCATTTTGATAGTCTTAATTGTTTTTTTTTGTCTTTGTAGAAGTTAAATATATATTTGGTGATGGTTCTTTTGAGGTACACCCAACATCATCAGTACCACCAGCGATGCTTATAAAAAAGTCGCCTTCTTCTTTTGCAATCACTCCTGTTAAGATTGTATCCTGTAACTTGGTATGATGATTTTCCCAAATATACAAGTTTTTGAGAGTGGCTATAAACGAAGGCAATTGATATAGATATTCTGGCGTGGAAAGATTGTTGGTGTGTTTGGCTATGTAGATATTATTGACTTTCTTTACAGCAAACATGTAACCACGTGGGCCTATGAGTCTCTTAAATAGTCAGCAATCCTATTATTTAGATATATGTATGTATGTATGTATGTATGTATGTATGTATGTACTAGAAACAATAGGGAATCAACTTACCAACCCAGTCCATACCAAGCGTATAAACATCTTTAGAATCGTTTTCAGAAAGGGGTAGCTCAAGGAGTCTACTAAGAATGGCTTTGTTCATTCTAATGTTTTTTACTTGCTGAACCAGGCATTGCTTCTGAGTAGCTTTCTTTCGCTTCCATTCGTTAGTTGATAGTTCAATATTTTTTGTTGACAATAAAAGATCGATTCGACGACCGAAGCCTCGATTTAAAGGTATGCTAATTCCATAGATGTTTTCATGGTCTTTTGCAATAGACTTGCTAGCTTTACATGTTGTTTCGCCACTATAGAGAATAGACAAATAAGCACATTTCGGGTCAGCGTTAATAAAAGGGCTTTTATGTTAGCTACTTACTCTAGCAAGTTAAGTTCAAATCTTTCAGTAGAATATCCAGAATGGATGCCACTTTTCTATAGCATGTCAGTTCTGAATCATTCTCGTCTGGCTTTAATGTGTCGTCAGCTACAACATTTCTGGCTATAATTTCCATTATGTCTAAAACTGCAGTAATGTCGTCCTCATTCTCCTCAATTGCCTTGACTTTTTCTTTTGCAATGGTCAATCTTAACTGCTTGAGAGCAAGCCTGCCTTTTGGATCTTTGCTAAGCTAATAAAGGAAGAAGTCAGTGATGGATTTCATTATGAAAAATTATAGCTTACCTCAATCACACGGTTAAAGACCTCCTCCGATGTAACGGACATTGCAGGCGCGAGCTCTATATTTACACTGCTGACCTCTTCCCAAAATGATTCGTTTTTGACATATTTTTGGAAAACTTTCAAAGTGCTAAAGTTGATGAGACTCACAATTTTTGGTAGGGGGTCTAAGAGAAAGGAGATATAGTGTTAAACGTTAAAAGAGTAATGGTTTCAAATGTTTACTTACTTCAAGGCACTTACTTCATTAATGTCTCCATCATTCAGATCCAGTATCAATTTGGCTGACATGAGATCCAGTTCTTCGGCCATTGTGGTAGGTTTTGAATTTTTTGTCATTTTTTCGAGAGTGGAGATTTCAATTTGGCTTAAAGAACCATGGAGCTATAGTAATTATAAATATAAGAAATTAGCGACCTAATAACATAGTTATTTCTCTAGATGAATGATTCACCCTTTTTACTCCAAGTAAATATACCTCGTGGCGAACTTGTGATGCTAGGATGATCGGTCTGTTGACGGAGTCGCAGAGTATTTCTGTTTGATTTATTTTTCCTACCAAGTAAAATCTTATCAGAAAAAGACATCGAGTTTTCAAGTAGGATATACATACTTTTATTTGCAGCATTTCCTGTTGGAAGCGGATTCTATAAAAAACAAAGTTATGTTATGCTTATAAACGTAACTGTTGTCTTTTGTATATTTACAAAAAGGTCGTCGACCTCATCTCTACATCATTTAAGAAAAATTTTGTCATTAAATTAATTTTGCAGTTGTTGCTATTTGAATAAATACCTCAATTCTTGCTTTCCTTCAATAAGGTTTTCAGTAGTTTGTCTTTCAATAGTGGTATTGCTTGACGACGCGACAAGGCTAATATTGCTAGAGATCACATTGCCGTTTATTTTTATACAGTTACTTGACTCATCCTTAACAAGACATCGATGCAAAGTAATGCTTAATAACCTAACCGTTTACTATAAATTTCCTTCACGTACCTGGCTTTCATCTTTGTTTTCATTTTCTTCAACGATATTGTTTACAAAGTCTTTTAATTCCTCGCTGGTTGATGTATTTCTTGCAATGCATTTCAGATGGTATAAAAATGTACTTTTGAGGGCTTTTTTACTCTTTTTTGTGTGTTTTTCTTCGTAATATTTAATGTAGTTAGGCAAATCCCATTCAGAAAGAGGGTATTCTGATAAGAAACTATCTTTTGACTTAAGGTGTTTATAGTCGCGCATAGGTACAGCATCGATGATGCTTTTAAGAAACTATGCAGACTCTAACAAAACTCATTAACCTTGTGCAATGCGTTGTGACAATCGCTTAATAATATATTCTCCAACGCATACGTCACTATCTCAACAATTCAAACGCGACAGAAAAAAAAAGAAATGGCTTTTCATCTCTTCTGTAAGAATCAGCAAAACATTGCTCAGGCTAGGACTCTTCACCTCATATTCAACTATGAGGTAAGTTCGACAACCCGGCTTCTTTTTATCGTTAAGGGATTCCTTCCGGGAATATAAGATAAAAGATGCCCGCCTGCTTAACACAGCATAAGCTAGACTTGGCCACTTATCCCTTGAGAAGCGACAACCCCACTTATTTGTAAGAACATCGCTTCCAACAAGCTTTGTTGTTATGAATATGTCCGTCTAGGTGTTAATATTACCAATGTTTTGTTTTCAAAAGCAAGGAGACAGGCTAGGACTCTTCACCTCATATTCAACTATGAGGTAAGTTCGACAACCCGGCTTCTTTTTATCGTTAAGGGATTCCTTCTGGGAATATAAGATAAAAGATGCCCGCCTGCTTAACACAGCATAAGCTAGACTTGGCCACTTATCCCTTGAGAAGCGACAACCCCACTTATTTGTAAGAACATCGCTTCCAACAAGCTTTGTTGTTATGAATATGTCCGTCTAGGTGTTAATATTTCTTCTTGCAACTGATTCGCTCACAGCCACGTGCAGGTAATACGTTTTATACTCAATCTTGGTATGTAATGTGATGGAACTGATGTTGTTTTTCTCTTTTTTGCCCATACGAGAACGTCTCTCTCTGTAACGCTTTGGTTGGATTCTTTTGCAAGGAAAAGCTTGAAGATCTCTGTCTTAAGCAGTTTACAGCAAGCTCATTTTTAGTAACCTCAAGACTCTGGCATCGGTGGCATTGGTGGTTTTTGGCGTTTTTGGACAAGCACATTAGCCCCTGGATATGAAGAGAAAAGGAGCAGAAGCATCAAAGTTATCCTGATGACTGAACAAATGTTGAATGAGAGGCTTTTTCATTTTGAACATACAACTACTTGGCCACATAAACGACAAAGACAAAGCAATAGCAAAGTCTAAAGAAAAAGAGTTCAAGAATATAAAAACGAAGTGTGTACTGGCTGCATCTGTATCTACTTGATATTATTTAAATTTACAATAAACATAAACTTAGAATTGGGTAAATCACTTATAATTTGAATCCTTTTAGATCTATTGAACCAAAGTTGAGAGATTACTGTACCTAAATCGTGCATTGACAACAGTTGAATTATGCAACATTCAAAGCTTATTTTGCTGGCTAGTGTACATTTTAGCATTGCCCCTGAATATCATTTCTCTGGCAGCTTCGTGTTCCTGAACCTCGATACTCTAGGCTCAGTGGGTTACTCCAGATCTGTATAGTCAGCTTTGTTATTGACAAATTGCATATTATCGTTGATGAACCATTGCCATTGAGAGCTGCATATGATATTCCAACTTTTTCTATGCAACATCAGATTCAGGAGTCAATTGATAATCCAAGGGTCTTGTAAATGATCTGCAGCTCACATTTCAAGATTTTCAAGCAGAAAAAAGTATATAACCCATCAAAAACTTTTCTCTTGTATTTCACCTGTATTTACATTCTCATTACTTTTGGTAGGTAATGAAAATTACATCTCGAATCTCATTTATTCATTATATGCACATAGGTCATGGTCAAATTCTTATTATTGCTTGCTGTTGCTTGTCTCCACACTTCTGTCTTTGCTATCGAGAAATCAGTTACTGTCAATGGGGTTCCTCAGGCAAATATAGTGAGCAACAAGTGCTATCAAGTAAAGAAGGCTCCATTTTACGATATAGCAAACAATAGCGGCGGTGTTCTTCATTTATATACCATACCTGGTTGTCATGGACCAAGCACTCCAATGGCATCGTCTCAAGTGAAGGAGTATGGGCATTTAGTATCATACAAGTTCACCTAATGAAATTTACGTGTAGTATCCATGCCGTTCGAAAACCAACTGTCATGGAATTCGCAAAACCAGTATAATATAATAGTTTGTGAATAGCGTTAAATGTTTATTTTATTCAACAAAAGTATACGAGGCAGCTAGTTACGATTCAAGTATCTCATTGACTAAATTGATCTTTTACATCTCTTTGCAATAATAAGTTCCTCGCGTTCTATTTTGGCTCTTTTGCGCATTAAACTCTTTTCTTTTTGCTTTATCGCCAGTTCCCATTGGTTCATGCAATGTTGATAAGCATCTTTAACTTTTTTTTTTTTAGAGATCTCAATTGAAGACGAAGCAGCTTCGTTGGTAATTCGCGGTGGAATAACTAATGCTGTATTTTCGCAGGTGCAGCTGTTTGTAGTGTCCTTCAAGATTATTATGATGATACTTGATGTCATTGAAATGTCAAGGTTTATTGTTGTAGTAAAATAGTTACTTTTCCTTGCATGTATATAGTATAGTAATAAACTAGAGTAACTCTACAACCTCTTGTACTTTCTCTCTGTCTCAAAAATAAGAGCTCTCCACAATTTCATCACAAACACCAAGGCATCTTCATCTAGAGCACCTTCTAATTCACTCACAAGCTCATCGGGGCCTTTCCTCTCTCTGATAAACTGCAAAACAAACTTAACCAAATCATCCTCTTCCATGCCTAGTAGATCAACAATTTTCTTGGATACGAATGGGTGCAATTTTGTTTCGATCAAGTCCTATTATATCCACCTTGTTAGGCACAATCAAGTAGGGGCAATGATGTCCGCATATTACCTCATTTAATTCATCCCATTTCACTGTATATTTCCACAAGTCTTCCTGTGAGCTAGGTATAGAATCAATCAATTGCTTCACTCTGCGCTGTCTCTCCTCTGAAGATATAGGTTCTTCGTCGTCGTAATCCGTCTTGACTTGATCAATGTCTCCATAATCCAGAGGGACAAGGACACGACGCTTTTTTTTGGCTTCCTCTTCCTCATCTTCATCAACACCACCCAATGTGTTTCTCTTAATGGGCATATTGAAGTTGAGTTTGGTAGGTTTCAAAGCAATCTTGCCATCATCTGCTTCTCTGTTGAGGAATCTGCTATCCTTTCTGCGTCTTTCTTCTTCCTCCAAGCGAGCCTGTTCATCTTCAGCTTCTTGTATCTCTCTGCGTCTGTCTTCTTCATCACGCTCCTCTTCTCTTCTGCGCTGTGATTCTCTCATACGTCTCCATCTGGATCGGTCGTGGTAATAAGGCTCCTCCCCTTTGGCTATCTCTACGTCGTCGTCCCAGTTGGCCAGACGCTCCAACCAGTAGGCTTTGTCTTTGATCTCTCGTTCTTCCAGTTCCAGTTCTCGCTTCATGTCCTTTTTGTATTCACGTAGCTTTTGGTTTTCTCTTGTCTCGAATCGCTTTTCTCGTTGATAATAAGCATTCTCCACATCACGCTCATGCTTTTCCTGTCGTCTTCTCTCAATCTCTTCATCTGTAGCCATGTCCTGTTGATGCTGAAGGTGTGGTGGTGGTTGATGTGAATGATACTCGGTGGGCCCCTTGACAAAACCATCGCCTCGTCGTCTTGGATAGTCGTTTGAATCTCTGCGTCCCTCATGCTGTTGTCGTTGCTGGTGTTGCTGAGGGTGGTGCTCGTCTCTCTCTGCAGCACGCTCCTTGAAGAAGGCAAGCTCTTTATCAATAGAGGCTTCAGCCGTGGTCTCGGCGTTTTCAGGTGTTGCTGCTACTGCTGATGCTGGTTGTTGGCCTGCATTGATGGCATGAATGTACTGTTGAACGAGATTGTACTTTTCATCATCTGATGCTACAGTTTTAGCTTCATCTTGTTGTAACTGTTGACGTTGATGCCCCTCTAAATGTGTACGTACATTATCGTCTGCCTTCACAATCATCTTCTTTTCAACGTTGCTGCCATCCTGTGCTTTTAATGTCACACCATCTGTCTTTTCACCACCTAAAACACGCAAAGCACACAACACGCTGTCTGGATCATCGTAGGTGGCAAAACCAAACCCTTTGGGGTTTCCAGAGGGGTCTTTGGTACGTTTCCAATGCACCAAATTACCGCATGTCTAGATATACCATTAGTATACACTATGAACCCTCTCCCATTTGGACGCTTCTTTTACCTTGAGCAATGTTTCAATCCATTCATCAGACACGCCAGCTGCAATGGCACCGACGAATAGTGTGTTTAGTTTATCTTTTTGTGCGTCTCTGGGAGGTGTACTGGGCACTGGTGCAGCTGATGGTGGGCCAGCAGCAACAGGTGGAAGCCCCATAGGCGATGCTGCATTGGGTGGCATTCCCAGTGGTGGCATTTGAGCTGGAGGATATCCTCCAGGTGGTTGCTGTAATGGTGGTGGTCGAAAGCCTATACTCGTGTTAGATGACATCTTACGTGCACTCGTTCATGCGATGCTTACCGTATTGATTGTTTCTATAGGGATCCATCGTCGTGGTGTGTAATAAAGTGTGGTAAAGAAAGAAAAGCACCAACTTTGGATAGGTACACCGCTTTACTTTTTTCAGAGACCACAAGCCACTCATCCTTCCCTAATCAATCCAATTCCCATACTTGGTTTTTCGAAAGGTCAAGTTTGCTTTCATCTTTTTTGGATCGTCTTTCCCCACCCTTGGCTGCTAAACTCATAGTCAAAAATACAACGAGAGATCAGGCAATATGCACCTTCTTCTGTTAAGTCTAGACAGAGTCTAATATGAAAAATCTTTTGAAGAAACTGGAAAACTTTGAAAATGTCGACATTTGTCAAGACGAAGATGCATTTGAATCCTTATTACTTGTTAACGAAAGAATAGAGTCCAAACCTTAGCAATATAAGAAATACAACAATAGCTGTTATGAACCTGCCAAGCTATTCAATTACTAACACAGCTATATTGCAGATCTTCTATAAGTAACCTATCCCCATCATAGCTACCCCGCCTGTCAAATTACTGCTTATATAGTGCGGCTGTCATCACAACGTACTGCACAACAAAATATTATTTACAATCAAAAGACATATGGGAATTACACTGGAAGAGTTGATATATTACTATCGACCAACGCATATCCCCATCAGTTCAATAACGTAGAGCATAATGTTATTCCACCTAGTTCTCTACAAGAACTAAACCCATTCACGTTTTTTTTATAAATACCCTTCCTAATTTCCCAGTTCCTTTCTCTCTTCGTCAATTATGCCATTCATTAATCCTATTATATATTCTGAATAAGTCTCTTGAAGTCTCTAATCTGATTGTCTCTTGTCTCTCTACTCCTGCCTTTTATATAATAAAATCACCTATAGCATGACGTCCGGAGAATGTACTGACAATGTTATCTGCAACCTCATCCATAAAACTAAAATTAGCACATTATATTCGGATCCCTGTAATGCTCATCTGAGACTCGTACGTGTGCTCCGGAACGTTGAATAGGATGGCTCCTCGACAATGGATGAGCATCTTGTAATAGCTGAATCTTTTGAATGGGGAAACACGGAATGAGATAAGCAAAAGCTAGCTTGGATAAGCTATTGTAGTAGATACTCTTTCACTCACAATCCCTTTTTATGGGCTATCAAGACCATCATTTATGCCTAGAAGGATAAGTATAGCACAGAGTTTGCCAGCCAAATCCATTTTAATCTCAGATTTGGCTTCTGTTCTGATTTGTCAATTTTCTAACATTTTGGATTTGATTCGACCTATTTTGCCAGATTCGACTATGTAGATGGTATGATCATCCCATACTCTCTAATGTATCGCCTCTGGCGGTCAAAATCCTTGCCTATGCGGATGATACTTTGGTGTATCTTCGCGACACGCACGATTTCCATCGTTTGCAGGCTGCCATCACTACTTACATGAAAGCTTCTAACGCATTATTGAATTATCACAAAACAGTAGCTACATCTCTTTCAGGTAAACCATCAACAACTTGGCAAGCCCTGCTCTCATCTTATGGCATCACCGCTTGGCATGATCGCACATCCACCACTCCACTCATTTATCTCGGTTATCCAATTTGTTCCAGCATTACTCAACGCAATGTTGCCTTTCAAAAACTGTATGACTCCATCCGTAACGCTATTGCTATCCACTCCCAACGCAATATCTCTATCCGTGGCCGGGTCACCATTCTCAATTCACTCATTTATTCCAAATTATGGCATGTTTTACGACTCACAACATTTACCAAGGCCCAGTTGCTCTCTTTACGAAGCCTGGGTACCGCCTTCATTAATTTTCGTATATTCCCTAGACTCTCTTTTGCTACTCTCTCTTTACCTCGCTCTGCCGGTGGTTTGGGGCTCCTAGATCCTCTCTCTCAACAACAAGCTCTGCAATGGTACTGGGTGTGCCCTCTATTGCTTCAATATCTTGACTCTCCGGCCTTCTCCAAGTACAACACTCCTTCGCTTCCTGTCTTAACTTATACTCTTTCTTGGTGCTACTCCTCTACCGTCTTCTCTCATTTCTTTTACTACCTCTTGTTTCGGCATGCTCGCCATCGGTGGTGGTTTCCTCAAAGTCCATCCCGTCGCAATACTTATCTCAATCCAATCACTAATCTTCAGTCCTGCTTGTCCATCTTTCAGATGTCAGAACGTCGTAACTTATATGTTGATGCTATTACTTGCTACTCACTCCCTCTTTATGAAATACTTTTACATTCTCCTCCTACTATTAACAATTTATATTCTTCTAGCTTTATACCACCGAATCTTCTTTTAGATGGCTCTGACGTTGCCAGAAAGCTTCTTGTAAGCGAGGTTTTCCAGTTAGATATTGATCATCAGGTGCTTCGTGTTCGTCCTTCCTTCCAATTCGCTCGCCATCCTATTGTATCCCAACGTGTTGCTGATTTCATTCAGTCGCGTCAACTACTATTCCAACCTTTCTTTGCACAACAGTGCTTCATTGCTCCTCGTCCAACCCTCAACCCACATCAACCTCCCTCCCTTCGAGCGTTCTGCCGTAGCATTATCGTTCCTCCTTCTTCCTTGCCTTCGCGAGGCCGGTTGCCGCTCAACAGCATTCGTTACTTCAAAAAACTACGTCAAAACCTCTCCTCTACCTCCTCCTCACTCTCTCCTCTCCGGCCGGCTCAATGGCTCTCCTTCTGGAGAATCTCAATCCCCCTGGCTGCTCGCACGGTCTGGTACCGAGCTATTTACGAAAAAATCCCTTCAAGAGCTCTGCTACATTTACGCATCCCCGAAAAACACCCTTCTCCCCTATGTACCATCTGCTCTGCCTCTACCACGGAGGATATCACCCATACTCTGTTCTCCTGCCCTCCCAAGTTATTGGTCTGGCGACACATGTACCACACCTATCTCTCTGCTTCTTCCTCAATCTCTGATGTTGATCTGATTCATTTCTTCCAACAAATATTACTCTGTTCCTCTCCCTATCTTGATCGTGATCTCTCTCTCTCGTTCAATGATCTCTCTATTCCTCAACTTTTCGCAACTACTCTGCTGACAATATGGCAAGCGCACTGGCGCTGGATCTTCGACCGAACCCCGTTCATCGCTGACACTGTTCAACATCGTCTTGCTCGCTCTCTTGCTCGCTTGGATGCCGAGTTAAAGCTAGATTCGTAAGTATTCAGTTTTTCCTCTTTATCCATTTGCTCTTTTCTATCTGTTATTTTTATTTTTTTTTCTTTCGTTCCTCCGATCCTCTTGTAATCATACCCAGTCTTTCCTATCACTCATAGCGACATTTGAAGGACTTAAAATAAAAAATGGAGCTCGGCTCCCCTACAAAAAATACTCTCTAATGTATTCTTGAAGGACTTTCCAAGGCGCATCCAATGGTACCAAGTAAGATAGATGTTCTGAATAAGCGTTCTGAGCAACCTTTCAAAATATGAAATGAGGTTTTCGGCGAAAATGTCAAAATTTTACATATCAAGGTCCCACAAAGACAATTTTAGGGTTACGTTAGATCGATAGAAACATTTTGACTCAAGGTATACCATAGTAAAAGTCTTCATTTTCAAGGTGAAAAATGTGATCGTTTAATTTTCAATGAAAACCATGAGGGGTACCTCATGCTTTTTGGTCGATTTTTGACCATGTTTTTTTGATCCCCAAAAAGTTGAATAAAGGTGTCAGATAGTAACTGCTACATCAGAGCAATTGTTTGGTGCTATTTTGACGATCTAAAACGGCTTTGAACGCGAGAAAACGCAGCTCAAATGCGCTCAGATTCTATTGTACATTAGGCACACTCTTGACTAAAAAGGGATAATATCTGTATTGTACTTGCCCGTATATGAAATAGCTGCATGTATATGGATGTAGAGTATCACATAAAAATCAGATCCACAGATAATATAAAGGCTTTTCATGTGTAAGTGGAGGATCAAAATGAAAGTAGCAGTGTTTTGAAAAGATACACAAGTGTAACCGGTAGTGCGAGCTGCCGCTGCGCAGGTTGGTTTTTACTGAAGCGAAGAAAAGGTAGAGAACCATCCGAAGCATGAACTCTCATATGATTAGTGATTATATATCAATCAACAATCAGGATTCTTCTAACATGTTAGCTATTATTAATTTTGAGATATTAGCCAAAGGCTTACGGCAGCACGAGCCGTTTGAACGTAGGCTGGTTTCCACTGAAGCGAAGCGTAGGTCAGGAAACCACCCAAAGTGTCGAAAGGCTCGTTCATTATAAAAATATCAACGAGAAACAAGCGTCCTGTTGCTAAACGGGTCGAATTGACCAACCTATGCTCAAGTCAAGTGCGATATCCTGTTCCTGATCTATATTTTTGTACCTCAAAATCACATTGATCCGACGCTCTGCAACAATGGATTGGAGCGAGTCGTATCACAGTTTCCAAAGATGCAGGAAGTTGGACTCGGTTAATTTAGACAAGAGAAAGAGAGATCACAGCTTTGATGAAGGGGAAAGGGAAGCCAGCGCGAAGCAGGCTGAATACCCATCTTGTTTCATTGGATGCTATCTACTTCCCTCATGAATATCGTTGTTCTGTTTCATGGCTGTTCCATTTTTGAAGCACTAATAATACATTTCCAGACGTTGTCCCTTTTTCAAAAGAGTGTCCCATTTTCAATATTGCTGTCCCAGCTCTTTAAGACTGGCCCAAAACTTTTTCTTGCTGGCCCAACCTATTTTCTTCAGCTGTACTTTACCTATAAAACAACATGGTCTTTCATATCGAGCAATTCCCTGCTATTGTTATAGAAAATCTGGCTCTTATTTTGGAGCCCAAGGATCTCTTTCAGCTAGGTCTTGCATCCAAATCGCTCTATCAAGTTTTTATGGACAACAATGTATGGAAGAGCAAAACCTTGCACGACTTTGGAGACTTGTTCCAAATATATACCATCTTTACTACAGCAACAGGCTTCACTCTGGATTCTGCTTTAACCGAGAAATTTAGCCAAGAGCCTAGTGATTGGCGTAAATACTACTTACAAAAGAACAGCACAGTGAATGACAACGATACTGCTCTGATGGATCAAGCTGATCAAGAATACGCCAATGCACAAACACAGCTTGAATCATTCCAACAAGACGGCAATGTCGAAACATTGGTTCAAGTTGCTTGCAAGATGATGTGGATCTTGGACGTTTTTCCTGGTCATGCAGGATGCTACTATATTCTGGGCTTCATCCTGTTTGTGCTGAACAAGCTGGAAGAAGCTATCATTTTATTGGAAATGAGCAGAGCCGTAGATCCCAACTTTGAGCCAGTGGATGGTAAGTGAGTGGGGAGAGGCTGACATCATGTTTGATTACTGACATCACACAGTGTTGGAGGAGGAGATTGAGCGCATTGTCAAAGGATACAAAGGAGAAGAAGAGCTCTTGCGCGACAATCAACTATCAGAGGCATTGACACACGTATTGGAGGAAGTGTTTGGCAAGTTTGACGCAGACAACGACGGCGCATTGAATGCCAAAGAACTGGACAGTTTCATCTTTACTACAAACGGAGCACATCCGCCACCAGCATTCTTACGTCAAATAGGCCTTCGCTTTGGAGCCAACAAGAAGGGATGGTTAACAAAGGAGGGCTTTTTAGCATTTTATTTAGAGCAAACATTAGATGATCCCTCTGAAACGAGAAACGATTTGGGTGTTCATGGCTATGATCCTCAAACATTGAAATTAAAAATGCAAGAATAAAGCTCATGGCAATACAATCGTTTGCATCCAAGGCATATTCAGCACATCTTGCACGGTAATACGTCTATTACAATCAGGATTCAACATGGCGTACATGAGCGTACGAGGCTCTTTTGCCAGCTTGTTGAATGGGTCATATTGTCGTAACGGCCGTTTACGTAGATAGATGGGATAATTGGTGTCTGTCAACAAGGCGGATCCAAAGGGAACACCGTCGAATTTCATGCAAAATAGAATGATACCTGCAGCCCATACATCCACAGGTGCTGCCCAGTAGCCTTGATCCAAGAAGATTTCAGGTGCCATGTAGGGTGTGGTGCCGCAGAGTCCATCCGAGAGTCGGCTATGCTCTTGCCAGGCTACTCGAAACACATCCGCAGATCCAAAATCAGATATCTTGAGTACTCCCTTGTGCACCAGCAAGTTTTCTGGTTTCAAGTCTCGATGTGCAACACCCAGTGAGTGAAGGTAGTTGAGACCAAGCAGCAACTGTTTAAAATAAGCGTAAATCCTGTCGTCTTGTAATTTGCCTTGCTTGATGAGAGAATACATGTCGCCTTCTGGGCACTAGCAAGAACGTGTCAGATCAAGCCAGCTCTGTGGCGCTATTAACTTACAAACTCCATCACAATGCAGTATCGTTCATGGTCATGGTCCATGCGCACAAAGTCCAAGGTTTTAATAATATTTTTATGGTTCAGAGCAGATGCGATACAAAACTCGCCAGCTAATGCCTTCATATACCCAGTCAATGTCTCTCTTCTTTTGCGTTTTCGAAATATCTTGACAGCAAACACGGCATCATCTTGTTGTCGATGGGCTAGCTGTACGGTGGCTGATACGCCTGCTCCGATGCGTTTGTTGATCAACGTGCCATAGGTGCTCAAGTAGGGTGAAGCATCTCCAAATTCTTGGTGCTGCTGTGGCGATGATTGCTGGTTGTCGCTATGGAGTCTCAATTTGGAGAAGAGTCCACGCATGAACGACAGCTTCTGTGGTTGAGATACTTCTAAATCCGAGCCTTGATGTTCTTCTATACTCCTATTGCTGTCTTGTATAGAGCAAGAATCACATAGCGTCGAGTCGTCTTCATCACTGTAGTCATACTCATATTCATACAATGTCGCTTCATCTTGCTCTGCATTGTCGTCGTCGTCGTCGTCGTCGTCGTCGTCTTCTTGGTTTGTTGATAGTGATGAAGAGGAGGACGAAGTGTCAATGTCTTGATTCAATAGAATAGTAGCAGGAATGGCTGTCGTGGTGGCGATGGATGTCGCATGAGCGTCATTAGCTGGATCTGATGGTCTTGTGTTGGATTCAATAAAATGCCTAGTGATCTCTTGCGGAACAAAAGAATAGAGTTCTTTGCGCTTGTTCATCAAACTCGCAAAACGCACAAAATCAGAGATGAAAAACGAAAAGATGGATTATGCCAATGCAACATTCAAAATGGACCCTTTCGTCGTCTATTGACTTTTTTTTTTTTTGTTTGTTTCCATCTCACACACACACACACACACTCTCTCTCTCTCTCTCTCTCTCTCTCTCTCTCTGTCATTTACCCAAAAAAAAAATTGGAAAAAACATGGAAATTACATTAATGCCAGAGCTCGTCATCTGGATTAGATTATCATCGAGCACATTAGGCTAAAGCAAGCATCATCAAACTAGCATCAAATAGCTTGATTTCTTAACGCCGTGAGTAAATATCATAGCAGTTAGATCTGCCAACAAGACAACCGTCATGACAAGTGCTAAATTTTGCGTCCCTTGCTACGCTGTAATTAATATTTGCTGGCATTTCCTAGGTCAATCGCTAAAGATGACAGCACTAATTGTTTGTCGCACTGTAGAGACAGGCACACTTTAAGATTACTGATAGGAGAATCATGCTGGCACATTTGGCTGGACGGCATCCTTTTCGTCTTCGGGGCTATATATTTAAATTTTGTTTGCTTGTTCCTCAATTCCTCTTTTTTTTTTTTTCTTGTTTGCTACAACTTTAGCTTTATCAACATGGAGGCCCCTATTGTTCACTATAACCGTGCTGAATATATCGAGACCGTAAGTGGAAGGCTTTATTATGCAGAGACATCACGACATTAAGATACCATGTACCAACAGGATACAGGAAACAAAGTCAGTAGAAAATCAGTCATTTGTGGTAGTCAGAACATCATCCTTGGAGGAAAAGTACGTCTTGATCGATTCCGTCTACAAACAAACATTTAATGAATAGCAGACTATCATCCAAACAGATTGTGTGATTCGCGGTGATCTTCGTCGCACGGGAGGTGGGCATGCGGTAGTTATAGCTATTGGTAGATATTGCTTGCTATCTCAAAGTTCGGTTATACGGCCACCTTACAAGACATACAAAGGGTAGAGTAGGCATGCACATTGCAAATTTGCTTGATGTTGACTAGAGGGACATACAAAGCATCTTTAGTTACTATCCAATGAAGATTGGAGACCATGTCACTATAGGCGAGGGCAGTATTGTGGAGGCAGCCACCATTGGATCGCATGTCAACATTGGAAAGAATTGCATCATTGGACGATTTGCCATCATTAAGGATTGCTGTTCCATTACAGACAATACGATTATACCACCAAACACAGTTGTGCCATCATTCAGTGTCTATTCTGGATCACCAGGAAAATATCAGGATGAGCTGCCTGAATGCACACAGGAGTTGTACGAGAACAAGACAAAAGACTATTACGCTAAATTCATACCTAAAGATTAAATTAATAAAATACCACCAGAACCATCAAGACTCTACCGTGGGATCATGCGTGTAGGAAATGTGGGGGGGGGGGAGGGGAAGAATCTTGACTGAGACAGTGCAGTAGCTCACCAAGAGATACCACGAGTGATTACCTTTGAAATTAGAAAAGACAATGTGGTAGTGTCCAGGGCCACCGACTAGAAATATGCCTCGTCAATTACGCATGATTTCAATCTGATCCAAACGAATTCCTTTTTCCTTTTGACCCCACATTATGAACAAACAATGAAAAGCTTAATTCTGGCAGTTACCAGCCTGTCAAGATGGTAGGGATCCACCTAGGCCCTTTTTTTTATTGTATAAAGAAAAGGTGTCATCGATGATGTTGTCTTATTTGCATCTTCTTCTTCCTACTCATCAAAACAACACCAATGTGCCATCGCAGCATTTTGTGGTGTGCGGTAGCCTGTGTGCTCATATTTTGCACAGTCTGCATAGACGCAGCACAAGTCGATTTTGTACCCAATACATTTGTCATTGAGTTCGATCGACCCATCCACTCGTTTGCATCAAAGCGACATGTCCTTAGCAAAAGATCGATATTTTACCAGCAATTGGAAGCGTACAACATTAGCTACCAGGTTCGCCATGAATATGAAGTGATCAATGCAGTGTCCATTGCGTTTAAATCACCACAAGATTCCTCTCTGTTCTTTGAAAAGGCATTGGGTGTCAAAAAAGCATGGCCTGTGGTAGGTGAACATGAACACTGAAAGTGAACGGACGATTAAAACAAAAGATTTAGAATACGGTGTCCAAGCCAAGCGTGTATCATGCAAAAAGCCATGATAGCAATGATCATGTTTCATCGCTGTTTGAGCTCTACAATGCCACTGGTATTAGCAGAGTGAGGGATGAATTAGGGTATGTGTATACTTGGTGTTCAGCCAGATACCTAGATACTGACATCTCTGTAGCATCACAGGCCAAGGCATCAAAGTAGGTATCATCGATACAGGCGTGGATTATATGCATCCCGCTTTGGGCGGTTGCTTTGGTGAAAACTGTCGTGTTGCTTATGGCTATGATTTCGTGGGCGATGATTATACTGGAGAAAACACACCCAATCCTGATGACGATCCTAGAGATACATGCAATGGCCATGGCACTCATGTCACTGGCATCATTGGTGCAAGGGACACAACATTGCATTTTACAGGCATTGCTCCTAATGGTAAATTGTTTTTTTTTGCAATGAAGCTGTTTACTCGGTTGCTAATGCTCCTCTAAAGTTACTTTTGGTGCTTATAGAATCTTTGGCTGCTCTGGCAGCAGCTCGGACGACGTGATTATGAAAGCCATGGAAAAAGCCTACCTTGATGGTATGGATATCATTAATTTGTCGTTGGGAGATGTTGGATGGCCAGAATCGCCTGCATCCTTATTGGCTGACGAACTGGCCTTGAAGGGCATGATTGTATGTGCTGCTGCTGGAAACGAAGGGTCCAAGGGTATGTTTGAAGTCGGTGCTCCTTCACTTGGTAAACACGCCTTATCCATTGCCAGTGTTGATAACATGCATGTGCTCTCTCACACCATTCGACTGCAAAACAACCTCACATTTGGGTACTTGACGGCCAGTGGTGCCATTTTTAATACGACAACCGCCCGTCTCATTGCGTCGTCTGATGAATTCTTGGCTGATCGAGATGGCTGCGACCCACTCAAGGTGAATGCTATGGGGAGAATCGTCTTGATGAACCGTGGTGGTTGCATGTTTTCTCAAAAGATCCTAAACGCACAAGAAGCAGGTGCTATTGGTGCTATCATCTACAACAATATCCCTGGTCCAGTGACTCCATCGATTCCTGATGGCAAGGTGAATATTGACTATGGCGGTATCTCCAAGGCAGACGGTGATGAGTTGTTTCACTACCTCAAGAAAAATCCAGATGCTGACTTGGTAGAGTTCTTGAAGCAAGATTTGAGTTTCCCTGTGCCAACGGCTGGCTCCATTAGTGAGTTCAGTTCATGGGGTCTAGGGCCTGATCTAAGCTTGAAGCCTGATATCAGTGCTCCTGGAGGACAAATCTATTCGATGTGAGTATGCAAGCAAGAGTAGTAGCTTATAGCTGTTACTAACCATGCTGTTACTAACTAGATATCCTGTGAACCTTGGTAGCTATGCAACCCTTAGTGGCACAAGTATGGCTAGCCCCTATGTCGCTGGCGTCGTCGCATTGCTTCAGGAGTCCAGAGGCGGCAACCGTGCTATTTCTGCCAAGGAGGTGCGAACAATGCTGATCAACAACGGCCATCCTTTCAAGATCCTCAATTCTGAATCACTGGAATCTGTAGCAAGACAGGGATCGGGTCTTATCGATGTCTACCATGCAATCAAGTCGGATACCACCGTCTATCCTGAGCAGATCCGTCTCAACGATGCAGAACATAGTGCTGACAACAATGAATACACGTTTACTATCAGAAACAATGGTCGACTCGCCTCAGAATACTCGATCAGCCACATGGCAGCCAGCACTGCACAAGGATACAGAATGCAGGGCACCAGTAAGGCCATCTTCCCCCTCGAGAAGCCCATCATTCTCTCCAATCACGAAGCGGATGCCGTGGTCGACATTTACAGCCCACTTGTCTTGGTAGAGGCCAACGAAGAGCTCAATGTCACTGTTCGTATTGCACCTCCAGTCAACGCTGCATCCATACCACCCTCCATCTATTCAGGATACATTGCCATCAGTAAATGCAACGAACGAGAAGATGTCAAGTACGTGCCTTATGCTGGATTTACAAGCAGCCTTTCACAGCTCCCTGTATTGCTAATCAACAGTACAACACCCAACCTCCTCAGTCAACGCATCAACGTCTTCTCGCCTGCTCTTTTATCCATGCAACTAGCAGAGCCATCGCCACTCCTCAGTGTATCCGTCGTCAATGCAGCCGATATCAATCAAAACTACGGTCTCATTCCTGGCGGCTATTCAAGATATGTAGGAAAAAACAACATCGATGACCCTACGGATGTACTGATTATGTCTTGGTACGGCAACATTGCCACTACGCCGGAGCAAGCTTCATTGAGCCCATTTTCAAGACAGAGCAAGACACAGGATATCAAGGCGTCAGTAAAAGATCTCTCTGCTACAGCCATCAACGAGCATGTCTCTCAAATTGGCACCAAACTAGAGAAAGGTGTCTACAGACTCAAGGTGATGGCACTCAAGCCATTTGGTAACGAGGACAATGATCAGGACTATGACATTTGGTACTCACCAGAGATCGTGTTGGAGTAGTGTGCTGATTGTAGCTATTCAAATCCCGTTGGAAAAATTTACCAGTAGTAGAGCATACGCAGTTTATCTTTTTTTTTTTTTTTTTTACCTTTTCTTTCTCTGTATTAATTTTGCCTCTTTTAATAAACACCTAATCAATGGCTTTTTCTTAAGCTATTTAATACAAAACACACACACATTAATATTCTGAGCATTAATTTTTCGGTAATGGAGGCATCTCATGTTGTCATAAACAGCATACTCACCTACAACGTTAGGGCGTTTTTTCTCTTTCAATTATTAAAACATCAAGCAACAGACGACCATGGAAGGAAGGCCAAAGCGCTCCAACGCTGTAGAAAAAGACTATAGAGAACGGAAGCGAGTTCGAAGAAGAAGCAGTACTGACAATGTAAGGCATCATCTGTAAAATGGAAATATTTTGGATGCGTATCTCAATTGTGATGTGTAGCCCATTGCCGCCACCAACAACAAGCAAGTGAACACCAAGGCAAGCAGCACAAAGGATCAGTCCAGCAGCAAGGAAACAGAATCCAAAGAGGACGCCAACGTTCAAGGTACAATTGAGAGTATCTACAAAGAGTTATTGGAATTGAAGGATCCAGAAGAGTAAGCAAGCCTAGACACTAGAGATACAACGCATCACTCATTGTTCATTAGTGAGGAATACGACCTTTGTGGCATCTTTATGGAACTGCCTTCCAAAGATGAATATCCAGACTACTATGAAATCATCAGACACCCAATTGCATTACAAGTTATCAAGGTAGAGTAAACACATTATCGACGCGTCATGTCTCTAACCCATTTCAATAGGCCAAAATTGATGCACGCGAATATAAACAACTGGCTCAATTCAGAGCAGATATCGATCAAATGGCCACGAATGCAAAAAAGTACAATGTCAAGGGATCTCAAGTGTACGAAGATGCAGTTAAAATCCAGGTACAAGAGCACAAGTGATAATTTGAGTCTAGTGTGATTTACATCCAGCTACAGAAATTCGTGAAGCATTGGCAACCACAGTCCAAAGGAAAGGCGGCGGTAAAGCTTCCAGCGAAAACAGCGTCATCCTCATCGTCAAAGCATGCCAACACCACAGCAGCATCGAGCGCCACTACTTCACCGCCCTCCAAGATCAAAGCCATCAAACTGAAAGCAGTGGATAAGCAAAAGTCCAAGAGCAATACGAAGACGTTAATGGCAGCTATTAGTAGACGAGAAACGAAGCGATGCTTGGAAATATTAGCGGAAGATCCCAGCTTGGATCCAAATGAGCTGATATCCGTCGAAATGTTCAATGACAAATTCACCTGGGCACCACTCCACGCAGCATCCTATTACGGTGATGTCAAATTAGTAGAGGCATTAATAGCGAGAGGAGCCGACATTGAGCTGAATGACACATGGTATTCTGCAACACCACTGGGTTGGGCTGCATTTGGTGATAGAGACAAGGTAGTTAAACTCTTGGTGTCGAAATACAATGCAAATACGAAAGCAGAAAATGTGCATGGGCAAGTGCCCTTTGACGTGGTGTCGGATCAAGAAGACCCTCGATGGGTAGGGCTTTTTGATCAGCCACAGCAAGCTACCGCCGCTGCCAACACCAATACTATCAATTTACCACCTAAATTACAGCAACAGCAACAACAGTTGCAACAAAAGCAGCAGCAACAACAAGTGCTTCAGCAGCAGCAAGCGCAAAAGCATCAGCAATTACAACCTAATCAGCAGCCAGCATCACCAGCACAGCAACAGCAGCAACAGCAACAAATTGTGTTGCAGAGATTTCCACTCGCCAATACGAATAACAACATTGCAGGTAGGATTTCAACCACATTTGAAGCACACATGTACCAGCCTAAACATGTTGATACAGGTGATGGATCCATGATTAAAAAGAGAAGAGGCAGACCACCCAAGAGTGAGACAGACGCAGCCTCTGTTAGACCCACAGCAGAAATCGATATCAGTACGTTTGATCCTGTAGCTTTTGAGATTGAATTATTCAACGCTATTCGAACCCACACCGACAACCAGTAAGTAAGCTTCAAAAGACGTTCAATGCAGTAGTAATAAAACCCTCCTAGGGGCCGTCTGTATTCTGAACAATTTGAAGATTTGCCTGATCGCAGAGAATATCCAGACTACTACAAGGAGATCAAGAAGCCACGATCATTGACTGAAATAGCTGAAAAGATGCAGACCAAAGCGTATCGCAACTTGAATGCATGGATGGTGGATATGAAATTAGTGTTTGATAATGCGCTCAATTACAACGAACCTGGATCAAGAATATTCCGTGACGCCAAACTGTTGTTGCGTTTATTACATCGCCTCAAGGAACGTATCTTGGCACGCTTGTTGGTACCTATCAGCCAGGAAGACGCTGTGTTTAGCTTGGATTTGACCAGTCGACCTTTTGATGTGGATGCATTGAGTGAAGATAAACGTAAAATTAAACGGTTCCTGTCGAATAATAAGTCGAGAACACAGAGCAGTGAACCGCCTACAGATCATCAATCCGCCTACATGTTGCACCATCCCCATCTCCCACAGCAACAACAGCAAACACCTCAACAGGTGTTGCAGCAGCAAGTGATGCTTCAGCAGCAGCAACAACAACAGCAACTCTTATTGCAACAGCAGCAGCAGCGAATGGTAGCACAAGCTCCATCTCAACAACCTCACATAGGTACACCTATCATGATGATGCCCCCTCCATCATTACCTCTTCCACAACAACAGCAGCAATCACAGCAACAAGTTTTTGATGCCAATACCAACGCAATGGCTGCTTCCAATGCTGCTACTGCCGCTGCTGCCGTTGCCGCTGCTGCAGCTGCCTCTGCTGTCAACAATACTAACAAAGCATCGCCTTCCATCTATTCTGCAGATGTCAGTCAATCTTCTCCCAATTCACCATTTCCCAAAGCATCCAAAGAATTCTATGCTACATGTCAAAATGAATGTAAGTTTTGAATGCTGTCATGTTATCATATATATATATATATATATAAATATGGACTAATCTCCCTCGTGTGCATTAGTAAACCTATTTATAAATGAATTAAAAATCACAAGCCCACACAACACCACTGTCAACATGACCATTGACGGCGAATACACCAACCATTCCGTCTGTGTTCCTTCCAACGTCGAAACACTGTTGATTCAGCCTGAACTGGTGAAGGCGCTCAAGGCAGAGGAGAGACGACTCAGCATCATTGTGTTGCAAAATAACATCAAATTAAATACACCTACATTGGCTGAATGGCAAACGGTTCCATTGACACGAGGAACCAACATTATCAAGATCAATGTCACTGCGAACTGTACAAAGCCAGATTCAAACATTCCTGAATACAAGTCGAAAACCTATCATTTGTTTGTCACTCGTACCTGGTAATAGTCGTCGTCGTCGTGGAATCAAGGATGACGTCTTCGTCTTATAATTATTAACGAAAAAATGCAATAAAGAATATGGATCATAAATCTATGGATGCTGGTTGTACTAGTCATGTATGCCCAAGAGTGGTCGATGAAAGCGAAAATGGCCGTTGATTATAACTTGTTGGCATCATTTGGCAGATTTACAATGCATTGGCAACCATATGCGGGATTTGAAATTAGGTGGCGGACGATGTGAATTGGGATCTCATTTGACATTTTTTTGGAAAATTTTCAACTTTTAAAGAATTTTTTCGGCACAATGGCACTATCAAACACCAACGCTTGTCTATCAAGGCCTACGCAAAATTGGATGCTTTACACGGCTGTATTTTTGTTTTTTGAAAATCAAGCAAGGATCATGGTGAAAATTTGGAAAATTCGGTTTTTCGACTTTTGGCAAAAAAAGTCCAGAAACACCCTATAAAACACTTCAATTTAATGCTCTCAGATAATAGAGGGCTCAGTTTTAGGTATGGTATGTCTAGCAACACCTTGATGAAAATTGCATTTTACGGCAGAAAAATCCAATTTTTGTCGATCGACGATTTTGGATGAGGTATACCTCATGGAAAATGGCCATGTTTTTGATATTTGAAAAAAAAAACGTGGAAATGGATCAAATCGAAGTCGTTGCATGAGGTGATTCTTTTGGTACGATGTTGAGCATTGGAAACAGCCTAAAACGTAACAAGCACGTCGCCAAAGGTGCTGATTTTGGCGATTTTGCTGTGATTAGGCACTTACTACATATGTGCTGTGCCAGACGCCGGTGTAGAATGCATTCAATGGCCTGATACATGATTTTCAGCATCTCAAACGCATCATATACTGCAAAATTCCAGAAGAGATAGTATACTCATTGGCTAGAATGCACTGGTCCAAGCTTTGACAGTGCTACACGAGCTATCAATTGAAATCCCTCTGCTGCGCGCCTCTTAGCCTATTGTATCAAGATCCATCCGATGTATGAAGCATCTGTAGAGCTGTAACAATGCTGTACGTAGAGATTGATGCAGTGTTTGGATTACGTGTCAATAAACTAAGGAGATAAATCATTGTTGCGCGTTAAAATGCCAAAAATCTATTACATATCATGTACATAGACCAGTCAACCTCGCATTGATGGTTTACGCTTGGAAATTGCATTCCTTGCGTGAGTATGCATCTACCATCGCACTGATTTATATTTTCATATGACTTTTTTTTTTGCTGATTGAGCACAGTCTTTCGCGTCATGAAAACTACAATGCACACAATATTCATGTCAAGTACATAGTAGTTGTATCAGTTCAGGTACAACATAGCTAAAAAAAAAAAAAAAAAAAAAAAAAAACCACTCTGAATCTCTGATTTTGATTTGACATATGGTTTGTAGATGGTTTTACAATAACCTATGTAATTTAGCATGCTGTGGATAGAAACTATGCAAAGGATTGTACAGTGATCTCTGGCGTTTTGGTAACAATGCGTTTTGCATCCATCAAAGAGGTATCGTGTTTTACTATTTTTCATATATCAGGAAGAATGGCGTGCTATTGTAGAGTTCGGATTCTGTAGACAATAACACAACGATTTGGGCTGTGGGGATGGGGGGTTTGCGTCTAACCACAACTACCATTGATGGACAGAGGCAGGCTCTACTTATTGACAGGCTGCAATACACGTATATACATAATGCATTCTGCTTTCCCATATGAAGCAGTGTCTTTAATTGACATGCCTTTAATCTGTAAACCTTGTCTTCTTTTTCTTCCATTGTGTATTGAATTTTACCAGTTTCATATGCAAATTTTAGGTTTTCGTTTATACACTAACTTTACAAACAAAGCTCCAACATGGCTTATCAATACCAATCTCGACAACCGTTGTCAAAAAGGTGTGGACTACGGTAAACATGTTCATATAGTTTAATCATATCAGATCGCAATTTGTAAGCCGTGACAAAGGAGAAAAACCTCAAGTGAGTGATACCACGGATTTGAAGACAGAATGCCATTATTTTCATTGTCCACGAGGAAGGCGATGAAGAGGGGCAACGCTTATACATAAGGCTATTCAACTATATCTATGTAAAATGCAATGTCAATTTTAGATTGCAAGCGTTGGTTTATTGATTGGTGCAACTCAAATCGAATGTCAAACACAAGGGGCATAAGCATATTTTGGTTGAAAAGAGGGATGCCAACTACACGCAGTATGTAATGGAAAAAAAACGGTTCTCGGTGTGTAGCTCCAATATGTCAACGCTGCTAAATGAGCTAGTAATTGCGGCAGCAACACATGAAAAACGGTTTGGCATGCGCTATCGATAACATACGTAATTCAGGGTAAGGTAGTGTTGATTCAGCTTTTGTATTTCTTATTCAATGAAACCAAGGTGCTTTCATCGGGTAAATTTGGCGTAAAATGCATCCACGTTTCTTCAACTATAAGCTCATTATTCGAGCTGAAATAAGCACTTTATATCAAATTAATCCATGCTACAATGCAGCGTATTATCAAGACATTCTCTGGTAGCTTATTTCTCGTAATAATGTGATATAGCATACTTTATTACTAAACATTGAAGTTCTGAATGGGTGTATTTTACATGATCAGATACCTGGTTCATGTAACTTACGATAACTCAAACAATGCGGATTCTCAGGAAGTATCCTAGACTTCTGTTTTAGTCGGACGCGCCTAGGGTAGTAAATTGATTTTTCAAATCTATGTGATATATAGCTTACTGTAGGATTTATGGTAATATGTGCAGTGCAATGGAGAGTTTCAGTAGTACGCTTAACGTATGTAGCCCTGTTAATAGCAAGGGTTTAAAGGCCACCTCTTTTTTTTTTTTTTTTTTTTTAAGATCTTCAAACAGTAAAAAGGTTTTACATTCATTCAACGGTGATGAGAGATATGAGTATACTCATGTATCAATGCACAAAAGTGGTCTGATGTTGAGTGTAACCACAGCCAATGACAAGGTATTGCATTGTCTTTCTTGAATGAACTCCCTCACGTGGAATCCATTTTATCCGGTTGCTCATGCTGTATTGTAGTACATTGTATAAATCACACAAGACATCGTACTATGGTATCCATGACAAATACAAAAATGATTGGCTCTGATTTCACGAAGCATCAGTAAGCAATCTCCTATTGGATCAATTGCGTATAGCTTGAATATGTCTTTTGAAATAGCAATGCTACATAGAATAGCTTTCTAGCGGGATATCTGTATTTACATCCGTCAAAAAAGACAATATAGACAATGAACAGCAACGTTTGTATTATACACTAAAACTGCAACTCTTTATTTCCGTATTTAGATAGTAAGGTGAGTGATATCTCAACAAGCCTCGCTTGGGCCAAGGCTCATGTATCTTGAAATGCCGAGATGCGAAACAAATGCACAGTATTTTATGTATGGCCCCTAACGGTCTTAGATGGTTCCTAAAAGCAGTGATCTCGGAGGCGCTCAGAGAACTCTATTGTCGAGCTAATGAAACAGCCTGTCGATTTCTTGTATAAATACAGGAGAAAAACTTTCGATCTACCAACCGATATATCAAGCCTTATATTAGCAAACATTTACAACAATGAAGACAAGTTTTATCACTTCATTTGTCAGCCTTTTCGTGGCTGCTCAGTTGGTTGCTGCTGCTTCTGATCCCAGCACTGATGCCGCTTGTGCTCTCACTGGTTCTACCAACGACGGTTCTGTCAATGCCAAGGATGAACAGCTTGCTCAATTCACCATTGTTGACAACGGTGGACAAGAAACATCTCAATTTGGTGTCAAGATCAACAATTCTGACAGTTTGAAGGCTGGTTTGGATGGTCCTTCGCTGCTCGAAGACTTTCAACTGAGAGAAAAGATTATGCATTTTGGTAGGTTTCTATCATACTTGCGACAGTCGTCCGATTATCCTAACATGTTGGCATAGATCATGAAAGAATCCCTGAGCGTGCTGTTCACGCTCGTGCTGTTGGTTTGCACGGCTACTTTGAATCCTATGGCGACTACTCCAACATCACTGCTGCCAGTTTCTTGAGGAAAAAGGGAAAGAAAACTCCCATGTTTGTTCGTATCTCTACTGTCCTCGGTTCTCGTGGCTCTCCTGATACTGTGCGTGATGTCCATGGTTTCGCTCTTCGTTTCTACACTGATGAAGGTCTCTTTGACCTTGTTGGTAACAACGTACCTCCCTTCTTTGTGCATGATGCCATCAAGTTCCCGGATCTCATTCATGCTGGTAAGCCTCAGCCTGATACTGAGACTCCTCAAGCTGGTACTGCTCACGAAACTGCCTATGATTTCTTTGCCGAGTTCCCTGAAACCATGCACACTGTTCTCTGGGCTCTTTCTGGTCGTGGTATCCCTAGATCTCTTCGTCAAATCGAAGGTTTCGGTGTCCACACTTTCCGTTTAGTCAACGAGCAAGGCGTCTCTACTTATGCCAAGTTTGTCTGGAAGCCCAAGCAAGGTCTCTCCAACTTGTTGTGGTACGTTGATTGTTTGAAATGCTACCAAATTATGTACTCACATTTACTCATAGGGATGAAGCTCAAAAGATTGCCGGTAAAGACATTGATTTCCATCGTAACGACATGTACACTGCCATCAAGAAGGGTGATTACCCTGAATGGGAATGGGGTGTTCAACTCATTCCTGAAGAAGACGTCAACAAGTACGATTTTTCTCTCTTAGATCCCACCAAGCTTGTACCCGAGTCTTTGGTTCCCTTCCAGCCCCTTGGTAAGATGGTTCTTAACCGCAACCCTGACAACTACTTTGCCGAAACCGAACAAGTAACTTTCCATCCTGGCCACGTCGTCCGTGGTGTTGGTTTCACCAATGATCCTCTTCTCCAAGGCCGTCTCTTCTCTTACCTCGACACTCAGCTTAACCGTATGAGTGGTCCTAATTACATGCAATTGCCTATCAACCGTCCTCTCAACGTCGTCCACAACAACCAACGTGATGGCTTCATGCAAATGCAAATTCACAAGGGCGAAGTCGCTTATTTCCCCAACGGCTTGCAAGGTAACACTCCTTCTATGGTTGATGGCGACAAGGGCGGTTACATTGAATACCCTGAGAAGATCAACAACGTTACCAAGATCCGTGGACGCTCCTCCAAGTTCTTTGATTTCTACTCTCAACCTCAACTCTACTACAACTCTTTGACTGCTGCTGAGAAGCAACAGTTGATTGATGGTCTTCGTTTCGAAATCGGTAAATCTGCCTCCATGGATGTCCGTAAGAGAATGATCAACCAACTTAACCACGTTGATAACGACATGGCTCGTCGTATTGCCTACACTATTGGCGTTGATCTCCCCGACAAGATTGTTGAAAACCAAAACCAAACCTCTGTTGGTATCTCCATTGAGGAGTATCCCAAGGCTGACAGCATCAAAACTCGTACTGTTGCCATCCTTACTGCCCCTGGCTCTGATAACTCTGATGCTCAAGCCATGTACGATTTCCTTGAAAAGAAAGGCGCTTACCCCGCTTTTGTTGGTATTCGTCAAGGCACTCAAGATGGTCTCAACATCACTGAGTCTTACCTCACTACTTCCTCTGTTCTCTGGGATGCTGTCTACGTTCCTGGTGGTAACAAGTCTCTTGAAGTCATGACCTCTCGCTCTTCCTTGTTCCCTTATGACGAACCCAAGATGTTTGTTCTCGATGCTTTCCGTCACGGTAAGCCTATCGCTACCTCTGCTGAAGGCTCCAGGCTTCTTGAGTACGCTGGTGTTGATATGCCTCCTGCTGGTAACTCTACTGCTGAGATGGATGGTGTCATTGTTGCTGATTCTGAAGCTAATGCTGAAAAGGCTTTCGAAGCTGCCCTTATCCAACAAAGATACTGGTCTCGTTTGCCCTTGGATTCTGCTATTTAAATTATATTATTCTATTTAAATACTGTACTATTTATCATCATAGTTACTCATTCTTTCATTCTAGATTTATTCTAATCATCCTTTTCTTTAACTTATTAATAAAATCAAGTTATTTATTATTTATAAGAGTGTTTATGCTTGGGATGGCTCTCTGCCTTTGCTTCGCTTCGGCGAGAACCAATTTGTGAAGCGGCAGCTCGCGCTACCGATCGCCTTTGCGTATCTTATCAAAATACTATTACTTTCATGCTGACCCTCTACCTACACATAAAAACCCTTCATATTGTCTGTGGATCTGATTCTTATGTGATGCTCTACATCCATACACACGTAGCTACTTCATATACGGGCAAGCAACATATTGGTATTTCCCCTTTTTAGCCCTTAGTGTCCCCGATACAGCAAAACCTGGGTGTATTCGTGCTGTGTTTTCTCGCGTTCAAGACCGTTTTAGATTATCAGAATAACACCAAACAATTGCTCTCATCAGGCAGTTACTTTCTGACACCTTTGCTCAACTTTTTGGGGATCAAAAAAACATGGTCAAAAATCGACCAAAAAGCATGAGATACCCCTCATGGTTTTCATTGAAAATCAAAAGATCGCATTTTTTTACCCTGGTAATGAAGACTTTTACCATGGTATATCTTGAGTCAAAATGTTTCTCTCGATTCAAAGCAACTTCTGAAACCACTTAAATGAGACTTTCATATGCAAAATTTTGACATTTTGACGAGAAACCTCTTTTCATATTTTCATAAATTATTCAATAAGTTTATTCAAAACACCTACGTTACTTGGTACCATTGGATGCGTCTTGAAAAGTACTCCAAGAAAGCTTAAAGGAGCATTTTTTTTTTTTTTTTTTTGTAGGGGAGTTGTACTCCATTTTTTATTTAAAGTCCTCTAAATGTCATGATGAGGGAAGAAGAAGACTGGATATATTTTTAAAGGCAAGGAAATGAAAAAGGGAAGCAAGGAAGTGGAATACGACCATAAAATACGTGGGGGTACATACTTACAAATCAAACTGTAATTCCGATTCCAATCGAGACAGAGAACGGGCAATAGATGTGTTAACGTTGAGGGTGACAAAAGGGACATGGTCGAAGATGGAGCGCCAGTGGGCTTGCCATATACAGAGTAGACTGGTAGCGAAAACTTGGTAAACGGTAAGCTCTGGAAAAGGTAAGGAGGCAGAGCGAGTGGGTTCAGCTATGGATAGAGTTTGAATGCCGTGGAGGAATGGGAGAAGGACGTCGTCGGTCATCGGTGTGTGGGATAGGTATGTAGTGGCAAGGAACCGCCATACAGCGAGTTTGAGAGGACAAGTAAAGAAGAAATGTTGGATATCCTCCGGGCTCTGGGTCAAACAGAGAGGACACGAAGGTGAAGGGTGAGTTGTGGGGATGAAGTGGTGGAGGATCGATTTGGAGGGAATTTTTCGATGGATAAGTCTATACCATACAGTTCGGGATTGTAGGAGAATAGGTAGTTTCCAAAAGAGGCGCCATTGGGAGGGGGAAAGAGGTGAAGTGTTGATGGTGGGCATGTCAGTGGAAACCAAGTGTTTGTAGTATTGAATACTGTTGAGTGGCACTGTTGAAGGTAGTGGTGTTATAGGTTTGATAAGACGGCGAATGAGTGGGCGGATGTTGTGGGGGTTGGCACCAAAGGAGGCACTGGTAAATGAATGGCGAGGGGCCTGACGGCAGAGAGCGAGAAAGAATGGTTGGAGGTAGATTTGGCCTTCCTCAATCCAACGGGCAACTCGATGAGATATTCTTGGATAATGGCAAAACTCAAGGAAGGTCCAGTTTCTAAGACGGATCACTTGTAAGTCGAAGTCAAAGGTAAACACATCTATTGCGAGCAGTTTCTGGACGGCGTGATGTCGGTCAAACAGTTGATCTGGAGCTGTGAAAGAAGAGAAATGGGGGTGAGTAGAAGGGAGCTTAAAGGAGCATAGGGTGATCGTCATACTTTACTTAGTCGAATCTGCCGTAATAGTTCAATCGAGTCGAAAAACGATCAATATCTGGCCAATCTAAAACAGACTATGATTCTAGGTTTGAATTAATTTTGGCTTGTGGGGCCAGCTGGCAAATTCAATGCCCCCTCTAACCACGAAGGCAATACAATTATAGATGCTTTTGAGGCGTATGGAAAGTAGATGGAAAATTATATAATGCTATCAATAGCATGCTAGTTTACTTGCATTATATATTTAATAACGCCAGTCTATCAAAATGCTTGCTAGTAGATCAGCTTCTTTCGTTTTTGATGAGGTTTTGAAAGTGTTTAGGGATCATACATTTATTACGTTACGATGAGCATTTCGACTCTTTGGGTGGTTTCCTGATCGACGCTTCGCTTAGATGGAAGCCAAACTACGTTCAGGTGGCTCACGCTACTGCGGATCTTTTGCTAATATTGCAAAACTAATAATAGCTAAAACTTGAGAAGAAACTTGGTTGATGATTGATAGTGATTTAATATAAAATGTCTAATCATATATAAACCATGTCTAGCAACTCAGTTTTATATTAGGTTTGTAAAAGTGTCTAGGGTCTATAGATTGATTATGTTATGATACTTGCCAGCTTGAACTTTATTTGGAGGCATTTACTGTGTTTGATGCTCCTCTTTGGAAGCTCCAGAAACCTTTGGGTGTGTGAGATGAATTGGGAGGGGGAGGTAACGTGAAATCAAAAGAGCAAAATTCACAGAATGTGTCTGGAGAAGATCTTCATGCAAAATTGATTGTTTGATGGCCAGCGTGCATGTAGATCAAATCAACTTTGATACAGGAGTACAATTTTAGTTATTGCCTCTGATGTCATGAACACAATCTATCATGTTGCTGCAATGAATCAAGTCAATGAGGGAGGCACGCAGTGAATATTATAGTACCAATAGTGAGTCGGAGTCAATGCAGGCATTGATTTCTGATGAGCAGCCCAAAATGTTGTCTATCCTCTTTCTTCTCTTCTCAACACCACTTTCAAATGCGAGATTTACCAGTGGAAATACTGATTAAAGTATTTGGCCATCTTTCCCGTTCAAATAAACTGCAATGTGCTATCGTTTGCAAATCATGGTGCGCAACAGCATTGTCAGTCTTGAATAACACCATCCATCTCAGAAACACCAACGATACCATCATTCTGTTTGAAAAGCTCTGTCAAAGAAATAGCTCAGTTCAAGGCTCCACCATACGCCATCTTTCACTGTCTCACAATAGTCGGCTCGCTGAAGCCCAGATCAACAGAGTGGTATTTTTGCGTATCTTGAGCGAATGTACCAACCTCAGAACGCTCGAGTTCAAGGACGCCACATTTGATACAGCTTACCTGGAGTACATGATTCGATACAGAAACACCTTACATTTGGATTCATTGCAATATATCAACGGGCAATACTCAAACATCAACAGCTACCTTCTTGTAAACTGGCATTACCATCAGCGCATTAATCGACTGCACCTCTTAGTGTTGAATAGCACCTTTAATGGATTTGAATACGCCAACAGTTTGAACTCGTATCTGGATCACTTCAAAGCACTGACAACTTTGAGCTTAAAGTTCAGTTGTACCATCTATATTCATAGCTTGTTATCCGCATGTCCCCAGTTGGCGTCATTGCAGCTGATTTTCGCCTCCTCGTCAAGCCGTCTCAGAATATACGAAGACAAGACCACCATTCAACAGAACAATGGTCCTTTCCAGCTCATCTATTTAGATATGAGCGCTCACCACATCAGCCAGGAGCTGTTTGAATATCTTCACGATAGAGCAAGTGATCTCTTCGAATTGACAGTAAATCACAGCGCTTTCGAGAATTTGGCAGCAATCGATAACGCCTTCAATACAGCACTTGTAGTGGATACAGTCTTGCCCATTAGACGCATCATATTTGCAGACGGCTTTAATGTATCTCGCAGTGTAGTCCTAGGACTCAATGAGAACTTTCGTAATTTGAGAGTGATTGTCTTTCATTCATGTGGTTTGAATCGTATTGTGGATAATAACAGCAACCTTACATTGAACTTGAGCGAGTTGGAGCTAGACTACTTATCTATTGATTTCACCACCATCCTCTCATTCAACACCCAAGTCAATAGCATGTCAGTAGCAATCGAGGCTCAAAATTCTGAGGACACTGTATTCTATAGCAGAACAAGCAAGTGGAGTAGAGCTCATTTGTTTACAAGAAATGACACTAGTCGATATACCAGCCATGCCGCTCAGAGAAACAGAGTTCGCTCGGCAAAGATATCTGTCATCACTGTTCAAGTTTACTCGCTGCACCATTTACATATGCACGGCGAAGGAAATCACAAGATATTCAGTCAAACTATCTGCTTGGACTAGCTCTCTGCCATATTTCATCGTTATATTATACCAATTATTAGCTGAACAAAATTCCATGTACTGTTGCAATGCGTGTTGTGCAAGATAATCCCATTTCCTGGTCAGGGCTTGTATTGTTTACAGCATAAATCAACTCAAAATTAAAAACACATCTTAAAAAACCACTGATTCTTATAGATCAACATGAGGTATAGAACGGTGTTGTTCGTGGAGAATGTCCAGTATACTTTGGAGTACCAGGAACATTCATTTTGTCAGGACATGCGCTCTTCCAATGCCGATTCATGTAACATCTAGTGTAACTGACTGCATAAAATAGCACCGGTTTCCATCAAAAGCTTAGATCAACCAAAGAGCAGAAAATAGGGAGTTTATTTTTACCCTATCAGCATGTCCTGTAAGCAACAATCATCTTTGGTATAATCCTTGTTTCAAAAGATAACGTCGGAACATTCCGACTGGCCTCTCTTGGCTAATAGTATTCTAAGTAATAAAGGAGCAAGATTTTTGTTTAGGAAATGGCAGAATAAATATATTCTGAAACATTCAGCAGAAGATTGTTTTCTGAACATTTTCAATTCAACCAAAACATCAAATCACACAAATGAGGATCATGATCCAGTCATGCAATGTTTTTGATAAGCTAATAGGGTGTGGACATTTGGACTGGGGTTTAAGCAATCTGGTCAGACAAAACGCTTGCTTTTGCAATTCTTCTTTTTTTTTCCTCCATCTTGACATATTTGACATTACAGCATGCGTACATCCTTGTTTCTACTTTTGGTTGTTGCCATTTCTACAGTCTTGTGTACTGTTTCTGCTGCCGAGAGTGATAATGAAGCAGCCCCTCGCCGCAGAATTTCAGCTAATCCTGATGAATTAATTGGAAAGCAAGATTCTTCTGAAAATGTCAACGTTGATAAACATTTTGTTGTCGACAAGGAGTCTGATGATAGTCCTTTCATCAAGGTGTCTGAAAGCAAAGAGTAAGATCGATTACTACATTTCTAGTTTAAAGTGTTTTTTGCTAACCTCACTTTTTTTTTTATCTTATATAGACAAGTTGAAGATGATTCTGCATTTGTTCCAATTTGAAAGCTTTCAATGAATAAAATTACTGTTTTAATTTGAATTGATATCATTGTTTTTTTTTTCTTTCTATGTATTCAAGCTGTAAAGGAATGAAAATGTCATATTTGAAGCTAGCAACTCGTTGCGCTATCTACTTTCTTTCGCAACCTGAGCGAGTGGTCAATTCAACGGGACAGGTAACTTCCTTGAAGGTCATAGTAGGGTTATCAGAGTTCTTGAACCAGTTGAATCTATTTCAAAATGTCAGTTTCAGTTTCAAGTTTATCTGCTTCTATGTTGACATGCTTACCTCCATTTACAACCAGCTTGAAGAGCAGAGGGAAGTGAAGCACAATCAGAGACAGAGCTGACACCACCATATCTAGCTCCCCAGCCATCATTGGGAGCACCCCATTGAGCAGCACAGCCATTGAAGATACCAACACCACCACCAGGCATTTGCAAATCAAAGTGGTTGGAACCTAAATCACCACCAGTGTTGGTAACTTGGACAACCATCTTCTTTCCAGAAGCAGCACCAGAGGTGAAAGTCAATTCGTAACAGCCGCAGCACCACCCGGCTTCATTGGAACCAGCAATGGATGCAGCAGCGAAACCGTAAGCGAGCTCATCATTGACAGCCCAAGGTTGGTTGTTGTTACACATGAAACCATTGCCACCGTTACAACCGCTTTGAGCATTGGCATCCAATAAAGAGATACCGTTGGAAGCACAAGTATCGACAGGACCAGTGACAGAAGCTTTTCCGGGCCAGCTGCAAGAAGCTTTACAACAATCCCAATAACGAGTGGTGGAGCCACTACCGGATTTACCGCCAGAGATAGCCTTGTAGCCAGCAGAAGAGGAAGCGGAAGTAGTGGCGGCGGCAGTAGTGCTAGTTTTGGTGGTTGTCTTGGTGGTAGTCGTAGTGGCCTTGGTAGTAGCTTTGGTAGTAGTTGTAGATGCCTTAGTAGTAGTCTTTTTAGTGGTTGTGGCATTGTTGTTGTGAGATCCTGGAAGACATTGAGAATAGTACTTGTTGCCTTCTTGAGCTACACAAGTTGAGCCACTTTCGCAACAGGTAGGGCCACTCCATCCAATGCCTATATTGTGAGGATTGAGTTAATATCGAATGCCGAAACTTGGTAAAATGAATCATCTATACCACCACATTGACCATAGACAGAACTACATGATGATGAGGAGGAACTCTTGGAATTGGGAATGCACTGAGAATAGTACTTGTTATTCTCTTGAGCAGCGCAAGTTGATCCAGCATCACAACATGTAGGACCAGTCCAGCCAATGCCTTTATTGAAAGAAAGTGATGGGTGTAAATCATTGGGGGGGGAGTGCATTTGAAGTGAAATTGAACGTTTACTTACCACCACATTGACCATAGACAGAGCTGCAAGAAGCAGCTTCAGCAGAAGAGCTGAGAGCGAGTGCAACAGCGATTGAAGTGATAGCGACAGTGAACTTCATATTTTATTGAACGAGAAGGAATGGAATGATTTGGATGAATTTGAACAATTTGTTGATTCGAGACATGGCTTATATACACTTTTTGAGAGGATGTACCAAAAAGTAAATGAAAATGTGCTTGTACAAAGGATAAATTACAACAGTGCTTCTCATTAAGATATGTTTATTGTGATAATTTATCGATGTTACCTCGGCATTTTCAGGATTGCCCTTGGTGTTACATTTGGTGTATGGTCTCGACGTTTGCCCTGACATGTTGAAAGTGTGGCGGTGCAAGCTGATCATCTTGTCGTATGTTGTGCGACAAAACATGAAATTTATTTCAATTCATTTGCAACTTGTGTAATCTGAAAACTAGGAGTAAATGGTGCACTCTAGCAATACGACCTTCTTTTTTGATACATTTTGTGTAAATGTCAGTTTCTGCATACATATCGCATTATGTTCGTATGATGTATGCAGGCCTTAGCTCAAGCATGTGGTGGTGTGGAGACCCAATAATCGCATTTGTAATATCGTAATGTAAATTGAATAAGAAGGGGGGGGGGAGCATGAACTAGATTTTAAGGCATTGCTCTCTATTCTATCAGAGCTAGAAGGTTAGCAGTATTGAATGGTATATACAAAAATTTAGAAAGAAACATGATTATTTGTCTAATCACCCTCCAATGTCTATTGCCTGTACATTTTGACAAAATGCAATTCAGCAAGACGTAGTATTCGCCATATGACAACGAATGGAGCTTTACACAAACAAATTCTCCGAGCTATTTATGGTAGCGTCTACTATGTACAGTACCCATCATTTTCAACGCATTTTATATTGGGATCTCATGTTACGCTTCATATATCTCGAGATTCCTGTGTCCCAATTTGATTCTATCAAAGGAGAGGAAATAGCTGTAACAGATGCACTACATATGTGCAATAACTTGATAGTATTTGCGTCTTTTTTCATACGTAGCTTGATGTGTTCTTTGCTGCATCGTAAATGCAATCACCACAAATTGATTCTCTGTAACCAGCATTCTGTACTTGTTGCTTACGTAATTCAGTAAGCGCAAATCTCTTCTAAATCAGCAATCAATTGCTACAAATGCGGTTTTGTATCACTAGCGTACTATAGTATTCAACAAATTACTTTGAATTGCCAGCAAATCGCTCCAGATCATCCAGAAATGCGTATATCTGATGCAAGATTTGACATGAAATAATCTAGTTTACTCGTAGATCAGTTTTCTCGATTGATTTTGCAACAAGTTCGTAATCATACATGCAAAATGTCTATCCAGATCTCTAGAAAACTAGTTCATAATACAAAGGAGTCGATCAGGTTGAGAAGCAGTTTTTATCGATGCAGTTGCTACATCGAAAACCTCTCAAAATGTAAACAGTTGTTTGCGAAATGTAGCTACCATAATAGGAGATGCAGGTTACAATGCAAACCGACTGACTCCTCTCTCTCTCTCTCTTTTTGCTTGCTCATCCATATACTATTGGTACTATATGATTTATCCACACACAAGCTGATGCTGTACACGATTGTATGATTTATTTTAAAAAATCATGGTTTAATGACACACTGCTTTGAGATACACTACAGTTACTCCATAGGAGTTTAAGCTACTGGTGTTCATCTTGTTGTACATAGAGATCTAAATTCTACCACGTCGACTGATCCATTGGAGCCCAAGCATTCAAAACCCTGGCATTTCATTATGCATGCATCTTAATTGAACTATTCACATATATGACTAATAAAAGCTGAGCATGGTTGATATTAGCAATATTACTGTCAAATTAGACCAGTTGTAAAAAGCTCTTGCTGCCAAGGATAGTATAGCATTTGTATTATAAGGGTCGACTGCTGTTGTTTGGGTAATTAGTCCAAGTACATTGTCATGTTGATGCCCGATACTATCGCTTGATTTCATGCAGAAAGAAATTATTGACAGTGATTGAGCTCGCTCAAGCCGTTGGATGTTCTTTAAATGTGTGAAATAGGTAGTGAGGACCACTATTAGAAACATAGGCAGCGATTGTACTCGAAATATTAAAGTTATGATACCATCACCATTCTCAAGATAATGATCGGTACTGATTGTTACACTCTTCAATGCAAAATTTGATGGGTATTAATTGAGATGTCTAGTGACATTGATAATTGATCTACCTACAAAAGATAAATAAGGATAATATGGTTGCATCTTTAACGGCACTCATCATATGTTGTTAAATTTTTAATGCTTAACTATCTGCCATATAAACTACAAACTAGTGGCGTTTCCAACCAATGTTTTTAATGTGAACCTGGGATATTTTTAATATACCCTAAATAAATCGATGCATTGAGGCCGTTCAGATCGAGACGAAATAAACATATATAATAGCAGTAGTACCTTGATTCAGCTTTCTTTCTCTCTCTCTCTCTCTCTCTCTGTGTATCTCTTCTGTATATTCTGTTTCTTGGGCGTATTATTACAAAAGAACGAAGCATTGTCATGTCGCTGTCAGTCAACCTCAATTCAACTGGTACATCCAACAATTTGCAGCATCTTCAGCAGAAACCAATGTCTATTTCATCCATCACCTCTTCTCCGCTCCCTAATTCTGTAAGCTTAGCTACTAATTCACCAACAGAGACAAATACGGACTTGTCATCCCCTCCCTTGAGTCATAAGTACAGCTCAAGGTCACCCAACTCGCCCACGCTATACTATCCAATGTCTATGCCGAACTCTCCGGATAGCCCTACTTTCCAACATACATCTCCTGCTGCTATTCATCATCCCCATCCCCAATATCACAACCATCATCAGCAACAGAAGCAGCGCCGTTATATGCCATATCATATCGATCAACATCATCAAAGCAGACATCATTCTTACCAGCAACGTGACACTAATTGTGCGGCCTCTCATTACCCTGTCAACTTACATAGCAACAGTAATCAGTACGGCCATTATCGCACGACCCGATCATCATCCATATCATCTGCCACATCTGCCACAGCGCCTCCATTGACTTTGAAGGAGCGAAGACAGCGCAACAAGGCTGCTTCTGCTAAATATAGGGCAAAGAAGAACCAACAGCATGGTGAAATGCGGATGATCATCTCTTCCTTGACAAAAGAAAATGATCTCTTACAAAGACAACTAGATCATGTACGAAGAGATAACGATAAACTGAAAGCTACATGTGACACACTTCGTGGCAAGATGATGGCTGAAAAAATGCTTAAAAAGCTGTTGCACAGTGAGCATCCACAAGCAGATGATTTGCAAGGATTTGTTGATGATGAAGGCGATGATGAAGATGCCATGGATGGCCTTGATGAAGACTACGATAACATTGACAATGGACAGCACTATCACGAATCAGCCAAGCATGCGCATCAATATAATGGCGACAGTGATGGCTCTTATTCTTCTGCCAACAATCAACCACAACCTCAGTCAAATTCAACATTCTTCGCGAACACTCACAACAATAGGTTTGAAGAAGATATTGATTTCGAAGACGAAGAAGACGACGACGACGATGACTTTAGTGATGAGAATCAACCAAATTACAGTCATCGTGGTTGCACTCGATCTTGAGGATCACACAACTTGCCCCTGACAATGCTCAAATTACACTCCTTTTATGATATTCTCTTTTTTTGATTTTCTATTCTATGCAAACAATTCCAATTCTAATACTCATATATACAACACTTTATGACATGTAAAAACTATAAAGAAAAGATGCAAGCAAGAAGCCCCTTTTATACTCTTTTAACAATCTATGATGCTGTGCCAGCTGAACCCAAGCTAATAAAAAACGTAATTTAAACTCGCAAGATTCATATTTGATTGCTGATACTGGCATTTCGATAGTCATGAGGCGCTGGAAGATCGTTTTGATGCAGGAGATCTGCTCTATTAGCCATTTTCGAATATGAATTACCATTACAATGGCAATTTCATTACATCCAATAACAATGCCCGCGTGTTCTACATGTCTTGAATCCATCAAACCCTCCTCCTTACGAAATTTCAATGGACGAGTCTCACAAGAAACTAAAAATAAAATAAAAAAATATTTGTTTCTTATAGATACTTCCCTCTCTTCTTTAACCATACAACCACATAAATCGACAATGATTATCTTAAAGAGCCTGCTCATTGCATCGATTCTATATCCAATTGCAAAAGCTGATACAGCATCAGCGAGGGCAGCGTCATTGAATATTACTCAGACATGGAATGCACCTATTCCATTATCCAACGCTGCTACATCATCGGCCGCTAATTACATTGCTGAAAAATGGTTCACATCAAGTAAATCGCTGTACGGTGCCAATGATGTGAGCTTTGTCCAGGACCCTTTTGGGGCGAATAGCACAGAGAATGTTGTCAAAGTGCTCTACCCAGCTGGCTCATATGCTCCTGTTGGCACAAAAAACGACAATACAGGAACCACTGGTGGCCTTGAATTTTATTCTGTTCCTGATAGTGGAACTTACTACAATACTGCTCTTTTGAGTTATGATCTTGCATTTGATCCTGGCTTTGACTGGGTCAAAGGAGGGAAGCTTCCAGGTATCTTTGGAGGTATGTAGTACACTAAACGTCATTTCTACTAATTCATAATCTAATGAGTTGAATTTCTAGGCGCTCCTGGTAAGGGTTGTTCTGGTGGGGAGAAGGCCACAGGTTCCAATTGCTTCTCAGTTCGACTAATGTGGAGAGGTTCAGGTAATGTAGCTACGCGAGCATGATGTATACAGCGAGATATTCAGGATATATGTGCATAACAGGTGCTGGTGAAGCCTATGCTTATATCCCAACTTCTGACAGTTTATGTAAAGCAAAACAAGTCATTTGCAATAGTGATTACGGTACATCATTCTCCCGTGGTATCATTCAATTCTCGCCTGCAAAATGGACTCGTATGGAGATCTACGTCAAGCTGAACTCTGGCTCTAATGCCAATGGCATTTTACAAGTATGGCAAGACGGTTCATTGAGGATCAATCAGCAAGCAATTCAGTTCAGATCCAGTAACGATATCGGCATCTCTAGTATGATGTTTAGTACATTCTTTGGTGGAGGAACAGCAGATTATGCGACACCCATTGACACATCAACATATTACAAGAATATCCAATTCAGTACTGGCAACACACCTGATCCAGTTGGTGATAATTCTGCTGCATCACTGACTCTACCCGTCTTTTTGTATTCTATTACTGCTCTTGTCATGCTGGCTTGCTATCTTTAATCGATCCCTCTTAGAATGTAGTTAGACATCTATGTATTTATAATACCAATAAACCAAATGTTCGAGTCAATCAAACAAATCGTGTCAATGAAAAGGGTTATAAATTATGTATATTTGATTTTCCTTTAAAAAAAAACAGATGAATGAATATACTATATATCTAAATCCAAAAAAACCCGGGGATGAGTGGAATCCAAACATGATCTCTTTTTCTTTTGCGATGTATCTTTGATGATGTTGCTGACTATTGCATTTAGTTTTCTTCAGGAACAATGACGAACTTTGGTGTGTTGTAATATCTGGTGTTGTTGTAAACTGATTCTCCAGCCTTCCAATCCTTAACATCCTTCATGATTTCTGCCTCACGAGCCTTTGCTGCTTCAGTACGACGATAAGTATCACGGTCTGCTTCAGCAGTTAAAAGTGGGACGAGGTTGATACGAGCCCAGAGGTTTTCACGCTTTAATTCTCTACATTAGTCTGTTAATCAATGGTCGCTGTGTGATGGCAGATGTCATTTACCTTCTTTCAAGATTGCCTTGGAAGACTTTGTAAAAACCAAAACCACAAAAGGCGGTGACACCTGCAAGGATGACCATACCAGATGGGCCACGCTTAGGCAAGTAACGACGATATTTAATCTCGGGATATCCTTGAGCGGGAGCCAAGTCTTGAGCCATGTTCTATTAGTTTATATTAAGAGAGTGGGGAGTAAATGTATTATTGAAAGGTTTGATTTTTTTAAATAATGGGGTAATAAACTAAAAAAAAACTCACCCTTCCTTGCTTTGAACATCTAGCGTGACGTCAGCAGCTCGATATTTGGTCCTGAACCTTCAAAAGTCCATCATGAGAGTTGCAAGTGATGTTTTACTTTTCATTTGATGAAATTGACAAATTTCGGCATAACTTGAAAAATTTACTATAGTCTTGAATTTAAAAATGCTAATATACTAATTCCTAGGTCTATATTATACTAGTTTATTGAGGATCCTACGACAGATAGCATAAAAATCCTTTTCTTATAACATCTGTTGGTTCTGGGGATCCCTGGAATGCTATTGGCCGACAATATACGGCCAATCATATACGGTTATATGTCGGAGTTAATAATTTTCAAAAAAGGAAATTATGAGATACCTTCGAGATTGTGGATAAGAAAAGAAATAACCATCTATACAAACGACATTTAAGCAAGTAGTTGCAAGTATAAAGGTTCTGATCATGAGTATTGTTAAAGTCCTAACCAAATCTTGCTGCAATCTAAGAGTTTTCTTGGCATAACCTCGCTTTTTCAATTCAGGAATGCGGAACATACGCGTAGTTATGGATCGCTTGAAACTATGTGCCATCTTGTACATAAGAAAAGGTTAAACAAAAGTGCTCCCAATCTACTACAGTAGCTATTGTTCAGATCTATTTGTCGTAATGTGTTCTGCATGGAAGTCTGGGCTTTGCTGTCTTGGATTAAAAGGGGCTAATTTCCTTTTCGATATGATTAAAAGCCTGGTAACGTGGCCCAGCAAATGTATAAATGTAAACCTTAAAGCGAAATAGAAGGGATGGGTGAAAAAAGGTCCAAAACAAGCCTCACTCACAGTTGCACACATTCAAATCAATGTTACACTTTTGATTGAAACTAAATAGCACTTCATTCCTTTTTTCCCTTTTTCTTTTTCATTTGCTTATACCCCTTTTCTTATTGTTTTTTTTGAACACACATCATGGCTGAACATTGTCCTACATTGGGCGGTCTAAGTGAGAATGGATTGTAGGTTGATTCTATTCGAATGAATTGAACTCGGCTAATCATGCTGCATAGTAATCCAGAATTCGATCTGAAGCAACTTGTGTTGAATCCAAAGTATTTCCTGATTATACAACATAACCAAGCTCTTTACTAACTTTGAGCACAACTTTAGTAATACAATGCATGTTTGGGGTTGGTTAGTATCAGGATTTCTTGTCTTGGTAACCACAACCATCGCATCGCATACAATCAACGAGCATCTTCATCACTATTGCACACCAGATATACAACGCCATAAAGTGAGAGTAATAGCGTATCCAGCAGCGTATGCGATTCTAGCTTGGCTGTCGTACTTGAAATATGACTATGAAACAGTGATTCTATTTTTCGCTCGTCTGTTCGAATCATTTGCTGTATATAACCTATACATGTGTCTACAGTCATATTTACAGCCATACAGACTAAGAAATCAAGGCAAAAAAGAGCCTATTTCCACAAAGGTCTTTGGATTTTATAACTTCAAGCTGTAAGTGCTCTATATTCACATGAAATGCGCTGCATACCTAAATCTCGCGCTCCCTGTTTTTGTAGTCAATCAAAATGGGGCCTTCACTTTCGAGTAATAACAGACATTCTTGTGCTTCAATTCCCTATTTGGTAATCAATCAAGCAAGCAATCATTCACTCAAAGAATGATTGCATTCACAAAATGAATGAATAGAGTTCATTAATTGACTTTTTATATTTACAGGAACATCATATCTGCATTGATATCAATATTTACACAAATCAAAGGTGTTTATTGCGATGGCCAGTTCAGCCCTCATGGAGCATACGTTTATTTGGCCACCATTCAATTTATATCGCTTTCCATTATCCTGATGGCACTTTTCACCTACTTGTCAGTATACAACGACGAATGGAAGGAGGGAAATATTCGAGCACATGGTATGTTTTGGTGTGTAAAAGGACCCATCATGGTGATTTTCTACTTTGGAGATATTCTGTTGGCCATTTTGGGATACTTTAATGTGATAAAGGATAAGCCAGCTAGTACTCCTGGTGGCACCTACTGGACTGCAGCAGCTATCAAAAATGGGTATTATGTTTTGATTATCTGCGTTTGTATGGCCGTTGTCGCTATGCTCATGCAGATTTATTTTGGATTAGATGCAAAGGAATACCAAACAGAAGACCCCGAATTCAGCTATTTCGAGGCAGTATCAGATGGATTCTTGGCTTATATACCACAATTTGTAAAGAATGTATTCATGTGCGGTGGAGATACAGTTGTGCTGGCAAAGAAGCGCATCAAGTTACGAAAAGAAAGACGACTTAGCGACGACGAACATAATTTATTATCGCCCTCTGACCGTGATCTAGAGACTGCAACGGCGCTCGAGAGTGCTACGTCTATTCATGAATACTTGGCTCAACCAGCACCATCACTACAAAACAACAAGCTTTACGATGAAGACAGTCGATACCAGCAGCAGCCGTATCATCATAACTTTAATGCACTGCCGTTGGAGCCACTAGGCATCAAATCAAATTCAACATTGCAGGAGCAATCGAACGATGAGAAGCCAACTGCTAATTTCCAACAAAGTAACAGCACATATGAAGTTGATGAATTAGCCATCAACCAGCATCAACAACAGCAGCAAGTACCACAATCTCCACTACAGCATTACCAACCAGACCTGGCTATGCCTCCGCCTCCCATGCAATCGAGAGCCCTCAACCGCAATGATGAGCCTGCTGTAGAGTCGGTTCATCAACACTCAAATCATTTTACTCCTCATGATCTTGAACGTAAATAAAATTGACTTTCTGTACATATGAAACGCTTATGTTTTCAGCGTGATATTCAATGATAGTTTGCATTTCGCAGTAGAATCCAGGGTTTGAGAAGCAATTTGCAATGATTAAAACTACCAGATACAAATATGCATTATACATTGTGAATAGAACTTCATTGAGCTAACTTAGTCAAAGCAAAGGAGGGTAATCAGCTTGAGCTATAGTATCCTCTGATCTGCAATCCTTTCCTCATTGGCTTCACAAACATCAATGATTTTCTTTATATATATATATATATATTGTAACCGTAGTGGATATACTTTTATTTAATGATTGACCTAATACTTACAAAACTCCTACGTAACGTTATGTAAAGCAAAGTGTATCTGAATTGAGAAAGAGGCTGAGAAGCCAATCAAGTGGTCTCGATGATTGAAGAATTTTATCTGGAGTTCCTCAAGAAGAGAGTGCAATTGGGAAAGATTTCGTCGACCAGAGAGGGCAGTGTCCAGAGCAGGGCACTTGATGCGGCTGCTAATTTTTGTCATACTTGTAACACCTGATAAACAACTAAACACCAAAATGCGACTACAGTATCATACTCTGCATACCAAAATTCTTGCTTCCATCGAGATTTGAGCTGGTGACCTTGCGTTTGGCAAACGCACTTTCTACCACTATGCCCAACCACCAAGGACACATCAATGATTTTCATTAGAGACACAACCTGGCCATTGCCAGAATATTTTAAACCCCGTTTCACTTCTTCAACAGATTGGTCAAATTTTGATTATTTCGACTTGGTTTGTCTATTTTCCCGAGTCTCGACTATACAAATTGTGCTGATCATCCCGTACTCCCTTATGCTTTTTTGGAGTACTTTTTAAGGCGCATCTAATGGAGCTATTTATGCGAGGTATTTTGAACAAGCCTATTAAGCAAATTGTAAAAATATGAAAATGCTATTTTGACCAAAAAGTCGAAATTTTACATTTGAAGATCTTACAAATATGGTTTTAGGGGTTGCTTTGGATCGATAGAAACATTTTGAATTAATATATACCATAGTGGAGATCTTCATTTTTGTGGCCAAAAACGCGATCGTTTGATTTTTGACGAAAACCATGAGGTATCTCTCATGGTTTTTGGTCGATTTTTGACAATTCCAAAAAAAGTTGAGCAAACGTGTCAGAAAGTTAGGGCTAGACGAGAGCGACTGTTTGGTGTTATTTTGAAGGCCCAAACTCGCTTTTAACGCGAGAAATCCTGACCCAAGTACATAAAAATCTCGCTGTGTACTGCATATAATTGAGGATTAAGAGGTAATGTACGCATGCAGTCTGACCGTGTATGAATTTTTTTTTTTTTTTGCATACAAATGTGGAGCATCCTAGAAGAGCCGGATTCACATTTGCAGGCCCCTCATGAGGGCATGTTAGTAGTTGAAATATCAGTGAATTTTGATGATCTTTCTCGCCAACCCTGAACTAGCGAACTGGGAAGATCTTCAACTACGTAATAATGGAGCGAAAAAAACACTCCGGTTGATGGTCTATTTCCTCGGTATCTAGAAGAGCATCCAAAATCCCGTTGTTTCCCTTTTTCTTTCTTTATCCAATTCTCATATAAATATTAAATCATGTCTGATTCACTCAAACAACTCATTCAAACCATCATTGACCAAGAAGAAAAGTGTCAATTCACCTCATTTACCTCTGAAGATGCTCTCAGTTTGGGCCTTGCTCTTCTGGAAAATGCCAAACCTTTCAAGAAGTCTGTCGTTATTGATATCGCCTTAAATGGACACCAACTCTTCCATTATGCCATGAATGGTACATCTAAGGATAATGATGAATGGGTTCGTCGTAAAAAGTAAGTGTTTTCCTGTCAATAGATGTAGGGTTTTCTGACATGTATCTCGTGCTTGCAGTAATACTGTCAACCGTTTCGGTCGCTCCAGTTTTTATGTTGGTCGTTATATTGCTAGCCAAGGTAAAACCGTCGAAGAAAAGTACTTTGTAAGTGGCAAACCCTCGGCATGTTTGGATTGGTTGTGTATTGATACCGTTTTGCAGGTCAGCGAAAAAGATTATGCTACCCATGGCGGCGCTTTTCCATTGAAGATCAAGAATGTGGGTGTTGTTGGCACAATTACTGTTTCCGGCCTTTCTCAAGAGGTAAGTGATCGAATAAGCAGCGAGGATCTCATTTAACGAATATGGTCATGCGAATTAGGACGATCATAACTTGGTTGCCAACACAATCTTGGAATACATCTCCAAGAACTAATTGCTGAAAACCAATATCATTACTAATCAATGAAACAGTCTCAATAATGTGGATCAATGCTTCCAGATTATTTGGTCAACTGGATGGTTTTGTGAATGTCTCTTGAATGGCCTTCTGGTTGATGATTTTGTGGATGTGAAGACGCCTACATATGCTATAGAAAATCCAAAACTAGTGAATAAATATTGATATTAATTACGCTATTTAGTCATTTTCAATTCTGTCTGCAAAAAAGTAGTATAAGCTCTTTATTTGGTTCAACAGCACAGATCTATAAGAATATGAAATACAAAAGAGATAACAAGAGACAAGCAAAAGTAGGGGGGGAGGAAAATTACGATAAAGGAGGATGTAGATCAAACAATCTAATCAGAAGCAGAAATCATGTTTTCAGGTCTGACCCATTGATCGAATTCCTCAGAGGTCAAGTATCCGAGAGAAAGCGCAGCCTCCTTCAAAGTAGTACCTTCCTTGTGTGCCTTCTTGGCACACTTGGCAGCCTTATCATAACCAATGTGAGGGTTAAGGGCAGTGACCAACATCAAGGATTCGTTCATAATGTTGTTGATCTTCTTCTCGTTGGCTTGAATACCAACAACACAGTTCTTGGTGAAGGAAGTAGAGGCATCAGAGACAAGACGGATGGATTGGATCAAGTTCTTGATCATGACAGGCTTGAACACATTGAGCTATAATTCAAATTTAGTAAATTGGTAAAGGGATCCGAACACGTATCAAACTTACTTCGAATTGACCGTTAGAACCAGCAACAGAAACAGCAGTGTTGTTACCAAGGACTTGAGCACAGACCATGGTCATGGCCTCACATTGAGTGGGGTTAACCTTACCAGGCATGATGGAAGATCCAGGTTCGTTTTCGGGCAATGAAAGCTCACCAAGACCACAACGAGGGCCTATGCAACATATCAAATCTCATGTCTCTACATCTCTATACATATGCAGTTCTTACCTGAACCAAGATAACGGATATCGTTGGCAATCTTCATGAGAGAACAGGCGACGGTGTTGATGGCACCATGAGCTTCGACAATAGCATCGTGAGCAGCAAGAGCTTCAAACTTGTTGGGGGCAGTCTTGAAAGGAAGACCAGTGATGTTGGAAATAGCCTCAGCGACCTTTACATCGAAACCCTTTCTGGTGTTAAGACCAGTACCGACGGCAGTACCGCCTTGAGCAAGGTTGTAGAGACGTTCCAAAGTACCTTCAACACGGGCAATACCATAGGTCAGTTGTTGAGTGTAACCAGAGAATTCTTGGCCGAGAGTCAAAGGAGTAGCATCTTGCAAGTGAGTACGACCAATCTTGATAATGTGATCGAATTCCTTGGACTTGGCATCGAGAGCATCACGCAAAGTGTTCAAAGCAGGAAGGAGACGGTGAGTGATTTCAACAACGGCAGCAACGTGCATGGCAGTAGGGAAACTAAAGACGGGATATTAGATGAGAACTGGCTCGAGATGCCTAAATCAAGGCAAAACTTACGTATCGTTGGAAGATTGACTCATGTTAACATGGTCATTGGGGTGAACGGGAGTCTTGGAACCAAGTTCACCACCAAGAAGTTCGATAGCACGGTTGGAGATAACCTATCGAATCCATTCAATCTCATCATCCTCTTTGCACTCATATATTATCAATGCCTTACCTCGTTGACGTTCATGCTAAATTGTTCAAACAGAAACAGGATCCAGGTCCGTCAGTCCAACATGCTGTTACATGTTCAATGCACAACTTACTTGGTTTGAGTACCAGAACCGGTTTGCCAGACAACAAGAGGGAAGTGATCAATCAAACTACCATCAATAACCTAACCAACTGGTTCACTCATTTGTACTCGTTCAGAACCATCAAATCAACTCACTTCATCAGCAGCCTTTTGAATAGCTTCACCGACCTTGGCATCCATACCATAGGTCATGTTGACAGTGGCAGCAGCCTTCTTGAGGACACCGAAAGCACGAATCAAAGGTTCGGGCATACGCTCATGTTGACCACCAATGTCAAAGTTTTGGAGAGATCTGCATGTAGTCAGCATCACAGTGTTCTTCATTGACAGTTTCTTATATTACCTTTGAGTTTGAGCACCCCAATATTTATCAGCAGGAACTTGAAGATCGCCAAAGGTATCACGCTCAGCACGGAACTTTTGCTATATAAAGGTAAAGGTTACGATAAGAGAGATAATGGTAAAAATTCAGGTACCAATTGCTTACCAAAGCAATAGAAGCACTGCTGAAGAGACGGCTGGAACGGTTGAGAACAGAAGCTTGGCCCAAGAACTTGGTTGAAGTAGCACGCAACATTTGATAAATGTGAAAAGAGTGTGTGATTTGAAAGAAAAGAAGAGAGGCAAGCCCTTCTCCGCGAATTTTATACTCTATTTAAATTTTGGTGAAATAGACCGGGGTGCCTTTTTTCATGCTTCCTTTCCGCATTGTTGATTTCAACGATGATGATTCATGGATTAGTATGAAAGGGGCACTTCTCCGATTGAAAATGACGTCTGAACGATCCACCACCCCACATTTTCTCATAAGCGAATGATATCTTTCTTGCAAGCATTGCTACTTGTGGAGCCTTCTACCAATTGAGGATTTGGTTTGCAGGTTGTTTCTTTACCTTTTTCCAATTGACAAGGCTGTGTATTCTGACCCCCACTTTTACCCCTTAAAACTGTTCCTATATCTTCCGTGTGTCTGGCTGTCTGATATTTGTCATATTTTCGATATTTGTAACGCAAGACATTGTTTGTGACACTACGAGCATGGAATGGGATTGAATGCTTTCTGGATGTTTGCCTTTCTGTTATTCCAGAAACTAGTAGCTTTCTATAGTTGTTCGCTTAAGTAAAGGCATCAGGTTTCATCTCGGGAGTGAGAGTAGTTTCAGGCGTTTCGAAGCGCTTAAGCTGAATTCAAGCCTTTGGTGAGTAAATCATATTGCAAAATAATGGTTTGGACAGCAGCCCATTGAAAATCTTCAAAAACGATGTGATTCAGTTTCCGGCTGTGTGGGTTGTGCGTTGTATGTCATGTTGCAAGTGACCAAACCCATCCATAGCTTTTGCTTATGGGAGATACCAGATTTAGCCATGGAAATGAAAGATGGCTTGGGATTCAAAACCACCACAATGTTGTTTATGAACTGTTCGCTTCACTGCAAATGTTTGGATACTGTGCACATAGTCAAATCAGCGATATCTCTACGTTTAATCCTGACCTCAGACATAAATACAGTATTATATGCCAATGTGGCATCTTTTTTAAGTCAGTAATTCTACAAATTGGGCCATTGTTATCCTCGCCCACATATCTAAGAAACTAAAGCTGATTTTCATGTATTAGCTATTAGTAAAGGTGCTGGTTAGCCTAACCGCGTACTAAGATGTGAGCATTCGTATATTTAGCAAATTCTAATCATTATCCTGATCAATGTTTGCGCTGGATCTCAGTTGCAAGATGAACACAAGCATTTCTTGCTGATGCCCTCGCCGCAGCCTTCGAAGGCTTCAGTTTAAAGGAGTCCCAGGTGGTTACATTCATCAAGAATTAATGCAACTTGACAGTGAAGCGTATCACTCGACATCTCAAGATGAGAAACTCTCCCAAAACGCTTCTCAAAAGGAAAGAGTGGGTCGAAAAATAATCGCAAATAGACATGGGCTACCTGAGCAATTGCGTCTTTGTGGATGAGTCTGCATTTGATATCAATATGAGGCCTTCAGCAGCAAGATCTGCAAAAGGCACACCAGCAATTGTTACAGCACCTTCACCTTGTCCAGTCAGTCATACCATTCTAGGGGCCATCTCTGTTATAGGCGTGGTGAATATTGAGATTAAATAGATTGCCCAATATGAAGCCAAAGAGAATCAAATTCGATGACACTCGCAATAGAAAACAACCGTAGCCTAAGAAGGCGTTGTCAAAGGGTACTGTCACCGGCCAATACATGTTATTCTTGCAGGATATAATGAATTTGATGGACCAGTATCCCGATATGAAGAGTTTCTACATCGTCATGGACAATGCCCCAATACACATTGCTAACATGAGTGGCCGAGACAGGTAATGGAATGAGAGCTACCGCCCTCTTGAATGTGAGCCAGCATTCTGTGAACATGTTTGACAAATGTCTTTGAACGTAGCCTATTTAATAAGTTTTACTGCAATTTTCAGATACATTTCTTGTAAAAAGATCGGTTTTGTTTATTGAATACGCCATTTGGGATTGCCATAGATGCTAATTGAGGGCCTATTTAGCATTCATCAAGGATTAGAAAAGTGAGATCATTTGAGTAAACTGCTGTCTATAATGTAGTGATTTTGGTTAATCATATATGAGCCAGGCTTGACAGATGCCAGGCAACTCAGTTTTCATATTAGGGCTGTAAAAGTGTCTAGAGACTGAACATTTATTATATGTTATGATATGATATGATAAGGAGCCTTCTGTAGCATGAAAGAAGAGTTACACACTTATATAGCTCTGCTAATTGCATAATACAACTAGATCAGGACATTATTGTATAATGACTATACCAAAACCTTTCCAGCCTTTGCAGAACCAGGCATTGACGGCAACACTTGACTTCAACTATTAAGCACAACCATGGCAGAGACCAGACTCTATCACAGCTCATATACCAATCAAGACTTACTGTGCGCAGATCGCCATCTCCATCACACGCATGCTATCTCAGGGGAAAGAAGACGTGACTAGCGCAAGTACGTTGCTTTCATCCAGAAAATCAGATCGAGATGGCAATAGCAAGATCACTGCGGATATTTTCACAAGGCTGATAGGAAGCTGCAACAGCTAAAGATCGCCAAATGTTCATTCAAGTATATACTTATGTATATGTGTGAGAAGCTTGTAATAAATAAATTTGCAAGGAATGTGTCCACTTACTTGAACGTAGAGTGAATGGCAGCGATGTGTAGCATTGCACAGAGATTATCTTGTTGCCAACGCCTTATAATGAAGCAAAGCTCCCGAACCAAGCGCCGAGAAGATATATAGCAGATATAATTGCTTCCATCAATTTCATTACTCTGGCAAATGGTAATAAAAGCCGTTATTTCCACACACCTGTTGCCCAATACCTGAACATTGCTGATGCCGTATCCCACGAATTGCCATCTTCATAACACAAAATACGTATATAATGTGCTTAGCGGAAATACACTTTAAGCTACTCTTATACAACATGTCTATCAATTGCACGGGTTGAGCGACATGAATACAATCTGTAGACTAACAAAAGCTTGCATCATTTGGTATTGAATACAACGTTTCCACAATTTGAAAAATACGCGCCAGGAGAAGAGGCATTAGTTGCAATGATAAACAGTGTTTGCTGCTGCTCATAGCTTACCTTGATTTGAATGTATGATTATAACCAGCATTATCATGCACTGCAACTTGCTCAGGTTGCTATCCCCTTAACAAAAAGTACGTATACTCTAAGCTTAGAACAAGAGGCAAGCAACAGACGCTTATTTCCATCTCTAGGTTTCAACTTGGCTCGGGTGTTTACTACCTAAAGATTATCCATAAGCCTTACACCTGTTGGTACATAATATCCTAGAAACAAATTGTATATCCAACTATCAATGAAATTTTATTACTTTTTGTGTGGGAATGAAATGATAGATTATAAGCTGACGTCACCTGCATGTTTGAACTATATCATCGCGTTCCTTCTCTCATTATCACTTTTTTCCCATCATTCATCATGACCACGAATAAAAAAAAAGCAAAAAGAACCTGCAACACAAGCATTACCAAGTAACAACAAGCGCGCTTGTCTGAAAAGTCTTCCAGGCGACTTTATCCTGACTGAGGATTTTGCAAAGCAAATAAAGGCTCCCATTTTTATCTCTCAATTGCAAGCACGTGAATAGAAGAAGGAGGCTTCTTTGGTGCGCTCTTACATCCAAAATGCATACAGCCCGGAGAACTCACCAAACCAGATGATAGCTATGATAAATTGCACCTTTCGCAAGATAGTCGAACACAAGGATGCTGATGCAAGATTAAAAGACTATAGCTTATCTCTCACCAAACAATTTGAAACCGAGCAAAACAAGCAAAGATTCAGAAAGGAATACACGAAGCTGATTAACGAACAACAAATTGAGGAGATGGAGAAAGAAGCAGAGATTGAAGCTCGTCAGACAAGTCGCATCTTGACTACAGTGGAGGCTAGAGTTTATAGACAAACAATGCAGCAAAAACTGGATCAAATGTTTGACGAGGATGAGACTGAAGAATCAGGAGATTTACAGGTAAGTTAATTTGGCGTAGACTTTTTTGGTCATTAGTGAAGGAGAAAGGCATATCTTAACACTGGTTTTGACTTTAGACATTTGCTACCCCTGATGACCAGACGTTTGCTACCCTCGATGACCCGTTCGTCGAAGAGGAGGAGGAGGTATGTTCACGCATTTTACATTATGGACGTGAGTTCTAACGATTAAAATTAGTTCCCAACTCTGAAGGTTGTTAAAGAGAAAAACATATACAAGTACCAAGCACCAGCGCAGAATATTATTTCACCTCACAAACCCATCATTCAAGCAAACGATTTAGGTGTTCTGAAGAACTATTTTGACATCTGCATTGGGACAAGTCAAGATAAGGCTACCGAAGAAACCAAGCAAGAGTTTATGGTTTGCATGAAGGAACAAAAAATGTACAAGTTTCTTAAAAAAAGTGCCTGGTGAACTTTATGACAAACTACCAGTGATTCTGGACATCCAAGATCGTCTGAAGATGAAGAAGGCAATTATGGACCTCCCTGCTGAATCAAGTGCTTTTACTGAATTTGTCCAGTACACCCTGATTGATTTCACTTTGAATCTACTGAAACCAGGTAGTTTTAATGGAAAAAGCGACGAACGCAGCATCTTTTGTGAAGTATATATCCCAATATTCAAAGCTTTTGGCAACTGCCTTAGTGCATTGAACTATACATGGTAAGCCAACTGGAGTAGTAGAAGGCATATGACACTGGTAAATATAATCAACATTTCAAACTTTCAACATATAGGTGTGAAAAAAAAGCAAAGGATGCTGATTTCGTCTGGCTTGTGTCAAATGATTTTTCCAGGGAAAAGAAAGATAATCTGAAACTACTTGATGGCGTTGGCACCTTGGTGAAAGTTGACAGTACATACCTAGTAATGGAAAGCAGCGGTTTTAGCAATGACAAGATGGTCCCTCATTCCCTCAACGATACTCTCAAGAATATCAAGAATGGCCATGACAATTTAAAGTATTTGTTTAGTCAGTACCGAAACGCCTCTTTTGATACCATCAAGAAGGTGAACATTTTCTCCTGCCAAATCATTGAGGACAAGGTCACTCTGATAAAATACGCTGTCAAATGTCGAACAACTTGGAAAGTCGTTGAATGCCGTTCAGCTTCAGCGCCACTCACTATTGAAAACAGCTTCGATTATATGAGAGTTTTTGAACTCTTCGCATACATGTTGGTAAGTTTTGAAGCAGGTGTCTATACAGCTTTGTCTAACAATTTGATAGGATGATATTCAAAAACAACAATCTGTCTTCAAACAGCTGAAACTGGTGAACTTGGGCCTAGTGCCTGTGCCCGAACACGAAACTGTAGCCCATTGCCTGTTGTAACCTCTAAGTATATCAAAAAATTTCTATATAATTCCATCTCTAATATATACCACTCCCTCATCCATCTTGTCTTATCAATCATGTTAAAGTTTAATAAATCCAATTTGCTTACCCCTCAAGCCCAATAACAATTGCTTGCAAGTTGCATCTTAGGTGCTCTTGCTATCAGTAGTCCTGTAAATGTTTCTAATGAAAATGCTAAACGGTTCAAGCTCTCAAGACTACTGGCAAGAGTTTCTACAAAATTGATTCATCCAAAAAGATGTATTATCGCACTGATGATTCAAAGGAACGGATTTAGGATGTTCTCTATATTGCGGCAGCAATTTTGTTCATTAAAGAATAGTTTTTTTATGAAATTTACAAGATGTAGTGTACTCTAAATTTAGAGCAAGAGGAAAACAGCAGACGCTTATTTCTGTCTCTAGGTTTCAACTTAGTTCAGATTGTTTATTATCTAAAGATAATCCATAAGCCTTACTCCTGCTGGTACATAATATGCCCAGCACAAGACCCAATTCGCGCTTTTTTACATCTCAATTAGCATCTATGGCAATCCCAAATGGCGTATTCAATAAACAAAACCGATCTTTTTACAAGAAATGTATCTGAAAATTGCAGTAAAACTTATTAAATAGGCTACGTTCAAAGACATTTGTCAAACATGTTCACAGAATGCTGGCTCACATTCAAGAGGGCGGTAGCTCTCATTCCATTACCTGTCTCGGCCACTCATGTTAGCAATGTGTATTGGGGCATTGTCCATGACGATGTAGAAACTCTTCATATCGGGATACTGGTCCATCAAATTCATTATATCCTGCAAGAATAACATGTATTGGCCGGTGACAGTACCCTTTGACAACGCCTTCTTAGGCTACGGTTGTTTTCTATTGCGAGTGTCATCGAATTTGATTCTCTTTGGCTTCATATTGGGCAATCTATTTAATCTCAATATTCACCACGCCTATAACAGAGATGGCCCCTAGAATGGTATGACTGACTGGACAAGGTGAAGGTGCTGTAACAATTGCTGGTGTGCCTTTTGCAGATCTTGCTGCTGAAGGCCTCATATTGATATCAAATGCAGACTCATCCACAAAGACGCAATTGCTCAGGTAGCCCATGTCTATTTGCGATTATTTTTCGACCCACTCTTTCCTTTTGAGAAGCGTTTTGGGAGAGTTTCTCATCTTGAGATGTCGAGTGATACGCTTCACTGTCAAGTTGCATTAATTCTTGATGAATGTAACCACCTGGGACTCCTTTAAACTGAAGCCTTCGAAGGCTGCGGCGAGGGCATCAGCAAGAAATGCTTGTGTTCATCTTGCAACTGAGATCCAGCACGATTGACTTTATTCGTAAGCTTGCCGTAGATATCCCACTCTGGTTCCTCGTTCATTCGCTTTACCGATCCTTGAGCTGTTCTAGGATTGATTCCAGCCCGCTGAGCAGCAGGTTTTGCCTTCAAAAACTTGAACCTAAGCAGATATAAGAAGAGTTCCTTTTGCTCATCGGAATATGCGTTGTAGGATTTTGCTTGAACGTGCGATGTTGGTTTTCAGCTCTGCCAATGACAACATCTACTCTTGCTGGATTATGGACCTCTGGTTCCAAAACTAATTGATGTGATCGCCATTGTTGTAGAGAAGTAAGTGTTTGCGTTCTGTGTGGATTGTCAACTACTTCATCCCAATCCATTGCTTCACTTCCATCTTCATTGTAAACGCCTCCAAGCCCATCTTCTTTGAAAACTTCAAGCTCATCACAACAGTGAAAACGAAAGAAAGGACAACGGGCGCTGCTTTGGATGCCACTTCATACTTATTGAATACGCCATTTGGGATTACCATAAACGCTAATTAAGATAATGAAAAACGCAATTTGGGTTATTGGGAAGCGCGAATTGGGTCTTGAGAAATACGCCATTTGAGATTTTCAAATGCGTGAGTGAGTTTTCAAAAGCGCGAATTGGCACTGGAGGCACTGTACAAATAGCTGTCTTATTAATATAGACGCTGCGTTGAGTACAAAAATTCCACTTTCCAATGAATAGTACATAGTGCACTTGCAAGCGACTGCTGAGATACCTAAAATTATAGACTGCATCCAGTAATCAAATATACAGGTACTAGATATGTACGTAGAATTGGGATTATAAAGATTTACTACTCATCACATCAGCATATTGCAGCATTTAGTGCACTAGATCATCAACCTAAACCCAAAAATTTCTGCGGGATCATAATCCACATTTCAAATAGAAAATTTTGCCTGGATAGGAACATTTTGTTTGATTTGTAACCTCAAAAATTATTACTATTGCTTACTGTCTATGGCTCATAGAGTATCATAGCTTCATGCAACGCATATCGAACAGCTCTCCTTCTTATTGCCGTCGACATCTTAGAAACTAATGTGTCTCACATCAGCTAAATTACCATAGTAACGTCTTGATTGTGATGTAATATATCCATAGCAACAGAAATTTTTGATATTTTTAAATGTCATCTCACCCAAATGGTACCACATTCAATTACTTGAAATGGAAATATTTCTGGTTTGAAACCTTCTCATCTACTGAAAGCCTCGGCGTAATAGTGATTTTGTGTACCTTGTGGGTGATGTCTTGACCTTTTCGTGACTAAATATTAGAAATTTTTGGCATTGATTGGCTGCATGTCACCTTGAAGGTACTAAAATTGTATGTACCTTATCGGTTATCTGATCTTTACGAGATGTGCCATGTTGCATGCTCTATGTTGGTTTCAAGTCATTATTTGTATAAATAGACCAAGAGAAAGCTTTACCGTTCCTATCATTCTTTACCTTCTATTTTTTTATATACAAAACAACTAAATATGGCGAAATACATTAACGTTTTAATACCTTGTTTGGTGTTATTATACTTGTCCCAAGTGCATGCTCAGTCTAATACTGAAGGTGAGTTGTAATTGAACATTTCATACACAAACATTTTAACAAACATTCTAATCTATTGTGTTTTTCAGCTGATGCAACCAATGCTTCGGGTGAAGAAGAAGATGCCTGTGCACTTTTGCCCCTGGAAGACTATAACATGGGCCTCAGAGTGGGATCCATCTTTATTATCTTGGGAACTAGTGCAGTTGGAACATACCTTCCTATTCTTTTGCATCGTATCAGTCCTTACAAGCCTGGTGATTTCCGTGATTGGCTTCTGACCGTAGGCAAATTTTGTAAGTAATCATTCGATATGTAATATCAGCATCTAACATCTTCGTTTCTCTAGTTGGTACTGGTGTCATCTTGGCCACCGCTTTTGTCCATATGCTTCCTGACGCTTTTAATAACTTTAGTAGCCCCTGTTTGACACAAGGCTGGCTCTCTTATGGTGCTTTTGCTGGTGTCTTCTGTATGCTTGCTTCATTTGCTCTTCAATTACTGGAAGTGGTATCTGTCGCTCACATGAACAAACTTCGCAAGAGAAAGCAAGACAAAGTTGATGCTGAGCTAGGCAACATGCATCGCTACAACAACTTCGCACAAGAGAAAATACCTTCTGATTATGTACATGGCTCTCAAATTTCCAAGCAGAACACTATTGCTGATGAAGAGAGAATTGAATTGCATACTCATGATCACCACCATATTGGCGATAGCCATGGCCATTCTCATGGCGGCGCTTTTCTGGAGGAAGAGGATGCCTATAAACATATTGGCACATATATTCTGGAGCTTGGTATTGTGATGCACTCTATTCTTATTGGTATTACTCTGTCTACAACTGGAAATAGCGAATTCACTACACTTTTAATTGCCCTTGTGTTCCATCAGGTATGTGTTTGGTCTTGATATAAAATACAATATATTGATTAAGCTTCCAACTAGTTCTTTGAAGGCATGGCTCTCGGAACTCGTTTGAATGATTTGAGCTACAAGCAATGGTACAAGCCTGCTCTTATGGGTCTACTCTACATTATTATGACTCCTATTGGTATTGCTATTGGTATTGGAATTCACTCTTCGTTCAACCCCAACTCTTACTCTGCTGTGTTGTCTTCTGCTATTCTCGACTCTCTTTCAGCTGGTATTTTACTCTACAATGCCTACGTATCACTCATGAGTATGGAGATCAGTCATAGCACTGCTTTCCAAAACGCATCCACGATCAGAAAGGTCTGCAGTTTCGTTTCAATGTACATTGGTGCTGGTCTCATGTCATTGATTGGCGAATGGGCTTAGGTTATAAGTAGCAGCTCTAGTGCAATGTAAAAGTAATATCCGTTTATTTGTAATATCACTCTTATTCTTTAATACACACATCATTATTAAAAATTTTTGCCCCCCTAAATACTTTTCAAATCTCATTAAAGAAAAAAGTTGATCTAGCAAGTATGTCAAGAGACTAGCGTTATTAAGTATATAATACAAGAAAAATAGTATGATTGAAGATAGTGTTATGTAATTTGCCACCTACTTTCCATACACTACTTCATCTATTACTGTATTGCCTTCATGATGGAAAGGGCATTGGGTTTTTCAGTTGGCACAACCAGCCGCCAAAATTAGTTTCAACTCAGACTCTTAGTCTACTCCAGATTGGCCAAATTTTAATGAATTTTCGACTTGATCGATCAATGTTGCCAGATTCGACTAAAAAATGTGATGGTCATCCCATGCTCCTTTAAGCTTTCTTGGAGTACTTTTCAAGGCGCTTCCAATGATATCAAGTAAGATAGATGTTTTGAATAAACTCATTGAGCAATTTACGAAAATATGAAAAGAGGTTTTTGGCCAAAAAGTCGAAATTTTACATACCAAAGTCCGACAAAGATAATTTCAGCGATTACTTTAGATCAATAGAAACATTTTGATTCAAGATACACCATATTAAAAGTCTTCATTATCAAGATCAAAAACGCGATCGTTTGATTTTCGATGAAAACCATGAAGGGTATCTCATGATTTTTGGTCATGTTTTTTAGGTCCCCAAAAAGTTGAGCAAAGGTGTCAGAAAGTAACTGCCAGATGAGAGCAACTATTTGGTGTTATTTTGACGATCTAAAATGGCCTTTAACGCGAGAAAACACAGCACGAATACACCCAAGTTTTGCTGTATCAGGGACACTAAGGACTGAAAAGGGATAATATCTATATGCTACTTGCCTGTATATGAAATATCTGCGTGTATACGGATGTGGAGCATCGCATAAGAGTCAGGTCCACAGATAATATAAGAGTTAAAATGAAAGTAGCATAATTTTGATAAGATCAGTAGGAGCAGTTGGTAGCACGAGCTGCAGCTGCGCAGGTTGGTTTTCGCCGAAGCGTAGATACACCCGCTTATATTAATAAATATTCGCATCATCACTGACTTTGTGCTTTAGTATTTTTGCTTTATTACAAGTAAATGGTATGTTCCAATATGTATGAAGCTAACCGATGAGTATCTATATACAAATTTATATTACCTTGAGCGACTGCTCATGAACAAGCTCAGAGTAGATGCCATTCAAAGACAACAGATACTGATGGGAGCCTTGTTCAACAACACGACCATCCTTCACGACACAGATCAAGTCTGAATTTTGAATTGTAGAGAGACGGTGAGCAATAGTAATAGTAGTTCTTCCTCCTTTCTCCAAGATGTTATCCAGAGCTTCTTGAACCAGACGCTCGCTGTCACTATCAAGAGCACTAGTCGCTTCATCCAACAAAAGCACCTTTGGTTTACGAATCAGAGCGCGGGCAATAGAGACTCTTTGCTTTTGACCGCCAGAGAGCTGAGAGCCCTTGTTTCCGACTTTGGTATTGTATCCATCTGGTAAACTAATGATGAATTCATGGATATTAGCAGCTTTACAGGCATCTTCGACTTCTTGCTGAGTGACCTCAATGCCATCATCCACACCGAAGCGAATGTTGTCAATGATTGACATGTCAAAGAGAACTGGCTCCTGAATGACGATGGCCATATGACTTCGCAAGTTGCTCAGAGTGTAAGACTTGACATTGTGTGAATCCAGGGCAACAGTACCAGATTGAGCATCGTACCAACGTTGGAGCATGCCAATAGTGGTCGATTTACCACAGCCAGAGGGACCTACAATCGCTATTGTTTGACCAGATTTACCATAAAGATTGAATTGACCCTTGAAAACATCAACATCAGGACGAGCAGGATACGCAAATTGAACATTTGTAAAGCTGATATCTCCATCAACAGTGTCATGAGCAGGCTCAATGCCTTCCAGTTGAGGGTCAATCTTTGGCTGACGTTCCAGAACTTCAAAAGTAGCCAGTGCCGAGTATTTAGCCTTTGCAAGGGTGCTAGCAAACACGGAACTGTTGCCAATGTTCTCAGAAGTACTGATCATCACTGTCATGGTGGTGAACATTTGGGGGAACGAGATGGTGCCATTGACGATCAAGCGCATGCCAGCATAAAAACTTACAGCATTTGTGTACAGACCAATACCACGATTTAAAGCGAAACCAATGGAGGACAAGTAAGCCTTGCGTTGAGCTAGCTTATGGGGATGCTCGGTTGTTTGAAAGAAGCGATCTTCAAAGTAGAGTTGCTTGTTTAAAGAAGCAATGGTACGGACCTCACGAATTGCTTCACCGCCCACTTCACCTGAGAGCGAGTTGGCCTTCTGCGTTTTATCTTCAAATCCACGATGAACACTGGTTTCATAGGCAGTAGCAACGATGATGAAAGGTGCCATGAGCAAAAGAATTAAGGTAAGAGCCCAGCTATGAACAAAAGCAATTACCAAGCCTACGACGACCGTAGCAATCAGTTGAGTGGCATCACCCCAAGATTTGGTAATCATTTCATTCACGTTGCGTGTATCCAGGGCCAAGCGAGTGGTAAGGGCACCAGCTGTATTTTCGCTCTGATCGTAATAACCAACCTCTTGACGCAAAAAAGCAGCAAACAATTCGCCTCGTAAGCGTCTTGTGTAGAATTCACCAGCAAGCTCAAAGGAAAAGTTTTGACCACCGTAGCCAACAAAAGAAGCAACAGCCAGCATAAAGAAACAGAAAGCATACAAATTAGCGCCTTGCATGGGTCCAGGACTGATATCAACGCCTGGTAAACTGAGAATAGTGACAACTCTGGAAAGCAAAAACGCATAAATGGGATAGACTGCACCAGCAATAGCAGCACTGAGAACACCTATGGCTAGATATTTCCATTCGGGACGCATTTGCATGAAAACTTTCTTGAAGGGTGCCTTTTGTTTCTTGAGCTTTTCTTTCTCCTCCTGGAGAGTCTTGAGCTTAAGGTCATAGGCAGCAGTGGTGTGAGCAACATCAACAGGGGAATTGCCTTCAATTTCGAGAATCTTCTTGTGGTCTTGGAAGGCGAAAGTATCCGTTTGCGAGAGATTGAGAGCTACTTCATTCTTTATCACTTTAGCTTGCTTTTGCACGTCCAGTTTCTCTTGTTGAAGAAGGACTTCTGCATCTTCCGACTTGACACTGTCATCCGTTATATCAGTGATCATTTGCTTGCTGACGAGATCAGCATAAACACCATGCTTCTCAAGCAATTCATCGTGCTTGCCTTGCTCAACAATACAGCCATGATTCAAGACAACGATGAGATCAGCATTCTTGATGGTGGATAAACGGTGTGCAACGACGATTGTTGTTCGGCTAGAAGAGGCTTTATCCAGGGCAGATTGGACAAGACGCTCTGATTGAGTATCTAACGCAGACGTAGCCTAAGGATAGTATGCATATTAGCAACTGTTAAGAATGTGGGTCTATATGACGATTAACGTACCTCATCTAATAGCAAGATAGAAGGATTTCTCACAATAGCACGAGCAATAGCAATTCTCTGCTTTTGACCACCAGACAACATACCACCGTGTTCGCCAACCAGCGTGTTGTAGCCATCGGGTAGCTGTGAAACAAATGTGTGGCAGTTGGCCTCTTGACAGGCAGACACAAGGTCCTCATCAGAGATCTTCTCGTCGCACCCCATCAAAATATTCTCGCGAATACTCAAATTGAATAGTGTAGGCTCTTGTTGAACGATACCGATATTTTGACGCAAGTTTTTGACATTCAGTGTTTTGATATCATGGCCATCGAGACAAATAGAGCCAGACAGAGGATCGTAGAATCGTTGCATTAGTTGGATAGCGGTTGATTTACCAGAACCGCTTGGACCGACAAAAGCTACCGTCATGCCAGCATAAATTTTCAATGACAAATTGTTCAGGATCGTGACACCAGGACGAGTGGGATAGTTGAACATGATATTCTTGAACTCAATATTTCCAGTAATAGAATCAAGTATAATACCATCCTTAGCATCAACATCGATATCAGGTACGCGGTCAATAATGGCAAACATTCTGTAAGCGGATCCTTGAGCGGCAGAGATGGCAGCGAGGTTGATAGGAAAGGTAAACAAGCCAACAGACCCAAGAATCATACTGAGAAGAACGATAAAGACAGTGGGGCCAGTTAATTGATCTTTGATGACCAGTGTGGAGCCGTACCAAAGGGTCAGAGCATAGATGCAGAGCATGGAAGACATACTAGCAGCCATTCCGAGACCAGAAACAGTGGCGCGCTTTAGACCACTGGAGAAAGCATTATCGAGTTCTTTCTTGTAGCGGTTCAGAAATCTTCTCTCTAGGTTAAATGAGTAGATGGTACGAATGGAATTGAAAGCATTTTCAGCAACAGTGCCTGCTTGAGCATAGGCATCTTGAGAAGCCAAAGTATACTTGGTGGTAAAATGGCCCATCAATCCGCCAACAATGAACATGAATGGAGTAGCAGCAAACATGACAATAGCCAATCGCCAACCTACATATCAGCTCGATGAGTACACATTACTGCCATACTGACCAAGCAAGTACATACCTTGAACAAAAGCTACAACGAAGCCTGTGATGAATTGAGACAGTGACATGATGAAGCGTCCAAACTTTTCAGAGATGCCGTCTTGAATTATTTGTGTATCCGAAGCCAATCTTGTATTCAATGACCCCTCGGTAGCTGTATCAAACCAGCTCATATCTTGACGAAGAACACCATGGAGATAAAGAGTACGAATACGACGAGTTTGACTCTCACCCGTCATGATCCACAAACAGTTGGAGATATAAGACGCCACCAAGATGGCAGTTCCCATGTAGGTCATGGTATGAATCACTGGGTATGTCGCATTAAGCAATGCATTGTAGTCGTCAAGAGATGTGGTTACATTCGATATGAAAGCTCCATAAATGATGATGGAAACAGGTAGTAGAGCACCAGAGCCAGCCGAGCATATGCTTGCAATGATGATTTGGATGCGCTCTAGAGGTGTAGCAAATCGAAACAGTTTCAACATGGCGACGCTTTCCTTGTTTTTTGATTTTGATTTAGGGGCAGCAGCAGAAGAAACATCTGAAGCAGTATTCGGAGAGAGCGGTAGCTTTGTGTTTGTGCTTGTTAGCTCTATACTTGTTGTGTCTGACATGCTAAATACGAAAATGAAGATATAGTAAAAAGAGTGATTTACCAGATCGAAATATTTTCAAAAATGAAGGGTATTTATAAGAGATTTGCCGATTTCCTGTTCAAGACACAAAGGATGCAATGAAGTACCGCAGCGAAACGCAGAAAATCAAGCATCTTCCATCGGCCAACTCCCATGTTGCAAGCATACCTAGGCTAGCTTAAACAATGAATGAAGACAACTGGATTTGCAATGATTTTATATGAATAACATATATTTATAGGATCCTTTATTGAACATCTTTAGGCAATACTCTGATCTTCATTGTTTCCAAGTCTATTTTATGCGCCGAAGGCAGAAACACACGATTTTCATAGAAGCCTGGTGCGGCGGTCCTTCCGAAATGGCGTTGTACCACTTGAATCATTCTTTTCTGACGGGTCACCAAATAAACATGGCACCAACTTTAAAGACTCAATATATGACAGGATACCTCATTTTGTAATCATCCACGTACATGATTCCTGAATGGTCAAATGAAAATTAGTCCGTAATATCCATCACACTCTGCTAAGTAATGTTTATGCATACTGTGCATTTTTCTAGTCTGAACTGCTGATCTATATGGAGTTAATGGCATGGATTTTAGCAGGAGAGGTGTGATATGACACAACCTTGTTGTAAAAAAAATTGGATATTCGGTAGTGGTAACAGTAGAAAAAAACTTTGCTTCAAATCATGCCTTGTGGCTATGATAATTTTGTTTACAATAAGAACATTATATATTTAACGTTTCAAATTTCAACCTTTTTATATAAATTGGGTATCTGGGTGATTTGAAGGAACTCTTCTCTCTGATGCCTCCATTGATGAAAATATCTTTTCAAGAAGAGGGGTCGCTGCTATGCGCCGTCCGGGGTTTCAAGAGCGGTAAATGCTCCTGATTCTTAACAAAATACTATGCGCACTGTTTAATTTAGTGATCTCTTCGATATACCATAAATTATGTATAAAACCGCATTTACAACGCTATTTTTCCTCGCTTCTTACTCATTTTGATCTCACCAGTAGAAGCCAGTTTATCGGAAAGGTAAACAACAGGATCAATTTCAGATGTTTATTGCTTTTGTACTCAAAATAATATTGTATTGTAAACAGTAATATTGGCGGTGCGAATGGCCCTACCCTTACAGCGAGTTAGGTATTCAAGATTTCTTTGAAGCTTTCAAACAGAGAGAAATCCAACGAACGCATCCGCCTAAGTCATGCAAATCATCCAGAGCGACACAGAGAAGCCCAAGGCAGATATTGTGAAAACCAAGAATGCGGTTAACAAAACGAAAGGAATCAGCTTTTAAGGGATTGGGCAGTGGCTGATAGACAGGGGGCTATGAGGTAATGTCGGTATAGTTACGTCCACAAGAAAGATGGCATTAATAATAGGTTATACTCTAGTCATTGAGAAGCCCAGCTGCAATGAATCTATGGAAGGAGGCAGAGTTGGATCCTGTATTGAACAAAGACAATCCACCACGAAAAATCTTTTGTCTCAATTGAAGGACTTGGAATTGGGATAAGCAGTAATCTAATTTTCATTTCCGGAAATATGGGGTGTTAGCTAAGTATAATCTCAACCAAGGTATCGTAGATGGCGATTTACCCAATGGAGATTATTGAATAAGCATTTCCAATCAATGGCGTACCGTATAGACACAATGGCTCAATGCAAACCAAGGCTCTGGCATGCAAAGATATTGTCCACACAGATACAGTGCATAAGATCAGTCTGTCTTCGACGCTTCTAGAGCAAGGCATACACATCGATGTGTTACAAACTGCATTGAAGAAATTCGGAAAGGTGCTGTTTCTTGAGATGAGAGAGGGACAAAGAGCTATCAAGGGCTTTGGTACGGTTTCTATCCGACAGAATGTGGGTGACTATGAAGATCATATTTCATAAATTCCTGAGTTTAAGTTTGGTAATGTTACAGAACACGACGTGTTCAGGTCTGCGGATCATTGCTCAAGGCTCCAAGTAGCGAATATGTCCTCTTCAAACATCTTCTTTAATTTCATTTTCTATCATGCTTCTAATTTTCGCACATGTTATAACCAGCAGTTCCCAATCCTTCTTGCACATATGGTCAGATACAATTCCTCATATATCATTCAAATAAGCTGTTACCAGATCTTTATTTCCTATTTTCTGTTGCGCAAAATATATATTTAGCAATTTTCAGGCCATTTACAAAAGTGGTAAAAAGTTAATTTCTGTACAGCACAGGTAATACGAGCACGCTCTAGCACAATGGTCATTAACGTCTCACATTATCTCAAAAAATGCGAAAAATCGAAACTGCCATGGGTCGAACCACCAATCTCCATAATAGCGGCCAACCCCTTATCGACCGGACCAAAAGCTTATATATAAAGACGGGAGCATCGCCTAGCCATATGTGAAGAAGAGGAGTAAAATTATTTTCGAAAAAACTGAAAATCGAAAGAACTTTTTAGGGTGGGGAAGCAGTATCGAAAACTCCGGCTTCATGAGATAATGGACATTGGAGATGCTATCTTTAAGCGGGGGGAATATAAATACTTTAAATTGGGAAAGTTATTATTCTTGAACAAAGCAAGGTTTTTCATCATGTCAAGTATCTATTGACAACTTAAAACCACCATCAAGTTAATATGGCCCTTTTCGTACGCTCCGATCTTTAAAATGCTTGCTGAAATGCATACATGTGTGGCGTACACATACGAAAGCTCAACGGAGATACAATTTCTAATATTTTGAATGATGATTGTTAAGCACAAAGAATAAAAGGATTATTATTTGTAGCTTATAAAAAATGTTCAATATTATAAAAACAAGAAAAGACTTATTTGAATAAGATCAGACACAAAAACTAAAGATTTATTGATGAAGACAAGAGTTATTCTATTTATACTAAGTTCTGAATGCCAAAGTAGCAATTTATCTTGTACAACGCTTATCACATCTGGTGAACCTCAGTATTTAGATAGCTGAGATGCACTTCACTTATCATAGCTTGTCCATGTTGTTGCACAACACAGACATATCTACCCATCAAGAATACCTTAATCTTTATAGACAGTTGTAGCCCTTCTGGCACAACATGGTCCAACTAAATATTGAGCTTTTTTATAAGATTTAATAAATTCGACTTTTCACTTTTCATGAGGCTACCATTCTTTTTCTAATTACGTGAATAAAGTGCATAATATATCATCTGATAGCCAACTACTTAGGCTATTTATGAAACTAAGCAAACCTCAGTAGCTTTGATATTTGCAGAGAAAACTGGCTATAAGTGCAATTTGGCAAAACACTGGAACGTTTTTTTCGCGCACTGTAGTATAAATCGATATCGTACATCTAATCCAGTGTACATACAGTTTATATCTAGATCTGGTAACTGGATGAACTGTCGGAATGCAGATCATAGTGGATGTATTCCACATGTTTAAATGGTTTTTTGATGTATATTTGAGCGCTTTTATTAATAGATCCAAATAGCATGAATCTGAATGAGTGTTATTTAATGAATTTCGGTTTTCAATCCAGTTGCGTTTGGGTGGCTATTTCATTACACTAGGATGACGTTGTACCCAGTGTACTACTGTAATGCGTATTATAGAATTTCCCCTCAAAAGACATTTAAAAAAACATCGCTCACATAAAATTATTTAATGGATGATGAATTCAATGATTGCAACTTACATTATACTTGAACGAATAATGATTTAAATCGTTTCCATTTGATTAAGGTTTTATTAATACAAAAGATAAAATAATGTTAAATGGGCAGATCAAGAGAAAATCAACTAGTTGTAACCCTTCGTTACTTCAACCTCTCAGCCAATCAAATTGCTTGAAAACTCCGCTGACCTAAAAAAAATTTTGCGAGGGTTTCCCCCTGTTTTGATGTGAGGCAAAATTTTAAGCTCCGATATATATAGCAATATAGTCGTTACTATCATCAAATTTCCCCCGAGTGCTAGAGCATGCCTTACTTACACCACCTAGCTTTTAGATTCTGGCGTTGAGACTCTCAATCATTACTAAAGTAAGTAGCGATAACCAATTGGAGGCAGCCTATCCACCTCCGAGTCTCGGATAAAGCCTTGTTGAGCTTCAGCGATAGGCACATCCACTACAACGTAAAAAAGGTATGCTTCAAAGAAACATGATAGAAGAAAGGAAATCAAGAAAAGAACATACTAGAGTACTGTAGTAGTATAGTAGTATGTAGGTAAAAAAAAAGGAGCACTCACACGAAAAAGTGAATCAAAAAAAGCATAAGAAATACAACATCAAATAATGTTGAGAACAGCTCGCTGTTGTTGCAACAAAAATGCATATATGAGCAACGTGCATGATAATAGTCTGATGCAAAGGAACACAAACACACACAGTTGCATGAGCAATAGTAGTATAAGTGTGCAATGCAACATAATGACTAATGTTGTTTCATGTGAAGCGACGGAGGCAACACAAACAACAATCCACGGCCATATAAAAAGTAGTATTACAACGGCAATACAGATATATAGCAGCATATCATGCTTGTAGTTCATACATAAGAAGCAACAACATTGCAAGCATCCGTTGAACTGATCATATTACAGCCAACAAAAGAAAGAAAAAAAAAGCGCAACAAAGCAAACATTACGAATGCATTATCACGATAAAGCAAGCAATAATACAAACGTTCAAAGAAGATTTATATTATCGCGGCCAGAAGAAAAAAGATACTTACCACTTACCATAACCACAAGAGGTAGACCGGAGAATAGGCAATCAACAGAGATAGACCAAAGGACAAGCATACAACAGAGATAGCAGACCAACAAAGACCAGAAGACTAGCAGCAGCAACACCATTAAGCAACACCAGTAGCAACGACACAAGCAGTAACAACACCAGAAGAAACACCAGTAGCGACAACACCAGTAAGTAGCAACAACACCAGTAGCAACAACACGAGCAGCACCAGTAGCAAGAACACCAACACCATAGAAAAACCAAAGAATGAACGAGCGTCACCAGAGACCAGACAACGGCTAAAGAAGCAACCGTCAGAGATAGAGACCAAAGAAGCAACTACCAGACATAATAAACCAAAGAAGCAGACAGCAGAGATAGCAAAGAAGTAATGGAAGCAGCACCCACGTCAAACAGGCAAAAAAGTTATCAAAACCTACTAATAAACAAATTCAATTAGTGTTAATTCTATGCCTTCCAGTGCTCGTTATCGAATGGTACCTACTATATTTCATTTCAAAGAAGCAGTATCAAGTACTACTAACAGTACAATACAGCGTTATCAGAGGCTAAAGTGTTATTATCAATCAAGCGGTTTCCAAAACCACCATGGTTCGATACTAAACGCGTTTTGCAAAAAAGGTAAAAAAAAATGGGGGAATGGAAAAATGAGAGGGCGCTCTATCCGACGTCACAACCAGTAGATTAGGCCACAGCCTTCTGCCACAGCAGCTGTCCCTGCGGCACTCAAATTCGAAATTGTGCAGTACAGTGGGTATTTTCGTGTTCAAATTTGACTTGATCTGACATCCTTTAAAGGTTTTTGCTAAATTTGACTATGTAAACTCTCGTTGTGACGCCCAACTTTCTAATACATTTCTACGGGGTTAAAGGAGCCGCATCGAATGGTGCTGGTTCCATTTAGCTCTCAGACCAAAAATAATAAGCAATTTGCAAAAATATGAAAACAGGTTTTCTGTGACTATGTCAAAATTTAGCATATACAAATTTCATAGAAAGAGTTTCCAATGTTGCATTTTATCTTTAGGATCAATTTGATCTAATATGTATCATAGGAAAAGTCTTCATTTTTGGGATGAAAAACACGATCGTTTGATTTTCAAGAATTTTCCTTTGCTAGTACACATGTAGAAATGAGGATTTTCATGAATTTGCAATGACCTAAAAAATTTTGAGATAAAGCATCAGTAAGTAAAGCGTATCAAAGAATGTTGTAAATCTGGAAGTACGTGAGAATGGATATAAGTTTATTTTAGTAAAATCAGATGAAGAGGAGAGGGAAGAGTGAATGTCTACTGCTATTTATATGTATGATTTATGGATTGCTTACACACCCGTCTAGAATGGTGTTCTCATGCTAAGTTTTAGTGTCAATCCTCACTTATGCTAAATGGTAATTATTTCAGATATAGATGATCAGTCTAAATATCTTTAGTTGCTCTTGGCAACGTTAATTACTTACATTCCTTATCTGCTATCTTTTGACATATAGAGAATAGCTTACTGAAACTTAGATTATGTGAATATCATGGTTATCGTTTACATGTTGATACAGTTTATTTACATATGCTCCATATGTGCATAGTTTATTACTGAATTCAATCTACGATATTGTGATTCAGGAACAGTTAGGTGTGTGAATACAACAAAGAAGAGCCTTTTGGCGCTATTCCAAGCGCCGAGAACGCTCTGTGGCATGAGTTATTTGTGCTTGAAAATGGCTAGATTTGAACAAAATTCGACCTAAAATTCAGTCGTAGTAGGTTGTGTTGCCAGAGAAGTAAATAGACTAACATTCTGTCTGATGTCTCTGATGTTCTGCATTGTACGGAGCTCAACGCCTAGGCAATCGACACTTTTATTCTAATTCTAAGGCTCGGATCTTTCTTTTTGAAATGCGCGATTACAGTAATTGCATAACTTGAACGTCAATAATGATATTATGCAAATCTCAATCTAACAACCTGCGCAAATTGAACAAGATGTTTATCAGGTTAACAGGACACTTTTTAATGGTTGTCCACACAGAGATGCCATATCTAGCCGTGAAATTAGAAGAATTAATAAAGTTTACACACGTTGTTCTGTTTTGGATATAGATCATATCTGAGAGGCAAATATATTATACAATATGTAATGAAATAGCCACCCAAATGCAACTTAATTGAAAACCGAAGTTCATCAAATAGCACTCATTCAAATTCATGCTATTTGGATCTATTAATAAAAGCGCTCAAATATACATCAAAAAACCATTTAAACATACTAAAGTAAAGATGCACGCTTATATCGCACATCGTGTGAATGAATCACTCCTGATCACAGTGTATTCAATCACACCCATGATGGTCGTAACAAGAGATGTTATCTTTATCCAAATAAAATCAAATCAATAACAGGCATATTCAAATATGACAACTATGCCCCGCTGCCATAGTTACACAATATCTCAGATAAAGGGTTCCATACTTCAATAACAAACATCACACTTTAAACCATCAAGGTTACATTAAATCATGCTATGACGATAGCTCACCCAAGCCCATCAAGGTTACTCAAATCGACCCTTATGGCCAGTGCTCTTGCATTGATTACCACTTTAAATCAAAAATCATATTCATTCGTAAGTAGTCTATTGTAAAACTACATTTCTACCCACGGCAAGTGTGCAGCATCTGGTATGAGCAGCTGTCAGACATCCACAATCTCTATACGTAGCTTTTAAATTATTATAAATGTTAATTCAATTTGAAAAGTAATATAGATTGTTTATGGCATGTTTTTTGATTTCATGGATCTCATTCTTTGCTATTAACATCCTCCATTGTGATGAATAACTGCTACATCAAGCTGATTTGAAACCAAGGTCCCTGTCAAACAGAGAGGCTTTGCAAGGAAGATGTATGAATATCACTTGATGATGAAATTATTATCCCCCATTTCTTTCAAACACTTTTGCATGGGAGGCATAAACATCAAACACGCAGACATCAAGGCAAAATACTTGGAAATAAAAGATAGCTGCCCTGCACCAGAGCTCTATTCAAGCAGCAAACCTTATTCACTTATTATGGAGACTTCCCAGTTTGATAGCCTCAAACTTGACTCTAGTGGGCCCTCAAGCTTGCTATCTTTACTGAAAAATCAATTTCCAGAAGGTGTTGCTATCACTGAGCGCTCAAGATCCGTTGTCGCTAGAAGAGATAGGTTGCAGTATTGTGAAACAAAGCGATATTTAGAGATTGCTTTTGACTCAAAGGCATTGCTCACCCAAGCATTGTCAAGACCTTTCGAAATAAAAAGCCAAGCTATCAAATTCAGCAAGACTTTAAACAAAGGAAATGGCGAAGCCTACCAACTCCATATAAGTGATGTTGAACAACTAGGAGACCCCTTGAAGCATCGAGATGTCTTGCTGGAAGTTTTGAATCAGCATGGAATGGTTGAATGTCTTCACCTTCACTACACGAAGGATGCTAATTGGTTTACAGGCGAGGGCTGCGCTATATGGATAGGAAAACTCAATAAATCTGAACAAAGACTTGCTTTTGAAGACAAGTTGAAGGCATGTTTCTCGTATTCAGAGTATCCGTTAATCAATGCTGACATAGCACGCGCAAGAAACATCTGAAGAAAGATGAGAACGTACGTTAATCACGCTATTATGCTACATAATATGTCTTTTGTAAAACCAGCTGAATAAAGGAATATTGTTGCTCATTAAAATGGTCAGTCTCTATGGCTTTAAGAATAACTAAAATCTAATATAGCCTTCATATCATGATACAGAAAACACATACATAATATGCATACGTGATCTAAATAGATCAATCTGTTTAACATTTATATTGCCAAACAATAGTTAAGCTCTCTCATTTGCATCTCAGTGACACCTCAAAGTCTAAGGTTTGACATTTGAAAGTGCAGTTACAAAATGAGGCCATAAAATAAAATACTTTTCTTTCAACTCTTGTTCTCCTTCTACGACACAAAATGGCTTCTTCTTCATCGACCTCCGTAAGAAGAAACAAACGCAAAAGATCAGGCTTTATTCTCGCATTAGCACCATATCGAATGCTGACGTTTTTCGTGAAATGTTTGTTTTCTTTGGGCACCGCCATTCTAATGCTAAGAAGACTGTACACTGTTGACGACGAAAACAAAAAGCAGCAGAAAAAGAAGAATGCTATCAAGCAGCAGACACTGAACACCATTTCATCCATTATGAAATCAAACGTATGTTTATAGAATGTAAAACTCAACATTGCGACATGATTATTTAACTTGACTTTCAGAATCAGCAGCTCGTCATCTTTTACGGCTCTCAAACTGGTACGGCTGAAGGCTATGCTCACAGGATTGCAAAAGACTACAAGAGAAAGTATCATCTGGATGCCATGGTTGCTTGTCTCGATCAGTATGACATGAAATATCTCGACACAGTCCCTGGAATTGCCGTTTTTGTTGTTGCCTCTTATGGTGAAGGAGAGCCCACAGACAATGCTGCTTCTTTTTACAGTCTTCTGGATAGATACACTGCCAAAAATGATCTGCCTTTCTCTCATCTTCGTTACTGCATATTTGGATTGGGAAACAGCTCTTATCCGGTGTTCAATGGAGCATCCAAGACGCTGGATAGAAGGATGAATCAGTTGGGTGCACAACGGCTTGGTGAAAGAGGCCAGGGAGATGACAATAGCTCTATGGAAGAAGATTTCATGCAATGGTCTAATCATGTTCTGTGGCCACAATTGGAGAAAGCTCTGAGCTTGACAGTAGATGCAGATCATAATAAGGATGATGTTGCCTCCATCTTGACAACATACACAGTAACAGAGATTGAGAAATTGAAGGCAGATTGCGTATGTCTTGGTGAGCAAAGCTCTCCATGTGATAAGGCTTCATACAGCTCGTCCAACCCATACCTTGCTCCTGTCCAGATTCGCAGCTTACTAGACAATAACGATTCCAACGAGCGACATTGCATGCATATTGATATCGACCTAAGTGGATCTAATCTCACTTATCAAGCTGGTGATCACATAGCCATGTTTCCAATCCATACCGAGGAAATGGTCCAGAGAACAGCTAGCATGTTTGGTATTGCCGATAAACTCGACACCGTCATCCACATTATACCCACAGCAGAAAATACAATCGGAAAATCAGCATTCCCTACGCCAACTACATACCAAACAGCTCTTCGCCGCCATCTTGATATCTCTAAAGTTCCCAGCCGTCAAGATTTGAAACTAATCAATGTCTTTGCTTCATCTGCTGCTTCCAAAACACTGCTTGCTGAACTCGCTGGTGATTTGATTCGATACAAAACAACTGTTGTTGATGCACGTTTGACATTAGTGGAGGTGTTGGATCTAGTTTGCAAAGAAGGCGAGACCTTTAGTAGTGTTCCATTTGCTCTTTTAATTGACATTTTTGCAAGACTTCAACCTCGTTTTTATTCCATCTCATCCTCCAACACGGAAAATGCGTCCTCAGCCTCCGTAACCTGTGTCACCCTTCAGTATCAGCCCATAAAATCCAGCAAACGCACCGTATACGGCATCAACACCAACTACCTTTGGAGTGTGTATGAGCACAGCGAGCATATTGAGTCTATCTTACCCATTCGGTACGCTGCACCAACTGAAAACAAGTTGCCTATCTACATCCGGGAAGCAAATAATTTTAAGATGCCTCGAAACATTTCTATTCCCATCATCATGGTCGGCCCTGGAACTGGTGTAGCACCTTTCCGAGGATTTGTGCGTGAGCGTGCCTTCCTGAAGCAATCAAACAATGCCCAAGTGGGTACCACCATCTTGTTTTTCGGCTGTCGTAACCATCAAGACTATCTGTACAAGGATGAATGGCCATCATTGTTCAAAACACTAGGCAATAGTTCCAAGATCATCACTGCCTTTTCTAGGGAGACTGCCTCTAAAATGTATGTGCAGCATCAAATCAAGATCCATGGTCAAGAGGTTTGGGATCTACTATCTAGTCATGGAGCCCATTTGTATGTTTGTGGTGACGCCAACAAGATGGCGCGTGATGTATATCGTTGTATTATCGATGTAGTTATCGAACATGGCAGCATGACCGAGGCAGACGCCATCCGTTTCGTTGCTGATCTCAAAAAGCAAAATAGATACCAAGAAGATGTTTGGGCTTGATTGTGTTTATATGAGAATAATGATAAAAAAAAAGGGTATAAAATGGTTGAGTCTATGAAAAATGGTTGATTTTAGAGCCTTCAACCGGGGAAGGATCATCGCATATCGACTTTTTGGGTATAGTAACATCATCTGAAATCTTGCCTGTAGCAGGATCAATGCGAGAAATCTTGCATACACGAACAGAGTGCAGTTGTGTGAGTGTTGGTAAATAAGGCAGGATCTGGTACTTGAGCACACCTCTGACGGTCAATTCGTAAGGATAGCGGATCAACAAGGACCATCTCTCATTGCCACTGTTATCGTCTTTGGTAGAGCCCGGGTTTCTTATCTGAATTTGGCTTGTGGCTGTACTGAGCACTGGATTGAACAGACTTCCTGATTGATAGATGAGTGGATCTTCAAGGTGATAGATTGTTCCTAGAAACTCTGCTGGATCTGCTCCTGTACAATCATGATGTGAGTAATGTATGCTGTAAAGTTATCAGATATACACGTACCAAAAGAAGTTATATTGCTATCACTGTATGATGCTGATACAGTGTCATTATGATGTGTATTATTGTCAAGTGACATGAGAGTGGTGGGCACATAATGGCTAGATGCAAATACGCTGAAGGCAGTGTTTGTCATACGAATGGTCCACCAATTGCTATTTCTATTTGAGCATTGTTAATTTCAAGGAGGTTGTCGACTGTCGGTGCCAAACACAAACCTTGCTCGCACTTGTAGGTTGAATATCAGTTCCTTTTGCGTCCCTAATACATTACTAATACCAACAACCTCTACATCCGTCAAAGGGCTAGCATAGATAGCAACCAATAGCCACACAAAACACAGTGAGAAAGCACAGCCTAATAGCACAAACAGTAGAGTGAAGCATGCTCTGCAGCAGCTGTTGTTACTATAGCACTGTTAGATCCACCATGTTTTGCATTATCGCGATAAGCTTCCATCTTTCTTACCTGGATCCAGAATGGCTACCATGGTTGCTCGACCCTTTCCTTCTGCGCGCTGGTCTCAATCTAACAAGCGGTGTAAACTCATCGTCGCTAGTAGGCGCAACGCCGTAATAGTAACTGGATGTCTGGTACTTGTAAGAGGGCCTCAGCTTTTTGCTATTCTTGTTGCTCAGGGAGGATGAGGATGTGGGCCGTATCTCTGATACAGTGGATCGAAGCACCGGTCTTCTAGATGAAAAGAACTTTTCCTTTGTATAATTGTAATCACATCCGTCCGTGTTGCTTTCTGTGCCTGTCGATGAATAATGTCGATCATAATACGAATGATCTAGCATATGGTCGTTGGTGCTGTTGTTGTAGGTCCAGGGCGGTACGGTATATGAAGGATTTGGCTTATCGCGGTACACATAAGACTCTAAATCATCCGAATCTATATAGCAAAAGTATCAGCATTTGACAGTTATGCCATCCAATCAGCCTGATCTTGGTTTACCGCACCATCAGCATCCATCACAGCATCACTCAGATTCTGAGCAAAAATGTCGGTAGGGTTCACAAAACTCGATGCAATGTTGGCCTTCTTTTTGCGCTTGTTGTTATTTGAAATAGATCTAGTCGATTCGCTGCCGGATACAACGCTGCGTGCATCGCCCTATAGCAAAAATACAAGAATTAGAATATTTATTATTTGTTTGGCAGTGTATTTATTTACGGTTGTCGTGGCATTGGGTGCAATGACTGGTGTACTGCTGGATTTCTTGGTCAAGGAATGACCATCGTTGGATGTATTATGAAACAAGTTTGATTGATGCTCTGGAAACACAGCAGTCTCTACTGTCAGTTGTTTCTGTAGCAGTTGTTGATCTGAAGCATTCTTGTGGAAGGCTCTGGATGTCGATGTCGGAGAGTGATTGATGTGAAGGTTGTTATTGTTGTTGGTGCCATTGCTCATGTTGTGTCGAGATACACTCTTTCTTACAGTAGGCAATGTGTCTAGTAGCTTTTTGTTGCCATTGCTGCTATTGCTGTGCACTGGCGAAAGTCCGTCTGCAGATGGTAGATTGGTGTTGTAAGATGCACTCATGTTAACAAGATGAAACTTTTGAGGGTAATGTGGAAAGTGAAAATGAGAGCGAGATAAAAAAAAAAAAAAAAAAAAAAAAAGGAAGAAAACATAAATCCTCTTTTTTTTTTTTGTTAATAAACAACAAAAGGATTACATTTGTAATATCATCAAAATGAGGTTACCTAAGAAAAAAAAAGTGTAGAGGTCTGGGTCTCTCTCGTATTTTTTTTTTTTTTTTTTTTTTTTTTTTTCTACATGAAGGGGCACTTTCACGTGGGACCTGGATTTGCGGTTTTCTGTGTATCTGCGTGCATGGTGTGTTTGTTTATGTATACGAATGGATGAAATGATGTATTCTACTTTTTGCCATCACACAAAATATACTTTCGACTTCTAAACTTACAGACAACGCTAGAAACTATCGACCCAATGCTTGCATGTAGCCATAGAGATGGTGTTCTAGACTTCAAACGTCATGGAAGATTAGAGACGAAAAGAACATCAGAGACCCTTCATTTAAATACTCTAATTGTTAAGAGGGACAAGTCTAACCAATAAATAGCCGCAACTGGCGTAACCTAAGAGGTTTTTGGGTTAACTTCACACTCATTTACAATTGCATGATTGGGCAAGCAAAGCTTTTGTTTGACACAATGCTGATTCCAACGAACGCATGTCTTTCGATGTCTATTTGAATATAAGGATCAGCATTTCGCATTGGATTTCGCGTTTGGAGCAGCAATTTTTAAGAAGTTCAAATACAAAAACGCCTCCACAAACTAAAGCATAGAGACTATACTATTGGTGTATAATACTGCTCAGTTGGCAACCTCCCTTTCATGGACTTGCAACAGTGTCCATTACGTTTTTAAGGTGTGGGATGGCGTTGATTTCGCCCCGCTCCTAGCCAAAAATTAATCCAAACTCCGATTTTTTTATTTCCTGATTTGTTCATTTCTGTTCAAAATCGACCCAATTCAGATTATTTTGCTAAATTCGACTATATAAATTGTAATGATCTTTCCATGAACGCTTAAGCTTTCTTGGAACACTTTTTAAGACGAATCTAATGGTGCTAAATAAAACAGGTGTTTTGAATAAACTTAATAAACAATACTTGAAAATATGAAATAAGGTTTTGGGCCGAAATGTCAAAATTTTACATATTATGGCCTCGCAATTAAGGTTTCATAGGCTGCTTTGGATAGTTGCGATCATTTTGATCTGATATATGCCTTAGTAAAAGTCAAATTTTGCGTGGTCAAAATCGCGATTGTTTGATTTTCGGTGAAAACCATGAGGTATCCCTCATGGTTCGTAGGCGATTTTCGTCACTCTCAAAAAAGTTGAGCAAAGGCATCAGGAAGTAAGTGCTAATCGAGAGCAATGATTTGGCGATATTCTGGTAGTCTAAAATGGATTTTAACGCGAGAAATTACAATCCAGATGCTCTCAAATTTTGCTGTGCTTTGCATATTTTTGGGCAAGCAAGAGTTAATGTTAGTACGTTAGGTGCCTTATAGACAAGTTTTTCTCGCGTATATAGATTTAGAGCATGAAAGAAAAGTCAAATCCATATTATTAACGGATCTAAAGTGAAAGAGTGTTATCAATTAAACATGTACATCCATCCAATAGATAAATAGAATATTTTGGATCAGTGAATATACACACAAAATAGATTTCGCGTTATAACGTGAAATGTAGACTAACATTGAAGCAAATATAGATGGAACAAGAGGCAGTGAGATACAAGAAAATGAAGCAGGCTTGTCATCCGTGATTGGCATGAGCATGGTTCAAAGCATCGATATCGTACAGGTAAGGAAAATCGTTCTAGTTGGCTTGTGCGAGATCTCGCTTCTGTTGCGAAGCATTTTGGTACCATTGCATTAGATGGCGCTTTATCCTGTATAACTTGAGCTTGAATGCGTTTCGACGTTCATGATGCTCTTATTCAAAGTTCCATACCTAAAAATCGTCTTTATTTTAGCATACAAGGAGCTAGATGATATTCAAGGCTTATTCAATTGAATGTAAAGATAGTAGCCGATTTTTTGCAATGCAATCAAGTCAGATTTGTTCAAGCAGTATGCATAATAGACCTTCAAACATAGAAGGCAGGATTTAATGTCTAGTTTTCAATGGCTAAAGAGGCTGCTATATAGAATACTACCACTAGTACGATGATTTCGCCCATCAGTGCTCGTTCATGCTTGGCCATCTAGGTCTTCGACTCATACCGTTTCTCTCTGGTAGCTACAAAAGAAATAGATGCACTACGGTCTCTGAATCATTTGGTTTCCGTCTGTTTATGCGTAGAAGTTCACATCTCGACGTTATTTCGAAGGTAGCATCTTTGAGCTTGCCATGTCCATCGAGATCATTCTTGCTCTTCTCAATTTCATTGTCAATGTACACATAAGTTTACGTCTTGCGGTAGTAGTCTTAAGCCTCGATCTTCTATGCCCAAACTGCACATTCAGTGATGTCCAAGCGTCCTGATCTATGTTCTGTTGCAACATACACACAAAGAAGTGACGTGATGACCACCGTACAAGGCGGAGATGCAGTCGTTCTTACCAAACAAGACAATTTTGTTTGGTATGAAAAAAAAAAAAGAGGTGTATCATCCCCTTTTTTTTTCCTAGCGTTTGATAACAAGTTTTGCCTTTTTTTTTCATCTTCTTCTTCTCTTTCAATAACCTGTACACTTGCAAATCTCTTGACTATCAAATAACTAGAAAATATGTCTGGAAACAACGCTCGTCTCAACATTTTCCCTACGCGAATGTATGTGTGCATACAGTTTATTGTTGTTTTGTAATCCTTTGATGTTTCAAGTCGACTCAAATGCTATCCATCTTATGAATAGGGCTCTCACCAACATGAAGCTCAAGCTGAAAGGAGCTCAAACTGGCCACTCTCTCTTGAAGAGAAAGTCAGAAGCTTTGACTAAACGTTTCAGAGGTATCACAGTCAAGATTGACGAGGTAAATCAAAAATGGAATATTCATGTTTCTCGGCACATTCAGTCTAGCCATAGTGATTAACATGTTTATCTTTTATATACATATCGTAGCTCAAGCGCAAGATGGGTCAAGTTATGCAACTTGCTTCTTTCTCTCTCGCTGAAGTTCAATATATTACTGGTGATATCAGGTAGGTCTATTTTGCAAAGCGCACATCAACAGATTGTAATGAGATGGTGTTGGCTCTTAGTTATCAGATTCAAGAATCCTCAAAGTCTGCTCAACTGCGTGTTCGTGCCAAGCAAGAAAACGTATCTGGTGTCATGCTTCCTGCCTTTGAAATGTACAATGAAGGTGGCAATGGTAAGCGCACCATCAACATTTTGCCAGCGAAATCATGCAACTCAAATAACCCTGTCATCCAGCTTTTGAATTCACTGGTCTCGGCCGTGGTGGACAACAGATTCAAAGAGCCAAAGAGGTTTATACCAAAGCTGTTGAGACGCTAGTCGAGCTTGCCAGTTTGCAGGTACTTTATCCAGATGCATAAAGTAACATGGATGACACTCATGTTGACCATTTTCAATATAGACTGCCTTCGTCATCTTGGATGAAGTTATCAAGGCCACTAACCGCCGTGTCAACGCCATTGAACATGTCATCATTCCTCGCTACGAAAATACCATCAAATATATCATTTCTGAATTGGATGAGCAAGACAGAGAAGAATTCTTTAGGTAACACTGCACATCGTCGGTGCAGAATACCATATACTGATATTACGAGTAGATTGAAGAAGGTTCAAGGTAAGAAGAAGGAGCGTGCTGCTGCTGAAGATGCTGTCAGAGCCAAGGAAGCAGCCGATGCCGAGTTGGTCGGTCAAGAGAGTGAGTTGCAAGAAAGAGAGAGAGAGAGAGAGAGAGAGTGCTATATTCATGCATACTGATCCATCTACTTTTAGCACCAACACTTCAAACAGCTAATGAAACTGGACAGCTTGATATCTTGGATCATGAAGATGAGGATCTTATTTTCTAGATAAACGGCACCCGTTTGTGTCAACGATTTACCCAATAAAAAAGAAACTATGTACCTGAAACAGAAATCAGTCAGTGCGTCGACATGCAACATGTCAAAAATGATGAACAGCATCTAGACTTTCTGATGTAGCATACGCTCGAACAAGGAAAAGGAAACGTGATGGCGCTCTACATTACACAAGTACGCTATAAAAAGAGTGTTTTCACATTTCTAAGAACGGGATCTTGTTTGAAAATCAATTTCATCAAGAAATCTCGCTTTGTATTTATTTTGGTTTTGATGATAATGGATGAAGAGCGTATATATAAAAATACAGATACATTTGTTTTAAGGTGGAAAGAAAGAGGGATGGATTAAGTAGTGTAATATATAAATTGTAATGTAATAAATAATCAACATATGGCAGTGTTGAGAGCACACACAACATGTGCTTTAATATCTTTGATCTTCTCCTGCGTAATAAGTATGGCGAGGAGGTGGAGGTGCTGGGCTGGACATGGGAGGATAGTTGCTAGACTCTGAGTTTCTCCATGTAGTTTCGTCTTGGTGGATTGGCTGCTGTTGATACTCATCATCGTCGTCTTGTGGTCTAAATACCTCTTGATCAGCTGCTGATTTTGCTTTTCTCTTACGGATCAATAAAAATGCGATGGCACCGATGAGTGCGACACCGACGACACCACCAACTACACCGCCAGCAATAGCACCCTTGTTGGTTGAAGAAGATGAGTCTTGAGGCACTGATGAGGCAGTAGCAGAGGGTATAGCACTTGATGATGCTGATAAAGAGGTTGCAGGAATGTCAGTCGAGGATGGCTCAACTTGTTGAGATGAAGTGATGGCTGGAGCCTCTGTTAAGGTTGTCTCTGGCATCACGGATGAATCGGACGAAACTGAAGGAGTTGCATATGGATCTGATGTGGAGGTGGTTTCATCGTTGGGATCTGATGTCGTTGTTGTATCCCACCAGTTGGTAGTTGTAGTTTCAACATAATCTGTTGTAGCGGTTGGTGCATCTGTAAATGAAATTGCTATTAATAACCTAGACATGACAAGGTATATCTCATATGGGGTAGGGGCATATGTCTGTTGTATATTACCTGATGTCCACTGACCATCATTATAACTCGTGGTGGTAGTCTCTGTGTCATCTCCACTATCATCAGTAGTTTCGCCATCATAGCTTCCATCGCTCTGTCCATTATCGTATTCTAATCATTGATGTTAACATTCATATACAAAAAAAAAAAAAAAAAAAAATGTCATTTCAATGTCGATCCCTACCTCCATTGTCCTGGGCTCTAACGCCGGTCCACACATTGCTGGTGACAGCAACCAGACCTAGCAAACTAAGCAGTGATGGTGATGTAGCATAAGATACCATGATTTGTAGTTTATCGAGAAAGACCAAGAAAAAAAAAAAAGAGAGAAAGAGGGGGGGGAACAATGAAGAAGGACAGGAAACAGTATTTTAATCACGTTTCAAGATGTATTAAAATAGCAACTGAACGGATGCACAAACAGGAAGAATCGAGTTAGATGTTTCTATTCTGCTCGAGAAACCCATAAGAGGCGATTTAAAAATACTTGCCATCACCAGAAAGATTCTTGTCGTTCAAATGTGATACCTTGGCATTTCTTTTTGGTTCTGAACTGTACCGGTAAACAAATGACGTCTATTCTAGATATAAATACATGGCCTGTCAACTAAAATTATTGTTGCCAAAGCACTGAGTAATGGAGATCAGCATCACTTCATCTTGGGGTTTGCACTCATTTTATTAGTTTGATAAGCGGGGATGAGGTATTAGAATTCAGGGCGGTAGATCTCCCTGGGGCATCTGAATATTGTAAATTGGGTTTACAAATTATTAGACAGTACAACATTAAGTTTTCACATAAACGACAAGGCGGTCAAATGTAAATAAGCTCCATGCTCAATTACTTTATCTGTTGCATTTGTAATGCTTGAATTGTATGAGGAAATGCAGTGATTCATGTACCATTACCAACGTTCAACTCGAGGGAATAATGCATTCCTCGAGAAATCAAGGAAACTTGAGATGAACTGTCTGTGTCTGGCCATCAGGAAGCTCTGGAAACAATCCTGAATTATCAGTTTGTACTAATCAGATTAAATTATATTAATGAATGGACAAATTGCATATAAATGTTATTGATTTGGTCGACCAAGCATATTCTGGGAGGCTTTGAAAGGAATGCTCTATACTCATTTCAATCCTTCTTTGAATACATTGATGTTCAGCAGCATAAGAAGGTTGAATCGTTCCTGGATCCTTAAGATAGAAAGTCGTAAAAGCAAATCTAGGATTATCTCTACGATCCATAACAAATGTGACAAAGTTGATGATTTACAGTTAAGCTTAGTTCAAAGCATGGTATTTGATACATATAAATCCAATGCCATCGCTTGGCACATTTCTCATGTTAAACACACAGCAATGATGCCCCTGAAATCTCTGCTTAAAAGTTTGTTTCAGCACTGAAGCTGCATTTGCAAATCTCGGTATTTTATCAATGCACTCAACTAAGCCTATCGATTCAAGCAGGATCATTCGCAATGTCTTGCAACTTCACACCAGGATGTGGCACTTGGTATTGCCCTAATTATAATATCACAAGCATATGACCCTATCAAATCCCCTCTAATGAATACAGCAAATTCAGTAGGCTAAAAATAATGTGCTCACATTATGGTGCACAAATGGTGCTAAGATGATTTGTGATGGTATAAGCTTGTTGGTTACACGTTACCAAACTTGGGCGTCCTTCCGCTTCCGTGAGGAAACAAAAAGCTTTCCTGATCCGAGTTGTTATCATGGAGGCCTTTAGCAACCCACCTGAATGGTGACATGTAGCTTGACATAACACATGAGCTTGTCTTGGAACATACTCCGAGAGCTGCAACTGTAAATCGACTATCTAATGCCCTCCTTGACGCCAGACTCATGTATCTATACCATCCTTGACGCGCACATAGATTGGACTTGGCTGCTAAATTTTTGCAAACTCTTAATTTACCAGGAATTCTCCAATGTCTTACAGATCAGCCGAATATTTACAAAAAAGAAGCAATCCCTGCTGGGATGGATCATTCATTTTAAGCCCCATCACTCAAGATGGAGGGATTTATCAAACTAGCAAAACAGACTCATCAGCCAAAATACAAGGGAGAGAGGCAGAGAGCAAGAACTGAAGACACCCAAAATAGAACAATGCTCTATCTTTTTGGCTTGATGGCAAGAGCACACTATAAAAAGAACCAGTGTAACTCGTCTGGGCTTAATTTTGGTTTTGCACTCACTGCTTAATTCGTTATAGTTGTTATCATGAGGCTTCGCTTGAATCGAAAACAATTACATATATAAAGCCTGATCCAAGCTATTGCCTTCTTTTTTTTTTTCTTAGTTACTTTTATTGATAAACAAAAGCGGTTTATACAACAAAAAAAAAACTACCCAAACATCTTTCTTTCAGTAAATACATTAATCGTCGATAAAATGGGTCAATACAAATGCTGCTGTTGCATTCCCGTCAGGTAACTGTCGACATTATGCCTGGGTCAAGAACCTGAATTGAATTTTGAAACATCTGATAGGGCTGGTGTTTTAATCATTGCTTTGCTCTCTGCTGTAAGTCTCAGATGTCCCCATCATTCATTGAACAATTCAATTAATTGATTTCGCTTAGGCTCTTTACATAGCCTCCACTGTTGGTTTGTTCATGTTGAAGCCTTCTTCTGGTAAGTGCACATACATTCAAAAGCTGCCTGGCAGTCTGAAGGACTGAGATTTTGGTAACTAGGCGTAACTTACGAAAATGTTGAAGTTGACATGAAAATTGTCAATGGCGTCTACTATACATTCATCGCTGTTTCTATTATCTTTGCTCTTGCCTCTCTCTTTGGTGTCCTTGGCAGTGTTACAGTAAGTTGGATTAGCACACTCTCTACCACAGCAAGCTGATGTATCTTTATAGCAACATAGAAAAATGATTGCCACCTTCAAAATATCATACTGGTTTGTAGCAATTGTACAATTCATTGTAACTGTAGCTGCAATCATCATTCTTGCAGTAAAGAGAACAGATATCGTTAATAACTGTGCGGCGCTTTATCCAGAGGAAACAGTAGATACATGTTCTGTAGGATACAGAACCCTTATGATCATCTTTTGCGTCGTGTCAATAGTGATCAGCTTTATTCAGGTACGCTTTTAGAGAATCAGCCACACAACTCGTTTCCTAATTTGATTGTACCCTGCGTAGTTCTACTTTGCCACAGCCATCAGCGCCTACGCTACCAGATTGCGTAGAACGAATATGCATGAGAAGCTTCGCAATCTGGAGGATTTCCCTGAGCCTCCCAGCAAGACTGAATTCTTTTAGTCCAACAGATATACACAAGGCTGAATAGAATCAGCTTGATGGTATATACTCACAGATATACATGTTTGAAGCCCATTTTTAGGCTTCGTTAAATATTTTTCTTTTGCACATAAATAATCACCCCTTGTACCTTCCTTTTTACATACACTCACATCCATTAAAATTACTCTTTGATCCTGCCCCCTTTGTCATCTTTACCCATACTACCATAATACATATTTATTCGTTGCTTTTATAAATAAAATGGATCATTTGCTAGAGTAAATGTTGTTGATTCCTGTAAATTATAGCAAAAAAAAAAAACTAGTGCTTATAACGAAATGGACAATTTCTTTCACCCAAATGCGACTAGTCGATCTATCTCGCTACGCTCGATGTCGGCGTTGCCCTACGGGCTCTCACTGAAGACATTTTAAATTGGATATTATAAAGGTTATATCAGAGCCAGGAGGAGGAGGAGGAGAGGAGGTATCTCCCTCAGCACCCTGTTTACTTGCACTGATATCAAACGAAGCCTATTATTGAGACGCTGTGAAAGAAAATTCAAGCTTTATGCAGCATTTGTAAACCACAATCTCCATTTTATGATAGTGGAATTGCCATATCATTCACTGTTGCTGATGCTCTTAATAAGTTGGCGACATAAAGCTAGTCATAAGTAAATACAGGACTTGTGTAAGATCTACAGCGACTTTTTTGAGATATTGCCATTGAAAAAGACACCTTTATGAGGCAAAGCTCCCCCAAAAAAAGTATTTGCACTAAGCAATTGTCCTTTCAACCCCATTTCCCCCATTTAATCAGCATCGAAGTCATCATTGTCGTCAGAAAGGTATTTGGGTCAGTCAGCAGCAGCGCCGTCGCCAAAATCAATTTAAACTCAGCTTATTTTTTTCTGCTCAAGATTGGACAGATATTGTCTTTTTTCGACTTCTTTAATCTATTTTATAATATTCGATTATATAAATTGTGATGATCACCCTATGCTTCCTAATACATTCTTGAAATACTTTTCAAGGCGCTTCTTATGGTGCTAACTGTAATAAGTGTTTTGACTGAAATTATTGAGCAATTTAATAAAGTTTGAAATGAGGTTTTTAGCGAAAATAACCTTATTTTGCATATGAAAACCTCATAAAAGTGGTTTCAGAGGTTGCTTTGGATAGAAAGAAACATTTTGATCCAATACATACCATAATAAAAGTTTTCATTTTCAAGGTGAAAAACGCGATCGTTTGATTTTCGACGAAAACCATGAGGTACCCCTCATGCTTTTTGGCCGATGTTTGACCATGTTTTTTTTGGCCCAAAAAGTTGAGCAAAGGTACTAGAAAGTTACTACTACTCAAGTACAATTGTTTGGCGTCATTCTGGTTGCTCAGAAAGATCTACATGTCGAGAAATGAAGGCTTGAAAGCTGTTAAATTTGGTTATGTATTGCTTTATAGAATTTATTTACACGGCATAAATCACATCTTTGGTGGCTGCACTTTACTGGAAAGGCAGTTCTGTAACTTGATGAGCAATTTTTAATTCGAATAGGAAGCATATTGATTTTGGTAAGACTAATTCATGCAAATTTTGATATGTTATGTTGTTGGTAAGCTTGATAGTAAAGGAAATAAAAAACCGAATTTGCTGCTTGAATACCATGGTCTTGCACCTTCGCTTCGCTTCGGTAAACTCCTCCTTAAGATTAATATTACCAAATGTTGGGTTAGAAGCTTAGTTGCCATGGTTTTTCAACTTCACTTCGCTACGGCAAAACTGCCTCACAGGTCAATGTTGCCAAATGTTGAATTAGATGCGTTATGTTTTTGGCGGATCGGCTTAGCACCTCCTCCAACCCTCTCCCCAATGCCAGCTTCATTTACCTTGTACGGTACTCAATTCTTTAAATTTTTGAAAAGATATGATCTGTTTTTCTACTTCTTTTGAATGTTTTACGGTATATAGAGTGAAGATGAAGATTTGAACGACACTAATGTTAAGGAACCACCTTTGTACCTTACTGAAAAGGAGTCGCAACTAGCTTTGGTTTCTTTGATGGCCTCCATCACTATTGTGGGTATCCCTGTGGATGTAAATGCCAGAACGTTTGCTCAGCATACTGTGGATATGGCTCAAAGCAGAAGATTTGTAATTTAATCACACGCACACCACATATTGGCCATGCCAAGCATCTTTTTACTGGAGGTATATACGAATTGACACGAGAGCTCATGCGAGCTTGTGTATTTGCCAAGAAAGTAATATAGATTGCAGCACTATTTCTGGTAAGCTATCGGTAAGCTTTTTCACTGTATCTACGCCACATGTAGTCTAATACGTGCGATGTAAGCCCAAAGATCAAGCTGTAGGCATGTCCTCCGTTGCCAAAAACTGTATATCATACTCAAAGCTACCTCCATTGCCACTCCAGCTTTATTTCACTGCTTGATACACTTTTTCAGCTCAAGACAAGCATCATGTCCAGAACAATTGGAGAGCGAAAAGCCTGAAATCTCCCAACCTTAAGATGTACATCATCCCGCAAAGGAGCTCAAAAAGGCCCACCACTCTTTCATTTGATCCGCATTCCGGAAACTAGGATGCAACACTGTTCTTCAAATTAAATGCTAATAGATATCAATAGGCCAAGTTCTGTGATATGCCCAAATTAGATGGTATACTATGGAGGGTTGCCTACATTTTGCAGTGATTTTGTTCACTATAGACGAGTTTTTCACTTTATTCACCCCGCCAAGAATTATTGAAACTTATAAAAGCTTGTTGGTCCATAAAACTAAACCCTCTTCTTTCGTTCTTTTATACAAACAATTGATAGAAAATGCACAATCCATATCTTAACGGAATCGACGTCAATGAAAACGCACCACAGATAAACCAGCAGATACCACAGACTAGCAATTTAGATCAGCATGATCCCTATCGACCAGCGCCATCGACGACTCGTAGAAATGAAAAGCATGTGCTTTACATTGATGATTATACGACAGAAGAAGATCATCCGCCGTCCTATAGCAAAGCGCAAGAACAAGGACAAGAAGAAGCTTATCATAGCTCAGATGTGGACATGAGAGCACCAGCCAGAGGGTTTCCAGCGTCAACACCAGATGCAATTCCTTTAGACCCATATCATGCACAGCTACCCTCCGAGCCAGAGACAGCTCCACTGATGGAGACTGATTCAGATAGACACTCGCCACCAACAGCACCATTATCCGATCGAATAGAAGTTTGTGTATACAATCCTTTGGATAGATCCAGACGAGTACGACATTGTTCTGTTACCAGGTTCATTTTAGCTTTCGCCGTCTTTGTGGTGGGTGTGATACTGATGGCAACGGCACTCGCCACCATTAAATGCTATAATGATGGATGTATGGATGATGTGGATTGTGAGCGATGCGAAAACACGACTAAGAAAGGAATCCAGGCAGCTGGCTTCAGCTTCTTCATCTTGGTTAGCCTTTGCATTATCTGGAGATTCATAAAATACGCAGTGCTCTAACACGCTGTACATATATCATTTGTAAAAGAACTCATCAATAAATATCATTTTTGCATCCTGCTCTTTCGCCTATAGTCAATGTATGGATTATATCAACTAGACACAGCATCTTGGCATTGTCTACGTTGCACTTGTAAAGCACGATTTATTCAAAGAGATTCTACATGCACAGACGGTAAAAAGAGAAAAAACAGGTATCATGGTGTTTGGCAGACGGTTCATTATGCAGACAGGGTGAAACGAACAGCTTTATAGGTAGTGAATACACAGCCAAGGACAAAGAAGGTATATGCTAGCGATATGCCTCCCTTCCGGATACCCAACACACAACCATGGCATTCTTCATCGGTTTTGCACTTGTCAAAGCACTCGTATGCAAAGACACTGACTGACATGAATGTAATGCCCACAAACCATACGCAGCAGGCAAGAAACAGGCGAGTCAGTGTCAATTTGCTCTTCTTTTTGGGTGTCTTGTCGTCCATGGATTCGAACCTACTTTCTTGTACTTGATCAAGTGATGGTGCTGACGGTGTGTAGTCGCTGGCCAGTGGTCGAGGCTCCTCCATCATTAATGGAGCTGTGTCAGACACTGAAGAGAACGTGTCTTCAGAGTAAGTATGTAATGGGATGTCTTCAGATCTGTGATAATCTCCATCTGAGGGGTGTGTTCCTTCTAATGGGTTGTGGTGGTTGCTTTCCTGTGCTACATTGTAAGAAGGCGGACTCAGGCCATAATCATCAAAGTAGACAATGTGTTTCTCTACATGCTGTCGTTGTGAGGGTGGTGCTGATGGTGGTTGTGTTAGAAATGGATTATGCAAAGCAACGATTTGCTCGGGTTCTTCTGTGTGCTGATGTAGATGACTTGGTGTTGTAGACATGGTTATAGCTTCCTATCGATGATAGCTGTGAGGAAAAAAGAAACATTATAATGGCACCCCCCTTAAAGTTAAACTAGTAATACCATCAAAATTTTCAAATCTTGGCGGCTTCTGGACATGTCCAATTAAAAGAAATAAAGGGTACGTGTTGCATCTTCCCGAGGCAGTACATTCTCCATATTAAGATCATTTCAAGCACCCAGTGAGTGTATTTTTAGTGTGGCAATTTCAGTGTATCATTTCACAATCTGCAGAATCAAGCATTTGGTGGTGGTTTATTTGGTCAAATTGGCACTGTACAAAAATCAGAAGGAGAAGGAGGGATCGATAGAAGCTATTTATGTCTATTTGCTAGCAGGTGGATCATCAGTACCATGCTGCAATTTCGTCTTGCGTCCTCTACAACAACATGATACTTTAAACACAAGAATGGCACTACTCAAAATGACAAAAATCACCAAGCTTGCAATAAGACCCTTTTCAGACTTGGGGTTGCAAATGTCATAGCAGTTATCCACACAACGCGCTCTGCACTGGAGAGTAGCGCCCATAGTGCCCAGTAACGCCACAACAGTTGCGCAGATATCGCAAATCACGGCAAACCAGAATAAGGACAAACAGCACACTCGCCGTTGATGGTACGGCCTGCTTTCATAAAACTCTTCCTTGAAGACGGCTTGATTTGGAACAGGAGCTTGAGGTGCATTGCCATTTTGACAATCATCGGCATCTGGGCATATGGCTCTTAATCGTTTCTCATCGTCAGACACATGGTCCTGTCTCTCTTCATCAAGCGTGTAGGGAGGAGGAGTAAGAATATCAGAGATGGAGTTTGCATCTTGGTTTTGATGATGCAGAGAGAGGATGTTTGTTTGACTGATAGTATTCGACATGATGCGGATGAGGTAACTGTAGACTTTCAGATTAGCTTTATATAATTGCTGCATTTATTAACACAAGAATCTCTTGATGAGACTCCCAGAAAAGCTTCGCACATAGTACAACAGTTTCAGAAGCAGGCAAAACTATAACGAGAGGTATAATGGGTAGGATAATAGCAGCAGCAATTAGGACAAGATGCATTGAGCCGCCCTGCCCATGACGGCAATGCTAGCCAAGATAAAGGTAATGTAACAAAACGCTGTGAATCCTTCTCGACGTACTCTTGGACATCTATCACAGTTTTGATTTTCTTCGCAAACGTTGTAGCAATCAATGACAGCGAGAATGGCAGACATGAGTGTGGTGCCTATGGCAAAGATGGCGAATGCTAGATACGCGCGATACACGGAGCACCTCTTCCTTGTCTTTGTCGTCTTTGGGTTGCTATAGGAATCACGACGTAAGCCAAACTCCATTTGATCTATGGATGGCGCTGTGGGCGGGTAGCGGTAATGATCATCTTGTGCTTGTTCTGCTGCCATCAGAGGCGCTGTTTCTAGCTCTGGCTCTTCGTTCAATCTACTGCTATTATCATAGACATCGCCCCGCACTGCTTCACTCGACATGTGCAGTGTCTGCTGGCCTTGTTGTTGTGTATCACTGTAAGATGGGGGCATGCTATCATAATTTTCCACATACAAAAGATGCTTTTCTGGAGTAACTATCGTCGTCGTGTGCGTCTCTAGGACATGTGATGTGAGCAGAATAGCGTCTTGATCTTGCTCAAAAGAAACATTGGCGTCGCTTGTGTTGAATGGGTTGGCCATTTTTCTGACGATGGTTAGTGGAAGAAGAAGGTTGTGTATTCGGTTGGTCTTAAATACGCGCAAGACTTTCTTGGCAGGGTGTGTCTGGATCAACAGCGCTAGGAAAAGTCTCAATGCCTGTGGTACAAGCTGATAACGTTGTTCGAGCTCTGATCTTTGTTGATGTAAATCGCAGAAAATGTGGTCTTGTTGAATTCAGAACAGCAGTTACATTTGAATTAGCAGCAGATGGCTCAAACCATAGTTTGGCATCAAAATCTTGCACAGAGTACTACAGTGCCCGTAGTGAAGCGATGGATTAATGCAACGCTTTTGAAACTTGTCACTTGATCATTGCTGCTTATGCATCTCACTCACAGCGACATAGGAGCTCTCCACAACCAACATCACTATCTCTAAACCTCGAATCATACACAGCATGAAAGCCACAAAAGTATAAGCACTATCGCCTGTCAAACGAATCAAAAGAATCAGGCACCTTTATTAAATCACAAAATCAAACGTCTACGAGCGATTGAATGGCTTCATTTCCTCGTCATTCCAGCTGTACATTTTACCAGAGAGTTCCTGGGGTGGGCTGTTGGCCAAAGCAACCAACACATGGCCAGGATCTTCGGGCTGTACCAATTTGCCTGTGCGATGGAGTTCGATAAACTTGGCATGATCCTCCTTCATGCCCTGTTCACCTTCAGCACGGATAAGGTCTTGCATGGCGGTATCAACAACACCAGGACGAATAGCAATGGTAGTGACCTCTGGTTCCTCTACAGAAAGCGTATTGGCAATGTGATTGATGGTGGCCTTGGATCTATTCAAACCATTTCTTAGCTGACAGTTGCGTTTGACATGAACTTTTACTTACGCGCCATAAGCACCCCATCCTTTGTATCCCTTGAGGGCAGCACCGGAAGACACAATGATGATGGATCCCTTGGCTTTGCGAAGATGAGGCAAGGCAGCTTGCACAAGTGTGATGATGGAAAAGACATTGATATCAAAGAGTCTCTTCCAGCCTTCAAGAGGGCCGTCAGCAACAGGTGCAATGGGCTCCAACACACTAGACAAATCGTTCTCAGTCATCATAACAGCGATGCCATGCTAGATATGCTTACCCTGCATTGGCGACAACAGAGTCAAGTTGACCCCACTTGTCCACAGCCATGTTGACAGCCTTGTGGATGACTTTTTCATCGCAAACATCGCCCACAACGTACTCCAAATGGCTTCCCTTACCATAGTCAGCTTGGACTTGCTTCTTGAGCTGTTCCAACAGAGCCTCACTGCGAGCAATGGCAACGACCTTGGCATCGAATTTCTCAATGGCTTCCAGAGTAGCAGCCTTACCGATACCCTTGCTGGCACCTGTGATGATGATGACCTTGGATGGCATATTTTTAGCAGAAAACGAGAAAAAAACGTGGGGCAATTGATGTAGAGCACATGAGTTTAATAACCGGAGTCCTATTTCATGCTGCTACAAACTGGATAAACAAGTTGCTTAAAACAGTCATTTCTCTCTTTCTTTCTTTCTTCTCTCATACTCTCATTCTCTTTTTTCTCTCTGGCTCTTCATCTTGAAATGAACGAACAGTCAATGGCTACAGCACCTCTTGATCCAGATGTGCCAGAATCAAAAAGTTCCGATCCTGGCACCACAGCAGCTCGCCCCTTTGGCACAGCAGCAGCATCAGCAAGTGAAGTTGACCTTGAAGATGGGCCTTTATTCAGAGCAACCATCAAGGAATACGAAGGCCGGACCAGTGCTTTGAAAGCTCATTTGAAACGTATTCTCAAATCAGCCAGTGCGACATTGGAAGCCAAAAACAACCTGCTAGAACAAGACAAGCTCTTCATTGAAGCACTTAAAGAAGCCCCCTTCACAGAGCCATTGTTTACGCATTACCTTGATTCAACATGGTCCAAGCTCCATGAGCAACAAGAAAGACTGTCGTTTTGTATGCAGAACCTGCTGATCAGCCCACTACAAAAGCTGTACGATATGGACATCAAGACAGTGGACGCAAAACGAAAGCGATTTGAGGATGTCAGTAAGGAATACTATTCAAATCTATCAAAATACCTCAGCATAAAGACTCCTGGAAACACAAAAAAGCAAAAGACAGAGTCTGAATTCCTGGTGAAGAAGAGCGAATTTGATCTGGTACGATTTGACTACTACACCTTCTTGAGGGATCTTCATGGCGGAAAAAAAGAGCAAGAGATCTTGTACCATTTGTTAAATCACCATGAAAAGCAATATGCTTACTATCAATCAGTGCAAAAGACATTGGAGCCTCACAAAGAAGGCTTGGATCAGTTGGCAACCATCATTGCCGAAGCTTCCCGTGAGCAGAAAGCCGTGAATCAGGAACGACATGAAAAGAGAAAGATGTTAGTAGAGAAATACACCACACCCAATCCGACAGAAGACGAAAAAATCAAGAGAAAATCACTGTATGCCATGCTGTCACCAACCTCTATGGGCCCAACATCACCTACCAACTACGAATCGCTCTTGAATACACCCACGTCGCCACCTCATCTAGACCTTGGATCAAGTGCAACTGATACCAATGAACCGCCACCACTTCCTCCTGTTGGATTGGGCATTCATGTGTCTAATGCGTCAGCACCAACAGACAGTAAATTCAAAGGCATCCGTGATCTGGAGCAACAGGATCAAGATCTGATTCACAGCAGTGGACGCAAAAAGGAAGGGTTTCTATTTGCGCCCTCCAAACCCATCAAGAACACCAACACGCCTTCATTTGACATGTCGTCGACCGTCAATTGGCACAAGTACTGGTGCGTGTTGAGTGGTGGGCATTTGCACGAGTACAGTAATTGGAAAAAGCACTTGGAAACGCACATGGAGCCTATCGATTTAAGGTTTGCCACTGTGAGAGAAGCACGTAATGCTGATCGTCGGTTCTGTTTCGAGATCATTACACCCAATTTCCGTAGAATGTATCAAGCGACTTCCAACGAGGAGCTGTCCAGCTGGATGGCGACCATCAACAATGCGATTGGCAGCCTATTGAACGGGATGAGCAGCTCCACAGATCTCAAGAATGGCACCACCTTAAAGAAATCAAATACATGGAAGCAGGCGAGATCATTGAGCGGTGCCCTGAGTGGTTTAGCAGCTGCCAAGGACAAGTATTTGAAAAAGAGACATAGTCATCGCCATCACCACCATCATCACGGCGATCAAAAATTAGTCATTTCACCTCCTTTGCCCAATTATCCATTTTCTACGGGCAATCATACCACATCCAATGAACCGACAGCCACAGCCACAGCACCCAACACTGAGCTACTAGCGCAATTAAGAAGGGATCTGTCCAACACGATTTGTGCAGACTGCTCAGCCAAGAATCCAGATTGGTGTTCTCTCAACTTGGGCATTCTTATCTGTATAGGTCAGTAACGATTGTCGTGTCGTCAGATGATATCAAATCTAAATGACTAGTTGTCTATAGAATGCTCGGGTATCCACCGCAGTCTCGGAACACACATCTCCAAAGTAAGGTCATTGACACTGGACAGCGCTTCATTCACACCAGACATTGTTCAGCTCTTACTGTCTATCGGTAATGCGAAATCAAATGCAGTTTGGGAATCACAACTCCATGACACTTCCGCCATCAGCAAACCTATACCAACCGATACCAGAGATACCAAACTGAAGTATATCCAAGCAAAATACGTGGATAGATCTCTAGTCAAGCCCACATCGGGCATCCTGGATCCCATGAAACTGCTTTTCAGGGCCATTGAACACGATGATATCCCAAGCGCACTGTACGCTATTGCACTAGGAGCCAATGTCAACGAGCCCTTACCAAGTGATGTGTTAGTGCCTATCATCAAAAAGAAGAAATCCTCGCTACTCAAGTTGCCTCTTTTGGACGCACAGGGGAATGAGTATCCAGGTCGCACGCTTGACGTGGAGCAACATCCACCCAAGGGGGAAGACTTGTTTGTTGTGAGGTATGCGTTGCATTACGCCCTATTATCGCCACAGCAGTACCAGTTGGAGGACGTTGAAAGTAACAGCAGCAGCAGTGCCAGTGGTGTTGTCGGTCCTTTGTCCAATGCTACTGTCGATGATATTTCCATCAGTGCCAGTAACATGAGTAGTATGAGTAGTGATGAAAGCAGCACGCATAGCAGCAGCCCTAGTTGCACAACCACGAAGTCGCGCGTCTTCTCCATGGCGGAGTTCTTGTTTCAAAACGGTGCTGATGTAGCTACGGTGGATCCTTACACTGGCTGTTTACTAGCTGACTTGATCGGTTTGGGCGAGCTCGTGGAGGATGAAGCGATCGTCTATCTCAACATGAAAAACAGTTTGCGTGGTCAATCACCCATTGTTCGAAGTCAAACCCTGCCAACTCCTGTTGCTGCTCATGCCACTACCACTTCTACAGACACTTAATTTTCATAATTTGTTCATTTAAATCATATCACTTTTTTTTACTCATATCATTGTTCTCTGTCATAGCCTACTCATTAAAACTACATTACATTTCTTATTATTGTATTTGCCAAGTTAATCTACGTCTTCCTCATGACTATCTTGACTCTCCTCCTCTTCTTCTTCTTCTTCATTGGTATCCACAATCAATGTAGCACTAGGCCACAATCCCTTTTCATCTATGATTTTTTTACTTGGATCAGGGAGATAGACAGTCTTTGGAAACGGTGAGTGCATGGTAAACTTGTATTGGTGCACATAGTTCTCGGGCAAAGACACAGGCACATCGCTGACAATACTGTCCATATGAGAATACGCTTCAATGTACTCGTACAGAGACGCCAATGTATCATCGCCACTGAATTGTCGAATCACACGATCGCCGTTGGATAATCGAAAGCTGATCCGAGTTGCCTTTTGATCCGGTGTAATATCTCGTTTCAACGCATGCTGGCAAAGGTACTGAATGTATTGTCGACGCTTACGAGCCAATGTCTCCTTGGCTTGTTTGGCCTTGAGAGCAGCGTCCTTCTTTTTCTGTAGTAACTCTTGCTTTCGTTGATCTGCATTCAAACTCTCTCTGTAAGCTTGATCCTGCTCTTGTCGCAATCGACGTTCTGTCTCTCGTTGTGCTCTTTCCGCACGCAAATGATCGAGCGAATGGCCAATACGTGCAATGACACTATCGAAACGACGCATAATGGACGATGCTGACAGAGGGCCCTCCATGCGATCAACCACAGACATTTTGGAGGTGCCGTTGGTTTGTTGTAGAGCAATGATTGCCAGAAATGGGTATGTTGTTGCTTGGAGTGTGTTGCTTACTTGATATGCCTCTGTATATCGCACATTGCCAGCCCAACAAATGACTTGCTTCTGGTGCAAAAAATCCAACAGCTCTACATCTGTCAATGTCTCTCTAGATATGTGTGAATAGATGTTGTCTCAGTCAATCTGTTCAGTGGAATACCAACCGACAAAATGCATTGTTATCGTCATGCTCCTCGCTACATAAAATCACCAGCATGTATTTCAATTCCTTTTTGGCCGCTTTCAATGCCTGTGTGTATCCTCCCTCGCTGAAAAATTCTGGGTGTGTTGTGCCATAGGTTGATTCGAAATCACGCAAGAATCTATCAGCTTCTGTTCGAGCATCTCGTCGGGGTCCTGTGATGGAAGGTCGATATAGCAGGCGAGCTAAGAACGGGATGATGAGCCACTATAAAACACAGCAATTGGCATTCATCTTACCTGTGAAATGAAACAGACTTCCAATAATACGCCATGCCAAGCTAAATGGCCACATGAATATCCACAAAAGCCGTTTATTCGAGGAACTGGCATTTGTGCCTGCATTATTGCCTAGCAATGCTGAAGTGGAGGAAAGGGAATCTTGCTCATGATGGGCTGCGTAGCTTCTGGAATCCGTATTTTGATAAGAGTTTTGTTCAGCAAGCTAGCATTGCTATGTATATCAGCGTAGGCTCCTTCCTCAGCGTGTCTAGGTACTCACCTCAATGTCCCAATTGTTCTCTCTTAAAATGCGAATAGATGTTGTGATGTCTTCTGAATATGTTCTGCTCTTTTCATACGCAACTTATTAGCCAATGTCAGAGGTTTACGAGACATCTCACCTACTTGGTATTGCTCTAAAACGCTTCTTTGATGATCAGTTAAACTATTCAAAGCGTCCATAATGAATACACATGAAGGAGGGAAAGCCCATTGAAACGGCCCTTGAATACGTTGCTTGTTTGTACACTGCTGGTCCAATGTGGTTCGGCGGCTCTCCCGTCTATGCCTGATATACTAGCACCGCCACCGAAATCTGAAATAAAATCAGATTCAAAATGATGAAAAGCATTTTTCTGTATCTTCCGAGCGTTTCGTATCTCAAAGGAGTTAAATCGTTACTTACGCAAGTTTATCATCAAAGTAAGTTGACAAAGACATCCACTCAATGGATGGATCAATGGGTAGATGGATGGATGGATTAACCAACAAATCTATAGAATGAAGTATCTCGCTGCCTATCTTCTTCTCAACGCCGGTGGTAAGGCCAACCCTGCTGCTGCTGATATCAAGTCTCTTTTGAGCTCTGTTGGTATTGAATCCGAGGAGGAACGTGTTTCCTCTTTGATCTCTGCTCTCGCCGAGAAGAATGTTGAGGAACTCATTGCTGAGGGTAAGGAGAAGATGTCCTCTGTCCCTACTGGTGGTGCTGTTGCCGCTTCCGGTGCTGCTGCCGCTTCCACTGATGCCCCTGCTGCTGAAGAGAAGGAAGAGGAGAAGGAAGAATCTGATGACGATATGGGTTTCGGTCTCTTTGATTAAATTGCTTCAATCTAAAAGATTTGAATGTTTATTATCACCTCGTAATAATAAAATGTCCAACCCCCCATACAGTATTTTATACTTCATCCAAATCAATCTGTCCTGTTTTTGTTGCCATTGATGTGTAATCAGAAGAGCTTTGAGCGGTCAGGAGAGGTAGGAAATTTAACGAGGAGAGTGGTATCAGAACATCAAATGGACAGCCAGTGGTGAGTTGTTTTGATGTTTATTAGTGTTCTGAGAAAGATTGATGTATACTATGTATATATGAGAAAGAGGTGGGAGATTATTGTGTAAATTGTATATGAGAGATCAAAAAAATAGTATGGATCTAGATGTTATTGTTCAATTGCCATTTTTCACGGGATAAGCTATATTGTTGCTGCTGTCCTAATTGTGTTGATTGAGAAGAATGAGGTTGACTCATGACTTGCGCCTGTGCCTGATTCATGGCTTGCTGTTGAGCATGAGCTTGATTCATAGCTTGTTGTTGTTGTTGTTGCAAATGCAGTAAGTGAGGTGGAGGTGTTTGTTGCATCATTTGCTGTCTCTGAAGAGCAGCAGCTTCAATAAACTGTTGATGGTGCTGCTGCTGTTGTTGCTGTTGCTGCTGCTGCTGCTGCTGTTGTTGTTGTTGTTGTTGTTGTTGCTGATGGACATGCTCTTGATGGTAACGTAACCCATTCGCAGTTCTATAGGCTTTCTTACAACCAGGCGCTTGGCATTGATAAGGTTTAGCGTTGGCAGTATCACCCTCAGCTGTTAGGTTACCATGCCCCGACGACCCTTTGGCTTCACGTAGATGATATTGCAGCCCATTGATGTTCTTGTATCGCTTTGGACAGTTTGGCATAGCACATCGATAGGGCTTGAAAACCTCCTCTGCATTGGGATGAGCGCTTTTCATATGATAAAATAACCCATTGGATGCTGAAAAAGTAGCAAAGCATCCAACCACACCACACCCATATGCTTCAATCTCACCATTGCTGTTGAACAGATTGGCTGATTGTTGTGTTGTTTGCTGCGGTTGATGCTGCTGCTGCTGCTGCTGCTGCTGCTGCTGCAATTGTTGTCTTTGTTGTGGATTTTGAGGATAAGGTGCTGATGTGGACATGACTCGACTACCACGGTCGTCTCTCATGTTGGTAGGCATAGTTCGATATTGCATCAAGACGGTTGGATCTGCATGTTGTTGTTGACCTAACTGTGCTGTAGACGTTGTTAAGGGTGGTGGTGGTATCATGGGAGATCTATCGCTGTCATGTCAATATCAAACCTTAAACATCTAGCCTCTCTACAATACCTCTTATTTTTCTCTGCCATCCACTTCTCCTGCTGCTGTGATTGCTGATGATGCGCTCCATTACTTGCCTTCATGTGAGGGGATGGCGAATTCAAAGGCGGCAAAGTAGGCAGATCGCTCCCGTTATTCGTCCCTGTGGCGTTAGTATGTACCATCCGGCTGATGTCGACTGCATTACTTCCGTTGCTGTTGTAGTTTGGCTGTGTCAAGCCTGCCACGATATCTTGCTGCGATAGATGGTGTCAAAAAGTTAAATTTCTATACTACGCGTTTACCGGATGCTTGCGCACTGCCATATACTTACAGAATGGAAGTGGTTACTGTTAGTGTACGATCCCTGTTGTTGAAGTTGAGCCGTGGGCGAAGCAACAGGAGAGCTCGTGTTTCTGTATGCTGTTGCATTTGCATTCGTGGCCACGGCAGGGCTGCCAGCGTTTGCTTGGTTGTTGCGAAAGGCATTTCTCTGGCTAGGCGAGGACTGACCAGCGCCTGCATTAGGTGGTCCATTTGATGATCTGATAGAGCTGTAAGGATACTGCTGTGCTAACAAAGATGTGCTTTTGGGCTTGTTGAAAGCCATATGAGGCGATGCATTATTGCTGTCCGTGGATGATTCATTCAGATTCTTTGGAGTGGCACTAGGACTATCGCCAGATTGACCAGAAACGTAATTGTGGAAATTCGGAAGGCTCGCGCCACGAGTATGATCAGATGTAGGTGGGTAAGAAGATTGACTGTATGGATATGGCTGTTGTTGTTGTTGTTGTTGTTGCTGTTTAGGTTGCTGTTGCTGCTGTTGATGAAGGCCTTGGTTTTGAGCTGATTGTCCGTTGGATGGCCCTTGTTGCTGTTGTTGTTGCTGTTGTTGTTGTTGTTGTTGTCGTTCTCCTTGGCCATGTTGACCATAACCATATACTTGCTGATACTATGAAGTCAAGGAGAAGATGAGTAAATTCGAGATGGAATTCCTCCAAAAAAAAAAATAAATTAATTATGCTTTACCATATTTTTTTTTTTTTTTTTTTTCTATATTTGTATGAATAGAAAAAAAAATTGTTTGTGTGTTTTTTTTTTTTTTTTTTTTTTCTTCCCTTCTTTATCCTCCACATTTGATAGGGAGGATTCTTTTTCAGCTGCAATACAGGCCAATGAGAATCTGTTCCAACCAATACAACAGTAATGAACTCATCATACACTGAGACCTGAGACCAACTAGAACTGCGTGTGTGTGTGTGTTTGACCCTCAACCACATCTCTAATGACAACCAAATTGTCAGTTTTCAAATGTCTTTTTTGGTTGCAAATGGCGAATAGGATGGGGAAACTTGCGACATTTGTATATAACACCAGATTTAGGAATCTTGCCTGGATTCAATTTTACGTGCTTGAAAACATTTGATTCATAAACCAGGTATTATGCATGCGGTTTCATTGCAAAACATGGGGACTCGGATGGAGATTGCCTTAAAAATACAGCTTGTTGATATCTTTCAATGTTCTATTATTTCGCTCTGATCATGCCATCGCCAGCGACATCGCAACTTAGTCGGCATTCTGCTTCGTTTCTTGCCTCCTCGATATTTGAGTAGTAAAACACTAATCGTTTGAATTAGCTAAAATTGATGGAAACTTGGCTCCAACCTATATTTTCATCATTTATAAATGTAAAATTGACTCAAAATCACATACAGTGTTAGACAAGGTAACATTTACATTAGGAACCGCAATTTAGTGAGCAATTTATAGCGATAAAAAAGCAGAGATATGAGGATACGTAACCGAATCAAGCGATATGTGTCAGGCTATGTCACATTGCATTTGAGATCGCAATTCCCTTCCTATTCGCTTCAGAAGCATCGATTTTCTTCATAGGAGGGACATTCTGGCCAGACGCCAAAACGATTTAAAACTTCGGTTCGTATTTTCTTTCTGGACTGGCTTGATTTTGTTCAATATCGATTTGATTTTATTTGTTTTGCGAATTCGACTATGAAAATTGTGCTGATCATCCCGTACTTCCTAATGCACCTTTAAAGATCTTTTCAAGGCACATCCAATGGTGCTATTTACGCGAGGAGTTTTGAACAAAGTTATTGAGAAAATTATAGAAATATGAAATTGCTATTTTGGCCAAAAAGTCGAGGTTTTACGTACCAAGGTCTTGCAAACAAGTTTTCAGGGGTTGCTTTGGATCGAGAGAAACATTTTGATTTAATATATAACATAGTAAAAGTGTTCATGTTCGAGGTCAAAAACGCGATCGTTTGATTTTTGATGAAAATCATGAGGTATCCCTCATGGTTTTTGGTCGGTTTTCGACGATCCCAAAAGAGTTGAGCAAAGGTGCCAGAAAGTAAGTCCTAATCGAGAGCAATTGTTTGGTGTTGCTCTGGCAGTATAAAACGGTTTTTAACGCGAGAGATTACGGCCGAAATGCATCTAACTTTAGCTGTGTTTTGCATACATTTGAGCAATAAAAGGTAATATCAGTGTATTGGATATCCCGTGCATAAAATTTTCTCGTTGATCCAGATGGAAAGCATCGCAGAAAAGTCAAATCCGCAGTTTCAATGGCTAGAGAGTAACAAAAAGGCTCGTACACATACTGCCATTCGGCCACCCACTAATTTATTAAATATGCTCTGAAAATGGCAATTCAGTATTCCTCGTCGTGTCTGAATCTGGGTTCGTCAGTTCTGAAATTATTGAGGTCCTTTATACGGTGAACATCGATGCAAAGTTTGATATTGTAAAAAAGCATGCCGGCATTTCCTTGGTTTAACAAAAATATCACAAGCAGATGTTCTTCAGGATCAAGCTCTGGGGATTGCAGTTGGAAGACATGGCGTGAAATGAATACCAATCAGGATTTCAATCTCTAAGCAGCATAATAAAATGGATACAACAAATAGCAGAGCACAACTCCACATCTACAGTCTTAGCAAACCCCTTTGCTTTGTTACTGGGGATCATTTTGATTATTCATTATCTATCATACAGCCAGAAGCCGTTACCAGCAGCAGTGAAGTTTGGGACCCAAATAAATTCCACCAAGACAAGATGGATGAGCATTTTGGAGCGATTGTGGCGAGTAACTGAACGCGAAATGAGCTTGCTTAGATTGACACACAACAGCTTGCATGATTGCTAGGCTTAAAATACAAAAACGGATCAGACAAGATACAAAATGATGATCGCAATGTTCAAAACGTTCATTTTCAGTCCAGCAATGCTACAAGCCTGCATCAAAGCACTGTATAGCCTTAACTTTTAATTCTTTATGCTGTTTTCCTCCTATAACAATTTGCACAAGCCGCCAAAAAGCGTATAAATAAACAATTTGAATGTATCCAGCATAGATTTCTAGCTTCTATCCAAAAAAAAAAGCACAACTCAAAATGCTTTCACCACAAAATATGAGTGTACAAAATCTATACAAGGATTGATAGTTTTGCAAAATACAGATACATCAAGAGATGTATAGTAATACAGATCATTCGCTGTCTACTCCATAGAATATGGCATCACTACCTGTCGCAAGCAATTCCTTTTGGTATGCCATCATGTCCAAGTACTGGTGAGCTTATAGTCAATAAGCACGAATCTTGTTTTCATTGAAGGGCATCCTGCCGTATTCGACATGGAAAACGCAATGTCATGCTTGTATACTCTTCCCCCCCCCCAGACAAACAAGATTGCATATAAAGTCGTAATGCAAATACAATATACTCAAATTACGCCTTGATTTCGTATACATTCACCTCTTCCCAAATATAAGCTTTGCCTTGATAAGAAACAGAAAAATCTCGACTTCTTTCTAGCCATGAATCGACACTCAAAATACCAAATCAAACATGCTCCCCAAGACAGCTCTCATACCGGCTTTCATATGCGTTGCAACTGCATCCAATGTGTACCTTTGACCGAAACCCTACTAGGGTACCGCCTCCAGTAATGCCTATGTTTGCAACGAAAAATATCCTGATGATAGTATATAAGTCCTCAGGCAAACAGAAGGTATTTGACATCACTCTCATACATGTTGCGGGATGTCCAACGCCGCATGGTGTGGACGGTTAAACGACTTGCAATGACTACGGTGCTGATTGAAATATGTTAATAAATACACTGAGAGTCGCGGTCTCTTTTCAAGCAATGCAACGGCCAAATACTGCAAATTGGAACAGTTTGATTGAGAAATCATAGTCTTTTCTACACAAACCTACATGCTATAATCTCAAACGCAGTGCTCACTCTTGCATTAGTTTGTAGTGCTAGCTTGCAAATGCTGATAGCATAATGCACTCATACTTATTTGTACCGCATTTGCAAATGGTAGATTGTAAAACAATGTTATGTAACCCTTGATGTTGCCACACAATGCTCTTGGTTTCTCGGGGATAATTTCAAATTAGCAATTGCTCACGCACCTATACTAGCAACATTGGATAAGTGAGCATCGCATAAGTCTTGTGCAAACTGTGAGAATTTGGCTTCGCTCTATTACGCAAATGATTTGATACTGTAGTCTCATACTATCCAATCATATATATCCCTATAACCAATGACGTGCCTGGATGCTGCAACCTACATATGATCTGCAATCTCGAAAGCTCCGTGTCTTCCATGTTTATATACGCTCACTTTGTAGAAGATGAACGTAAAGTCATGGTGTGCATGCAGTTCGCGCCTTGTTGCGTGTCATCAGGTACTGATCACCCTCCTTGATCAAACAATCTTTGCCATCAGCTTGGGACCACAGGTATATAAATATCTTGGTTTCTGAACAAAATTCAACATTCAAAAACATCAAATCAAACATGCTTATCAAGACTGCTCTCATCTCTGCCTTCGTTTCCGTTGCAACTGCATCTACGTGTCTCTATACCAAACGCTGCTATGGTATCGCCTATGGTGGTGGCTATGTTTGCGGTCAAGAATATCCTGATGGCGGTAGAGCTACTGGTAAAAAGGTAGCCTGTCCTGGCTTTGCTTTGTACGCTCACGAGTGCTGTGGAATCACCAAGGCTGTCACGAAGGAATGCAAGTGGTCTTACTGTGGTGGCTTCACAATTGCAGGTCAAACTACTTGCAATGACAGCTTCGGATCCGGCTGGAAGTACAGTGGTAAATACGAGCCTTCTGACTGTAAATTCACCAATTCAAGAGTCGAATGTTGTAAAGAACAATCATACTAGTGTAGATCCAGTTCTGCTATACATCAATAAAATTTGAACACCCACATTCTGAGACAGAGTGTGCTAATGAAATTATAAACTTTGGCTGTATTCATTGATTATTGAAGTATCAGGAATCGAGAGTCTCCGTCCTTTATGCCATATGTTGTATCAAGATAATCTAAAAGATACAATGTTCAGTGCTGAGATCTGTTCAACTTTACTCAGTTTCAGAAGCTAATGCAGAGAGGAAATCTGTTCATACCTGAGATCTGAAGATTCTGCTGTTGGTAATCACATTTCATCTAGATACATAAAGCAACAGGATTCTGCAAATCCTCAAAATGCAGATATGTGAAGAGGAGACGAGCAGTGGGATCTACAGGTAAGCAAACACAAACAAGGGGTAATCAGAATGTTTACACGCTTTCTTTACTTTACGTGTTTGTAAGGATGGAAGACGACTACTTTGTGGTTTGCTGTTTGTGTGCTGTTTTGTTTAACTAGTCTTTGCTACAAGACAATTGGGATGGGATCCGAATGTACATTGTGATACAATCTCTAGCAAGCTCTGTAACCCAGTGTCTTCTAATGTTTACTCTAAAAACCAGGGTTTATTATTACGCCACTGTGCATGCAATGTTACGCATTATCACTGTACATGTATACATAACTTGTTGAAAATCTACGATGATCATGGTTCTCAAAGCAGCTCTCCTTTCTGCCTTCGATTCCGTTGCAACTGCATTTACGCGTTGATGGACACCTGTTTGATTTGGTACAGCTTACGGCAATGGTTATGCTTGTCACCAGGAACCTCCTCACGGTTTCACACCTTGTGGCAAATCTGGACCTTGTGCCAATGAATTAGGCAAGATGTACGAATGTTGTGGTACGGCCCAGTCTGTTACAAAGGAATGCAAAGGGACTTATTGCGTGTGTATCACTTGTTGGTGTTGCTAAAATGCTCAACTCCCATTTAAACAGATTACTAACGCTATGAATAGTAGCTCTTTTATTGCAAACATGTATTTAGCTCTGTTTGGTCTTTCTTTGTTTTACCAAGCTTCTGCTGCGTATCAACTTCCAAGTGCCAACACAAAAGACGCCGATGGTTGCCACAGAAAGTAATATAGCCACACCAAATAGACACCAAATATCGATATTATGTGCCTTGATGTATGTCATTCGCTTGTCCGCAGTTTCACGATGAGGGAGGCGGCCGTCTTTGCTAGTGTACAGAACCTCTTCGATTATATTTGCACCTCGAAGTATACCGTGATCCGAGTGAATATGGACAAGTGCTTGATAGCGCTGCACATTTCTACCAATATCCTCGCTGTTTGCTACAGTGCAAACCAAATTAGCTGCTTGTTCAGGGTTGAAATAGGGTCGCATGATTGCTCCCAATCCGCTGCTTTCAATAGCATTTGCATTCAAAGGTTGATCGCCATAGAAAGGATACATGATCATTCGCTTGCCTGCATACATTGACTCATACCAAGAGCCCAATCCACCGTGCGAGACAAATAGTGTGGTAGAGGGATGCAAAAGAACCGCAGTTTGAGGTGTCCATTTCTCCATACGCATATGAGGGTACACTTGGTTGAAGATGTCTTGCATCAAGTAGGTCTTACCAGACAATGTCTTGATTTCGCTCGGGAATCTATCCATTGTAGCACCTACAGTTGCCCAAAGAAACCCATCCAATGCACCGCGTTCAATCCCATTCATGACAGCTGTCAAAAGTAACCTGATGTTGTTTGTAGATGGCACGCTGGACTGGCCAAAAGCGACGTAAGCAACCTTCTTGTGAGCATCCAGAAAGCTTTGAAGGTCTGGTGTAAGAGGCTTGTACTTTTTAGGGATGATTGGGCCCACCATCTCTACCATGGGAGACATGGGTCTTGGAGCAGTGAATCCGTACAGGTTGTTGACTAGTTTGAGTGAGTGTTGCCATTTTTTGTAAGGATCTTCTAGTTTAGCGTCGATACCAAGTAGCTTTTTCTGAGCAACCAAACCTCTCATTGTAGGAAGCAGGTGGTAAAAGCCCTTCAAAGGCATTACAAATTTGTTGTTGAAGCGTGTAGCAATGGATTCGTTCTCTGTCGTTGGATTTTTCATAATCATGATATCATTATTGATGTATGGTGCGCTTGATTCTATGTGTTATCTGTTAACAAAGTACTTACATTGTGGTGCTTGAGTATGATACCTACCTTTTGTGTAATCAGCAGTTGCAGTTACAATGAAGGGAAGATTTGAAGCGATTGCTGCTTCTACGCAAGATTCCGCAATGTGATCGCAAATGACCAAATCAATCTGGTTCTCTGCAAAGAAGTTTTTCGCAAATGTAAAATCTAGCATGCTAAGGTTATGGATGCTGTATCTTTTGTAATATTGTTGGAGTACTTGCCTTTAGAAAAGTTGATGAACATGCTATCAAGTAGAGGCTTCATAAACTGAAAGAAGGTAAAGTTGGGATCCTCAAAGACAGTTGTGTCCATTGTTCTCTGGTCAACACTAGGCCCGGTTGGCACAGTTTTGACCAGGGTGAAAGGCTCGCCATATTTAGCATCTTCATCCTATAACGCCAATCAGTATTTCAATAAGCAAGGCAGCAAAGATACTTACAGCTGACAAAAAGTAAAACGTGTGTCCCCTTTGGCCAAGCTCCTGACCGATGCTCAGAACCCAGTTATAGTGAGATGTACCACCCGTTATAGAGAAAAAGGCAATGTTCTTGCGCTGGGCATTTTGAATTGTTGATTTGAGCTCCAGCAACGTCGACTGTGCTTGAGCTGTGGAGGCAGCAAGTATACTGACAGCGCATAAAGCAGCAGAGAATGGCTTTGGTTTAAAAGTAAGTTTCATATGTTAGTGTAAGGGGACATCCAGAAGGTTTGGTTCTTGTGTCCTTTTTATATATTCTGGAGAAATTGGATAATCGAATGCCCCAGACAAAGCAGGCGGAAAAAGCGCAACAACATCCAGGGTCTTTCAGGTACGAGAAATTGCTTTAAAAAGTAAAAGCTCATACGTTTCATGGTGCTAGCTATATGACTCAAATATTTTCGTGTAAAATGCATACCAATATCATTCCACTTCTTCTCTACCGAATACGAGTCTAAAATCAGCAAATGTTGTCATACAATGATCTGAGCCCCATCATGCAAACTGCTCTACGGTCATTGCGGCGACTTAGACCCGATCAACCGCGCATGGCCATCGATACTGCTGATTATAGTACCATCTCAAAAGGACAACATCCATTTATCGGCTAGATATCATGATAAAGTAGATGGCAAACAGCTTTTCCCAGACGATATGACACACTTTATCCGATTCCACGAGATGATGCAAGTGCTTTGACATCAGATCAAAGAATTGATATAAAATTTGATCCGCAGCAATTTTTTTTTCCCTTTCTCTCTTGCTCTCCAAGTGAACTACATTAGAAGCAAACATGCCAAAAGGTAACTATTGACTTTTTAGAATTAACAAACGATCGATTGCATGCCTAAAGTGGAACGCCTAGTAATCTGGATTGTGGTAAGTCGTGATGTAGCTCTATGTTGCATAGCTGCAAACATAGGATACACAAGGTGGGTTGCCATACGTATGGAAATGAGCAGCTCCAAGGAAAGAGAATTGTGCACAATGGCGGGAATAGAGAGAACAGTAGACTGGACAACCTCAAGGCTTTCAAAGAGTGAAGAAGCTGCTCTATCTTGGTAAAGTAGTGTACGGATTTCACAAGTTTGTTCATGTGATATTGAAAGTGTATCACCAAGGTCAATCTATTAGACGCGGTGCACTACCAATGACTTGTAAACCAGTGGTTTGCTATCGGCTGGTATTGTATCATATATTTATTTATACAAAAAGAAGAAAAGAGTAAAAAAAAAAAAAAAAGAGAGAGAGAGAGAAAAACGTCTAAATTAATTATTATAATGCATTTAATGTAAGAATAGGTTACCACATGCCACTTTGCTGTTGTGGCCCTGCATTTTGCTGCTGCTGCTGCTGCTGCTCGTATTGCTGCTGTAATTGTAATTGTGTTTGCTGCTGTTGTGAAGGCTGTGATTGATTCATGTTCATGGCGGACAGTGGCTCATTTGTGTTCTGCGAGGGCTGGTCTTGCTGTTGTTGAGATCTGAAATTCTGGTTGCTGAAATAGCTATTCCACTCATCGATATCAAACGACATGGGCACACCCCAGAAGGCAGTGCCAATGGGATCAAATGGCCTATCACCGCTAGGATAGCTCAATCTAGCATTGTCCCCTCTGTTAGTTGGCGTCGATGCGTAGTTGTTGTTTGGCGGTGTGGTGTTATAGGTGAGTGGTGTAGATTGCGCGCTGGCTGTATTGTTGTTGTTATTGTACGGCGAATCTGTTACACTCTCATTCTTGATGCTCACTGGCATATTATTCGCGTATTGAGTAAGATATTCGGGAAACTTGTGCTCGGTGCCTCGTTGAGCATCGATGGGGTTTCTGAATTCCAGTGGTGATGGTGGTGGTGCGTCGTTGTTGAGTGGTATGATGGGTGAATTTGGCACTGCAATGGATAATGCCTCTGGTGGCTTCAATGCGTCACTAGCAGGCGCTGGCCTGTTGTATCCCTCATCCACATTCTCCAAGTTGATATCCCTCAAACCTGCCAGCTCACCGAGAATATTGCAATGGCGAGCTGATGTAATCCAGGTAGTCTCTACTTCGTCCATGGCACGGATAATCTTGTTGATACTGATCTTTGCTTCAAAGGCAAACATGGCATCGGATGAAAGGGCATCGTTGATAAAGATGATGCCAGCTGTGAACATGAAATAGAGTGCGTAGTTGTTGACATTCTTCAGTCTTCCTTCTGCCATCAAACATTCGACAATATCCAGGATTTTGTTGGCAGCAAATGTACAGATCGATGCTGATGGGAATACAGAAGGCGTACCAGTTTGTGTGGGGCCAGGAATGAATGGTCGATGGAGCAGGATCAAACTGGTGTAAAAGAGCATGTGGATTTGACAGATCTCCAATTTGGGAGCAGGCGCTTTCTCGGCCATGCGAGTATTGGGAGGTCGATACTGCAGACAAGCGGGCAATTTGGCCATCCACTTGTTGAGAGCACGATCAAGCTTGGATATCACTGCATCAGGAGAAGCCATCATAGCAATTTGCTTTCGTCCCTTGACCATGTACAGTTGGCACAGAATCTCGCCTAGAATTTCACATAATTTGATCAGTTGGTGAAAGTCTTCAATAATGGTGGGTTTGTTGTTTTTGTCGTCTTCGTCGACTTCAGAGGGGTAGGGTGTGTCCAGATCACGGGCGTCAATCATGGGTGCTCTTCCATGCATGGCACATGTCAATCGATCCACTACAAAACTGCAGTAAAACACACGCTTCCGCTCTTCTTTTTCAGCATCTGATAGGTTCCAAGTATCACAATTTCTGTTTAAACCTAAATTTTGACACATTCGGAAGGCCTATCGAATCAGAAACTTGTGTCAATATTGTGCAATCTCAAATAGTGTCCACCTACTTACCAAACCACTATACAACCAACCACGGATATTTTTTAAAGCGCCATTTTGATGGCTACTCAGTAGCAACAAGGACTGCACAGTGGATACTCTGAAATCATCCCACTCGAAATCAAGCAAAATCCTGGCTCTCTCCAGAAAAATATCACCTGCAGTATCACGCAGTGCTGGATCAGATCTCACTCTGACGTCAGGTGAGATACGAGATGCCACACAATAGATAGCATTCAACAGCAGGGGTGGAGGAGGTGTTTGATCGGGCTCAAGAGAAGCCAAAAAGGATTTCTTGTGTAGGAGTGGCAATAATGGATAGAAATGAGTGAAATACAAATCGAGCAAATGCTTGGATAAATCAGGAGGAGGCAGCTCGAATGGATCTACGGCTAAGGGATTTGGCAGAACCTTTTGACCGTCAGGACGCTTTGTACGATGATAACCTCTGGAGTTGAAATGGAAGGCACCATTCTGAAAGTTTTTACTACCTCTCAACATGTAAAAGCCGGATGATTTGCCATAGTAGCGCAGCTGACCGCTCTCATCAATAGACAGGTTTCCCAAGGTTTCGTTGGCATTCTCTTCAGTGGAATTGGCTTGCGGCATATGCTCGTCATTATTGTTTGTAATGGAAATAGACGGTGCATCATGTAACACAGCTTCATTGGTGGTATGTAGTTGATCGTCGAGGCCATCCTTGCGAGCAGGACGAGGTCGAACGAGTTCACCGTAAGCAGTTTCTAGAGGAGCGTTCAATTCGGCCAGAATAGCTTGAGAGCGAGGATCATCTTCTTGGATAATGCTGCCCAAGAGAGCTTCCAATCTATGCAATCTTCCTTCAATGGCTTCAATGTAACCTTTGGGAGGTCCTCTCTACACGAATGCACAGCGACTGTCAGGCCATATGATGCCTGCATGGTTGCTATAGCAGCTTACCTTCTTTGTTGATTCCTTGTATGTGCATGGCAGCCCTAATGAAACACAATTACTGCACACAGCCTGAGCGCCATCACATTTGACTTTTTTCCTTCGGCACTGCTCACTATGGAATATCAAATGTTGAGTAAATCAATTGCGACGACAAGGTTCATGCTTATGGTACCATGCTTTGCTGACACGTTGACGTTTGCTATGTTCATCCGGCATTTTCGTATTTCTTGTTTAAATAAATACAAAAAAAAAGAAATATATATATATATATAAAAGAGTATTTTCACAGGAAATGTCAAACAAAAAGAAGAAGAAAGAAAAAAATGATCATCAAACAGAAACACAGATGTATGATACTGGTTAAGACTCAGAAACAGTGTGATTCATGTTTATTTCGTATTTTACACACCATGTCCAATTGGAGCATGTTGATTCAAAGCATTGCTTGGATCAGAATTAATTTATTTGATATACATTTATGCAAAATAGTGAAGGATATATATATATATATATGTACACTGCGAAAAAAAAAGGGAAAACGGTATCTGAGTAATGAAATCCAACATGACAGCAATTGGAAAATCATTGTTGATTTTTCAACATTCGAAACTGTGGATGAAAAAAGAAATCACCAAAGTTTAACGCTTTGAGTATCCAGCACAGGTCCACATGATGAGCTTCCAGATCACTGCAATACCAGCTAAACCAGCAACAACAGCACCACCGTAGAGCAAACCATCATGGAGAACTGTGTTACATAAAGTGCCGCATGCATTTTGTGCTGCCTCAGCTACGCTACTACATTGATTATTGCATTTATCCCGCACCACCTTGGAAGCAATCATCATGGCAACACCGGCTGCAACAAAAGCACAACTAACCAGCAGGCAAAAGAAGGAGCAGCATGTAATAGCTGGATTGTAACAGCAGCAGTTGCAGCCACCACGATCCTTTTCTTGTGTAGGTCTATATTTGTATGTTTCTGCTTCATTCTCGGGCGCAAGTGTAGGTCTAGCTAGATAGGGTTGATACTGTTGGTTCTTTTGCATCTTATCCAGCTTCTTTTGTTCCTTCTTGCTTAGAATGGGTTTTTGTACCATAGGTGTCTTTTCGGCCTCTTCATAGTCCTCTTTGGCGAATGAATTCAATGGAATGGTTTGATTTGGTCTAGGGGATACATTAGTTACATCTGGTACCGGTGGAGATGCCGCAAATTCGTTATGATAGGATGTGGGTTGTTGGCTCTGTCGCAGATATTCTTCTCTTTCCTGTCTCAAGTATTCATCAAGGGATTGTCCATGAGGATCATTGTAGTCGTTCACGCCCTGTACATGGCTTTCTTCATCTAAACGGTGGCTATAGGGCTGTTGATAATAGTCATTCACCACGGGTGGTGGGGGTGGCAATGGGACATAGGTCTCTACTTGTGGTTGTGATAAAATGGGTGGAGTTGATGTAGAATAGACAGGATAAGATGGTTCTTGATAATAAGCGCCAGCTGCAGTCGTTGGTGGATGTTCTACTACTGGAGATTGGAGTGGAGGTGGAGGTGGATATTGGCCAGCGAATGGATCAGGATGGCTAGAGTTGTTGTTGTGAGAATACATTAAAGTGAAAAAGAAGAGGGAAAGAGAATGAGAAAAAAAGGGATAAAAGGGAAACAGAAAGCTATTTATTTTATATTAGGACTTTTTTCTTGGGCGTTATTTTTAGAACACTTCGTTTATAGAAAACATCAGCCTTTTCTTGGCGATACACTGTTAACATTCTCTTGCAATCCATCCTGCGATATTCAAAGTCAAACATGGTTGATGGCCAATTTAGCTCTATATATGGGACTGAATGGAACAATCATTCGCAGCCTCATTGTGTAATTGTATTAAATATGGAAGGGGTAAAAAAAAAAAATTCAAGATACACTTTCCTTTTTTTTTTAAAAAAAAAATTGCATACAATAAAAAGAGTTGCTCATCTTGGTACAAACCATGACTTGGGTCAGATTTGATTAGTGAGGGTTAGTACTGAGCGCAGTAACCGTTCTTTTCTGGCTTGTCTCTTGGCAGATGATGTGGATGCATCCACATGAAATTGAATAAAGACACTGTTATTCCCTTGGATACACGGAGGACACCAAACCAAATCTATAAATGATTTGGTGGTACCATGAATGATGCAAGGGATCTGTCTCGCATTGGTCAATCAAAACATTTGGTCTATTTGGATCCGACTGGTTTGAGAATCCTATTTTCATGATGAATCACAATAAGGGGTTCATGGTGTCCTTAAGACTGCTAGAGCCTGACAATGTAAATAACAAAATGGACGCCTTGGCATAGACTTTGTCATGGTAGCTACATTCTGTAAATTGGCCCTCAAATGACTCTAATTCAATGTAAATTAAACAAAGTTGGTTTTCGTAATCAATTTGTACAACTCGACATGACCTATTTCAAAAGTGCGCCAGACACACTTACCGGATCGAAAGGGGTTTGCTAGTATCAATTAAATTTATTGTTAATACAAATGCTTTGACCTGACGAGCTCTACCAATATATGCTCAAATTTCACTTACTTTCACATGAGATCCATCCGTACGCTTCTGAACTTGGCTCTTTTAGAGTGCTCCACGCCTGTACCAATAAGGACTATGCAACTACAAACGACAGCTTACTTGCATTATCTCTATTACTCAAATGTATGCAAAACACAGCTAAAGTTAGATGCATTTCGGCCGTAATCTCTCGCGTTAAAAACCGTTTTATACTGCCAGAGCAACACCAAACAATTGCTCTCGATTAGGACTTACTTTCTGGCACCTTTGCTCAACTCTTTTGGGATCGTCGAAAACCGACCAAAAACCATGAGGGATACCTCATGATTTTCATCAAAAATCAAACGATCGCGTTTTTGACCTCGAACATGAACACTTTTACTATGGTATATATATATATATATATATTAAATCAAAATGTTTTTCTCGATCCAAAGCAACCTCTGAAACCACTTTTATGAGGTTTTCATATGCAAAACATGGCTATCTTCGCTAAAAACCTCATTTCAAATTTTATTAAATCGCTCGATAAGTTCAGTCAAAACACTTGATACAGTTACCATCATTGGAAGCGTCTTGAAAAGTACTTCAAGAATGTATTAGGAAGCGTAGGGTGATCATTACAGTTTATATAGTCAAACATCATAAAATAGATTAACGAAGTCGAAAAAAAGACAATATCTGTCCAATCCTGAACAGGAAAAAAATAAACTGAGTTTGAATTAATTTTGGCGGTGGCATTGCTGCTGTCTGACCCAAATGCCTTTCTGTTGATGACAATGATGATTGCGGTGCTGATTAAATGGGGGGGGGGGAAATGAGGTTGAAAGGGAAAGTGTTTAGCGCAAACACTTTTTTCAGAAGCGTTGCCTTATGAAGGTGTCTTTTGCAATAACAATATCTCAAAAAAGTCGCTGTAGATCTTACACAAGTCCTGTGTTTACTTATGGCCAGCCTTATGTCGCCATCTTATTAAGAGCATCAGCCGCAGCGAATGGTACGGCAATTCTATTATCAGAAAATGGCGATCGTGATGTATAAAACCTGGGTTTTCTTTCACATTGTCCCAATAATAGGGTTCGTTTGATATCAGTGTAAGCAAAAAGGATGCTGAGGGAGATACCTCTTCTCCTCCTCCTCCTGGCTCTGATATAACCTTTCTTTTACTAACTAATTAACTGGTTGTTTAAAATCAACCAGATATACCAAAATTATCATTGCAGGTTGTTCGACCTTCAACAAGGGCGCCACAGCAGTAAGACCACTTGCATTCCTTCGTGACAGCCTTGGTGATTCCACAGCACTCGTGAGCGTACAAAGCAAAGCCAGGACAGGCTACCTTTTTACCAGTAGCTCTACCGCCATCAGGATATTCTTGACCGCAAACATAGTCACCACCATAGGCGATACCATAGCAGCGTTTGGTATAGAGACACGTAGATGCAGTTGCAACGGAAACAAAGGCAGAGATGAGAGTAGCCTTGATGAGCAATTTTTGATTTTCTTTCGAGGGAGTACGTTTCAAGATCTCAATTGCTAGAAAAAAAAAAAGCAAGAAATACTAAGGTCTAAGATGCCTATGGGCCCGGTAGACACCTCGTTGTTTTTGGAGAATTCAACATACAAATGGAAGAGGGCTACAGATCAGATATGGAATGCATCTTGATTCGATAAGCTTTTAAGAGATACATAGGCATGCAGGAAAGTCCCTTATTTTTGCAGAGCAAGGAACGCACTAGTGTGTTTGGGGACCTTTATGTCTATAGATGTACGTGAATCCCCCGTTTTGCGCCAGCATTTGCACTGGGTAAGAGATGCTCGACGCATTGTGAGCATTATGATATAGATTGGTTTGAAGACCTTAAATACGTAACAAAAGGGCCTCATAGTTTTACATGTACAGTATAACTCGCTTGAGATAGGGAACTAGGTAGTCTTGCATAACAGAAGTTTATCTTTATTGGGATACATCAGGATTAAAGTTTGGAAAGTCGCTCATTGGAAACCAATTCTACTAATTTCGCGCAAGAGCCCCAGCTAGATTGGTAGCCTATTCATCATATAAGAATAGACGCTAGATATCTCAATTTCATGTTGCAACTTACCATGAGAGCTATGGCCATAATTGTGGCACACAGTGACCTTTTGACCATTAGAGCGACCTTTTGAGACAGGAGTTAGTAGCATAATCTAGCAACCACACTATAGATACTTACGTCTCGTCTCTTTCTCGAGACGGATACCACCCTCACGTCCAGGTCTGAAACCTACATTAACGCTAACAATGTCGAAATGATCAGGGCCCTTGTGGTGTGTGATTTCAGGATACAACTTGTAGACACGTTCCAGGATGTCTTTGGTAATGGCATCATCTGGAGATGTACTGCGGTTTTCACGATCTACTGTGCCACCACAGATTACGGTTCCGTCGTCTCTAGGAATAATGTAGGTCCAACGATTGCTGGCTATAAAATGGAGTTAAGGTTAGCTTTGAGTTTCTAGATAAGATTACACGGCCACATGGTCAATTTTACCATCAATATAATGTTGGGTCTAAAGGTAAAAGCAGATGTGCTGATTAGCATTGATTGATACACGGTACATGTAACGTATGCAGCTTTACCTTGATGTGAGGAGCACGGACGACAACGGTTTGTCCACGAATGGGATACATTGTGTGATCCTTGACATCAGTCAAATAGTAAGATCCCAAACCAGTGCAGTTGACAATGACAGTAGCTTCGGGGAACTCTTCGATGGCTTGCTGGATGCTCTCAAATGACTTTCTCTTAAGACGGCCGCCGAGGGATCTAAGGGTCTTTACCAACCATTGCAAATACTTGGGCACATTGGCAGTGACTAGATACATGTCGTGGTTAACATCTCTCCCACATACATGTTCGTGAGAAAAACCTTACAAGATTCAAAAGTGTAACCATAAGACACACCAGGAATCAACTCACTCTTGGGGATCTCCTTGACCTATATTGCGTGGGATGAATTCCTTGCTAGAAGCGGCATTGGGTCTACTGTACTCACATTCTTGTAAATCTTGCGGACCCAATGAGGGTCTTCACCAGGTAAAGCGGGATCCTCGCAATATTGAATGCCTTTGCAGGGCATAACATGAGCATCGGGTTCTTCTTTGGAAAGACGCTCAAACTCTTTCATTGTGTACAGATCCATCTCTAAAACAGACATTTCTAAGCAACATGGCCACATGTAGCATGAACAGATCGCACTATACCTTGGAGACGATAGTCATCATGAGCAGCGATGGTGAGAATGGAAGCACCAGCCCATGGAGAAGTGTATTCACTAGACCAATCTCCAGGGACATGCTTGGAGACAACAGTAACGTCCTTGTAGCCTTTTCTCAATAGACTAATGGCAGATGTTAAGCCAGTAACACCAGCACCTGTTGAATAGAACATGTTACTCATTTTTTATGCCATATCAAGCTCCATAGGGCCCTACTGTACCGAGAACAACAATCTTGTCAGTCATGATTTTTCTTTGTATTAGAGAAAAAGAAGAGAAAGGTAACCAAACTAGCTGATATGAACTTGCAAATCAAATTTATATGGATTTTCCCCGGTTTTTTTTTTTATAACTATGATTCATCTATCAGTTTACCAAAACAAGAAGATATAGAACAGTTTGAGTTGTAGCTCCGTTTCATCATTGTATCCGCCTTCAGCTTTTATCCGTCTCTTTGTTCACTCTCTACTCACATTAAGGTAGCACTGATCTAGCAGCGCATTGTTTGCAACTCAATTGCTCATGATCTAATGTTAATGTTGCCAGAACTCATTGTGCTTGCATTGACATGAACTGCTGAAACTGATCTCTCCCGGTTCGCACCATTTTAAACAGGCGGCCATCCGTCGACATGGCCAAAGACACACCACAGAGAGACTGAAATCAGGTGACACATTGCACTCAAATGGCCACGTAGCCCTCATTCGCACAGGGGTGTTTTAGTGTTGGTTCTAAAAGAATAACATTGAATCTCTTTTTTCTATACCTTTTCACGAGAAACCATCCATCCATCTCGACAACAAACTACCTTTAAACCAAAACCAATCTCTCATCTATCACAAAAGGTATGTCATCAACAACAACTTGTACTTTGGCAACTGGGCTCTGTTCTTCTACTGCTACTACTACTCTCCTTTGATGAAGCCGTGTAATCATAACACTTTTTGCACACACACACACACACACATACATTACATCCCTTGAACAAAGGCTCACTTTTTTGGTGGTTAAAATGGCTCAACATTGAAATGATATATCACGCTTAAAACACGCTTTTATACTCTCTCTCTGTCCTATTCTGTATTGTGGAAGGATGTTGACAAGCACCATATATATACACCAAAAGAAGTACAGTGATACACACAACATGGAGATTCACCTCTCTTTTCTCTCTTTTTTGCGTTGCACCTGTATGTGTTGATTAGTATAGTCCATTTCTTTTTGCACCCACTAGTACACGTGTCATCCACTACCCTTTCGCCCTCTTTTACCCTTTGTCTATATGACTAGTCGAGAACAGCATACGTAGACACACACACACACGCTGGAGAATAACATGCAAGGTGTTTAGTCATGGAGAGACTGAGATGAAGAAGAGCAAGAAGATCAGACAGACGCTTTTGTGTTGTTAAACATGTGTATATGATTATGTAACTTTACTCACCCTCATACTCTACAACTCTCTCTCTCTCAGTATATAACATGTCTGCTGCCGACCACGCTGATGATCTTATCGACTACGAGGAGGAGGATGAGCAAACCATCCAACAAGAGACTGCCGCCGCTCAACAAGCTGACGCCTTGAATGTGGATGATGAAGACAAAAAGGACAAGAAGGGTTCCTACGTTGGTATTCACTCTACTGGTTTCCGTGATTTCTTGCTGAAGCCTGAACTCTTGAGAAGTATTGTGGATTGTGGTTTTGAGCATCCCTCTGAAGGTAAGCTCCTCGTGTTGTTCTCTTTGAGAATCCGTGGTGATTGACGCGCTCCCCTCTTTTAGTTCAACAAGAATGTATTCCTCAATCCATCTTGGGTATGGATGTCCTCTGTCAAGCCAAGTCTGGTATGGGTAAGACCGCCGTCTTCGTGTTGGCTACTCTGCAACAACTGGAGCCCGTCAACGGTGAGGTCTCTGTCATTGTTCTCTGTCATACACGTGAATTGGCCTTCCAAATCAAGAACGAATACGCTCGTTTCTCCAAGTATCTCCCTGATATCCGTACCGAAGTCTTTTATGGTGGTGTTCCCATGACTAAGGATGTCGAGATCTTGAAGGACAAAGCCAGATGTCCCCACATCCTCGTTGGTACTCCCGGCCGTGTTTTGGCTTTGGTCCGCGACAAGCACCTCAAGTTGGCTAATGTCAAGCACTTTGTGCTCGATGAATGTGACAAGATGTTGGAGCAATTGGACATGCGTCGTGATGTGCAAGATATCTTCCGTGCCACTCCTCACCACAAGCAAGTCATGATGTTCTCTGCCACTTTGGCCAAGGAGATGCGTCCCGTCTGCAAAAAGTTCATGCAAAATCCTTTGGAAATCTATGTCGATGATGAAGCCAAGTTGACTCTTCACGGTCTGCAACAATTCTACATCAAGATGGAGGAAAGAGAAAAGAACCGCAAGCTGAACGATCTCTTGGACACATTGGAATTCAACCAAGTCTGTATCTTTGTGCGTTCCGTCTCTCGTGCCAACGAGCTGAATCGCATCTTGTCCGACTGTAACTTCCCCAGTATCTGTATCCACTCTCAAATGAGCCAAGATGAACGTATCAAGCGCTACAAGTCATTCAAGGATTTTGAGAAGCGTATCATGGTTGCTACTGATATCTTTGGCCGTGGTATCGATATTGAAAGAGTCAACATTGTCATCAACTACGATATGCCCGACAGTGCCGACACCTATTTGCACAGAGTGGGTCGTGCTGGTCGTTTTGGTACCAAGGGTCTTGGTATCACATTCGTGTCTGATGAGAAGGATACAGCTGTCTTGAACGATGTTCAAAGCAGATTCGAAGTCAACATCTCCCCACTTCCTGAGGAAGTTGATCTCAACACCTACATGACCTCTTAATCTCACAAATCAACCCTTTCTCTCTTTTTCACTCGCACCTTATTTTTTTTTTCACACATATAATATAACATGCAAATCAGACCAAATCCCATCCAAACAAATTCCAAAACCCTTTCCCTTGGTTATGACGAAATATCAAATAAACTACTAGTTTTCCAATTGAATTAAAGCAGTAGGACTTTTGAATGTGTCTCCTTATAAAGCATAAAGACGATGATGAAAGCATGCTTGCATTTTTTTTTTCCTTTTTCCCCCCCCCTCTTTATTCCACATTGAACATGCTTCGTCTTCCTCGTCTCGTCAACGCTCATGCGCTCAAGGGCTGTGCTCGTCAACATGCTGCAAAGAGTATCCCTATGAGAAATTATTCCATGCTACATGCCAAGACAGGTAATATACACAATTGCGAAATGCGCATAAATCATTTCGGTTAAATCGTTGCGTGTAATAGCTGTGATGGCTGCTCCTGCCAAGCGCGTCTTTGAACCAACATCATTCGGTGCTTCCAAGATTGTTGCTTTAGCTACTATGACCACGGCCGCCTCTGCTCCATTGTTTTACAAACCTTCCGTGCAATGTCAAGCTGCTGCTGCTAAATTCAATTCTATCCATGACACATTTGAAGCCGCTAACTACGAGAACCAAAAGATCAATGCGCACCACAGCAAGCCTCTCTTCAACAAGGGCGAGCTTACATTCGGTACGTTTCTTGGTATTTGCACCGGATTTCTGGTAAAGAAGGTGGGCAAGATTTTTGCTGCGTTTGTGGGCACTGGGTTTGTGTTTTTGCAATATCTCTCTCAGCAGGGATATGTCACTATTCATTGGGATCGTTTGGAGGGTGGATATACCAATGCATTGGATGTCGATAAGGACGGCAAGGTCAGCAAGCGTGATCTTACATCCAGATGGCAAAAGTTTGTCAACTTTTTGACAAACAACCTCCAATTCAAGTCTACCTTTTTGATTGGATTTTATGCTGGTATTCGCTATGGATAAACAATCCATGTAGGCTGATCAAAGTGACTGATTTAAAGTGCTATAAATAAATTACATTAGCCATTACCACAGTATGAACAATTGTCTTTCTTTTCTATCTTCTTCTCTTCACTCCTTTGTGTATAGCCAAAAATCTATGGAGAATCCATTTCAAAGCACAGACTTCACTACCTTGAAAGAAGCGTTTCCAACAGTCGATGTTTCCATCATCAATGATGTCTTGTATTCGGCTCAAGGAGATTTAAACAGTGCATTTGATATGCTGTTGGACATGAACTCTCCCTCCATCCATGACAGTAGAGCCAAGCCTTTGCCGCAGGTACCACCACTTCCTGTAAGAAGAAGCAGCAGCAGCATCAACTCTATAGTAAGCTGTAGTCGTTAGTGGAGCATGTCTATCGAAACTGCTAACAATTCATGGCTGTAGCCCTACTCTTGCAACACATCCAATGCGAACAATCAATCTCAGGCAAGCAGAATTAGTCAAACAAATCCATTTCTAGTGGTAAGTGGTGTATGTGCTATCTTTTTTTTTTTTTGCAAGTTGCTTGTTATGTAACATGTGCTATGGTACCTGAACTTTTCTTAGCCTGGTGTTGCCAAGCCTTTAACTGTTCGGGAGGAACTGGCTCAGTGGCGCCAAGATCTTCGAGAGGAAAGTAGACAGAGAGCTACAGCAGCAATGGCATCCACTTCAGCATCTGCTCCAAATCTATCATTTTCAAGTAAGCATCTTGATTCAGACCATACTAGAATGTAGTTTCTAATGCCTATCTCTGTTTAGACATGTTCAAATCAAATTTAAGCAGGGCTTCTTTGAATCATGGTAAAATCCCATTACAACCTTCGCAAAAATGAAGCTTACACTGCGACAATCTAGATCGTAACAACACTAACCACAGATCAAGTCATACCCAAGGTAATGCGAACGCTCGCTATCAAAGATGTGTGTGTGTGTGTGTGTTTGTGTGTAAAAAGAGAAGAAAAACTAACTGCTTATATCCATCTTGTTCTCATCACATTTATAGCACATGCAAGCTATCAACGGTATGTTGAAGATTTAAGCTTTTCTGTAACAAGGGATGGCCTGCTGATATCTTTCTCTAGTCCGTTACCACCTAAACCTTTGGGCAGCTTATCTGGGATTCGATCTTCGGCTAGTACACCCAATGTCAACTATCAGTCGCATAGTAAATACTCTTAGATTCAATTTGATTGAATTCTGGATTCACTCTTTTATTACCTAGATCGAAGCAATAGCCATCCAAATGGTACATTAACTCCCTTGGGCCGATTACCTGACCATCATTCTACAGTCAATGTCTCTTATCGACCAGAGTTACCGAGAAGAAGACAGAGTAATACAGGTAAGGGCATAGAACATTGGGTCATAGAACCTTGGGCACTAAAATGGTTTGATTCTGTGTTCTCTGTAGGTACCACAAACCCTTTCCATTCAGATCCTGTGCCACCATCAGCTACACAGCAACAGCCACAGCACCAGCAACCACAGCGACATAGTTACCTGCCCAACAACTCAAATCAAAGATCTGCTTCAGGTAATAATCATACATGCATAGCGCCATTGCTGTGTGAATCTGACTTGTTTTCACTATAGAAAACGATATACCTTCTTTCAATCCATTCGAGGAGCCAGAGTTACCTCCTCCTGCTTACAGCGAAATTCAACGAGATACCATTGTCAACCTGACATGACTGAATTGCTATTGAATCTACTAGTAGTGTTTAGGTTGGGCATTTATGCATGGTATTTGATTGATTTATTGCTTGAAACTGCTAAAAAGAATGTTTTTTTTGAGATTATAAACGCATGGTGTTTCTAAAGATTTCAAGACAAAATAAAACCATACATTGGCGAGCGATCCTTCTGCAAAGAAAAATTATTCAACTGATGTCCAGCATGTAGTTTTGGAAAAATTGATACGTTCGTCTTTGGTTTTCGGAAATGTCCTTGATTGGGTCGTAGGGTATATCTAGCATGATGATATCTGGATCTGTTGTGGCTGGGGAGCCGTTTGTTGCAACGGACAACTTATTTGACGTTGATGCTGTGTTTTTGGCAGCAGTACTACTCGTAGTAACCTCTGTTTCTTTGAGTCTCTCGCTGTTGGAATCTGCAATTTGTTTGGATAATGGGTTCAGTTCTCGAGAGTGTCTTTGCAATAAATGGACTCTGTACTCTGACTCCTTCCAACCTCCCTGTTGACAGAATCGGCACTGGATTTCAACTGCTGGTTTTTCATACGTTTCTGGAAGTGGGATCGTCTTGAGATGCTTTAATTTGAGATTTGCTCGAAACTGCCGTTTAAACTTGATGTTGCACTTTGGGTTCTTTTTGTGCAAGGCGTAAGAAGTTGATGACGATGCTGTTGGCCTAGATCTTGATCTTAAGGATCGTCCACTATCAGATTCTACGTATGAGGTGTATTCATTGTTCCTTTCTATGTGGTCAGGATCATGCGGATGGAGATGATTCAAATGCCTTCGAAAACCGTAATTGTCATTGAAGGTGATTTGGCATGATTTGCATTCAACAGAGGAAAAATCAACGCCTTTGGTTGTGGAGGTTGGCTTCGTATCAACGAGTGTTTCTTGATATATTGCTTCTAAATCCATGCAAGCAGGTTCGTTTGGGACTCGTTCAGCTAGTCGTTCTGGCTCTGGCATAGTCATGTCAGGTACAGTTGCAGCTGGATTCTGTTGTTCGCTTGCATCCCCGTCATTGTCTTCTGCATTCTCTTGACTTTGAGTTTGACTCGGCCGACGGAAGTTGTGGCAATGATCTGGTTCAACGTATTGTGCATTCTCAAGCGGCTCGCTCTCTGGCTCTACATTGACCGGATACATGTAAGCTCTCTAATGAAGATCGTTTGCATCCCAACAATTACCCTGCTCCACTGTTAATGAATTAGTAGCAAAATCTTGCATAGATAATGGCTTTTCGTTTGGCTCTTTCTTGACAATCCGTATCATTTCCTCTTCGGTAATTGTCTCATCATTATCATCTGTTGCAAGATCCACGAGCTGGCCCTCATCTCCTAACATTTCTTGAAGCTCTTCTGATAGCGCCTGTTTCATTAGCTCTTCTATTTTAATGGCAAAGGCTTCATCTTTGGGATCCAATTTGAGCATGGTATATAATGAATTAAATTGGTTAAATGATGTTGTTAAAGATAAATAAAAAGAAAACAAATGATAATGAAAAGGGGATACGGATATGGAAAAATTTATTCATGTATTTTTTTTTTTTTTTTTTTTTTTTGTCGTTTCAAATTGCGCGTGCCAGGTCATCCAGGAACCATAAATCTTCGTTACACTCCAGCTTTAATTGCAAATTGACACCAAACAATTCATTGCCAACGTTAAGGATATCAATCAAAAATGCTGCAAGAAGCTAGGAAATGCCATGAACTGTGATGTCCTGGTAAAATAATTATCTGTAGTAGGGGATTTGTAGCTACGTTTGTTATATCAAATGCCCTAACAAGAAGGCCTCCCACTCAAGGGCTTCTCGAGCTACTCTTAGGCTTTTGGGGTAAATCATGCTAATTATGACTTACGAATCATTTGCTAGGTAGATAGTAAACCTATTTGTATAGCAATTCAGCGTCATGCTGTAAGCCCTAGCGTAATGAAAAGTATATAAATGCATTCTCTGGATGTATTATATTCTTGGTAAAAATGTAATTCTTTGGCAGCAAATTCAATTTTACGTTGCATTTTGACATAACAACGCACGTTAATAAAGCATGGAACAAGAACATAATACAATAGTCGTATTTCCTCTGTCTAACAATAAGATACAATATAAAATTTGCTTTTATCACGCAGGATTACTTACGTGAGTGATCCTTTTTAGCAGGTATTTCAATCCTTAACGAGTTGCGTGGATAATAATATAACGTTATCATGAATCTTTCGACATCTGCCGTGGCGGGAGAGCGTAAAATAGAAAGTTTTGGGCAAATTCATGAAGGGGAGATACATCTGGTACCTAAAGCTCCTACATTAGGATGGATATAATATAGAGCTATCGAATGGTCTTTGTCTTGTGCAAATCCAATGAGTATTTGTCGCGATACGGCCAAAAAGGGGTATTGTGCAAAATCACTGATTTTCCTTCAAAATCTGCCTGTGATACCAAGCGAAAAATTTGGGTGATCTCTTTTTGATCAGGACAATATTGTCCATATTTTATGACAGAGTTATGCCAGAGCTTCAAGCAATAGCTCATTCGATAGGAAATTTTTTGGTCTACAATGTTTAGTAATGCTCAACAAAATGTTTTGATGACATATAGTGATTAATCTTCAGAAAACAGTCAAAAAATTGCAAAACCAATCGCAGCAAATATTCGGTGATCAATTTAGACCAGAGGCTTGATATGTATACCATTGTATTTTCCTTTGAATTTTCTACAAGTTACATATAGATTTGAAGGGGTGTTTACTATCACGTAACGCGTAATTTTAAGGTCGATATATTTCGGAATCCCCTGGATCCTCATTCAGAACAATCGAAATTGAAGCTCCGTTGACCTTCCGCATGTGTACACCACACTAGCATGCATTTAACTAAGCATTTGAAAAATTGGAGCGTACGAAAAGAGCCGTATTTACTTGCCAGTTTCATATTAAGATTTGCAACTTAAGGTACGAATTTTCCCCCTGTGGAATACATCCACTCTGATCTGTATTCCGACAATTCATCCAGTTACCAGATTTAGATATAAACTGTATGTACACTGGATTAGATGTACGATATCGATTTATACTATAAGAAGATATGGACTTCAGATACGCTAGTACTATAAGATTCATACTATGTAAGATATAGGCTATAGATGGCACCACGGACATGGATGGCGCTATAGACTTATACTTGTATTCCGACATTGACTACGGATGTTTACCATATCTGGATAGGCACCACCAAGATTAATGCAATATGAGCTTGTTGCTTCAGATGTGCACTTTATGATCCACGCTATAAGACACATGCTTATATCCGTGATACTAGCTACAGATACGTTATGTACTACAGACTTGTGCTATATATGAGACATGCTATAGACATGCATACGATGTGCTATAGACATGCCATATATCCAGATACATGCTAAAGATGTATGCTTAGCGATATACACTCAGATATGTACTATAGATATAGACTAAGGAGATTGTACCTATCGGATACATGCTACTAGATCGATATTAATTATCCTTATAGAAAGGATAGATCAGGGTGCTTCGGATGAGAGTCTAATTATTCATCCAGGCAAAAGCTAAATCATGATTAGCTTGCTGGAGTTGTCTTTTAGCATGATTAGACATTAGTTGATCTGAGTTGACTTATTTGTCAATCTAATTAATAGAACTTTTATCCATTGTTATAGTATATAAGAAGGACCATCTACCTGGCCAGTAGAGAGACTTCAGTTTACTTTACACCTGTCAGTTTGATAATAAAACATTCCTTTATCAAGTTGACTTTTCTGTTTTTTTTTTATTCTTTTTTTTTCCGTGAATTTTAGTCTCTCAAGCCTCAAATTCCACAAAACATCTTATTAGAACAATTTTATACTTTCCCGCCTAAAACGATATCTTTTGTGCAAGTTTTCTCCACATCTTTCATAAAAAAAAAAGGATATCCCTCGCATAAAACTGTGTGATAGATACCAGATCAAATAATTGAATCTCGCCTTATTTTTGAATAAAGAAGAACGCTAATTGTATCTATTATTTAGATACCCTTTTATTACAAATACAAAATCATATTATATGGCAGGTCAACAGAAAATCAACTAGCTAGAATCCTTCGGTCCCTGAACCTCTGAGCCAATCAAATCGCTTGAAAACTCCGCTGACCTAAAAAAAAATTTGCGAGGGTTTCCCTCTGTTTTGATGTGAGGCAAAATTTTAAGCGCCGTTATAATAGCAATATAGCCGCCGCTATCATCAAACTTCCCCCAAGTGCTAAAGCATGCCTTACTTACACCACCTAGCTTTAGATTCAGGCATTGGGACCCTCAATCATCACTAAAGTAAGTAGTGATAACCAAGTGGAGGCGGCCTATCTATCTCCTAGCCTCGGATAGAGTCTTGTTGAGCTTCAGGGATAGGCACATCCACACAACGTAAAAAAAGGTATGCTTCAAAGAAACATGATAAAAGAAAGAAAAAGAAAAGAACATGCTACAGTACTATAGGAGTATTATAGTAGTAGTATGTAGGCAAAAAAGCAACACTCACGTAAAAAAAAAAGTGAGTTAAAGAAAAGAATAAGAAATACAACATCAAAGAATGTTGAGAACAGCTCGCTGTTGTTGCAACAAAGATGCATACATGAGCAACGTGCATGATAATAGTCTGATGCAAAGGAACACAAACATACATAATTGCATGAGCAATAGTGGTAGTATAATTGTGTAATACAACATAATGACTAATGGTGTTTCATGTGAAGCGACAGAGGCAGCACAGACAACAACCCACGGCCATATAACAAAGTAGTATTGCAACGGCAATACAGATATATAGCAGCACATCATGCTTGTTGTTCATACATAAGAAGCAACGACATTGCAAGCATCCGTTGAACTGATCATATCACAGCCAACAAAAGAAAGAAAAAAAAAGCGCAACAAGGCAAACATTACGAATGCAATATCACGATAAAGCAAGCAATAATACAAACGTTCAAAGAAGATTTATATTATCGCCGCCAGAAGAAAAAAGATACTTACCACTTACCACAGCCACAGATAGACCTCAGAATATGGAATCACCAGAGATGCACCAGAGAACGAGCATACTACGCCTAAAATAGTAGACCAGAAAAGACTTGACTAGCAGCAGCAACACCAGCACCATAGAAAAACCAAAGAAAAAACGACACCAGCAGAGACCGGATAAAGACCAAAAAAGCAGACAACAGAGATAGCAGAAAAGGGATGGCGGCAGCATCGACGTCAAAGAGGCAAAAAAATTATCAAAACCTAATAAACAAATTCAATTAGTGTTAATTCTATGCTTTCCAGTGCTCGTTATGGAATGCTACCTACCATATTCCATTTCAAAGAAGCAGTATAAAGTACTATTAACAGTACAAGACCGTGTTATCAGAAGCTAGAATGCTATTTTCAATCAAAAGGGTTCCAAAACCATTATGGTTTGATATTAAACGCGTTTTGCAAAAAGGATAAAAAAACGGATGTATGGAAAATGAGAAGGCGCCTTATCCGACGTCACGACCAGTAGATTTGGCCTCAGTCTTCTGCAGTGACAGCCGTAATTGCGGCAATCTAATTGGAAATTGTGCAGTGGGGGTATTTTCGTGTTCAAACTTGACTTGATCTCACTGTGGAATTTGAGGCTTGATAGACTAAAATTCACGGAAAAAAAAAAAGAATAAAAAAAACAGAAAAGTCAACTTGATAAAGGTATGTTTTATTATCAAACTGACAGGTGTAAAGTAAACTGAAGTCTCTCTACTGGCCAGGTGGATGGTCCTTCTTATATACTATAACAATGGATAAAACTTCTATTAATTAGATTAACAAATAAGTCAACTCAGATCAACTAATGTCTAATCATGCTAAAAGACAACCCCAGCAAGCTAATCATGATTTGGCTTTTGCCTGGATGAATAATTAGACTCTCATCCGAAGCACCCTGATCTATCCTTTCTATAAGGATAATTAATATCGATCTAGTAGCATGTATCCGATAGGTACAGTCTCCTTAGTCTATATCTATAGTACATATCTGAGTGTATATCGCTAAGCATACATCTTTAGCATGTATCTGGATATATGGCATGTCTATAGCACATCGTATGTGTTGTGCCAGAAGGGCTACAACTGTCTATAAAGATTAAGGTATTCTTGATGGGTAGATATGTCTGTGTTGTGCAACAACATGGACAAGCTATGATAAGTGAAGTGCATCTCAGCTATCTAAATACTGAGGTTCACCAGATGTGATAAGCGTTGTACAAGATAAATTGCTACTTTGGCATTCAGAACTTAGTATAAATAGAATAACTCTTGTCTTCATCAATAAATCATTAGTTTTTGTGTCTGATCTTATTCAAATAAGTCTTTTCTTGTTTTTATAATATCGAACATTTTTTATAAGCTACAAATAATAATCCTTTTATTCTTTGTGCTTAACAGTATGCATGTCTATAGCATGTCTCATATATAGCACAAGTCTGTAGTACATAACGTATCTGTAGCTAGTATCACGGATATAAGCATGTGTCTTATAGCGTGGATCATAAAGTGCACATCTGAAGCAACAAGCTCATATTGCATTAATCTTGGTGGTGCCTATCCAGATATGGTAAACATCCGTAGTCAATGTCGGAATACAAGTATAAGTCTATAGCGCCATCCATGTCCGTGGTGCCATCTATAGCCTATATCTTACATAGTATGAATCTTATAGTACTAGCGTATCTGAAGTCCATATCTTCTTATAGTATAAATCGATATCGTACATCTAATCCAGTGTACATACAGTTTATATCTAAATCTGGTAACTGGATGAATTGTCGGAATGCAGATCAGAGTGGATGTATTCCACATGTTTATCATCCAGTGCTCGACAAACTTGGAGATGAAATGTATACATACAAAGCGCTCAACCGACAATAAGTGATTTACAACATTCATTTTGCATCTGTGATTATGACTGTTTTGCTTATGAATAGAGTCATCATAATAGGTGATGCTAACTGTTTTTCACCACCAAGTATGTACAACTTATTATGTGTAAATTTCAGGTATTTTATGGACAAAGGTCCGTGGTTATGAACTAAACTACTAGAAAATGGAAGAAACACTGACCATCATTCAATTGTTTTATATTTATTTGTTAAGCATTTCTGACTCAACAGACCTTTTTCTTTCATCAAGGCTCTTTTTCCTTAGACCCAAATCCAGTTGTTCCTCTAGCAATATTTCTTTCCTTTCACTGATTTCATCCTTTTCAACATCCAGCCGTTCGATTTCCCCGTCAATTTCGGCAAGCCGACGCTCCAAGTTACATTTCTGATGGCCCGTCTGTGTGTATGCTTCGTTACTGCCTTGATATTTTTCTTGAGAAACATCATCGTTGTTGCCATCAATTGTCGCATGAATACGGCAGTAAAGCTTCATATACAGAGTCTCCACTTTGCCTTCAATGTGTTCTCTCTTGGCAAGCAATACATCAAACAAGCCGTTTATCTTTTGGTAAATGCACTGGCATTGCTCAATCTCCTGTGACATTCGAGTTTGCTCATCCAAGTCGGCTTGCTCTCTCTCTCTCTATTGCCTCTCTTTGTTCAATTGGATCTACTTGCTGAACCGTTTGATCTGTCATGGTGATCGGTAGAGATTGCTGTATATCCAAGAAGGAAGCAATTTTGAACAGTGCAGCTACAATTGGATTCGACATTATGTACTTTGAATGGTTTCCAGTGATCAAAGAAGCGAAAAATGAGAGAAAAAATGCTGGATGCACGGATTGTGGTCACATAAACAGGTAACTGACAAGCATAAAACTGGGTTACTTGACGTGCTACTGAAATTATGCGTAGCCTAACTATGAACGAGTGAATGTAAAGCTCTGTAAATCAAATTGGAAGAAAAAAAAAGCAGCTTAGTGTTGATCTTTTCCAGCAGAGTTTCCGAATACAAATTTTCATATTCATGCACTAATACCAACCAGCACACGAGTGTGCCCTGTTTTATGTGCATCCCCATTGGTGTACCGTACGACAAACCAAGCCAATAGAAACTGTTATCGTGGTATATGTACCTTGAACATGATCTATTGATGGTTTAACATAAAAAGGTTAAAACGTGTACACTGAGCAATGATGAAATCAATTAGCCAATATTCTACTGTGTCGTGGCATAGCCATTGATGGTATGGTATTTCATGAAACTTAAACTATTCCCGAATACAAATTCAAGGGAAGACAGACAACGGCAAGGAGTGGCTTCATCCGAATTTCATTTCGATTTTATATCTCCTCTCTTCATCACTCTCGCATTTTACACTCTTCTTTCTCATTTCGTCAACCACACAACATCTAGCACATACAATCCATCATGTTTAGTGAATTACGTCGAATGAACGTGCGACAGGTAGTTGTCTCGCAAGCTCTTGCCATCGAATTAGATGTATCTAAAGATGCAGTACGCGTAAATTATCTGAATAGGTCGCCTTACAATTCTTGAACATCCTGACAATTGCAGCATCTGCGCTCATGATTTGGAAGGGATTGGCTGTTGTCACAAATACAGAGAGTCCCATCGTAGTGGTTCTGAGGTAAGAGCATTGATATCTGTCAGCACACGATTGAGATATTAATGCAACACAATTTGATAGTGGCAGTATGGAGCCAGCCTTTCATCGTGGTGATTTATTATTTCTTACACTACCAAGAAAAGCACCTGTTGAAATAAACGATATTTGCGTATTCAAGTTACCAGAAAGACCTATTCCCATTGTACACAGAGTTGTCAAGATTCACGAAGAGTAATGACACTGTACCAACACGGGCGAAAAAAAAAAACTGACAATTTTGTATTCGCACATTATAGCGCAAAGACGAAAAAGGAATACATTTTGACAAAGGGTGATAACAATGCTCGAGATGACCGTGCTTTATACAACAGAGGGCAGATGTGGATCAACAGAGAGCATGTTGTAGGAAAAGTCAGAGGGTAAGATGCGACTATACAATTATGCAAAAATGCTGAAACCAACTACAATTCCTTAGATTCTTGCCTTACGTTGGCATGGTTACTATTCTAATGAACGATTATCCTTGGATGAAATTTGCATTACTAGGTGTACTTGGTTTATTTGTGCTTATTCACAGAGAATAAAAGATGTGTTTCTTATGACAGATGTTTATATATATATATATATATACAGATGAAAATGATCCAGACGAGTTACCAATCGCTGTGTCTCCTGGAGGCATTCACCATCATTGACGCTGATTGTCGCTTAGCAATCAGATTTTGTTCTGCTTGCATCTTGCTTATCTCCAGGCTTTGCAATGATCTTCGGACATCTGCCAGACACACATCTTCGTCACTTTCCAATCCTGTGGCATGAAATGCAGCTGGTGTCGTTGGTGGTGAGGGTAGCTGTTGCTCGCCTTGACTGTACTTGTATTCGAGTAGTGCCAATGGAGAGCATCCATGCTGTAATGATTCATGCGTGTTTGAAATGATAACAGAGGACGGCATTGGTATGTCGTGCCCTGTTGTATGGCTGCGGATGGGTTTTCCTCGCACGGAAGTGTGGTATTTGAGTGATGGCTTTGGTTCTTGTTGGATGGATCTGGTGGTTTCATTTGTATACACCGATTTTGTGTCTTGAAAATAACTTTGATAGTCAGAATGGTATCGAGTAAGGCAAGCTTTAGGTTTTGGTTTGGTTGCATTGAGAAAACTTTTCGTACTGTGATTACCGCGGTTTGATGGCAGTTTCTGTACAGAATGCGCATCGTCACCCATATGAGATTGCTGGCAATGGTGGTGAGATGAAGTCCTCTTTGACGGGTTGATATGAGCAGGTGTATTGGTGACAATATCAACCACATCGCTGTATGATTCGGCAGGAGTATGTGCCTCCAATTCAGCCAGAGATTTCACCCAATTCTCGATCCAGAGGGCTTTTTCGTCTGAAAGCATGGTATCATGATGATGCTTCTGCGATTGTCCAACATGGCTAGCCTGTAATGCGTTCATGGGTAAGTGGTGGCTGTTGTAGTGGTATGGCTGCTCCTGGCTTACTTGGATTGGACTAGTAGTCATTTGATCAGTGGCATTATATGCTAAATTACTTGTAGAACCCGAGCCGATTGCTGCTAATGCGATAGCGTTGTTCGGATTCAATTGTGGTACAATTGAATCTCTTGCTCCATTATACAGCATTTGGCGAGTAACTTGAGCAAACTTCCACATCTTTGCCAGCACAAATATCCACCTTTCGAGATCATGCTGCTTATTTGCCTTGAGCAGGAAGCAAGCGCCGTCATAAGTGCGAATGGTGAATGATTTCGGCTTGGTGGTAGTGGGCATCTTGAATGGCTTTGATTTCTTTTGTTTTGGTTTCAGTAATGAGATGGAGGCAATGTTTGTCATCTCGATTGTCCATTTTGGCAATTGATAGTAGCTTGCAGAGATGGGCTGAGAATTCCTGTTGCTGCTGTTATTGTCGTCGTATGATGCTGATACTGTAGAAGATGCAAGTATTCTATCCGCTCGGTGTTTGGGTGTCGCTAATATAGGCGACGTAAATGAATGCGTGGATGCCGAGTGGGTCAATGAGCTGACAGGACGAGATGAGATGCTGTGGCTGTGGTGGTATGGTTTATCCAGCAATGTATGCGGCGGCAGCTTGTTCTTTTTGGACGATAAGCATGTCAAGGAAGTGCCGTCAAAGCGAAACAGCCTCCATAGCCATTTGTTTGATCTTTCATCTTTGATATACAGGTGGCCTTCAAAAATATGAGCTGCTATGGGTAGCTCTTCAGTGTCTGAAATGATGCTTTGAGCCATTTTAGAGAAAAAAAAAAAAAAAAAAAAAGAGAGAGAGAAGAGAGAAAAGGAAAAGGAAACGAACAAAAAACCGATGATGTTATTGTTATTATTGGTTTTTCTTGTTTATGGTGAGAATAGACCTTAACTTTAATCGTTCTTTCTAAAACGAGTAATTTGTCATTTCACTTTCTTGCTTGATCAAGTAAAATATAGAAAACATGGTGCTAAAAGAGTTTCAATTGCAGTGCAATGAATCCAAGTGCCTTTCTGTGAATGCACTCTCAACTATAAGTGCTTTTCTTGACTGAATGGGCATTGTATTTGCTCCATATCGGATGCAATTGTCGCATAGAAAAATCTGTATTGACTTACTTGCCGCATTTCAATGTACGGCTAAACCATAAAATTTGAAGCTGTACAACGCAAATTCCACACAAGGTTCTCTCAGAGTTTATTGATCCAAAGCTCATACTATTAACCGTATTAAGCTGTCAAATAGGCGGATAATGCAATTCTGTTGCAATCATCCTGTTGTACTGGGCGGATTCACAATGATTTGCAGCAAGTTTCGATCACTGTCTATTAATAGATCATTTCATATTTATAGAATCCCAGTAAACATCAAACTACAAACACAAGAAAACCTCTCACAACGCATGTGTCGGTAGGTATTTCTCAATGGTAGCGTAGCATACCATCCTTTACGCGAAAAATAAGGTATAAAATAAATACGAAAGAAACAGAAGACGCGAGTTTGCATTGATGCTTAAAAGTTATACCTGTAATATACCTGACAAATGGCGACTGACCTCTGGCAAACTGGATGTTTGAGTATATCATGTTTCTTGATTGTCCAAACAAAGAAAACGAAGCCATTCGGTATCGAAATCAGCAAGTATACAAAATAGAAACCAGACCTATCAGAATATGGATCTACTAGACACTAACCCGCATCTGTGATGAGCGAATTCTCTGAAACACGCTATTCCAACACCTTTAAGGGTTTGTATCCAGCTGAAAATCATGAAACCTCGTATCAACTCGATTTCCGTCTATACATAGAACGAACTTAGAATAGCCAAGCAGATGGCAGCCTATGTGATGACAAATCTTGCGATTATACCTTTTCATCAAGAGAGGTGTTCCAATGGCACTGCACGTTGCTCCGAATACATCTGCCTTACTTGCGAACTCACCTCGACAGATCGTTATGGCCACCGAAGTTACTGTCAGTCTACGTCTTCAATACTGGAATCAGAGGGCAAGAAGCTCTTTGCTCGTTTCAGAAGCCTGAAGGATTGTCAACAAGTTCTGTGCGCATACTGCATTTCTGGGATTTTGGATCTTTCAAGCGAATTAGAACAAGAGCTTTTTACAAATGAATATCATACCACGACCATTTATCAAAATCATAGTTTTTACCCTGTTCTTGTTGCGTTCTCTCTCTAATCGAACATTCATCCTGTAAGTCTTTTTTTTTTTTTTTTTTTTTTTTTTTTCTTTTTCAAGTCTTGATAAACAAGAGTAAAATCTATATCAGCTAATCAATCATAACATACTATGGCTGACAAAATCTGAAAACAAGAATGACGTCCTGAGTATAATGTTATGAAGTGTTCATCTCAAGTACATATCTGGGCATATAGCATGACAGTAGCATATCGCGTGCATGTCTATAGAGTATCTCGTCTATAATATATTAGTAGCTATATGAAGAATGCCTTGTACAGCTTGCGAGAATGCCAGTTGCTACCACAAGAGACACTGCACTTTGACGCCTTTGCTAAAGTTGTTATCCATTACGAGAATAGCACAAATCTTCTCTCAACAATATGGTCTCTATCAAATGTGCCGTAGTCACACCAAACACAAAAATGGCAGCTTTCTCTCGAATGTGCCATGGTCATGATTCTGATTCAGTCATATACTAAGCAGACAGTTTTCACATTGTAATAGATGCAGCAAAGGATAGAACTAAGCTGGTGTTTTTCCCTAAATGAAGATGCGATTCTTGAGAATGAAATCTTCGCTGCTCTCCATTCCATTTTGATCGTTCATATCGGTAATAATGGACTGACCATACACAAGACAATTTTGAGTGCCATATCAGCTTGCATTCAAGGACTTTAAATCTATGTAAAGCTCCAAAGCCAATGCGTAGCTAATCGTAGTCATGCTTGTAAGCTGAATGAAATGCAAGCCATCCATGTGAGTTCAAGTCATTGTTTTCTTGTGTGTATGTGCGCAATGGAAGCGTGGTTTACTCATGTATCAGCTTTCCCCTATCTCCTTGCTCCACGACTGCACCATCGCTTCAGATCTGTATATGCTGCTTATTTGTACTTGATAGCGGGATCGCTATGCCATGTTACATTCATTTCCTGTTTTTGAGACTCAGTGGATTTGAGTAAAAATCATGAGGCAACGATGAGGATTTGTTTGTTTGACAGAATTCATCTCACGTTGTACCATATCAAAACTGTTAAAGTAGTCTTTGATTAAGCAACGTTTTGTAAGAGTCTGAAAGGTAATGTCAGCGTAAGCAGTAAAGCCAAAATGGCATTTGATCCAGATAATTTACCGCGGTTGGCTTTTATCGGTTCTCGGCTAAAAATTTCAACGTTTGCCATCTCAACAAAGGGGCACTCAAAAAGAGAAAGAAAAAAAAAGATGTTTATAAGCGTACAATGCCACTATGGAAGCTATCGAAATCATCACTATCTACTTGTACAACATGGAATGGACTACGTAAACAAATTTAAAAATTGCGAGGCTTTGAAAAAAAAAAGTTACCAGACGGGTTTCTTTGCTTGTCTTTTTAGTTTTTAATTCAAGTAAGTATGAGTGATAAAGGTGATGGATCGAATATTCATGTGCCTCTTTCGATAGACATCATGCTTGAAGGCGGAGAAGAAAGAAATACGTATGTCGTGTCTGCACTTGGTGGTGTAGGCACGGGTAAATCCAGTTTATTGAACGCCATTACTGCTGAATACACCTTTGAAACGGGAGATGGCACAAATGTGAGTAAAAGCTGCATTCTAGTAGCGTTTGGATGGTACTGATTGGCAAGGACACACAGGCAACGACAAAGGAAGTGCGTGGATTAGTCAAAGAGTGGAAATATGCACCTTCACTCAAGTACTGCCATTTGATTGATACACCTGGTTTGATCGACTCCAATATCCAAGATCGACAGAGTATCCAAGAGATGACTCGATACTTTAAATCCCTCGAAAATGGTGTCAGTGCATTCTTCTTGGTATTCAACATCAACGATATCAGATTGGATGCCTATACGCAAAACATGCTCATCTTGTTTCATCAATTGCTCGGTAAAGATTTCTGGAATTTCGTAGTGATTGTGTTTACACATGTGGATGAGAATTTCAGAGATGATTTAGAGGACAATATTGATGCAGTGACCGAGAGTCATGGTGAGTGCTCAGCATCCATGTGCTAGCTTGGCTTCTAATGGGATTTGTAGATGGCTTTGTGGCTGAAATTAGAAGAATCTACAAACTACCTAGATCATTCCAGCCTTCCGTCATATTCACTTCTACGCAGAATGTCAGATCCAGCAGCTACACACAGAGACACATTCGAGAATTATACCACGCTGTTGGCATGTGTGAATCACGCAACAGCGGCAAACGATTCACCTGTAACTGGTTGAGACAAATTCTGGTGATTCCTACCGAAGAGCAAAAATCTAACTTTATCAAGGAGAGTATCAAGGATGCTTGGTCTTCCATGTCAAATGCCTGTCAAATGCAGTAAGGAAAGCCCCGCTTATAAATGTTTAGGCGTGGATTTATCCTTGATACTTGACATTTTCTGTCTTTTTTTTTTTTTTTTTACCCGAATTTTAGATAGGTTTCACTATTCAAAAAAAATACATATTAAAACCCTGTTTAAACCAATGCTGCCGCTCTTCTTGTTCTTCTTACTTTATTCCTTGGTCGTTCTCTTGAAAAAAAAACCTACAAAATGAAATTTGCACATTCAATTGTATTGAATGCTGTGCCGGAATGGCTTGATAAATACGTCGAGTAAATATACCACCAATTAAATTACCAAATCAAGTAAATTAAACTGAATTGGTGTTTGAAATGTCTAGTTATGATCGACTCAAAAAGATGGTCTATCAGGCAGAACGAGATCAAGTCGACCAGCAAAACCAAGGTGCAAAGAGTCAGGATGAAAAGATTGAAAGCGGTTTGCATGGTGAAAAGCAGAGCTTGGAAATGAATCAACGCCTGTCATCTGGCTCAGATCAGTTGGTCATGAAGAGTGAAAATGAAGCGTTTCTGCAAGAACTGGATAGACAGCTGGAGAAAGTAACCAAGTTTTTTACTGCCAAAGAGCAAGAGTTTCTGCAGGATGCTCAAGAGCTGCGCACCGAGTTCAACACGTTCCAGATACCACTGCCTGACAGCTTCAACAACCCCAATGCCACCAGCTTTGCAGAGACCAGTGCACTCGAGCGATTGGACTCTGGATTGCATCAAACGCCCACAAGAGATACTTACACCACGTTCAATTCCTCTGTTGCTGGTTCTGATCTAGATGACGATGAGCCAAGCGCCTCCACTGTTACTACTGCTACTGCTCCTGTGTATAGCAATGCTCAACTACGACACAGTACAACCGATACCCTGCACGACCAACCCAATGCCATCTCATCCAATGATTCAGACGACTCCAAGAAACTGAACTTGCCTCCATTAGCCGAGAAATTCTCATCAGCCTATGCTCCCACACGATCCAACACCATCAGCGCCTCCAATTTTCGCTCTCGTCGTGGCTCTAGAATCGAGAGAACACTGAGCCAGCATGATGCAATGCCTGCCTATGCCGAGGATGTCTCTGCGAAACCTCCTACGCGTATCATGCAAGCCATTGGTCTTCGTTTCCGTCGTCGCAGAGGTTCTCACGTATCAATGCATCAAGCTGAAGATGTCAATGAATTCAACCAGTACTACAATTTTCGCGTGCGCTGTGCTGCCACCTTCATTTCTCTGACAGAACTCAAAGCCTATGCCAGCACCAATCGCACTGCCTTTGACAAGATTCTCAAGAAATGGGACAAGGTGACCAACTCCAATTTGCGAGAGGTATACTTTGAAAAGATTGTCGATTCATCAGACGCCTTCACACCTGAGAACTTCCAGCGTATCGACACTGCCTTGGATCAAGTGCTGAGCATGTATGCTGCTATTTTCACCATGGGCAAGAAGCGCAATGCCGAGGTCGAGCTCAAGATGCACATGCGTGATCACATCCAGTTTGAGCGTACCACTGTTTGGAAAGACTTGGTCGGTAAAGAGCGTCAGCAATTAGACGCTCATGCTTCTCTGGCACAAAAGGGCATCACAATTCCAAAAATCAACGTCTTTGTCAGTCGCAAAACCATGTTCAATATCTTTGGGTTCATGGTCAGCATCATCATCTACATTATCCTCATGTGCGTTGATACCATGGGCCAGTACGAAGCGAGTAAGTGTCTGGCACTGCTGGTGTTTGCTGCTCTGATGTGGGCTTTTGAATGTATCCCTTTGTTTGCTACTGCCTTTTTGATTCCACTGATGGTGGTTCCTATGCACTTGGTGAAAGATAGCGAGGGCAACGTACTTGCAGCGTCCGCGGCTGCCAAGCAGGTTTTTTCTGCCATGTTCAGTGATACCATCATGGTCTTGATTGGTGGTTTTGCTATCGCTGCTGCCCTTAGTAAGCACGGTATTGCTAAAGCCTTTGCTGCTACAGTACTGAGTAAAGCAGGTTCTAGGCCTCGTTGGGTGATTTTGACAAACATGTATCTGGCTACCTTCCTCAGTATGTGGATTAGTAATGTTGCTACCCCTGTGCTGTGTTTCTCTCTGGCTGACCCCATTCTGAGAACGCTGAAGCCCAACTCCAAGGTGGGTCCCTGCTTGATTATGGGCATCGCTCTTGCGAGTTGTATCGGTGGTCTGGCATCGCCTATTTCATCTCCTCAGAATATCGTTACCATCAATCTGATGGACCCCAATCCTGGGTGGGGCATCTGGTTTGCTGGTGCTATTCCTTGCGGTGTGATCACTGTGCTCACTACCTGGTTACTGCTGCTCCTCTATTTCCGTCCTGATCGTGATACACCTCATTTGAATGTCATTAAATCTGCCGGTTTCAGCCGTCCTTCTTGGTCTCAACTGTGGGTCTGTATCGTCTGTTTGGCTACCATTGCTCTCTGGTGTGCTGAATCCTCCATGAACGAATTCTGGGGCAATAACGGTGTCATTGCTGCTATTCCCTTTGTACTCTTGTTTGGTACCAATATGCTTAGCAAGAGTGATCTCAACAACTTTTTGTGGTCTGTAGTGACACTGGCTCAAGGTGGTATGGCGTTGGGTTTTGCTGTCAGTAGCTCTGGTCTGTTGGATGTCATTGGCCATCAGATTGCTAGTAATGTCGATGGTCTTCCCGTGCTGTCCATCATCTTCATCTTTGGTATGCTGGTCTTGGTGTTTGCTACCTTTGTCAGCCATACCGTCGCTGCCTTGATTATCTTGCCTATTGTGAAGCAAGTGGGAAGTCAGTTGCCCGTGCCTCGTCCCAATTTGATGGTCATGGTGGCTGGCCTTGTGTCTTCGGTGGCCATGGGTCTTCCTGTTTCCGGGTAAGTTTGCTAATAGAGTTTGACACGAGAGAGAGAGAGAGAGAGAGAGACATGTGGTGATTAATGTTTCTGATTTAGGTTTCCAAATATGAATGCTATCATGCTAGAAGATCCCACTGGCAAACCTTACTTGACTATCAAGGATTTCTTGTTGTGTGGTGTGCCTGCGTCGTGTGTCGCTGCCGTCATTACCATTTGCCTTGGCTACGGTATCATTTCTGGCGTTGGCTATTAAGTTGCTTTTTCTGCTTGTATTTTGTCTTTTCTCTATGTTGTACATTATTACTCTGTATTCTCAACTGCATTTCATTCGTACTAATAAAGTTGTATCAAAACTACATCATTCAACCGTCAAACATGCCGCCCGCTTCGAAAATCATGTTTCATCGTGTAATCAAGCAGACAAATGGGAGACGTCTCTTTGTAGCTTCATTGGGATAGCGTTTCTAATGTGTTTTAAATTAATCATTCATGTAATTGCTGTCGAGCCAACAAAATCATCCGTGGGCACATCATGTTGCACAAAAGCAGCCATCAAACCAAATGACAGCTCATATGTAAATTGCTGATATTCTATTGTCTATATTTTATTATGTCTAAAAGATGGCTTATACCCAATCTGTAATGTCTTTCTCGCTCCATGTGCTGGTATTGTAGTTGATGATAAGTCTATCATTGTCATCAATTCGAATCAGCCCCTTGACATGGTACACAGTTTCTCCACGCATGATTTTTTCTGCTTTAACTCGTGTTACACGGTAATTCTGACCCAATTTCAAACGATCCATAGCATCCTCATCTCCACCGAATTCGCGAATCTTGCACCAATTCTCTGTCTTGTTCTCATAGTCTACTACTGTGTTCCAATAGTTCATGATGCGAGGATCAGTGGCTGGCAATAAGCGATAACCTGCTTTGGGTGTGGTCTCTGCTTTCAGATCATCCATGGCTGGGTGGCTTTTGTCACCTGTGATGATGATCGGCAAACTATCACTGGCTACGTATTTCTCAAGTTCATCTACATTCTTGGTAAACACAATCTTGCTGGCAACTACAGGATCTAAAATAGGTGTAATCAAGTTCCAGACTAGTGACATGCGTTCAGTATAGGCAACATTTCGTGCATGCTATTTTTTAATCACTTACTGGTGGAAAAGACCCATGGCGCCTTATGCACACATGCAAGGCCAAGTGTCTCTGGGTAATATGCTTGGAAGCAGCCTACCAAAAATTTGACTACTTCAAAGTCCTAAAGAAAACACAGGCGCTGTTAAACCACAAATGTTGGGGATGCCATTGTCTATACTTGCCATGTTGGCCATTGTGAAATTCTCCAGGTTGAAAACAATGCACACGGTATCCATAGGGTAATCGCAAATGACACGAGATGTCTCCATCACATAAATGGTCAATAATTTCATGATTTCCAAAGGCTGATCGTCCTTGTGGTGCATTTGGACATTGACAAAACTAGACAAATCCACAGTATGAGTATCCAAGATATCGACCCTAATACGCTAAATTACCAAACGCCACGAGCTCTTCTATCAGGGCCACCCAATGTCACCATTTTTTGCTCCAATTGCTTCTTGAATGCCGCTCCTAATCCCTTCTTGGCCTTTTCCAATTCCTCAATCAGCCCAGTTTCTCCAAGAGACACAATCTCATTGATTCTCATCTCCAATCGCCAACGCAATGTGTTGGTCAACATGTTGTAAGCAGCGTCCAAGTCCCATTTACGTGCACGGAGAAAACGCAGCAAGGTGGAGTCTGGGTTGTCTGTCGCTACCATGCCCCAAAATGCTTCGCGCAACAATTTACCTGGTATCATGGGCAATGCTTTTTCTAGGGGTAAACTGGTCCATCGAGGATCGCTGGTAGCTCCCAAAAAGTAATCATGCGCTGGCTCTTCCTTTTTGGTACCGAAGCTAAAGAATCCACCCTTCTTGCTGGTGCTGTTGTCTTGAGATTCTTGCTGACGATGAGCAAGCTGTATTTCTTGTCCAGATTGTTGGAACAAGGTTAGAAGACGCAGCCACATGCTCTTGAGCATGTCTACCTGATCGGCTGTCAAGGTGCCTGCGTGTGCTGGCTTGCGGTTATCGAGGCTCAAACTGGTGGGGAATACGATGGAAGTCATTGTTATAAAAATTTTTAAAAAAGAGAGAAACTAATGTCTAAATTGAAATGATGATTTAAATACTAAATATGGTTTTGCTGAGTTTCTTGTTTGCACGTAATGCCATTTTTGACAGAAGTACATCAACCCTTCATTGGTTGGATAAACCTGGAGCGAACATGAATAGAGGTTATCATGACGCACGTCAAAGTGCCAACTCGGGTTCCATGAAGCTTGGCATGCTAAGCAAGTGGATATTGGGTATATGCAAACTGGCAGCAATTCTCCATGTGAAATATAAGCAACACTGCCAGAGGAGATGTATTCCAAGCATGTGCTGTGTTTTGCAACGTGCACGCCACTTGATTGCAAATGTTTCTATTTATCGCTGCTCACTTTCAAGTTTCAAAAGCATGTTCTCGTGAAGCTGGATGTATCTGCATAGCACGCTTGGGCCTATAAAAGTATAGCTTGCCCACGACCAAGGAACAGACAATGCACATTAATCAAATGTCGCTAGTACACGCATAAAATCACTGTGTTCTCTTGTCTGTTCCTTTTAAAATTTAATATATTTCATATTGACAGAACAGCGCTGATTTGGTAGGCCGTCTTGTGCGAAACACATTAAAACAAATGCTAACGGAGTTTGAATAACGGTTTGTTCATCTGGATCGATTTTGTTCCAAATTGTCATTTTTGGAAATTTTGTAATCTTTAAAGAATTTTTTCGTCCCAATTGGCATACTAAACATGCTTGGGCATTCTGATGAAATACATAGAGTCAAATGTGCTCTATCTCATGATATTTTTTGTTTTTTAAATACCATGGAAATTTACAGAGATAATCTCAATAAACTGCTTTTTCAGTTTTTGGGGGAAAAGTCGAAAAAGTTGGCTTGCATGTTCCAAATAAAGCTTTTCATCAGATAAAGACAAGTTTCTGGAGCAAATTCGTCTAATATATACCTTAGTGGAAAATGCCGTTTTTGAGCTGAAAAATCATTCTTTGTCGATTTCGAGATTTTTTTCCTTGCTATTACAAGGGTAAAATGGCCAGATTTTGAGGTGAAAAAAAAAAGGTCGCCAAAAAATTGCAAAATGATACCAAATCGAATTTACTACTCTGTAGCACTCGTTTGGTGCTATTTTCGACGCTGGAAATGGCTTTTATCTACATGATTTTGGCGATTATAGTGTGAAAATACGCCAAATTGAGTGATTTGAAGGTATTTTGACAGCACTTGCATCTGCTTTGGATTCCCATCCTGATGGGCTTTGTGGATTTGATGTCCTGGCTTGCTCTTGCAACGGGTTACAATAGAAATAGCAGGTAGCATCTACGAAGACCGATACATTCAAGCCATAGTTTCCTCCAAATGTCCTGACGCATCCACAACAAATCCTCACCTAACGTTCGCGCCATTCTAAGCAGTGCCATCGCGACTGCTGGTTACTAGATATTATTTTGCTGTCGCCTCTTATCCAGCAAAAAGGTAAACAGCCATTCTACCATGACATAAGCTCCAATATAGGCACAGTCAGCAAATCACAAGCCTCTAATTGAGATGCTCAAGCATTTACCACATTGGGCAATCAAAATGTGCACCTCCAATTATTAACGCACTCCGCTTTATTAAGTTTGTCTGCTCCTTCTGGTTTGCGTTCTTTTTCTTTCGTAATCCTCCCTCTTTTTCTCGTTTTATTCAAGATGAGTGCTATGCGTGGCTTGACGGTATTTATTGGTAAATAGCCATCAATTGATATTTATGTGTGTGTCTGTACTCATGTTGCGTTGATTATCCCATTGTAGCCGATATAAGAAAATGTAGGCATCATGTGTTGGTGTTGGTGTGTTCCTTGATACTAAACTCATACCTATTAGGTCGAGTTCGAGAATTGGAAGAAAAAAGAATCAACAAGGAGATGGCCAATATCAGATCCAAATTCAAAGGTACAAGCAGCTGCTGCACACGCTTTCTACAAACCATCAGACACTAACACATTGGATCACGACAGAGGGTAACTTGAACGGCTACCAAAAGAAAAAGTACGTTTGCAAGTTACTGTACATGTATATTCTCGGTTGGGAAATCGATTTCGGTCATCTTGAAGCTGTGAATCTCATCTCTAGTCAGAAATACAGCGAAAAGCAAATTGTAGGTGGTTTCTCGTCCAAAGGAGACAAGAGTGGTTTATTGATGGCTGTGTAGGGTTATTTGGCAGTTACGCTTCTATTTCACGAAAACAGCGACCTTGTACGACTGGTCGTAAATTCAACAAAGAAGGATTTGGATGATATGAACGAGATTAACAACTGTTTAGCATTGCATGCGATTGCCAATATTGGTGGTCGAGAAATGGCCGAGAGTCTTGCTGTGGATGTGCATCGACTGCTGATTTCACCGTAAGCATTTAATAATGGAACAGATGGCGAGACCAACCTGGATAGTAATCACTGTGAATAGTACATCCAAGAGCTTTGTCAAAAAGAAGGCAGCATTGACCTTGTTGCGTTTATTCCGTAAGCATCCAGATGTCATTCCTGTTACTGACTGGGCAGAGAGAATCATCTCGCTGATGGACGACTATGACTTGGTAAAGATTTGATGGCTTGTTTTTGACAAAATTGTGTATGATAACATACCCTCTATTTAGGGTGTTGCACTTAGTGTCACGACGTTGGTGCTTGCTTTAGCACAGAGTTTCCCAGTCGAATACAGTGGATGTTACGAACGAGCTGTGAACCGATTAAAGAGGATCTTAGTAGAGAGAGACTACAGCTTGGATTACATCTACTACAAAGTGCCTACACCTTGGTTGCAAGTCAAGTGTCTTCGTCTTTTGCAGTACTATCCTCCACCTGATGATGCTAAATTACGCTCAGACATCAGCGAACTCTTGCAAATCATCATCACCAACTCACAAGACTCTCCCAAGAATGTGCAACACAGCAACGCTCAAAATGCAGTTTTGTTCGAAGCCATCAACCTCGCTATCCATCTCGACAGCAACTCCAGCATTTGTGCTCAAGCAGCAGCCCTTTTAGGTAGATTCATATCTAGTAAAGAGACTAATGTCAGATACCTTGGTTTAGAGACCATGGCACATTTAGCAGCTTGTGTCGATTCATTGGAGCCCATCAAGCGACACCAGGAAACCATCTTGTTGTCGCTTCGTGATAAGGATATCAGTGTGCGTAGACGTGGTTTGGATCTCCTGTACTCCATGTGCGATACATCCAATGCAAAGATTGTGGTGTCTGAACTGTTGCGATACCTGCAAGTCGCTGACTATGCCATGCGAGAGGAAATGGTGCTCAAGATTGCTATTCTGGCAGAGAAATTTGCATCCACTTATTCATGGTATGTGGACATCATCTTGCAATTAATCTCAACGGCTGGCGAGCAAGTGGGAGAAGAGGTGTGGTTCCGTGTCGTGCAAATAGTCACCAATAATGAAGAGTTGCAAGAATACGCAGCCAAGACGGTATTGAACTACCTGGGATCGCCTCAATACAACGAAACCATGGTCAAAGTAGGTGGTTATATCCTTGGCGAATTCGGCCATTTGATTGCCAACATTGCTGGCTGCAGTCCTATTGAGCAGTTCAATGCTGTTCATGCCAAGTTCAACCTCTGCTCCCTTCAAACCCGCGCTCTGCTCTTGACCACCTATGTTAAATTTGTCAACCTCTTTCCAGAGATCAAGGGGCAGATTCTGCCTGTGCTCAACCAGTATCGATACGTATTGGATGCAGAACTTCAACAACGTGCTTGTGAATACTTTTCGATTTCAACCATGCCATCTGATGACATGCTGCAGACAGTCTGCGAAGAAATGCCTCCCTTCCCCGAGAGAGAATCGACTCTACTGCTCAAGCTGAACCAAAAGCAAGGTGATACGGAAGATAAGCGTGTATGGGTCATTGGTGGTCGTGAAGCCAATATGGAGCGTCAAGATAGTCTCAAGCGTATGGTGTCTGTTCGCTCCAGTTCTGCCGACAACTTTCAGACAGCAGCAGGCACTGCATCACCTGCTGTACCCGCCGCCACGATGCCCACGCGCTCCAACACAATGCCTCTCACCACCGTATCACAGCTATCCGATGAACCAGACCTTCTGAACTTTAATGATCTGTCATTAGACAATACCAGTAAACCCAAGCAAATTGCCAACATCAACACCAACACACCTCTGGCTCTTGGTTACGAGCTTGGATACCAACTACTGCAGTACAATGCGGAAGGCGTGCTATACGAAGACTCGCAAATGCAAGCTTCCATCAAATCCGAATACCATGGCTCACAAGGCCGACTTGCGCTGTACTTGACCAACAAGACGCAATACATCATGTCTGATATCAACGTGATGATTACACCCGCAGATGGTTTAGAGACCAATTTAGCGCCATTGGAAGGTAACAGCTTCTTGTCTGCAGGAGCTCAATTACAACGCTTGATCACAGTTGAATGCAATGATGTCTTTATCAACTCACCAGAGGTCTTTATTGCCTACACGGTGGGCCCTGAAACACAAGTATTGCATCTCAAGTTGCCTATTGTCCTGACCAAGTTCCAGGAACCCATTACCACCATGGACGGCACCAACTTTTTCAAGCGATGGAACCAAATCGGCGGCCCTCCTCGTGAGAATCAGGTCATTTTCAAAAGCGAGATACCCATCCAACTATCAACAGCAGCATCCTTACTACAAGGCTTTGGTATTGGGTTATTGACTGGTGTGGACCCAAATCCAAATAATTTCGTGGGTGCTGGTATTGTGGATTCTGGAAAACAAGGCGGTAAAATTGGTATCTTATTACGGCTGGAACCGAACTTGGAACAAAACGTAAGTGCTTCTAGTTGTGGCCTGTGGAGGGTGTTGGAACTCATCACATGTTGTATAGATGTATCGTCTCACTATCAGAACACCTACAGAAGGTGCATCGACTGTTATTCGTGAAATTTTGGAGAGACCTCTTACAAATGGAGCCTAATTGATATAATGACGTGTGCAGCAATAAAGTACATTTACACACTATGAATTGGAAATGGCATTCATGTCAGGTGGCAGAGCTTATTGTGTGTGTGTGTGTGCCCTGTCTTGGCCTTTAACATTTACAATTCATGCAACGTGTGTACTATACAAAATGCTTTATTGGCACCTGAAATTACGAGTATAACATCTGTCTAAATGTGGATGCTAAATGGGTCGGGTGTGGGTGAGTATATGTATGTGTGCGTGTGAGAGGTGTTGTTGTGGAGAGGGAAAATGCTTTGAAATGATATAGCATATATAGTAAGAGAGAAGAAGAAGAAAAAAAAAAGGTAATGTACACATGTGGTATTACAGAGGAGTATCCTCAGAAAAGAAATAGAAGAGAGTGTGATTATGCATTGCTATCAGTTGATGTAGGCAGGACATTTGTTTCAAAAATAGGCGATCCAACCAACGTAGTTGACAATAAGCCCTCTCCACCACGATTTGCTGTTCGACCACCAAATGAGTTTTGCAAATGATTTGAATTGACATTGATCGCTTGTGCGGGTGAAGGTGAGGATGAGCTAGGGGCTACTTCATCTTCTGGAATAGAAATAAATGGTACAGGTGGTGTGGTAATGTTATCGCCTGCTGAAGAAGGTGCCTCTAAACGAGTCTTGACAACATCTCCTGCTGCTGCTGCTGCTGCTGCTGCGGTTGTTGTTGTTGTTGTTGTTGTTGTTGTTGTAGGTTCGTGAGGATGTCCCTCTTCGAAATCACTACTCAAGTCAGACTGTATACTGCTACTAGGACGCAATAACCCTTCAGCGGTATCCAAGTGATGCTCATCTCCGTCACTATGAACACGTCCCTCCTCTGGCTCACGCTCCTGTGCCTCTTCTTCCTCTTCCTCCTCCTCTTCCTCCTCCTCGTTCAATTCAGGGACCGTGTCAATGTGTGGTACAGAAGGTTGCTTGGGTGATTGCTGTTGCTGCTTCTCTTTCAAATCCTTTGCAGCATTGATGGCATCCAACACTTCATCCACTTCAACAGCGACACTAGCCTCCAAATCAAAGTAACTACGACAAAGCGGACATGAAAAGCCTGGGTAATTCTGGAAAACAATGGGTCGAAGACACTTGAAATGAAAGATGTGTGAGCAGGGAGCAATGAATAACGCCTGGAATGGAGCAATAGCATATAAACAGATGCAGCATTCTTGAATATCAGCTCTCGACATGTCAGTAGGCATACGACTCATCATCTCGGATAATTGCATTTGATTGGAGACGTCGGCTACCATGTCATTCGAGTGTTCATGTACTTTGGTAGGTTCTCGGTGAAGGCCTAAATCAGCAGGTTGGACAAGGAAATCGTTGTTGGTGTTTGAAGGTGAGGCTGCTTGTGGTGGTGGTTGAGGCGATGTACCGGAAGAAATGTTGGTGCCAATGAGATGGCTTCTCAATTGTTGAAAAGCAGTGCGAGTGAATGGGCTGTTGGCGTTTTGTGTCTGTCTATTCAATTCCACACGAGCGCGGACAGCTCTGTAAATGGGCTCCAGACCGCCTTGGTAATCCACACCTAATTGAATAGCATCGCCGTCTCTTACTTCATAAGGTTGACTAATATGACTAGGCGGACTGAGTCTAATTCGGTTCAAGAATGTACCACTCGATGATCCAATATCACGAATGTAGACCTAATGAAAGCACGTTCAGCAATCGCAATACATCTCGAGCACAAACAAATACACACACACACACACATACCTTGCCCTGCTCAGTCCAAAGCTCAGCATGATTACGGCTCACCACCTTGCTCTTGAAAGACAATCTATCCGCTTGCACATTTCTATCTGAGAAACGGCCAATGCGATAGATAACACCAGGTTCCAACTCTCTGTCAATAATCTCGAATACAAAGCTGCGACTTGAAATTCCAACATTGGGCACCAATCTCATGCGAGGTCGTACTACATTACTGCTGCTATTATTACTATTTCCAGAATCAGCAGACTCTGCGGACGGTCTAGTGTGAGGAGTCATGTCTGTAGACTGTTGGTGAGATTGCTGTTGACCATCTGGTGCATTGTTCTCTTGTGATGCGGCAGATGGAATAGGCGACGATGGGCTCGTGTTAGAGAGGCGTCTATGAGCACGACGAAGACTTTGAAATCCTCGAGTGATGAGCGCAGGAGGTGGAGGGCTGGTAGCTGATGTGGTAGATGCACTTCTGTTACGGGGCATGTTTGTTGTTGTTGTTGTTGTTGTTGTTGTTGATGCTGCAGATGTCAAATTGGTATTAGCTGGTGATAATTCTGGTGGATTAGACGTCAGGACAGGATACATATACATTCAAGATGGAGAGTATCTATTGTGTGAAAGGGAGTAAAAAAAAGAAAGAGCACCTTGTGTATGATAGCCGAAGTAAATTTATACCACTGGGAAAAAAAAGGAAAAACAGAGACAGCACGCACCAAAAGGCTACCTTACAGCGGTATGGTTTCACTTGACAACTGAACTTGACCAATCAAACTATGGAAATGTTTGCTGTTTTGAGCAAATTACACCTTGAAAATCATTGAAATCATACATTGTATTATACCGTCCATTGGTATCCTCTTTCTTCCTTGTGCTGTGCTGGTACACATTGATTTTACAATCACTAAAAACCAATGGGAAATGTCGAAATAACTAGAGATTTCTTGCCGTCAGGAGAAAAATAGCTTAATTGACAGTTGATCACCCACCTTGTTTTGAACGACTGAATGACAAGAGATTGCTGTTCGGTTAAATGCTTCGGCAATCTTGATCCACTGTCCTTATGGGCGTCCTTCATTGGTGTAGAGTCCTTGCCATGCAATCTCGGATCTACATTCGATTAGTATAGATAATTCCACTTGGCAGCATCTTCTTTAGGAGACGCACATTCACGTTTTTGTCTATCTTTTGCATATTACATAGACAGTGGTGCCATCAACAGTGAGTCCTCTTTGAAGGGTATTTTGGGATATTTCGACCTCAGTGATTAATATTGCTTAAATAAGCATTTGTTTTGCTAAGCAAGTTAAACAGCAGGGTAAATGTTCCTTCTTCCCTCCCTTTCGTATCATATTATTTATCAGATTTTGAATTTTGAAATCCCATGAAGGATGACCCTAAAATTAAGCAATGTAGAGTCATCTCCCCCCCCCCCTCTCTGTCTATGATGGCAGGCCATTGAACGATTTCTTTTCATTCATTATGTCACTTTTAATGAATGAGAGGCATGTCATGATGTCATGTATCTTATACCAGCCTCATCAGTCCTTTCAGAATCTGTATGTGATCGTAACGTGCCGTTAGCTATCGTCGTTGGTTAGCAACCAATTTAGATTTGACAGTTACCATTTCAAATTCAGGTACACAAAATCTCTCATCTGTTCGATTTTAAAACCATCCTCGTAATGAGATTTCCTGAAATACTATCTGAATTAGGGTTGCAGAAATCATCATTTATATTATTAGCTCATTTGATTCACTCAGCAACATGTGGTGTAGCGTGACGAAAAAAAAAAAACAACATTTTAGTTGATCAAAACATACAAATCCGCTGAATCCATTTACCGGTGGATACATGTAAATGGCCATGACTACCATCTGAGCGATTATTCTGTAGTAGCACCTCCTTGCCATTGATTGCGCAATGACCAAGCCATGTCGGCTGATTGATTTTTCCATACATTTGGATTGAGTTTATATCATGATGCCATCGTCCATGGCCCCAAATGTTATACATTACTGAATAGAGGATGCAATGCCTGGTGCTTTAAATTGCAATGTAATCGTTTGTGACACAAGCAAGTTTCAATCAAAGAATCAACAGAAACATTTCATAGGGTTCAAGTTACACCTTGCACGTTTGTCATCAGCTTGAATGCAATTTGGGAGGTTTTGAGCCTCGGAAGAACTTGCAAGACCTTGCTATATACGTTACCATGGAGGAAAAACGTAGCCAGTCACTTTGTAACCAGAGCTTTGGTTGCGTTTATAAGATAAATCACATTTCCTTCTGCAGCTTCTCTTTCTTTTATTAATTACCTTTTATTCCCGAATCATACGCAGAAAGATGGCACATTTCAGCAGAGATGATAACAGCAGCATAGAATATGTAGATGCCATTCCCAAAAATGAAAAGACCGCAAAGCAGAAACGCATGTGGAAATGGATTGCTATTGCTGTTGCCATCATTGTTGTCATTATCATTGTGGTGGTTGTTTCTGTAGTTGTGACACAACATAACAAGAGCAACAACAACAACAGCAGCAGTAGTGGATCTGGTACAAGCAACAGCCAATATCCTATCTCTCCTTATGCTCACATGACCACCATTGTAACCAATAATGACGACTCATTGCAACAAAAGGAGAACATCTATGTCGTTGGAGATGTCCATGGATGTGTGAGTGAATTGGATAAATTGGTCACCAAACTCAACTTCAATCCAGCCACAGACCAGCTCATTCTTGCCGGTGATTTGACTGCAAAGGGACCTGACAGTGTGGGTGTCATTCGTAGGGCCAAGGAATTGGGTGCACTCTGTGTGCGTGGTAACCATGATGATAAGGTGATTCGACTCAAGACATACGAGCTTGAAAAGGGCGAGAACGCAATGTACCCACTCAGTGCTACTATGCCCGAGGGCAATGTCCCAGACCCATTGAAATTCAAGAATTACCACGTTGCCATTGCCAAGTAAGTTGTGCTTCTAATTATACATTTCAACATGATACTCATCTTGGGCATTTCAATAGAAATCTCACCCAGGACGACTATGATTACTTGTCATCTTGTCCAGTCATGTTGCATATGCCCTTCCTGAATGATGTGGTCGTTGTTCATGGAGGTTTGGATCCAAACATCAACTCTCTTCAAGACCAAATTCCATATTTAGTCATGAACATGAGAGACATTGACAAGGATGGACCTTCGCCTGAAAACAATGTTGGAACTCAGTGGGGAACGGTGTGGAATGAAAAGCAGCAAAACTTGACGATGGAGAACACAGAGATTTTTTACGGCCATGATGCTAGTCGAGGATTGAATCTAAAGAACACTACCTTTGGTTTGGATACGGGATGTGTCTATGGAAAACAATTGACAGCCATGAATGTGCGCACCAAAGTGATGACACAAATCGAATGCCCACTCTACGTCAAGCAAGGGGGTACAAGTGATGATTAAAACGAGCGAAAGAAACGGTTTATTAATATGATACATTAGTGAGCATCATCAGCATGGACGAAGCCAACTAACTTGTATCAAGCAATTGATATCTGTTTTGAAGATTCGTTTCAAATTGATTTTATTTATTCATGTACATATATATGCATTTCTTCTGCTCTTTTTCGTTCATCATTCAACTGCATACCATAATTTTGTAACATTCTGTAAATCACACCTTTCTCTCTCTCTCAATAAATTTAGACTTTTTTGAAATTAGAAGCATTGCGTTTGAAATGTGAACAATGCAAAACTCAAATTGGCTCGGGTCTCAATATTTGAAAAATGCTTCAAACGGAGCATATGCTAACAAAAGTTACAAAAATCAAAATGTCTCAATAGGTTTTGGTAAATTACATCAAAGTTGTGATTTCTGGCAACTACCTATTCAGTCATAAGGATAAGCTTTGCTTTGAAACAGGTGCTGAATGAATCTTGTAAGCTGTTTTGATGATTGGAGCGCATCAGAAGCACCACGATCTACTTTTTGGTCAAGATATACACTCGATACGAATCAGTCACCGAAATGGTCACTGTTTGTTTTTATTTTTAAGAACTTCGAAAACCACCACTAAATGTTTGAATGCTTTAAAATCATAGATCTCACTACTTGACCTAATTTAAAATTTTTAAATGAGTATACATCAAGATCAGGTCAATTGACAAGCCAAATCTCGTCTTTCAGAATGGCAAATTGGTGGTATAGTAAACTGCCACAGAGCAGGTGTCAAAGAAAGTGTGATCAGCAAGACCATGAACCTGTCCCCGTCTACGGTAAGCATCGTGATCAAGAGGGCAGGCTCTAAAGGCACCGGATTGCTTCCAAAACGTTCTGGAGCACCATTGAAGATGATTAATAGAGATCAGAGACGGCTCGCACGTCAGCTTCGCTCTGCACCGTTGTTACCAATGAAGAACCATTTGAAGTTATGGTGTGACGCCAACCCATCAATTTCAATGGATACGCTCAGGAAGTATATGAAGCTAATTGGCTTTCAATCATATAAGACTGCACACAAACCAGCATTGACACCTGAGCACAAGCTGAAAAGAATCTCCTGGTGCTTGGACAAAGTCGGATGGGGGCCAGAACAGTGGAGAAAGGTTGTTTGGTCCAATGAGTCCAAATTCATGGTTCTCGGTAATGATGGTGGCTCTAGGGTGATCTGAAAAGAAGGTAAAAAAAAAAAGGTACAATGATTACCACATCATCAAAACCAAGAAGTTTGGAAGCGGCTCTGTGATGCTTTGGGGATGCTTTTGGGCTGGAGGCTACGGACCGTTAGTAGCACTTGATGGCCGAGTAAATCAGGACAGATACATCGAGTGTTTGGACAAGAGCTACTTGCCATGGATAGCTGATGTGATGAAGAATGAGAAAGGCAACTTCGTTCTTCAAGAAAATGGTGCTTCCTGTCATACAGATAGAATTTCTACAAGTTGGAAGGAGGATCAACCATTGGTCAACAGTTTTAGCTTCTGGCCGGCTCAAAGCCCCAATTTGAATCCAATCGAACATCTGTGGGCCATCATGGAGAAGCGAATTGAGAGTAAGAGGCATCGCATTGATAATGCAGAACAATTGCTTGCGTGTATCCATGAGGAGTGGAATAACTTGGATCTTGGTCTGACGGAGAGATTAGTTGCAAGTATGCCATCTAGATGTCAAGCTGTAATAAATGCAAGAGGCGAAATAACACGCTACTAAAAGCATTGAATATAAATAAAATACTATGGTAAATATCATATATCCAGATTTCATGTACTCCTTACGATGTTTTATTAATGATGATTTGATGTCAAAGATCAATGAATTATTTGATGCCAAAAAAAATTGAACTCAGTTACGGTGACTAATTCGTATCGAGTGTACCATTTCAGGGGAACTGATCTTCAAAATGCATATTTTCCAAAAGAGCAACGTGTGAATTCAAAACGAATAATAACACGAATGGCTAGAAAAAAAAAAAAAGCCTCTCTTGAAGTGTTTATTCATTTTTTTGCATTAATCAGCAAAATTATGATATTGAGCATGTTCAAGATACAACCTTCTCATTTCTCGCTGATTTATACCATGCGAAAATCTAAGGAAACGTTGGGTGATTTAAGCGCCACAATTTTTTGGATCTTGGATCTTGGATCTTTATCCCAAGGTTCTATCAAATTTCTGCTCAATATACGATTGATGACCTAACATACATTTCCAAGCTAAAGCACACAGCATAGCGTGTGATATAATTCACTTTTCATATTAATAATTATAAATACTGTTAAACAACGCCATGTTAAACAATGTGAAAATAACCAGAATGGTGCGCATCTATTTCAATTGTTTGTGCGATGGATGCTTGTGCTAGATAAGCTGTAGATGCTGATGCTACTAGATGTGAATACGCTTTTTTATGCTCATAGTATAGTATACTTGTTACAGTATCACGATATATCACAAGAGAGATGTATCTATTTGTTAGATTTAGTCTCGTCTGATCTGGGAAAAATATGGATTGCACAGTTATGTTTGCCTTATTCGAATAGAGCTACACATTATGTGGAACGCTACATTTGATAAAAAATCCTTGTTGTTCTTTAATCAGGACAAGCTCTCAAGCTACTTTCTATATATACAGTATGCTATTTCTTGTGATAGCTTCAATGGAAATTACGCTATAGTAGATGTACTGTACCTCGCAAGCGAATCCGCATTAGAAGTAGCATCTCCGTATACAACAATGTTGTTTTTACCACGAAAAATTCCAGATCAGTTACACAACATGTATAAACCACAAGTAAATGCTTAATTGGAACCTGCATACCTAGGCTACATGTGCCTGTCTGTATGTGTGTGATCGGTGGAACCTGTCACCTTAAAAGTACATCGTCAATTATGGTATAATATACCTAAAAGCACGAGGATCGAGTGTATTTCTGCGCTTAGCTACAATGGCGCAGTAATATCGCAGTAGTGCATATTTGCGAGCTCAGAGTTAGACCATGACTCTAGAGAGACATTAGACGTCCTGATCCAGATACTCATATTACTGGCATCAAATATCTCTATTCCATCTCACCCATATCAGTCTACTCATACCTGTCTATCTTTTGCAAGTGTTTATTTCTAAATATATAACAAGATAGAACATTAAGAAGACTCTATCTTCGTGATGTTAACAATAGAATTTTTATATGCCCTATTCCCCTTCTTTACCAAAAAGATTGATGATCTCTTACTCTTCAGTTACACAAATCTAAAGTACTTTTCCCATTCTATGTGCATATGCTATATTTATGCATTCAAGTTTTTCAATGCAAGTTTATATTGTAAAAGTAACATTGATACAACTGCCTGCTACCATCATCATATGAAAGTGAATCTCAAGATGTCAAACATTTGTATATAAATACCACATTGCAAACATCCATTGACAGTTTCTCATCACTAGCTTCCTCAAGCCTCCTTCCTCTCCTTCCTTTCTGCCACAATGGTCTTGATCTCCTCCCTTACCAAAGAAATCAAATTTGTTCTTGCTGCCTCCTATGTGCTCTTTGCTGTTGTCTCTGATGCCGCTCCTACCACCATTCCTCTCATTGAAAGATCTTCCGCTTCTTCAAGCAATGTTACTCACGTCAATGGCACCTTGACTGATGCCGATGTAACTCTTCCTCCCTTGATCCCTAAACGTGTTATTCCTGCTACCAAGGTTCCTCATGATTACGATGTTGAATCTGAGTACGTTACCAAGAATACTCAATGGTACAATGAGCATGGTGGCAATTACACTCTTACGAAGCGTGATGAAATCGAAACAGTCGGTAACTTTACCATGGATCTTCCTCCCAATCCTCCTCACTTCCCCGCCTATCCCAAGGACGACTTGGTTATCAAGGCTAATGCCAAAAAGATCGAGGAACTTGCCAAGTATGCTGGTATTGCTGCTACTGCTTACTGCCGTGATGTTGTTCCTGCTAACAATTGGAAGTGCGAGCAATGTTTGAAACAAGTACCTGATGGCAAGCTTATCAAGACCTTCACCTCTTTTGTCTCTGATACCAATGGTTTTGTCTTGAGAAGTGACAAGGAAAAGGTCATCTACCTTGTCTTCCGTGGCACTAACTCCATCAGAAGTAGCATTGCTGTAAGTGCTGGTTAACTGAAATACCCCAGCTCTGACTAACGCAATTTCACCATAGGATATCCAATTTGATTTCACCACTTATCCCAATGTGAAGGGCGCCAAGGTGCATAGAGGTACGCTTGTTTGCAACCATCACTATCGTGCGATACTGACTTTTCTCCTTGTCAGGCTTCTTGAACTCTTATAATGAAGTTGTTCGCTCCTTTTTCCCTGATATTCAAGACCAAATCACCGCCTTTCCTTCTTACAAAGTTATCGTTACTGGGTAAGTGCAAGCCATCGACATTATATCCAGTATTTACTCATATGCAAACAGACATTCACTTGGTGCTGCTCAAGCTTTGCTTGCTGGTATGGATCTTTACCAACGTGATTCCAGATTGTCTGCCAAAAATTTAGCCATCTACACTGTTGGCATGCCCAGAACAGGAAATGCTGCTTTTGCTTATTATGTTGATTCAACTGGCATTCCCTTATCTCGTTCTGTCAACGAAAGAGACAGTAAGTTGGTTTTGAGTATAACAAATTCTTTGAATTTTGATACATTTTTTGTCTAGTTGTACCTCATGTTCCTCCTCAAGCTTTTGGCTATCTTCATCCTGGTGTTGAAGCTTGGATCAGATCTTCTGGAAGTGTTCGTAAGTGTCAAAGACAATAAGCATCACGACTATCTATTCATTCTTGCCATGTGTCATATATGTAGAAATCTGCACCGATAGCGTTGAATCCGACTTGTGCTCCAATAGCATTGTGCCCTTCACTACCATCTCTGATCACTTGAGGTAAAATCGACATGTCTTTTAATCAACACCTTAGTCTGCAAAGCTAACGTCTACAAATTCTTCTCTCTAGCTATTACGACATCAACCAAGGTCTCTGCCTCTAATTTTACAACGTATGAATTTGGCTAATTGGCTTAATCTTGCAATGTACACACTGGGCGCAAGCAGTTTATAACACTGTTTTCTATTTACTGTATCATGTTCTGATGACCTGCAATAAACTTGTTCTCTAATGCCCTTTTTGGCTATAAAAAGACGCCTAGCGTGTGAAAAGTTAATCTCTTTTGACCTCTTCTTCCATCTCCTGAATACAAACAGCAATGAGGACAATATGCAGTATTTGCTTGGACGAAGTTGGAAAACAGCCATTGGTAACGCTTGTTAATTGTGGACATGTATTTGATTTAAAATGGTAACTACAAATGTACAGAAAATCTTTTACAATACGACAGAAACATTGACTTATACAATGTTAGTATCAGAGAATGGCTGAAAACAAATCTCAACTGTCCCTTCTGTCGCAAAGGCATTCATAATATGCTGGAGATCCAGTTATGCCGTATCTTTCTATCTACTGAAGGTGATTCCAGCTCCAGTGAATGCTTGAAGTTGAAGACTGATCTTGAAGAAAATGCAATCGTAATCCAAGAACTTAAAAGAGAAGCTTACAATCAGCAAAAACCAGACGGTAAGGGTTCTACGTGATTATGAACTCTTGAATTGACGGACGCCAAGTCGGCTTACCTTGAAGAGACCAGGAAATCATCCGTCTATGTGGAACAAATTATGGATCTTACATTAACCAAGAAGAATGAAGTAGACGCCTTGAAGAAGAATGATGCTATGGCAAGAGAACTACAATCTCAACGCGACAAATGCGCTGCGATGGCAAAGAACAGGAATTACAAAAAGGAGTACTTTGATTTGAAAAAGTTATTTGACGACACCCTTGCCAAGCAGAACATCACCAACTCAAAATTCATTGAAATAGCAATTTCAGGCACCTCAAGTCCGGATACAGTCAGATATCACATTCAAGGCTTAGAGAAGCAGCTCACAGAATCCAAGGCAAAGGAGGACAAGTTTTTTGCGGACGTGAAAAGGCTTGCTAAAAAGAAAGCAGACATTTATCAGGATAGACATAAGCTCTACATTGAAAATCAGAAAGCTCAACAATGATAAGAAACGACTTATCAGAGAAAATCAGTAATTGCGTGAGAATTCTAGCGCCACAAATGAAGGTGCATCCGCATTGAAAGAACACAAATTGAATGATGCAGCTGAAAGTAAGAGTTTACAGAAGCAATTGAAGACTGCAGGAGAGAACGTATCTAAATTGCAGGAGTACAAGCAAAATTGGATTGTTGAGAATCACACGCTCCATCAAAACCTCAAAACGTCCCAGGAAAAGATCAAGGTTCTCCAGGCCATTCCAAACAGCATCACTGCCGAGAAGAACACTATACAGGAAAAACTAAACGAGAAAAGTACGAAGAATCAGGTTTCCCAAGACAGCACTGGATCAAGATCTGTTACTAATTGGTCAACAACAGCATCCGGGGAAGACGTGATCATCCTTAGGTAGCTAGTTGAGTCTACCAAGTGCTGTCATTGCTTCTTAACAATTGAAGTTATAAAAGTGTAAATCACATTAAATTCAAGGAAATCGCTATTTGCATTATTCGGCATCACTGTTTGTGCACCATTGTAATTTGAACATTTGGTTTGCAGGAACAGATTTAGCCAAGCTTTCAGACACGGACACTGCTTGAAAGACGGGATCTCTTTCAAACATCAAGCTCAATAAATAGTGTTTTCAGGACACATTCAGGCCACTCTGCCCAATGTTTGATGTACAGTGTTTCATCAGAAATGGACATGATTTAGCCTCCATCTTCATTATTAGAATGCTTCAAGCGTCAAAGGAACAGGCGTTTTTGAAGCCCAGTGAAATTTTTTCATTTTTCATCTTCTTTTGCTCCACCGTGTTATTGAACTTGCAAATCATACACAACTCGTCATGTCAAGTCTTACAGCAACATACAACAACACTGCCAAAAACACCAACAAAATCATAGAGGTACCTCTTGACGGCAGCAAAAGCTTGACCGACAGCATCTTGAACTTGAAAGGGCAAGTCAACACATTTTTGACGCAGACATTAGAGCAAGAAAAGCAGACCAAAGTAACAACTGTGGAAGAAGACGAAATTGAAAAGCAAAAGCAAGAAGAGCAAGCTGGCGACGATGAAGAAGAGCAAGAGCAAGATTCCCCAATGACAGTAGATAAACCAGAGCTCGTTGAAGAGCAAGCATCAAAGAAGTTAAAGACAGACCCGTAGTAGAGATGAAGTCTCTTTGTAAATACGCAATAAACTGACTCTTACGAAACCCATTTCATTGTTATGCCCAAGTCCATAAAAGTACATTAGGATTCCAGACCCGAATGTAAGCTAAAACATTGCAGCCATTAAAGAAGTATACAGACAGAGAGGGGAGAGAGGGGCTGTATAGGTTTGTTTAACCAAGATCAGAGCCGGACTTTTTAGTGGTTCGTGTCTGATGCTATTTAAATATACAGCTACAACTTGCCTCTTTGCTATTTTCTTCTTCTCTTTCTTTCTTCTTTTCATACATTTTACCTTCTCTCTCTCTCTCTCTCTCTCTAGATAGAATGTAAGTATACACAGACATCAACATGTAAACATGTATCCTTGAACATCTGTCGTTGTAGCATCAAATCACCATGGCTTTCTTTGTCCGCCCCTCTAAATATCGCCACGTTTATGGTACTTGTGCCAAGAGAGATTTCTGCTATGACAATCTTCGTGTAAGCGCTAATGCTTGGGATACCAACATGGTTAAGGCCAATCCTGTAAGTGTGTATTGTGCTGGAGGAAAAAAGGAGAGGGAAAGAAAGGGAAATATTAAAACGGTAGTACAATAATTAGTTGTTCATTTCTGTTAACTGGCAAGCATCTGGTGGTGGTGCATTTGCTGTTATTCCTCACTCTCAAGTTGGTAAGATGCTTTGGCTTTATGGCAAATGAGTTGGACGGGCTAAACTGACATTGCAATATAGGTAAATTGCCTGACAACTATCCTCTCTACCGAGGACACACTGGCCCTGTCCTTGATACCGACTTCAACCCCTTCAACGACTATGTGATTGCTTCCGGATCTGAGGATAGTAAAGTTATGATTTGGAACATCCCCGAAGAGTACGCCGAAAACCAAGAGGAGGTTACCCCTGTATTGAAGTTATCTGGTCACGGCCGGTAAGTAGGATGCTGTTGAGAGATTGGGTTCTAGGAAACAATGCATAACATTTTGTTTCTTTGCCCATAGTAAAGTTGGCCATGTTCTTTTCCACCCCGTTGCTGAAAATGTGTTGGCTTCTGCCAGTACTGATTTGACCATCAAATTGTGGGATATCGAAAAGGGTGTTGAGAAGCAAGAAATCACAGGCCATGGTGAAATTATTCAATCCATGGCATGGAACTACAATGGTTCTCTTATGGCTACTACCTGCAGAGACAAGAAGCTTCGTGTGTTTGATGTCCGTGCCAATGAAATTGTGCAAGAAGGTCCTGGCCATCAAGGTATCAAGGGCTCGCGTGTCGTGTGGCTCGGTGATACTGATCGCTTGGCTACCACTGGTTTCTCTCGCATGAGTGATCGTCAACTGAACTTGTGGGACTCTACTAATTTGGCCAAGCCCATCAAATCTGAATTCATCGATACCTCCTCTGGTGTCATTATGCCCTTTTATGATGCTGATAACAAAATGTTGTACCTCGCCGGAAAAGGGTAAGTGAATCTATGCAACTATCAACTCCTTGTTAACATCTCCCTGTTTCATGTAGTGACGGTAACATTCGTTATTATGAGTATGATAACGATGCTTTGTACCTCCTTTCTGAATTCAAGGCTATTGAACCTCAAAGAGGTATGGGTTTCTTGCCCAAGCGTGGTGTCCATGTCAATGAATGTGAGATTGCTAGAGCCTACAAGGTTGGAACTACCTTGATTGAACCCATTTCTTTCACTGTCCCTAGAAAGGTAAGCGCTAGAGCCATCTGCCACAATGATGCCCATCTAAACGCACTCTTCACTCTAGTCTGATGCTTTCCAATCCGACATTTTCCCTCCTTGTGCCAGTGATGAACCTGCTCTCACTGCTGATGAATGGTTCGAGGGTAAAAATGCTGATCCCAAGTTGATTGATCTCGAGTCTGGTTTCACTGCCAAGGCCAAGAAGGAATTCACTCCTTCTGCACCTGCTGAAGAAGTCAAGCCTGATACTGCATCTGCTTCTTCTGGATCTGCTAGTGCCAACGCTGGTGACAAAAATGTAAGTATAGCCTGGTAGTTGTAATAGAGAGCGTGTAGTTGAACCTGTAAACATGTAGGCCGAGGACCAACTCAAGGATGTCAACAAGGAGAATGAGGAATTAAAGAGCTTGGTTGCTCAAAAGGACACAAAGATTCGTGTTCTCGAGATTGAACTCGATAAGCTTCGCACAGAGTTGGCTGAATTGGCTTTGGCCAAGAAGAACGAGGAACTCAAGGCTGAAAAGCTTGAAGAATTACCTCACTCTGGCAATGCTTTGGCCGAGTAAGGAAACTACAAGAGAATGCGAGAGAAATATATCTATTATTCCATATTTACAATATAGTTACAATATGTCAAAGAACTCATCTAATTAATTAATCCACCCCCTTTTCTCCTCTAAACGAGTCTCTATATTGCACAACCACCAGAAATCATGGAAACATTTGTATTGTACATTTTGTATATATGAATCCAAGATTATGCTACTATTTCTTTTTGAACGATGAAAGGAATAAACCACTATATACATTTCATTATGAAAAACTACTCATCCTGGATGTTGATCCATGTCTGTCGTTCAGTGAGTCTAATTTGAATAATCATAACAGAATAAAGGATTATTTACCAACTCTCAGTAGTGGGTGCCATTTGGGGTTCCCTGCTATTTTGGGACCCAGATTTACATGACACATTTTTAAGCGATTTTTACAAAATCCACAGGAAAACAAAGATATTTATTAATGAAAATGCAACTATTGATGGTAAAAAAGGCTCAGTTAGAAGTGTTGCAATTTTCTTCTTTTCGTTTCTTCGCAAGGAAAAAAAGCGCCTTTTTGGAGCTCGGTGCCCAAGCGATCCAAAGACCAGTGGCGAGTGTTGAGCACCTTTTGTAGGGCGCCTACAGCAGAAGTGGGGGAGAGACCAAGATCCAGCTGAAGGTCTTCAACGGAATCAATGATTTTTTTTACGGATATTGAACCATTTTCTGTCGTCTTTTCTCCATTTAGCGCCCCACTTGTCTTCTAATTCTTGAACAGACCAGAATCCATCTCGACCTATTGTCCACTCGTCCCAAAGATCACACACAATTGTCACTTGTCGACTCATTTTGTATAACGGTACACCTTCTTGATTGTATGGAAGTGAAATAGTTGCAACTGCGGCATTGTTGTAACCTGGTGGTGGTGGGCTTTGTTGGGATTCTTCCGAAAATTGTTTTGAATGCGATACATCTTCTGATCTTGGCAAGGCAGAGGTTTTTGCGACAGCGCCTGTTGTCGCTACTGCTTGGTTCCCTTGCTCCATTCTAAAAGACAGTTGCAGTTGCTGCTTTCCGGTGACTATATTGTCAAACACTTTTTGCATTTGCTGCTGGATTTCATCCGACTTCTTTTGACGTTCTTTCAATTCTCGCATTGTATTTGCTATACTTCGGTTGATGCTGGAAAGCTGCTCTTGTACTTCAGGCGCAAATCTTTCAATAATTAATGAATGGGGCACTTCATTTTCTTCAACGTGAGCTTTTGCTTTTCTATAAATAAAGCAAAAAGATCAGACACACAGTTTTCATTTTTTTTTTAAAAAAAAAGCTTTATACCTTTGAAATTCTAGAAAGAGTGGGTTTCTGATTAAATTTCAGGAACAAAAGTACAAACTAAAAGCGAAAAAAAAAGTTCTTTCAGGTGTTAATTAACCAAAAGAATAAATATATTTTTTATGATAAGGCCTTGGATAACGCACATATCATTAGAATGTATTAAATCCTAATATTTTTTATGTAAATGTCAAATATACACACTTGGAACGAAAACTGGAACCCAAAGATCAATAACACTTGTTATTTGACAAAGTATTGGCTTATAACAAAAGTTATCACTCCAATCGGGTTCCAATTTTGCTGGGAACCCAATTTTTTTTTTGGAACCTCCAAAAAAAATACAGTCGACGAAAAAAGGTTGGCCCAATAAAAAAAAATAATTGGTCAGCTTGAAATGAAAATGAGCCACCGATTTTGAAAATGGGTCGGCCAATGAAAATGGGTCATAATTTTGAAAATGGGTCGCTAAGACAAAAATGGGTCACTGTTTTGAAAATGGATCATTTAATACGAAAATGGGTCACCAATAAAAAAATGCAATATGAGGACTAGCCAAATTCTCTCTTCTTTTTCTCTTCTTGAATTTTTTTATATTGCTTATAACATGAACGAAGAATACAATTTTGACAGTAAGACAGTACCTGTGATGACACAATCATATATGAACTGGGAAGAGACTGCAGCAGTAAATGCAGCACAAAAAGAAGCTAAGAGGAAGACCAAACCTCACTCCGAAGAGCCCCCCACCCCTTGATGTAGTAAAAAAGGAAAGGGGATCATACATCATCAAGAACGAAGCAAAGGTAGTCAATTTGATCAATTTATTGTAAGAATTTGAGAATATGTCTATCAGTGAAGCGGGTACAGAAAGGTAGGGCTCTCCAAGTCAACAGCTATTCGTAAAGTCAAGCAGTGGAATCAAATGACAAGCGAAATAGTTGAAAAGGGATTCCCTGATTCTATCGCAACCAAAGTAGGAAAGGGACGGCCAGCAATACTCAAAGACGAACATACTGTATTTATCTTTGAGCTGCTGGCTAATGAGCCAACATTGACAGTCGAAGCTGTTACAGACAACCTGTCAAAAGAATTTAGAGATATACAGATCACACCCTTAGATCAGTGGAAAATCATATGAATGATTTGTAAAAATATAAAAAGAGGTTTCTGGCCAAAATGTCGAAATTTTACATATTAAAGTCTCACAAAGATGATTTCAGAGGTTGCTTTGGATTGATAGAAACATTTTGATTCAAGATATACCATAGTAAAAGTCTTCACTATCAAGATGAAAAATGCGATCGTTTGATTTTCGATGAAAACCATGAGGGGTACCTCATGCTTTTTGGTCGATTTTTGACCATGTTTTTTTTGGTCCCCAAAAAGTCGAGCAAAAGTGTTGGAAAGTAACTGCCAGATGAGAGCAACCATTTGGGGCTATTCTGACGATCTAAAACGGCCTTGAACGCAAGAAAACGCAGCTCAGATGCACTCAAATTTTGCTGTATTAGGCACACTCTTGACTAAAAAGGGATCATATTTGTATGCTACTTGCCCGTATATGAAGTAGCTACGTGTATATGGATGTAGAGCATCACATAAGAATCAGATCCACAGATAATATAAAGGGTTTTCATGTGTAAGTGGAGGGTCAAAATGAAAGTAGTAGTATTTTGATAAGATACGCAAGAGCAATCGGTAGCGCAAGCTGCAGCCGTGCAGGTTGGTTCTCACCGAAGCGAAGCGAAGGTAGAGGGCCATCCGAAGCATAAACATTCGTATTTTATAGTGCTAGTCCTCAATATCATCCTTATCATCTTCATAACATTCCTTTTTAGAGCCTTTATGGTAGTGTTTAGGCTTTGTAGTAATAGAGGTTGTGCCAAAGTAGCCAATAGCATTTGCTCTTGTAGTGAAGATTCCATCTGTTTCTGTACAGACAGATATGGTAAAGAGCTTAGTATCCGTTTATGTCAACATGGCTACAGCAGAGATTTCGGTGGTTGGTTTGACGAGCGCCATAGTAATTATATCTATAAAACATGCTTGAGTCGTTGTTGTTGTCTCGATAAAATTTGGTGCAGTTGTTGTTGTTGTAAATCTCTCGATTAGGGTAGTTGTCGTAGTGGTGTTGTTTACTTGGATAGCTGTAGTCGTAACAGTTTCTAATTGAGCGGCGGTATGACTCTCTATGAGCATTGTTGTTGTTGTGGATGTCTCTGTCGCTACCTGTGCCTTTGTCAAAGTCGTGCTTCCACTGGCTACAGTAACCTTGAGCTAATTCTGCTGCTTAGCACAGTTGTTGCCAAAGATGTAGCGCAAAGCCAGAAAAGCGCAACTTTTTGCATCATTGAGCTTTATTCGTTGGTGCACATCAAAATGTAACGTTGTCTAGAATGACATGCGAATATTTTGATAATCTCCTTTCTTGTCGCAGTTGACACAACAACGAGCATACAAAGCCATATCTTGATAGTGTCGGAACACGGTAGCGTCTTGAAACAGGATGTTTCGTCAGGGAATCGCAGCCTTTAGCTCTTCATCGCAAGTTGCTCCCTGCATGCCTGTTTATTGGAATAAACGTTGGTCCAAAAATATCTTGATTTGCGAGAAATTTAATCGTGATTGACAAGAATTTGATAGTGTTTATTAGGCAACAAGCTCTAGTTCTGTTTGCAAACATATTCCCTAGACGCTAAAGGTCATTATTCCACATATCATAGCTTCTTTGCGTCTAGCTTCGATATCATCTGTAGTATCTTTTAACCCTTTTTAATCAAAGGAGTTGCGCAGTTTGCGCCTCTCTTCTTTAAGATAAATCACAATCGAAGGCAATCCTTCCAATATTGCTTATCTCTTTCTGCTTTTTTATCTAATCGTTAAGTGTTCTTGAAGACAGCAAAGATGGAAAGAGACTTGAAGAAACTGCCTTCAAATGCATACTCGACTGTGTGGATGTGTACGGTCAGATATGAGATTCCTCATATACAAACTACACAATGCCTACAATGAGGTTATTATAAGAGAGCATTCTTTCTTCGGGAACCCTGGAACAGTAAACAACTTCGCTTTCTAATGTTACTCATCAACTAATGAACAACATTTGCAGCATTTCTTCTTTCTTGTTATACGTTAACCGTAAAAACCAAACAATGTAGCAAAAATTACAGCACTCTCCTCCCCTTCAATAGGCAATTGATACCAAAGCTGCTGAGACCAATTGGAGGCTTTCTTATGACACAAATCAAGCTTTGGTGAGATGTGTAGTAAAGAAGCAACGAAAAACATATGGTAAAAGTATATCAAATGTTTATCCCCTATATCTTGAGTGTAAGGATGTGATACATGAGTTTCTGAACCTCCGTATGTTATGCGTAGCTACTATTGCTGCTGCATCCTTCCTTGGCAAGAAAATCAAGTTACGGATACATGGTCATTATGGCAGAACCCCACTTGATCTGCCATGCTACAGGCCCTGTTTGGACACAAGAGCCTGACCTACATCGAGTTCCGATCTGCAGCAACCATCTTGCCATGATTGGCTATACCATGAATTTTTGTTTGACTGTCCGATTGATTTGCGGTGCCCGGGACATGGATGGTCTGTTAAATATCCATAATGAGTCTTTAACGTATCATCCTCTTTTTCGTGATTGCCAAAGGTATGTATAAGAGATAATGAGAGCAAGGGGAAGCAAGCGATAGATAGATGATGATAGCATCATAATGGATGCATTCTATCTTTAAAGGATGGCATCCATGATTTAATCGAATGAAGAAACATCGGCAAGTTCAATCATCCATCAGAGACATCCAGCACATCCACCAGCAATATAATGCATCCATCCTTTGGTAACATCATATCCACATCGATACACTAGACATGCATCCACATCAGTACTCATCATAGCAATCGATCTATGCTCAGTTTTTTTTTTGGCTTGACATGGCTTGATCTGATCATCCTGTCGCTCTAAATGTTGGACATGTATGCAATCTTACAAGCTCAACTATGAAAATGTCAAAATATCAGTGTTCAAGCCAAAGGATCCTCACTAGCTAGCTGGGCAGTGCAATGCAGACCTATTCAACACTATCAGAGTTACAATGCGGGTTAGTCACACCAAGAGTGAACAGTTTTGCATAAGCACCTGCTCCACATTTGACAAATCAGCATGACAATGGATCCATTTTCTTTATTTGATTGAATACATGATGAATATCACATCTATCTGAAGCAAGCGCATTAGTAGATGCATAAGGATCAGGATACTAATCAATTATGGGGTTTTTTGTAGCTATAATGCCCCACGCACCTAGAAACAGCTTCATTGCTCCTGGCGTCTCTCGCTTCTCTCGTTCTGCTGCCTACTCCAAGAAGGCTCAGTACAAGCGTAAGCAAACCGCTGTTGCTGCTCCTGCCAAGGCTGCTGCTACCGATAAGACTGTTGAGGTTAAGGGTGGTAAGAACGGTAACAACCGTACCGTCCCTGCTCAAAAGGCTTCTCGTTTCTACCCCGCTGAGGATGTCCCTCAACCCAAGGTTGGTCGCAAGGCTGCTGCCAAGGTCAGTGTCCGTGCCTCCATCACTCCCGGTACTGTTGTCATTCTCCTCGCCGGTCGTTATCGCGGAAAGCGTGTTGTTGTCTTGAAGCAACTCGACTCTGGTCTCCTCCTCGTCACCGGTCCCTTCAAGGTCAACGGTGTTCCTTTGAGACGTGTCAACCAAGCTTATGTCATTGCCACCTCCACCAAGCTCGATATCGCTTCCGTCTCCATTGATGCCAAGTTCAACGATGCTTACTTCAAGAAGTCTGCCAAGACCGAAAAGGCTTTCCTCGAAGGCGAGCAAAAGAAGGCTGCTTTCCCCGAGTCCAAGGCTGCTGACCAAAAGGCTGTTGATAAGGCTCTCCTCGAAGTTGTTGCCAAGACTCCTTTCCTCCGTCAATACTTATCTTCCAACTTTGGTTTGAACAAGGGTCAATTCCCTCACAACATGAAGTTCTAAATGTTGTAGTTTTTTGATTATATAGCTTTGAGAAATGAAACAACACTCTTTTTTCTAAAAATAAAATTTATACAAAGAAGGGAAATATTGAAGGTTATTTGTTACATTCATTCGCTTACTGTGTGCATTGGGAGACCTGTCAGGATGTTTATAGCGGATCAAGATTAGGCACTGGTTTATAGTGGTTGCTAGTGCTTCTATGCAAAGAGAATGGACTATAATCTCAGGCCAATCGAGGGCTTTTCAAATCATATTAACGCTTGCGCCATAAGGCAAATGATGCTTTGTTTACGTCGATCATACCAAGCAACATTTGTGTACTACAATGTAGATTGCAACGCATGTTATGCACTACTCATTGCTCCATCGGATCAAAAGCATTTAGGGAACCTAGCTATACCTCGCACGTCCCCAGAAACGCCATTTACTCTGTTATATTTTGCACAAATGTCATAGCAGCACGTCCTCATATTTTCATCCTTGTGCAAACCTTTATGTACTGCCAACTCCCAGCATCAATTGTCCAGACGTTATGCGGTACCCAGCATTCGAGGGAGAGAGCATTTATTTTGTGATTTAGGTAGATCAAGTTGGTTTCACGAGTCAATGAACGAACAACGACCTTGCCAGATGAACTGACTCGGCAATGGACGGCCCCAAGCCCAAGCAGACAAACCGAGCAAGCAAGAAGGTCATGAAAAGATATTACTGGCCTTGCAATGTCAATTATAGCGTACAGTTCTTAGCATACACGCTTATCATTCAATAGACGCAGTCATTTCACTTTTTGAGCGTTTACCATCATATGAAACTCTCTATAATTGGCCTGGAATTGTAAACCCAACTCTTGTATGATGCTCCACATTTATATCAACAAAAACAATTGTGTACAGGCATATAGCATACGCTTGTTACCTCTTGCTACTTAAAGGTGTGCTGAACACAGCAAAACTTGGGTGCATTCGGGTCGTGTTTTCTCGCGTTAGAAGCCGTTTTAAGCAGCCAGGGTAGCACTAAACAGCTGTTCTTGCCTAGTGGCACCTTGCTGACGCTTTTGCTCAACTTTTTTGGGACATAAAAAATATCGACCGAAATCGACAAAAAAAAGCATGAGGTATCCCTCATGGTTTTCGTCGAAAATCAGACGATCGCGTTTTTGACCACAAAAACGAAGACTTTTACTAAGGTATATATAAATTCAAAATGATTCTATCGATCCAAAGCAGCCTCTAAACGTTTGTTTATGAGGTGTTTATATGCAAAATTTGGACATTTTGGCCAGAAACCAAATATCCTATTTGCAGAAAATGCTCGACATTCTCAGTCAAAATATCTTTTTTTCATTCATACCATTAGATGCATCTTGAAAAGTGCTTTTAGAGTGCATTAGAAAGTGTGTGATGATTATCACTACTTACATAGTCGAATTTAGAAAAATAGTTAAATCAAGTCGAGAAAAGTTAAAATCTGGCCAATCTGGAGCTCAACGTAAATAAAGTTTAAATTGACCTTGATGATGCCGACTAGCAAGAAGGGTATTTCTCGTTTAATCATGAAGGCAATCGATGCTTGTCAAGTTATTGAAAAGGGGACTGCAAGCTGTAAAGTACTGAATTTTAGGCTGTTTAATTTCTGCCGCTTAGGATAGAAGCCTTTATATCTGATCGGCGTAATTGCTGAGAATTGATCATCCATATGCGAAGCATAACGTACATTGCAAATTGCCATTTGAACACACATTATGCATTCACAACTATAGGGTGGAGCATGGCCCTCACTGAGCATTAGGAAATAAGGCATGTGTACATAAATCTGTAATTAAGCAGTTGACTACTGTCCCTGATGAAAACACTATCAAAAAGTATACTACAATCACCCATGATTTGAAGTAAGCTGATTACAGGAAATTTGAATGCCGTATCAGCCAAACAAACCATCCTAGGTGTTATGGCCCATCTCCCTACAAACTACTATCAACACCACATTGAACACACGTTTCTCATGTTGCTTTCCTTCTCTCTGATGCCATTTGAGAAATCCCTATTATAGAAAATGACATCACAATGAGCGGTCCATTTGCATCCATCGAAGGAAAGCCAAAGATGTTGGGACAAAAAGCCCGAATATTTTTCCATTTTCCAATTCTCTTTTTCTTTATTCTTTTCAAATTATCCAAAATGAAAATCTTTGCCTTGTCTGCTATTGTTGCCACAGTGCTTGCCACTGTCTCTGAAGCTGCTGTCTCCAGGTAAATTATCATCTACATTTGACATGTGGGCTCCCCCCTATCACTTCGGGCTATATTGGCAAGGTAGATTATGCATGAGTAATCAGCATAATTCCCGCCTTTTGTCTAGCTCTATATGTTTTATGCAGGGATCTTTATTTATCTAACGCATACAAATATTTGTCTAGAATCGCCATCAAGAAAGTAGACGAATCCCCCTCTGAAAAGCTTCAACGTTATGCTCATACCGGTGAATATTTGACACAAAAGTACTTTGGTGCTAGCCGTTATCAAGACAAGAGCGTTACACCTTTCCAAGTCAAGCCTGATGGCAGTGTTGAGCATGGTGTCCCTATTTCCAACTACATGAACGCTCAAGTAAGTAAAATGATGTACATTGTCAAATGCGGACCCTCTGACGCCAATGTTTGTAGTACTACGGTGATATTGAGCTTGGTTCTCCTCCTCAAACTTTCTCCGTCGTATTCGATACTGGTTCATCCAACCTTTGGGTTCCTTCTACTCACTGTAACTCTATTGCCTGTTTCATGCATCGCCGTTATGATTCTACTCAATCAGAGACTTACAGAGAGAATGGCACTGATTTTGCTATTCAATACGGCACTGGCTCTCTCGAAGGGTTTATATCGCAAGACACATTGCATGTTGGTGGCATCAAGGTCGAGGATCAAGGCTTCGCTGAGTCTGTCAAGGAGCCTGGATTCACTTTTGCATTGGCCAAATTTGACGGTATCTTTGGTCTTGGCTATGATACTATCTCTGTCAAGCAAACAGTCCCCCCCTTCTATCACATGGTCAACAAGGATTTAGTCGATGAACAGCTCTTTTCTTTCTGGCTTAACGATATCAATAAGGGAGATTCTGATAATGGCGGTGAGCTTGTGTTTGGTGGTGTCGATCCCGACCATTTCCATGGCAACATCACATGGGCACCAATCAGAAGAAAGGGTTATTGGGAGATTGAGCTCGAGAACATCAAGTTTGGTGATGAATACATTGATTTGGATCCTGTTGGCGCTGCTATTGATACTGGATCCTCTCTCTTGATTGCTCCTTCCACCGTTGCTGACCTGATCAACCATGAATTGGGTGCTGAAAAGAACTGGGCTGGTCAATACACTCTCGACTGTTCAGTCGTCCCTACTCTTCCTGAATTCTGCTTTGTATTCAATGGTAAAGACTTTTGTTTGAAGGGCGAGGACTACGTGCTCCAGGTTCAAGACCAATGTATTTCTGGTTTTATGGGTATGGATATTCCTGAACCTGCTGGTCCTCTTTGGATTGTTGGCGATGTCTTCCTTCGTAAGTTCTACAGCGTTTATGATCTTGGTAACAACAGAGTTGGTCTTGCCAAGTCCAAGTAAACCAGATAGTCTCTTCGTGTCCTCTTTTTCTCTCCATTCCATTCTATACAATACAGTGCAAAGTAAAATAAAGTCATAAATTATGCCCACTCATGGTGTCTAGATTCTGTAGAGCAACACATCATTGGTATTCAGCAAATGTTACTAAAGAAATCCCAACAATCCTTTCATATTAAGATGACTTTGAAGATTTATTTCATATTGACATATAATTTATACTAAATGCTATCAGACTTCCAGATGTGTTGTTTGTAATGCGGCTTCCTCTCGAAAATCTTTGTAGAATGATTTCTTCAATACTCTTGATATCATTTCGGTTCTTTTAAATGTGTGTCCATCGTTACCCAATCTAGAATGCTCTGCTAACTGTCAACACAGATTGGGATAAATAGTAGTGAACTCTGTGCAGCAATCATCAATGGAATCGAAAAGCTGAAAACGACCTATTGCTTTATCCTGAACAGATACAGGCTTACCATTGGCATGGATTGCATTTGGCTTAGCTGTGACCCATCTCAAGTTATCCACTCTATCGTCACAATGAAATCCGTTGATGTGTTCTACGTAGCAGTTTTCTTCAGGCAATCTGCTCGTTTAAACATGTAAGCAACGATGATATGGGCTTGTTCAGCGGATGGTTTTTGTGTAGTTGAATGCATGGTTTTGCAGGAGTGATCTTGACACTATGTTACGATTTCTTACGCTATAGGCTCTAGAGCAGCACTATAGACAGAACAATGTTGAAGAAAAGAGGATCGTCAGACAAACGACTCATTTCAAACAAGCAATTAAACGATATGAATGTCATTGCCATATCATTGGAATCATTCTCTCTTAAACGGTTCTACCGTTACTGCCCACTTGATTCAGTACGAGTTATTGCTTGCATCTTGCTCTCTAATGGATAGCTGAGAACCATGTCTCATCGTACAAGAGCATTCCTCGATACTTTTATCAATACACCATTCAGTTAATAAGCGTGTATATAAATAGACGTCTTGATTCACGTTGGATATACTATGAGAAACAATATATAGAATTCTCACGTTTACATCCGAGGGCTGTAATAGGGGTTTTACATTCATTCATAACCATTACAGGAATTCCTGTTAACATTACTTTCTCTCATAGTATATCTGATGATAATTACCTCTTTAACAAGTTCTGCGTGCTAAGGATCTTGGTAACAACAGAGAAAATCTGATGACGCCAGTTCGTTTTGATTTATAACACACAATGCAACGTATTGTGAAGATGTTGGTGATTGAATCAAATTTACTGTACACACTTCAAATGATGTTGAATACAATCAATACACCTCGTGCCAATTGATTGTGAAAGAACAACAAAAATAGCAAGTTCTATTCATTCAACTATCTAAACTATACACTTTTGGGTTTATAACAACAAAATCAATCGCGAGAAGGTGAGTGCATCTCTGATTGCAAAAAAAAAAAGGGTGTGCAGGTATCGTTTCTAACACCTAACACTCCAAAAAGGTCCAAACCACCATGTCCATAAGCTAAGGCGAGAAACCGGAAAAGCCATTCCTCAATGCAGTGATCAGTATCGCCTGATTGCTCTGAACTTGATGCAAATGTACACGAAACCAATGCACTACCTTTGCTGACTATTACTATTGTACGACTGCCATGAGCTGAAGAGTGTTTTACATGGATTCGTTTCATTATCCCCTATTCAATGCCACAAATTTCGCTATAGAAAGACGTCTGAAAATTAAGTGTTTTATAGCAACAAGTTGCTGCTGAGTGCTTCCTGCTGGAGGCCATCTCAGTGCTGCGAATGTCATTAATGCAAGGTACATAACTGCCTAACATTGATAACATTTGAGAGCATTTATGTTACATGGATTAGTGTTCCTACTCAACGTGTGTCCAGGTCAGAGTATTTGCATCCAAAGCTCAATGTAAACCTGTTTTTAACAGCCATGATAGTGACACTGCGTTTACAGCATCAATCTATCCATCATTGCTATAAATAGATGTATACTACATGCAAATATAAGCTATGCTTCTGGTAAAAATAGAATGAGTAGGAACAAGAGTGTGAGTCTTGATTTGATGTCTCTGCTAAAGTGCCTACGTTTTATGAATTGGTGGAACGTACCACAACTACAGCGATCACACAATATCATTTAGTTATATTCAGCTAATTTTACAAGCTTCAGCAAGCATCAAATGAACTTTTGTCATACATTGAGATGAAATTATGCTTTATTGTAACGAATTGAATGAAAATTCATGAAAAATGAGGTGATGATGATGGATACATTTACAAAAGAGATGCAAAAACAGCAATGAGAGCAAGTGCGCCTACAGCAAATGAAACCGGCGCAGCATTAGAGCCTGCAGCAGAAGTGGCGCCAGTAGATTTGGTAGGCTGAATAGCTGCTACAGATTTGCTAGCAGCTGATAATGCAGAGTAAGCTGAAGCTTGGTATTGAGAAGGCAATTGACTGACTTGTTGAGAGGCCTATTATTTGTTTTATCAGTACACTGATCAATTTACAAGCTTGATCTAACTTACAGCAGAGATATACGAGTTAATGCCAGCAGGATTCTTGAGCAAACTGCTTACAGCATCAGCAACACCACTGGGAACACCAGAGAGGTTGCTTGGCATAGCAGTGGGAAGAGTGGCGCCGTTAGCAGTAGTAGGAGTGGCTGCTTATGGAATCAGTATGCCGCTATTTATGAGCTCGCACGATAGAATTTACCTGATTGAGCCATGACCACAGAGCCAGCAGTAGCAAGAGAAGCGACAATGAGTGAGGACTTGACCATATTTAATTGAAAATACAGAGAGGAAGAGAAAGATAATGTAGATCACTTATGATGCTCCACTTATTTATAAACATTGATTTTAGGAGATACCAAATGCTGTGCGACCAACATATTCAGTTTAGTATTAAAAGATTTGCACTGGTAACACTCTATTTGGTTTGGCTTAAAGTGAACGATCCACTCAATACTGTTTGGGTATGACGATTTGTTATTTAGAGAGACACATCAGTACGTACAGTTGTTAAAGACAGTGTACATTGATAGAATACAATGGTTCTAGCCTCTTTCTAATTGCACGGATCAAGGTTAAGGGAGCGGCTGTCAATTATAACCGTTGCAGTCTGAACGGAGAGTGAGCTTATATATAGTGTGGGTGAGTGCTCAAGGAGATCCTAAAATAGATAGTTCCACGTCTAGGATCATCATTCGTATATCAGATCTAATATATATGTTCAATGCAGGCTAATGTACCATGTATGAAATACATGGCAATTTGGGAGTTCAGTATCTGATTTGAACCACCTTTTATTGTGATTTATACTGTACATGTCCAATCATTAGATCAAAACAGTGGGTAATCGAGTTACTCAAGCTTAATTAAACAGGAGAGTCTATCTTATTATATTCATTGTACATAGTGAGTCTATTTACGAGCTAGTTGATAGCAATGCCAGTATCCAATTTCTCTATTTTTTGAGCCTTGTCGTGCCATCGCTTGCAAATGAATCGTACTGCTGAATCGACATCCCAGTGAAAGCAAGGAAAACGATCTATTGGCGTACAAGGAGCGTTAGAGATAGGATTGCATGCATGACTTCCAGGAACGCCCGTATTAATAGCTGATCCTGTTTCCAGGTCATAAATGAAATTGCTTGATTCTAGGCCTTCTTGGTGATTGACAACGATGTGTTGCATGGGCAATTTAGGCGAGGCTACTGCTGAAGAGGAGGGTATTTGGTAATCATTTGCAGAGGCCAAGGAAACAAGGGAGCAATTGCCTGAGCTCTCTGATCCAGATAGCGCGCAGTAGGAACCAAATCCAGCATGGAGTAATGCACGACGAACAGACTCACCTTGCAATCCGGAAAAATGCCATTCCACTGATCTGCCAGCGTATTTATCTACTGTATCACGGGTGGTAGCAAGAATTTGAAGTGCCGTTGCATCCAATCGACAGACAGCGCTGAAATCGAGGATCAAGGCTTCTAAAACCGGCAGTTGCAAAGCATCGAAATCATGTGTTTGTGCACTATGATTCCAAGCACGATCACTGTCGCTCTTGTTCATGTCAGCCGTGTTTCCGCACCTTGTTTTTTGTCTTACTGTATAGACAATAGCATCCGAGATATGCTCTGCGTTGGGGTAGAGGAGAGAATCGCATAGTTTGAGTATAAGAATACCTGATGGCACGGGAGCGATATAGTCCTTAAAGTTGGGGTCCGCTGCATCGACATACACATAGTGTCTATCTTTGTCAGAAGAGATATTAGTGGTTGTTTTGTTGCCCTGAGCATCCAAATACATTTCTGTTGTGGTTGGCTTATTGCCATCATTGGTTGAAATTCTTGTCAGTGTCTTGATGGGTGGTCGGGCCAGTTTATAGAGCATCAAGATCAAAGATAGACCCACAGCGGCGTAGATGCCGGTTTCTACGTCGACAAAGATGGTGACTAGGACAGCACCAAGCCATACAAAGAATTCCGTAGAGCTAGCATGCCATAGCTCCTTGAGGTATTTACTTCCGGAAGCAATATCAGAAACAGCATGAATTACAACGGCGGCGAGAACAGCGTCAGGGATATAGTAAAAAGCAGGAGTAAGGGCGTAGAGGGCCAATACAACAATTGCGCCAGAGAAAACACCTGCAATGGGTGTCCTTGCACCAGATCTCGCCATAATCGCTGTACGGCTAAAGGCACCGGTAGCAGGATACCCACTATACATTGTTGTTAGGCTCGTTCTTTATGCAAACTTTTGTGCGTTTCCGTTTTACCCAAAGAATGACCCCACGATGTTACTCACGCCAATGGCCAATATTTCCTGATCTGGACTAATCTGGTAATCATAGATTCTTCCAAATGATTTGGCTACAGAGATGTGCTCCAAAATCAAAATGAGGACAATGGACGGAAGAATGCCTCCAGCTTCTTGGAGAATATCAAAGCGCAATGTAGGAATGCCCATCGCATCAAAGCCAGCAGGCACCGATTGAATTACAGAGATGGGGCTCTTTGATTTGCCTCTACAGATCATAAAGGAGATGAATGTGCCCACAATGACAATCAGGCCGTTTCTCATGATGCCGAACAAAAAAACAGCCTTTCGAAGCGCCGGTGATTTAGCTGTATATCTGCCGCAAGCAAATCGAATTGTGTATAAAAACACCAGCGAGGCTAGTCCAAATGCAACATCCAGATGAGTGTGAGGCAATTTAGCTAGCACATTGCCAAAGATCAAATAGGGCGATTCATGTGTTGAAACATCTGGAATGCCAAACAACTTGGGGCATTGACTAAGAACAATCGTAATAGCTGACCCGGTCATGTATCCCGCAATGGCAGGTTCTACCCTTAAATTGTCAGTTTGGATGTAAATTTATAGCGTGCTTTGACTTACCAGGTATGAAATCCACGAGAATACCCAAGCGAAGAAAGCTGATAATAAGCATGATAATTCCAGCAAACAGACCGAGAGTAACAGCAATCTCAGAAGGTGTAATGCTAGGATCAATCTTGATTACGGAATTAACAACGGAACTAACTAATAAGGATACCGTGGCTAAATGGAATCAGACATGTCAATGCGGTGTTGATTGTTTGTTTTCATGTACTGCGCTGCTTACATATGGGGCCAATACTAATGTCTTTGGATGTGCCAAAGAAACAGTAGAGTGACACGCCGACAAACGAAGTGCTATTACATCTTATTAGCTAAACTGATACGAAATGGTAAGATACGTAACACGTACTATAGTCCGTATTGTGGATCAAGATTGGCAATTTTGGCGTAAGCCATGCTTTGAGGCACAATGACAATTCCCACTGTAACACCGGCAATGATGTCTTGTACCAGCCACTGCAGAGAAAGTTGATTCAGCGTGCCTTGAATTATTCCTGGCAATGCAAGCTACTTACAGTCAAATTGTACCTGTGGATCCATTGAAAGATGGGAAATATGCTTGCAAAGTAGGTTTTGAGGAAGTTCGGCATCTGTCTCAAGAATTTCTTTGCTTTGATCTTCAACGGTATTGGTGTGTAGTCGATGATAATTGTAGTATCTTTCATTTTTTTTTTTAGGACGTGAGTATGAAGAAAGAGAAAGCTGAAGAAATTCAGTTACAAGTTGGGCTGTATTTATATTACATGTGTCAAAAAAAAAGGGATATTGATAGGCAGTGGACCTTTTGTTAAAGGAGGTGTGGTGTGTAGGTCAGGAGATACGTTAAAATAACATGATATCTTGGTAACCATGGTAGTCGTCGAGCCAAATTAAAATGGTATGTGTACCTGCGTTTTGTTATGCTCCTAATGACCTCTCGTCGTATTTGCAAATAAGTAGAGTCGCGTATGTAATCTTGCGAGAATACTAGCCTTTCCACTCTATGTAAATGTACAATCTATGCAGCGTTATGCAACCATGTATGCTATTGTAGAGAGCAGTGTTTTGTCGGTTGTATCTTTAATATTAAAAATGTCACTATTCTTTAATCTAGTCGTTTATTAAACGATGATTGTCCAGGTTGGTTGATGGTACATTATTTCACAAATCAACGTATGCATGTATTAAGCCAGTGTAACGGCTTTCAGCGAAACAACACCTCCACGACTGTACAAAATGCGCCATGATGCAACTCAAACTAATGCAATTTTATAGAAAATTCAAGGCTACATGTCATTCCATTCATTCGACTTTAATTTTGTAGTATGAGAATTCGTTTGTGTACGTGCAATGCTGTTCTTTATGTCAGTAACGTTTTAAAATCGTTATAAATATAGATTTTGTGGATTCAGCAAAAAATATACCAAAAGAAATGCTAGAATAGTACGCTAGCTTGATTTTGGGAACAATAATCAGCCTGCTAAATGGCCAAAAGGAATACTGTCGATAATCTGAGGACAGGTATGCTGCCTTAATTGAAGGATCGCTTCAGCTACTATAATTTGACGAGTTGCAATGGATCCTATATCAACGATAATAAAGGCACATGTTGTTCCGACCGCCAATGCTACAATCAACCATCGCTTGAATTCCCTTGCCAAGCATTCATATATGCTCCACATACGTACTTCCAAGGATACAACAGTATGATATGCAGGGAGAAGGCTTACCACCTGGTCAAAATGACACTCAGATTCTGCTATATTTCAAAATTTCATTCCGGGTAACGTTGTGCTCAACCCTACAAGATGTATCGTGAATTCTGTAACTAAAACTGTGCATAATTGGAAACTCTAAAGCAACCGGAAAAAGGGATAATAACCATTATATACATATACATAGATATATATATATATATATACGTTGCTCTGCATGCACTACATGATACCGAGTCTTTTCCATTATGTAATTTGAAAAAAAAGGGATTAATTTATGTGAGCTGTTAAACATAGGAGTCTTTTTTCTATTCTACAAACCCTCTAGCATATACGATTTTACCAGATACGCCCTCAAGGCCATTCTTTGACAATGCCTTGATTTGAAGCACATCAGGATCAGTCAAATCAAAAGGACTAGTGATATTGTATTTCCAAGCAGGTTCAAATCCAAATGCTGTATAGTAGTCCTTGTGGCCAAGTACATTGACTGACCGAAAACCCAACTCGGTTGCCTTTCTAATGCCTTCTTCAACTAATGCTTAACCAACGCCAGATGCTTGATGCATTGGATCAACAGCAAGTGGAGCCAACACTAGGCTTGAGTGATCACCAATTCTGCTTGTAGTGAACAGGATATAGCCTATGGCGACATCAGCCTCATTTCTTGTAGCAACGAGGGAAAGCTCCGTGATCCATGCGCTCTTGTTTTCGCGAAGTTTATTGACCAATTTTGTTTCATCTTGTTGCCTGAATGCGGCTGCAATTATTTCTCCAACTCGGTCATAATCATTCTCATTTTCTTGTCTTACAAAAATCATTGCAATAAGGTTTAATATCTGTATGAAATCAGAGATGAAAGTGGCCCTGAGCACTTTGTGTAAGATAAATTCTGCTCATAAACCGCAGCAGATTACCTTGAAGCGGCGACTTTGCAGCCTGGGCCCAACACTTCAGGGCAGTCTTGGTGGAGCATTCAATCTATAGTCTTAGCATGGTTTGATTGAATGATTCGATAAATATCTAATCATGAGCATCAAATGAAGGTTATTCTTTATGCAACTTTTTTTTTTATGGAAAATGGCATTTCATGGCGAGATAAATGCTAAATTTGCATGGTAGAACCAATGGTCGAAACCAAAAGTGATTGATACAATGCTTGATGAGCATTAAATTACTTTAAATGGGTGATTCCTTTTTCGCTCTCGGTAAGAGCATGGAAATTTTGCATTGTACAAAGCCTTTCGGCTCCGGGATGCAGCACGTTTGGATCTTGACTATTTACTATTCTTATTACTGCTCGATCAGCAACATTATTTAGAGAGCCAAGCAGGAAAGTAGCCTATTCTTTCTAGAATTGACAATTTACAGCACCTGTTGAAACAAAACTTTCTGGTTTATCATAATAAGGTAACTCGTTAGAATAATTTATAATAAGTAGAAAGTACTATTTTATTGATACATATGGTGCTCGTGTTTATAATTCCTGTGATGAAAAAATATTCTCCCCTTTTAACTCTTGTATGTAAGTCTGCTGTCGTGCGTAGAGGTAGAAATTTCAAAGTAGTAGACTTATTATATGTGTTGTGCCAGAAGGGCTACAACTGTCTATAAAGATTAAGGTATTCTTGATGGGTAGATATGTCTGTGTTGTGCAACAACATGGACAAGCTATGATGATTGAAGTGCATCTCAGCTATCTAAATACTGAGGTTCACCAGATGTGATAAGCGTTGTACAAGATAAATTGCAGAACTTAGAATAAATAGAATAACTCTTGTCTTCATCAATAAATTTTTAGTTTTTGTGTCTGATCTTATTCAAATAAGTCTTTTCTTGTTTTTATAATATCGAACATTTTTTATAAGCTACAGATAATAATCCTTTTATTCTTTGTGCTTAACAATATGTATAAAAATATAATATATATATATGTATATAAGTTTAAAGTTAGTCTTTATTGGTTTGCAAATGGATTTGATATTTATACAGGTTTAAATGTTACATTCAAGTCTTTGTGTACCTGACACTACTTGGAGAGCTAAAACTTCTGTGGCAACTACATTTCATGTTATTTGAAAAAGGATTGAAAAAAATGATGCCAATTTCAATCAAGTTTAAAAAACATCCCCCACATGCCACAGTTTGACACATGCTAGATTAAATAATTACATCTTATTTAATAATTTTAAATAAAGCACTTGAATTATATTCATTTGATTACCCTTTTATTACAAATACAAAATCACGGTATTAAATGACAGATCAATAGAAAATCAACTAGTTAAAATTCTTCGGTTCCTGAACCTCTGAGCCAATCAAATCGCTTGAAAACTCCGCTGACCTAAAAAAATTTTTGCGAGGGTTTCCCCCGGTTTTGATGTGAGGCAAAATTTTAAGCGCCGCTATAATAGCAATATAGCCGCCGCTATCATCAAGCTTCCCCCAAGTGCTAGAGCATGCCTTACTTACATCACCTAGCTTTAAATTCAGGCATTGAGACCCTCAATCATCACTAAAGTAAGTAGTGATAACCAAGTGGAGGCGGCCTATCTACCTCCTAGCCTCGGATAAAGTCTTGTTGAGCTTCAGGGATAGGCACATCCACACAACGTAAAAAAAGGTATGCTTCAAAGAAACATAAAAATAATAAAAGAATGAAGAAAAGAACATACCACTATAGGAGTAGTAGTAGTATGTAGGCAAAAAAGGGATACTCACACAAAGTGAGTCAAAGAAAAGTATAACAAATACAACATCAGAGACGTTCAGAACATCTCGTTGTTGTTGCAAAGAAAGTGCATACATGAGCAACATGCATGGTAATAGTCGGATGTAAAGCAACACAACCAACAAAAGAAGAAGAAAAACGTAACAAAGCAAACATCATGAATGCATTATCATGAGAAAGGAAGCAATAATACAAGCGTTCAAAAAAGTTTTATATCATTGCGACCAGAAGAAAGAAGACACTTACCACTCACCACCACCGTAGATAGACCAGAGGATACGCAATCACCGGATATTGAACAAAGAACGAGCATGCACCATACACAGTAGATCAGGAAAGACAATATTAGCAGCAGCAGCAGCAGCAACATCAGCACCATAAACAAACCAAAGAAAGAAGAACGACATCAGAGACCAGACAAAGACCAAAGAAGCTATCGCCAGACATGATAAACCAAAGACGCAGACAGCAGAGATACCAGGGAAGTAATGGCGGCAACACTAACGTCAACCGGGCAAAAAAGTTATCAAAACCTAATAAACAAATTCGATTAGTGCTGATTCTACATCTTCCAGTGCTCGTTATCAAATGGTACCTACTATATTCCACATTAAAAGAGTAGTATCAAGTTCTTCTAACAGTACAAGACAGCGTTATCGGAAGCTAGAGTGTTGTTATCAATCAAACGGTTTCTAAAACCACCATGGTTGATACTAAAACGCGTTTTGCAAAAAGGGTAAAAAACGGGGGCATGGAAAAATGAGAGGGCACCCTATTATCGGACGTCACGACAAGTAGATTTAGTCTCAGCCTTGTATCTAGCAGCCGTAATTGCGGCAATTTAATCTGAAATTGTGCAGTGGTATTTTAGTGCTCAGACTTGACTTGATCTCACATCCTTTAAACGTTTTTGCTAAATTTGACTATGAAAACTGTTGTTGCCACATCCAACTTTCTAATACATCTCTAAAGGGCTAAAGAAGCTGCATCAAATGGTGCTGATTACTTTCAGCTTTCAGACCAAAAATAATGAGCAATTTTCAAAAATATGAAAACAGGTTTTCCATGGATATGTCAAAATTTAGCATATGAAAGTTTCATAGAAAGAGTTTCCAATGTTGCATTTCATCTGTACGATCAATTTGGTTTGATATGAATTATAAGAAGAGTCTTCACTTTTGACGTGAAAAACGCGATCGTTCGATTTTCAAAAATTTTCCCTTGCTAATACTCATGAAAAAACGAGGATTTTCGTGGATTTGCAACGGCCCAAAAAAATTGAGATAAAGCATCAAGAAGTAAAGCCTAGCCAAGAGAAGGCGTGTGATGCTATTCCAAGCGCTCAAAACGCTTTGTGGCATGAGATATTCGTGCTTGAAAATAGCTAGATTTGAACATAATTCGACCTAAAACGACGGTGTAGTGGGTTGCGTTGCCAGAAGAGTAAGTGCTTTACACTTCTGTCTAATGTCCCTGATGTTCTGCATTGTACGGAACTCAATCTCTAAGTTATCGACGCTTTTATTCTTGCAGTGAAATTAGGTTTGAATAGATTTGACAGAAAAAAAATAAAGCAATAGTAAAATACAATAGAACTCAACTGTATTTTATTTGTGTATAAAATGAACTGAAGATCCTGGAATTGAGTAAAAAAAGAAGAGTATTTATACATTTGCAACTAGCTTGTAGGATTAGTGATGTTAGAGAGCAATAGATGCTGCTATTGCGATATCTGGCAAACGTTGCTGATGTGATGAATTCGTAATAATAAGTCGATGATAATAATCAGTTGTCAACTGTATCTAAAACGAAAGCAAAGAGCTTCTTTATTACAGGGCATCTAGCTTGCTTAAATATGGTAGATCCCTGGTCAATGACTACTACGTTGAGATGGTATATAAATAGCAGGCCACTGGGGCCTTATGGATTGTTGGTATAGCTTGTTGAGAGGCCACCTAAGTCGATATGTTTCATGTAGTGTAGTAGGTGGATCTCGATATCTTGACATTGGGGAGATTGAATGTATTGTAGTTCCTGAGGCACCTGTGCACACACAATTGACTGGACTTGTAAACATATATGTGATGTGATACGATAAACATCATCTACGCTGCTACACTGTAAAAGGTGGCTTGAGGAGAAAGTGAATGTAGCCTAAGATGCATGCTTGTATGCAACATGATGTTTGATTTAAAGTGGTAATCAATGCAAGAGCACTGGCCATAAGGGTCGATTTGAGTAACCTTGATGGGCTTGGGTGAGCTATCGTCATAGCATGTTTTAATGTAACCTTGATGGTTTAAAGTGTGATATTTGTTATTGAAGTATGGAACCCTTTATCTGGGATATTGTGCGACTATGGCAGCGGGGCATAGTTGTCATATTTGAATATGCTTGTTATTGATTTAATTCTATTTGGATAAAGATACCATCACTTATTACGACCATCATGGGTGTGATTGAATACACTGTGATCAGGAGCGATTCATTCACACGATGTGCGATATAAGCATGCATCTTTGCTTTAGTATTTTTAAATGGGTTTTTGATGTACATTTGAGCGCTTTCATTAATAGATCCAAATAACATGAATTTGAATGAGTGCTATTTGATGAACTTTGGTTTTCAGTTAAGTTGCGTTTGGGTGGCTATTTCATTACATGATCTTTGTCTGGTCTTTGTTTGGTCTTTGTCTGATTTTTGTCTGGTCTTTGTCTGGTCTTTGTCTGGTCTTTGTTTGGTCTTTGTTTGGTCTTTGTCTGATCTTTGTCTGATCTTTGTCTGGTCTTTGTCTGAACTTTGTTTGGTCTTTGTCTGATCTTTGTTTGGTCTTTGTCTGATCTTTGTTTGGTCTCTGGTTTTTCGATGGTGCTGGTATTGCTGCTGCTGTTGCGAATCCGGTCTTTCCTGGTTTACTGTCTTTGGTGCATGCTTGTTCTCTGGTTTATTTGTGGTTGTGGTAAGTGGTAAGTATCTTCTTTCTTCTGGTCGGAATGATATAAAACTTCTTTGAACGTTTGTATTATTGCTTCCTCTCTCGTGATAATGCATTTTATCATGACGTTTACTTTGTTGCGCTTTCTTCTTCTTTTGCTGGTTGTGTTGCCTCTGTGGTTTGACATGAGACAACATTAGTCATTATGTTGTAGTGCAAATTTATACCACCATTGCTTTTGCAGTTGTGCGTGTTTGTGCTACTCTACATTCGACTATTTACCATGCACTTTGCTCATGTATGCAATTCTGTTGCAACAACAACGAGCTCTTTTGAACATCTTTGATGTTGTATTTATGATATGCTTTTCTTTGACTCGCGTTGTGTGAGTGTCCATTTTTTGCCTACATATTACTATACTCCTATAGTAATATGTTCTTTTCTTCTTGTGGAATACATCCACTATGATCTGTATTCCGACAGTTCATCCAGTTACCAGATTTAGATATAAACTGTATGTATGTTTAGAATAACGAAATATAGACAGAGTAAATAACAATTAGAACTGAATATATTTATTATGTTATTCCAAGATTGAATAGGGATCAAAACTAGTGTAGATATCAAAGGTATTTATAGTTATTTGACAGTGCCGCAGCAATAGGACCTTGATCTTGAATGCGGGATAATTGTATAAGCCTTGAACCAGTTAACGAGAATGTACTGCATAAGAACTCATGAACCACCAGTCAAGGATAAACAACAAAGATGATCCAGGATAGAATGTTCTTCCTAATAGCTTTGACGGAAGAACATTTGTCGGAATTGAAACCCACTTCCAGGGACGAAAGGCCATAGGCTACCACTCTCTAGGAACCAGGATATAGATTAGCCATTTGATGGCACCACTCATGTTCCTTAGTGCTGCTTGAATAAAGACCTCTCACTTCTACTATGCATCTCAGCTCATTCTCAAATCCTCTTATGTAATATACAACGCCTAATACATTTGCCTCTCAGAGATGATCTATATCCTAAACACCATCATGGGTGTGATTGAGTACACTGTGATCAGGAGTGATTCATTCACACGATGTGCGATATAAGCGTGTATCGTTACTTTAGTATATTTAAATGGTTGTTGATGTACATTTAAGCGCTTTTACTAATAGATCCAAATAGCATGAATTTGAATGAATGATATTTGGTGAATTTCGGTTTTCAATCAGGTTGCGTTTGGGTGGCTATTTCATTACAGCTATATTCGAGCATCTCAAAATGATCTGATCGTCAGAATTAGAATAAAAGCGTCGTTAACTTAAGGATTGAGTTCCGTACAATGCAGAACATCAGGGGCATTAGACAGAAGTGTAAAGCACTTACTCTTCTGGCAACGCAACCCACTACACCGTCGTTTTAGGTCGAATTATGTTCAAATCTAGCTATTTTCAAGCACGAATATCTCATGCCACAAAGCGTTTTGAGCGCTTGGAATAGCATCACATGCCTTCTCTTGGCTAGGCTTTACTTCTTGATGCTTTATCTCAATTTTTTTGGGTCGTTGCAAATCCACGAAAATCCTCGTTTTTTCATGAATATTAGCAAGGGAAAATTTTTGAAAATTGAACGATCACGTTTTTCACCCCAAAAATGACGACTTTTACTGTGATACATATCAGACCAAATTGATCGTAAAGATTTAATGAAGCATTGTAAACTCTTTCTATGAGGCTTGTATATACTAAATGTTGACATATTCAGAGAAAACCTGTTTTCATATTTTTTCAAATTGCTCCTTATTTTCGGTTTGAAAGTTGAATGTAATCAGCTTCATTCGATGCGCCTTCATCGACTCAATATAGAAGCATTAGAAAGTAAAGTATAACCACGACAATGTTCATAGTCGAATTTAGCAAAAACGTTCAAAGAATGCGAGATCAAGTCATATTTGAACACGAAAATACCCCACTGCACAATTTCGAATTTGAGTGCCGCAACGACAGCTACTGTGACAGAAGACTGAGACCGAATCTACTGGTCGTGACGTTGGATAGGGCGCCCTCTCATTTTTTCATACCAACGATTTTTTCACCCTTTCTCCAAAACGCGTTTAGTATCAAACCATGTTGATTTTGGAACCCTTTTGATTTAAAATAACACTCTATCATCTGATAACACGGCCTTGCACTGTTAAAAGCACTTGATACTGCTTCTTTGAATTGGAATATAATAGGTACCATTCGATAACGAGCACAGAAAGATATAGAACAAGTACTAATAATCGAATTTGTTTATTAGGTTTCGATAATTTGTTTTACCTGTTTGATGTGGGTGCTGCTGCCATTACTTCTCTGCCACCTCCTCTGCTGTCTGCTTCTTTGGTTTATTATGTCTGGCTGTTGCTTTTTTGGTCTCTATCTCTGGTGGTTCCTTCTTTAGTCGTTGTCTAGTGTCTGGTGACGCTCGTTATTCGGTTTTTCTATGGTGCTGGTGTTCTTGCTACTGGTGTTCTTGCTACTGGTGTTCTTGCTACTGGCGTTGCTATTGGTGTAGCTGCTGCTAGTCTGGTCTTTGTTGGTCTGCTATCTCTGTTGTATGCTTGTTCTTTGTACTATCTCTGCTGAATGCGTATCTCTGGTCTATCTGTTGTGGTTCTGGTAAGTGGTAAGTATCTTTTTTCTTCTGGCAGCGATAATATAAATCTTCTTTGAACGTTTGTATTATTGCTTGCTTTATCGTGATATTGCATTCGTAATGTTTGCCTTGTTGCGCTTTTTTTTTCTTTCCTTTGTTGGCTGTGATATGATCAGTTCAACGGATGCTTGCAATGTCGTTACTTCTTATGTATGAACAACAAGCATGATGTGCTGCTATATATCTGTATTGCCGTTGCAATACTACTTTGTTATATGGCCGTGGGTTGTTGTCTGTGCTGCCTCTGTCGCTTCACATGAAACACCATTAGTCATTATGTTGTATTACACAATTATACTACCACTATTGCTCATGCAATTATGTATGTTTGTGTTCCTTTGCATCAGACTATTATCATGCACGTTGCTCATGTATGCATCTTTGTTGCAACAACAGCGAGCTGTTCTCAACATTCTTTGATGTTGTATTTCTTATTCTTTTCTTTAACTCACTTTTTTTTTACGTGAGTGTTGCTTTTTTGCCTACATACTACTACTATAATACTCCTATAGTACTGTAGCATGTTCTTTTCTTTTTCTTTCTTTTATCATGTTTCTTTGAAGCATACCTTTTTTTACGTTGTGTGGATGTGCCTATCCCTGAAGCTCAACAAGACTTTATCCGAGGCTAGGAGGTAGATAGGCCGCCTCCACTTGGTTATCACTACTTACTTTAGTGATGATTGAGGGTCTCAATGCCTGAATCTAAAGCTAGGAGGTGTAAGTAAGGCATGCTCTAGCACTTGGGGGAAGTTTGATGATAGCGGCGGCTATATTGCTATTATAACGGCGCTTAAAATTTTGCCTCACGTCAAAACAGAGGGAAACCCTCGCAAATTTTTTTTTAGGTCAGCGGAGTTTTCAAGCGATTTGATTGGCTCAGAGGTTCAGGGACCGAAGGATTCTAGCTAGTTGATTTTCTGTTGACCTGCCATATAATATGATTTTGTATTTGTAATAAAAGGGTATCTAAATAATAGATACAATTAGCGTTCTTCTTTATTCAAAAATAAGGCGAGATTCAATTATTTGATCTGGTATCTATCACACAGTTTTATGCGAGGGATATCCTTTTTTTTTATGAAAGATGTGGAGAAAACTTGCACAAAAGATATCGCTTAAGGCGGGAAAGTATAAAATTGTTCTAATACGATGTTTTGTGGAATTTGATGCTTTATAGACTAAAATTCACGAAAAAAAAAGAATATAAAAAAAACAGTAAAGTCAACTTAAAGCTATGTTTTATTATCAAACTGACAGGTGTAAAGTAAACTGAAGTCTCTCTACTGGCCAGGTAGATGATCCTTCTTATATACTATAACAATGGATAAAAGTTCTATTAATTAGATTGACAAATAAGTCAACTCAGATCAACTAATGTCTAATCATGCTAAAAGACAACTCCAGCAAGCTAATCATGATTTAGCTTTTGCCTGGATGAATAATTAGACTCTCATCCGAAGTACTCTGATCTATCCTTTCTATAACACTACGGCCCAACTGATGTTCTCATGAGAACATCGATGTGCTCATATGAGAATCTATTTTATGTTCTCAAATGAGCACATCGATGTTCCCGAAAGGCGAAAAATGCTCTCATATGGGAACATCGGCGTTCCTAAAGATCTATTATAAGTCGGCCGATGTTCCCATGTGAGCACATCCATATTCTTATATGAGCACATCGATTTTCAGAAATTTGAAAAAAAAATGCTCCTATTGGGGTCGAACCCACAACGTATCGGTTGTGGATCTGACGTTCTTCCCACTAAATTACTCGAATATCTTATTGAAATATATTCTTCTACTTTAATAAGTAGTTATTAGGTAATTTTAAATTGCCATTTTCTAGTGCAATTTATAATACGTTTAGTAATTTTATGAATCTTGCAGTGAAATCAAGTTTGAATAGATTTCACAAAAAAAATAAACCAACAGTAAAATACAATAGAAATCAACTGTATTTTATTTTGTGTATAAAATGAACTGAAGATCCTGGAATTGAGTAAAAAAAGAAGAGTATTTATACATTTGCATCTAGCTTGTAGGATTAGTGATGATAGAGAGCAATAGGTGCTGCTATTGCGATATCTGGCAAATGTTGTTGATGTTTGATTTAAAGTGGTAATCAATGCAGGAGCACTGGCCATAAGGGTCGATTTGAGTAACCTTGATGGGCTTGGGTGAGCTATCGTCATAGCATGATTTAATGTAACCTTGATGGTTTAAAGTGTGGTGTTTGTTATTGAAGCATGGAATCCTTTATCTGGGATATTGTGCAGCTATGGCAGCAGGGCATAGTTGTCATATTTGAATATGCTTGTTATTGATTTAATTCTATTTGGATAAAGATACCATCACTTATTACGACCATCATGGGTGTGATTGAATACACTGTGATCAGGAGTGATTCATTCACACGATGTGCGATATAAGCGTGTATCTTTACTTTAGTATTTTTAAATGGGTTTTTGATATACATTTGAGCGCTTTCATTAATAGATCCAAATAGCATGAATTTGAATGAGTGCTATTTGATGAACTTTGGTTTTCAATTAAGTTGCGTTTGGGTGGCTATTTCATTACAAATCTTACAGATAATAAAAGTCTCTTTGTTGCCTACAGTATTATAGTTTAGCTATTCAAACCATTTTATTCATGTGGAAAACTACACCTTCTCAAATGAGAACATCAATGTGCTCATGAGAACATCGATGTTCCCAAAAGAGCACATCCATGTTCTGTGAGAACATCAGTTGGGCCGTAGTGTAAGGATAATTAATATCGATCTAGTAGCATGTATCCGATAGGTACAGTCTACTTAGTCTATATCAATAGTTCATATCTGAGTGTATATTGCTGAGCATACATCTTTAGCATGTATCTGGATATATGGCATGTCTATAGCATATCGTATGCATGTCTGTAGCATGTCTTATATATAGTACAAGTCTGTAGTACATAAAGTATCTGTAGCCAGTATCACGGATATAAGCATGTGTCTTATAGCGTGGATCATAAAGTGCACATCTGAAGCAACAAGCTCATATTGCATCAATCTTGGTGCCTATCCAGATATGGTAAACATCCGTAGTCCATGTCGGAATACAAGTATAAGTCTATAGCGCCATCCATGTCCGTTGTTATGTCAAAATACAATGTAAAATTGAATCTGCCAAAGAATTACACTTTTATTGAGAATGCATCCCAAGGATGCATTTATATACTTTTCATTATGCTAGGGTTTACAGCATGACGATGAATTATAATACAAATAGGTTTACTATCTACCCAACAATTGATTTGTAAATCATGATTAGCATGATTTACCCAAAGGACCTAAGAATAGCCTAAAACCTTTAGTGTGAGACCTTGCTATGACATTTGATATAACATCCGTGGTGCCATCTATAGCCTATATCTTATATAGTATGAATCTTATAGTACTAGCGTATCTGAAGTCCATATCTTCTTATAGTATAAACCGGTATCGTACATCTAACCCAGTGTACATACAGTTTATATCTAAATCTGGTAACTGGATGAATTGTCGGAATGCAGATTAGAGTGGATGTATTCCACACAAACAATGAAATCCTGTGTCCAAGTCGAGTGAACCGAGATTCATGCTATTTACATATTCTGCGATACCAGAATCAACATCAACAAACCATATTGCGATCGGGTTTAAATAGTAGCACGGAGCTACACTGCCGAAAAGGCCATCCACCGCCAAATCGTCAAAAAACAATCGGTCAAGGCTAACTTTTGCTATAGTAGCGCATATAAAATTATTTATGTGAATTACTACTAGTCATACCATGCCCTGTATTCATTTTATAAACTTGGGCACCGTATAGATGTTTCTGTTGTGCTATTGTTATTGAAGGAAATCATGTTGTTTTGCGGCTGTGATCTCCAATTTAAGTGCTAAAACGCGATTTTTGAAAGGAAGTATCGCAGTAGGTGCCCAAACGAGGTCTTATTTTGTAGATGATGATTCAAAAGTAATGATTATTTTTTGATGGTATCACTAATATTGCGCATAATTTCTTATGTGACAAAGTTATATATGACAGTGATAAATCTTACTATACGACACTGGGTTCTCTGTACATTGTACAATCCAGTTTAGCGAAGTCGCCGCTTCGGTATATGTTAAACATTTGAAAAATGTTAGCAATTGCTGCACTGTGTACAATCACTATATGATACAAGGACTAAGCCGTCTTACAAAGGACGTGCATGTATCACTCAACCTGAGGATGAGTATCTGAGAATTACACCTTACCGTAGGTTTGATACATTTGGAAATCAAGAAGGGCGTACTGTCCGTCGATCTTGTGTGTACGTCTTCTTAGGCAGAAACAGCACATTTAATTGAGTATTTAAGACCTCCTTAAATTCTGTCTGCTTTCATTCATTACTCTTCTTCTTTTTCAAATTCGATCAACAACGCAATGCTTTCCTATATGGCCCACTCTAACCTCCCGCAACCTGCCATCTTTAACCATGTGAAGCATCATTATGATGAGCTTACTACTACCCTTCAACCATTTCTTGATCGCCATGCTCCTAATGCAAGCAAGCTGACGATTGATGATGACAATGTTGGTAGAGGCTTAATATGCGCATTTGCCAATGGCTCTTCCAAGATCGAGGGTGTGATGCTTTACCTCAAGAAACCAGAGATTCAACGCTATTTGGAAAAGCAAGGCTACAAATGTACGCCATGCCCCGCTTCTACAGTGATCCAATGTGTCATGACCAACAAATCTTCATCTTCTTTAGCCAAATTGTAAAAGTTCTTCCAATAAAAGAATTTAATTAGAAGCTATTTACTATTGCTTTTTGCCACTGTCGATGTATCCCACATGCAAACAGCCTTGTTCTTTTCCGCCGTGTATAAAAAGTCGCCGTTGGGGTTCCAAGAGACACCGCAAATGACAGAACTACGTGTGCGTTTGTTTAGTGTTTCCAGCACTTGTTTGTGAACAATTGATACTTTACCTATGTTCTGCAAGTGCTCTCTCCAGCTTACCCGACTTGGCGTTCCAAATGTGTAGAGAACCATCTAAAATATAAAAGGAATGAGACATGAATCACTTTCTTCATCTTCTCTTATGTATCACCTGCTGAACCAGCTGCCACATATTTCCCATCAGGACTACAAAGGGCAATCAACATCATAAGCCGTCAAATTTTTTTTAGGGAGTGATTCAATGAGTTACGTTACCTAAATGTTGATCGAGACCAATTAAGCCCATTGCGGTAGGTCTCAGCCCTAGAGTACAAGCGTTAAGCCGATATCGCAACTGAGTGCCTGTACTACTTACTGGAATGATCTCACAATATCGTACATTCGTACATCTATGACCTTGAGCGTGTTATCCCTTGAATTGGTGAGCAGGGTTGTTCCGTCTGTTGTAATGCTTTATTATACTGCAGCAGGACGTTCATTCTTTATGCATTACCTGGCGACATGCTGACAGATGTAATTTGCCCGCTGTGTATGCCTGTCAATTCTTTGATCCCAACACCCGTTCTGGCATCCCACAGTCTGATGTTGTTGTCTAGATGCCCACTGATTACTGTCTGTCCATCTGGATCCATTAAACACACGTCATTACAACTAGAAAACGTGAATATGGTTCGAGTATCTAACAGGCAAACTAGTAAGCAAGCATCTCCCAGATAGCCATTACCGACTTACTGTATCCCTTTTGTAAATCCCAGACTTTCAGGGTACGATCGTGGCTTCCTGATATCTTTGGCAACCATTAATGATCCATTGTTTTCCAACATATATATATATATATATACCCATCCTTACCACTCTGTTTGCATCCATTGTGAATTTTGCTGCATACACTTTGCCTATGTGACCTGTCAATGTGTGCTTCATTGCAAAAATGAGAGCCTGCTTTCTATTGATCATTATTAACCACTTACTTTGAGTCGATGTGTTGCTAGACTCCAGATTCTAGTGGCGTTGTCTGTACAAGAGCCCAAGACAAGCTCATCTGTAGAGCTGAATTGTACAGAGGTAATCGTCTGTAAGGCTCCGCTCAATGAGTGTGTGATGTTTCCAGTCTTTGCATCGAACAGCTTGATCTTTTTATCAGCCCCACCAGTAGCAAACATGGTTCCTGTGGATGAAGCAGCTATACAGTGTATCTCTGCATCGTGCACACTCTAGTTAAACAGGTCAGTATGCCATCCATGCTGAGTAGTTCGAGCACGTACAATCCGCTTAGTAGCTTTCTTTGGGAGAACAATGTTGGAAAAGGGTATCGATTTTGATAAATCTACAGAGGATGCATCCCGTTTCTTTGCTTGCTTGAGTTTTTGTCGATCCGCATCCAGTTTTGCTTGTTCCAAAGCACTATCAAGTATGTCAACTTCCAGTTTATCAGAGGCAGGGCATGCCAGCTTACGTTTCGTAGAATTGAGTCGCCTCATTCATCTTCTCGGCTTCTTCGTTCATCTTGTTGATCCATCGTTCCAATAATTGCTCGTTTTCCTTTCGCAGGATGTTGATCTTGTCCTCTGTAGTAACCATCTCAAGTTGCAATGCTGCCAATTCATCTTGCAAAATCTAGCCAGAACCGAGTTTATACCTGCTCTACGACTGATTGCACCACGCCACCTACCTGAATGGTAACGTCTTTCTCTCGCAGTTGTTGTGTCTGCAAATCGCATTTGGAGGATAGTTTTTTAACTGAGTCTGATAATTGCTTGATTCTACATGAATGATTTCTTAGTATCAGCTTACGGAGAACTGTCTCGTATGGGTCTTACTCTTCTGTTTGTTTCAAATCTTTCTCTTCCCTTGTTCTCAGCTGTTCATTGAGATTAACTAGTCGCTGCGCATTTTCACTCTGCGTTTTGTACATCTCTGCACGCTCTTCGTTCAGTTCTCGTATTCTGCGGTCAAGTTCAGCCACTCGTTGAGTAGAGCTGCTCTGAATCAGTATCTGGTGTATATCCTCCTAGAACAAGACACTTTACCCTGCAGTTTCTGTGTTGGAACCATCGATTTTAGCTGCTTCGATGGCCTTGTTCTTTTGCTCGAGCTCTATCGTTTGCTGCAAAAGCCGATTGTCTGGTTTTGTAGAGCGTTGGAAACGGTCCCTCGAGTTCGTGTATGAAGAATGGCTTACTTGTAACAATGATATCATGAAAATTGTTGGCTGCCTTATCACGAGCTTGCAACCTTTCTAAAAGTACGTCTCTAAAAGTCATGCTGAAAAAGAAAAAAGCAACTGCATTCCCTTGCTTGCTCGCTCAAACCCTCATTGCTAGAGCGGTATTCAAATACAATGCAAATGATCACCATCGTTATCATGCGTGATCTAATTGTTGAAGAGTATTTGATAGACAATATCGTCAATTAGCCTATTTCCAGGCTCTTGTTCGCCATACTACTGCTATGGCTATCAAACTACTTTTAGTAGGCTAATCTTGACGAAAAGAAGAGGATAATGCTGCTATAGTTTGCTCCTGACATCAGGTACATGAATGAACAAACTCTATTGATTTTGCTGGGTGCTCAGTGCTTAGCTGCATTTTTAAAGCTCATTGTAGGCAACGTGTATGAAGGTGTTGCTATATGCCAAGATTGAAGACATGTTGGATTATTCATATGGAGTAATATTCACCAAGAAGCGGACTCTTCAAGGTACACGACACATCCATATCAACTTATTCCCATGCGATGATATAGTGATCTTGTTGCCTTGATAGAATGGTAGTTTATCCGCATGGTGATTGAAATGAATGCATCATTAGTTTCGAAACAAGAGATTCCTGTCAAAAACCAGCATATCATTTCATTGGCTGCTAAAGACAATCGGTTCAAGGTAATTCAAGCAGTGTGACCCCCTGGAAGATCTTGCCTTTTGCTCTCTTTTTATTCGAAAAATGAACATCTTGACAGGTAGAAGGCTACTGAATACAGCCTTTGTACGTTTCTCTTCTACATATCGCACCGTCAATGTTGGACAGCCATTCACAGCGGCACATCGTGTCTACTTGGGTAAATAATGTGAGCTATGTTCCAGGAATCGTCAGATACTCAACTTGATGTTGACTGAATAGAGAAGAATGGCAAAGTTATTTCGCCATTCCATGATATTCCACTCTACGCTGAAGGTGGTAAAGAAAAGAACATTGTAAACATGGTTGTAGAGATCCCCCGTTGGACAAATGCCAAAGTTGAGGTAATGAGATGTGTGCAATAGACGATACTGTCAGTTGCTCAAAAAGACATAGATTTCCACTGGTGAGAAATACAACCCACTTAAGCAAGATATCAAGAAGGGCAAGCCTCGATTTGTCAGAAATTGCTTCCCATACAAGGGATATATCTGGAATTACGGTGCTCTACCTCAGGTAATCTTGTGATAGCAAGCATATGATGCAATGGGTGTTGATATGGGACACTTAGACTTGGGAAGATCCAACATATATTCATGCCGAGACAAATGCAAAGGGCGACAATGACCCAATTGATGTCATTGAGATTGGTGAAGCAATTGGAAAGCAAGGCGAGATCAAGCAAGTCAAGGTATTGGGTGTGATGGCCATGTTGGATGAAGGAGAGACGGATTGGAAGGTGCTCGCTATTGATGTCAATGATCCCATGGCATCCAAAGTGAATGGTGGGTGTCTCCTGAGCATAATGAGCTTATTTTAACTTGCGTCTGTAGATGTCAAGGATGTGGATCAGCACTTTCCTGGATTGATTGATGCTACCAGAACCTTCTTTAGGGTATACAAGGTTCCTGATGGCAAACCAGAGAACACGTTTGCGTTCAATGGAGAGTGTAAAGACAAGGTAGTAACAGCTATGCCTGGAGAAGTGTGCAGATGCTCATGCTTTACCTCAATTAGGCCTTCGCGCATTCAGTGGTAGAGGAAACCCATGCAGCTTGGAAGAGATTAATTCAAGGACACGTTCCTTGCACAACCGATACTTATAAATTAGAAGTGTAAGTGCAAATGGCTTGTTGGTTCTTGTTCAGATATGGCTAATGCTGGACTCAGTCATAATATGACAGTAGAGAATTCGCCTTATAGATTAGAAACAGATCAAGTTACATTGATCAAGGAGGTGAGTTGGGATCAAATCAAGTGTCAATGCGCCATTTGTCTCATCTTTGTCTATTTGCAGGACACGGTTCATACTGTTAAAGAGGAAGATGTCGCTGAATATGACCCCAAGTGGTACTTTGTTTAGTAAATAAATATAGAATGACACTCTTCAAAGGCTATCAGACTCTGAAAAAGTAACTCATACATGCTATTTACGCTTTATTTTCTTTGTTTTTACGCACTTCTACATGAAATCCTCCTCAGCTGCGTTGATATCCTCAACTTCAGTGTCTCTATAATTGCTCTTCATTAGCGATGGATCAAACATATCATTGATCTCTTTTTCAGATCTTCTCTTCTCCTCAGCCAACACACGAGCTCTCTCCTTTTCAGCAAACTCGCCTTCACGAGCCTTCAACCTATCCATCTTTTCTCTCTGAACCTTCTCCTGCAACAAATCTGGAAAACGCTCCACCTTTGTCTTGTTGAGTCTGTTGACAACTTCATTGATGCGCTTTTCCACAAAGACACGCTTCACTTTTTTGTTGTTGTGAAATGTTACTTGGCCTGTCTCCATGCCTGGCGTCTTTTTGAGATTGTCCCAAGGAGTGTAGATGACGGTAATGCCATTCTTCTTGTTGCCCTCAATACTGTTGGCTTTGACCAGCTGAGCACAATCATGAACAACTGCTTCAGGTATATCAAGCCATGTTTGGCCGGGTTGCAGACGAACGTAAACGTGAGCACTGGATAGTTTATCAACGTGGAACTGTTGTAACTGAGTCAGTAGTGCCATGAATGTAGCTGTTGTTGATCATAATTACCCTGAACAAGTATGTTAGTACTCAATGCTCAATGCATCTTGGTGAGAGCATACCAAATATCTTCCAAGAAGCCATATTTGATCAAATCATCGTCTACATGGCATGCTGTTTAGCATGCTTTGGTTATATAGGAAGCCACTTACTTTCAAATTTGTCTTTTCCCATGTAAATGGTGACAGGAGGATCGACAACTAGATCAACTTTCAGTGATTTGCAAGCATAAAACAGTTCAATGTGATACTTACTGTTGCTAGTATAGTACAAGACCATCTCTATAAGACTGACAGGAGTTGCGATGATCACGGTCCAAAACCAGAAGGTGGGTTTGCCATCTTTAAATGACTCTGGCAATGCAGTGGCTTACCCAGTGACCTTGTTTCATAGTATCATGCTATGTTTCGAATTTACAATTTGGAGAATTTCTTTTGTTTTTGCCACTGACATCAAATCAAATCAATATTACAATGAAGATCAATCAAAAAAAGAAGATGAAGAATACCGACATTCTGTCTGCCGGTAGCAAAGTCTATGCAAAGAAGAGAAAGGCCAAGAAAGAGACCGTCGAGAGTGTTGAGTTTGATGATGCCAGTAGAACGTAAGCCATTCCCAATGCCAACAGTGCGATATTAGAGACTCACGAGTTTCTGTAGTGAATTCTTGACCGGATTTCATAAGCGCAAGGTGGAAAGAAAAAACAAGACCAAGGAAAAGTATGCTCTGCTAGCAAAGGAGGAAAAGCTTCGTAATCGTAGAGAGGCCAGAGAACAGCGTCAACGCTTGGCTGATAAGAATGTGCAGGAGATGGCCGCCATGTTGAGAACAAGTCTCGGTGGACCTTTGAATGAGTCTGACAAATTCCAGTCTGAAGAAGAAGAGGAGGAGGAGGAAGAGGAGGACAAGAAGAAGGAGCCAAAGGTGCAAGAATTCAAGACTCAATCCACCTTGACTACTGTCACTGTTATTGAAGATTTAGATTTGGAAAATCACTAGAGTAATTTTGTTAATACGACTGTACATATATACCTCCTAAGAATAAATGAAATTTACGAGTATCGTTCAATGTTTATGCGCAGCGAATAGTCTATGGATTGCTCATCACTTTCTGATTCAATGAAATCGGACATCAAACAGGCTATCGAGGTTTTGATGGTTTTGCCATTTTCCACAAATCTCAACTTCTTTCTTCCTGCCAAATAAATATGAGACCAGACGAACACAAATCAAAAGAATCTCGTAAATACCAACAGAGAAAGAAGCAAGCTGGCGACAATTCAGCTGCTGAGATAGCCGAGGCTCGTAGGAGAGCAGCAAGAGCACGCGATAAAGGTGTAGGTATGGGTGCCATTCGTCGACGTAATGGCGATTTTGTCGAGACAGAGGAAGAGATTGAAGAACGAAAGATGCGTCAGGCGAAATTCTCGAGGAGAAAAATTGAGTCCAATGAAAGCAGATACGAGGAAGAGACTGAGCAGGGTAAATAGAGGGCCATCTGGTAGAATGATTGCATGTTCACATCGTTCATGACTAGACGCTTTGGAGAGAGATGCTGAGCTAGGCATTGATCGGGAGACAACAGATCTTGTCTCTATGCTGGAGGAAAAAGGTACTGTAGACTAATGTGCGTTGGCTTTCATATGACTGATATACAACACAGAGGAGGGAAGCTCGACATTTTTCAAGTTTAAAGAGGAAAAACTATTTGACGCAACAAACAACGCACAGGACATGGTAAACATATAGCTGCGTATCACTACACCACCCTACTGACGCGCATGAATTACAGGCAAATCGCACTACCCTGCAGTTAGACTTCAACATGTTTGAGAACACACTTCAGCTTTATGATGCAGACTCGTTGCTTGGACTGGAGGATGAAATGGATCTGGTAATGAACAGCAGAAAAGTGATGCCGAGTCCAGTGGCTCAATATGCGTGTCTTGTAGGTACAAAGTGCACTGAACGAGCATCCTGTCGTATTGGATAAGCCAATTGTACCTTCTTTTGCAAAGAACGCAAAGGGATATGTGCTCTTCAAATCACAACAACCAGCAAAGCCCAATGTCATTTCAGAGGCAGATGGCATATATTTAAGAAATGATGGATCAAATCATCGTGTGATACCCAAAGATAAACCCCAAGCAGAACAGCAACAGCCAGCAGCATCAGCAGCAGCACCAGTAGACGACCTAGATGAGCTATTAGCCTTGCAACAACAAAAGACAGTGGACGATCATCTATCGTTTCCCTCTCTTCCACCTGCTCAACCTGTGAAAAAGACAGTACTGCCAAAACCTGGATCTATAAAGAAGCCAGCTGTGAAAAAGGAGGAGCATGCAGTTGACGATGAAGCGTGGTTAGATGATTTGCTAGGATAATAAGAGCAATAAAATAGGTGTAATCGATACGATGTCAATTGCTGGATGCATTCACTCGGTACATGTTGTATTGATCTTTCGTCTGTTGACGTCTTTACTGTATGGCACTCTGATCTGTTCAGTAGTGGGTGTGGATTAGATCATGTCAGGGTATTCATCGACAATGATACTGTACTTTGCTCTGTATTCTTCTTTGTGTCTCAATACTTAACACCATGCAGGGATCTCGATGGCATCTCTTACGCTTCAGGTGGATCATAAACATTTTCTCCCTTTTCCCCTAGTCAACTTACGTGAAGGCTGCTTGACCATAAGCCGTATGCCTCTGTATGTCTTTTCTAATTGAAAAGCAAAGTGGCCAACTTTCCCAATGTGATGACTTTCAGGCACAGTGGCAGAACCCGTATTCTGGCATAAAACTCCAAAAGAGAGTCGTTATTCGATGCATGAAAGAGATCCTATGCATGTGCATCTACAGCTGTAATTTAAGCTCACATTCGTAGCCATACATTCTTTGATTATAGAGTCAAATTGAATCAAGAAATTGACACTTTGCATTTAAAGTTGTCTGTCAAACCAATGCGGCTTGTTTAAGATGCTATACTAAGCAAAATTCTGTGTGCATCTTGTATTTTAGACAACATGTCTTCATTCAGCATCATTAGAATGTGATGGCAACACTTTGCCATGCATTTACCATTTGCCAAAGAATAGAACATAGCTGGCCCTAGTCATTTGAGATTAGAAAAACCACTGCTACTGCATAAAATAAGGATACAAAGGGCATATGCTTGCATGTAGGCATTGATGCAGCAAGTCAAACATGCAGCATACAGGCGACAAACGTCACAATTCAGCCTACAAATGCCAGGTATATATCCTATGTCCCCCTGAGAAACACAGACTTTTGATCGTTTTCAGCTCTTTCATCATCATGTCAAAGGCATCATCATCATCATCATCATCATTAGCACCAGCTACAGAGCAACCAGTAGAAAATAAGATCACCACATGGATCGATAAGCAATCAGAATCACCTTACCCCATGTGGGCATTGTCAGCTGCCAGTAATTATATTGCTAGAATAAAGTTTTTCAGATGAAATGATGATTAACATGATTGATATGATGCTACTAGCATTAGCAACATTGCCACTCTCTGTAAAGAAGGCGCCTGGCATTCCCGGCTTGTTTCAAACTATGGCATTTGCGGGCATCTTTGCTGGAGCAGGGCAAGTATTGAGAGCCAAGAGCTGATTTGCAACATGCACTCATCCACTATGTAGTTATGTGACTAATGCAGGTGATGCAGAGAATGGATCTGGAATTGCAACCGGTAAGATGGAATTACGCCTCGTAGAGTTTCATGTTCTAAGTCATGATTAGCATGGTGTTTGTCATGGAGTTTCTTGAATGCAAAGACTGCTCTCAAATCAATGAGGCCTGTGCCCATTGTTCTTCTTGGTGCTGTCACTCTAAATACTGTCATTTATGGCAAGAAGACCTTGCAAGTGAATGGTTACATTTAACGCATAATGTCAGCAGTGTCTGTGAATTTTTGTTTACCTGTGCATGGCGTAGCCGGATTATAATTCCATTTCTAAACCCCCTCCCCACCCCTTTTTTCCCTCTTTTCTAATCTGTACTTTTAATCAAACAACAACAAAAAAAAAAAGAATATCTATTCTTTATACATATATAAACATAATAAAATGGACGACCGAGTCATGTATAAGAGGTCCCAAGCTTTACGTGAATATGTGGGCTCTTTCCAGCTGTGCGTTATGGTAAGGAAGAATGCGATAGGAGCCATCTCAAACACTCAAAAAGCATACCATAGTTTATCGGGCTTGCTATTACATCAATAGGTACAACATGATATATATATATATACTAAATGAGTACAAGCTTATACTGACCGAAAAATACTTGATGAAAAGGTGCCTATCTAATCAACTCGACGACGAGCAAGACGATATCGATTGCATTGTTAGTGCTGGGCGGAATAATCACATTAACCAGTTTCATTGGGTATTTCGGCGCACAATTGGAAAACACTGGATTCCTGAATACGTACAGCAGTATAACTGCAATTGCATTGATTGTGGAATTAAGTACAGTGTTGAAGCCTAAATTCACCAATGGAAGATACTAAATCATTTGCTAGTTGCAATGGGATTGGCTTACACTCATCAATTACAGGTAAAATCAAATGTTATATATGAAAAATGCACAATATGCTCACTCCTTGATCTGCTCATTGTTTTTTTTTTTTTTTTTTCAAATACATCAGATCGGCATATATGGAAGCAAATCTTGGGATTTCTTTCAACAGCAAGATTCCAAGTTCTTGATTGAATTGGAGCACAGGTAAGAAGGAGGCATGAAGACGGGGATCAGACACAGAGTTTAATGGCTATGTGGCAGTTTGAAATGCTGTGGCTACGAATCAATAAAGGACAGAGCTATTCCAAAGACATGTGCAGCTGCTTCAAATGTAGATATGGGATGTAAACAAGCAGTGATCAACTACGCTCAGCAATGGCACCAATACATTACCATTGCCATCCTATGTTTACTAGCCATTCAGGTAGGTTTCTTGGGATGCAGGTCAAGCGACGTTTACTCAATCAGCTTATATTTTGCTCAGTTGATTGCTCTGACAGTGTCTGTTGTCTTGAGTTTTATCATTGATCGTGAAACAAGGGAGGAAGAAACCTACATGGCATTGTTATCAAGTCAGAATAACAATCATCATCATTCTTGGTTGAATCATGGCGAATCGAGCTACAGTCCTAGCAATGGATATTTCGGTAGAACCACTCGATCCAGCCAGAGATCTATACCAAGATATGGTAGCACACCATCCACAAAATTATAAGCATGTATACCAAACAATAAACCAGCGCTTGTTTAATATAAATGAAATAAGGGGAGCAGCAGCAAAAAACCAGCCGTTTTGAATGTTTGTGGTGATTCGGTTTGAGTCGGACTCGACTCTTTTCAATCACATCAGGAAGAAAGGGTTATTTATATTTCCCTCTTTTTTTTTTCTCTTTCTTTTTCTCTTTCTTCTCAACATCGACACACCATGCCCAACCCATCAGCAGCTTCACCGCCGAACAATAGCAATACATTGTCTGCTGATTCATCTTCATCACCATCGTCATCAGCAGCAGCAACAGCATCATCATCATCATCATCATCATCATCATCATCATCAAGATTCAATACACACACGAGCGATATACCGTTACTTACAGCCCCTTTTTTACATTATATACCCACTTCACCTCCTTCTCAAGAATTGGACTTTCATTTACCTTCTCGTACACCACTTCATGGACTAACGGTAGCTGAATGGGCAGGCACAAAGTCAAGTAGATGTCCTGGTAAGTAACAGTTGTTTGTTTATTGGTTGCTATGAGAACCAAATAAAGAAATTTTTTTTCACTAACTATAAATATTACTGCAGCAAGTATTACAGCAGCATCTGCCACAGCATCAGCAACATCCACAACATCAACAACATCATCCGCAAACATCACAACATCCGCAACAACATCCCACACATTTACGACATCCACCAGTAACAACAATAATCTCAACAAACCAATCGTATTGAAGGATTCAGCAGAAGATAATTGGAAAGATGTATATCGCAATATCAAATGCATGGATCAGCTCTACGATGCTTCATTTTATTCCTGGCTAAAATCAGAAGAAAATGTGTTGGTCACTGCCATGTATCTACATCGTATTGCGAATGAATATCCTTTGGTTCGCATCATAAATGCCTTGAAATGGCTTATAAGCGATTGGCGATTAGAGAGTATAAGCACTCTAGTACGACATGTGACCGTAGACTGGTGTGATGAAGCAGGCAAGTACAAACATATATTCAAAAGGGTTCTCTCCTAAGAGCAATAAGATGATGATATTAACCATGTCTCTTTCTCTTTCTCTTTCTCTTTTTCTCTCTCTCTCCTTTTATACATACCTTATATGTGGATAATTTATTACCATCTCCCCTTAAAAAAACATTGGATTTCCAACATCTAGGTGACCTACGGCGAGCTCACCTTTTACGTCACTTGACACATAGTTGGGCAACACAATATACAACCACGCTGATTACCATGGTGCTATCATCTGCGCCATACACAACAACATCCAGCTTTCAAAGAGAGAGGTTCCTGAGAGCTTTTACAAAAGAGTGGGATTTCTCAAAGCTATCTGAATTTTTCATGTATCTTCAGAGCCCCGCCAATATTGACTATAAAGTGAAATGTGTCATGCTTCAAGAAGCTGCTAGAAGAGAAAGAGAAACATTGGGTGCTAAACTCAGAAAAAAACGTGTGGTTCCATCTACAGCTAGTATCGCACCGGACAAGAGTGATCCTCTCTTGGCTTCATCCACCTCTGCTTCTGCTTCCTCCTCGTTGCCACCCTCTGCAGATGGCCCGTCTGTGGATGTAGCTGTGCCTTCTCTGCTTTCTGCAGCGACGACCGCCTCACCCATGGCCCCAGAAACAGACAGTGGTGTGGTCATGGAAACTGTGTCTCTAAATGCTGGCAGTGCCCCTACTACGCTTGTTACTACATCCGCACCTTCGACAACCGCCAATTCAGAAGAGATGGTGACAACACCTGCTACAACTTTGCCCCTGATGGAACCCAACAACAGCAGCAGTACAACCACCAGTAGAAGGCATCATCGGAGAACATCTAGCAACGATGTCAATGATATAAAACGACTGCGACTATCGACGCCAGACCTATTAGATCAAAATGGTTCAGACATGGCTTCTACCAACAGCGATGGTGGTTCTGTTATCAACCTGAATGTCGATGCACCCACCGCATCCAATACAAGTTGTACATTGATCAACACAACTAACCGTCGATCCGCTTCTCCTGATCAGCACCATCTTCTCCACCACCACCATCACCATCATCATCATCACCACCACCATCATCTCCATCATCTTCCTCATCATCATCATCCCTTACGCTGCTGTGTCGCCCCAAGTAACACAACTGCTGTGAGCAGCAGTAATGGAACAGCAACGTCGACTATGATGAGCAGTGAATTATCACACCTTCATTTAGGCCAAGGTAGTACAAATACTACTATCACTGCTACGACTACCTCTGCATGCGGCAGTGGTCATAGCACAGACCAACAACAGCAGGAACAACAAGATGTCTTTAACTCATGTTGCCCTTGTACCAATGCGAATCATTTAAGGAGAAGATCAAGCTCAAATGCATCAAATCAAAGCAGCAGTGATATGATTGTGGATGATCCAATGGATACTGATATCTCGAATAATAACAAGAAGAGAGCAGCAGGTGGCGGCGGCAGCGATCCCTCTTCTATTACACATATTGCAACTCCAGGTTCAGATGAAGCAGTTTAATAAAGTATATATATATATATATGATTATTCCTGTGTAGTAGTTTGATAGGATGGTGGATACAGTGTGCACTATTACCACTGTTCACGTTGAACTTTATAAGAGGAGATTTTTTTTTTTTAGCAAAAGTACCTGTCTAAAGACATTCATTTAGCAAGAGTATAAATCAACTTGTATGCAATTGAAATCATGATCATTTTCCTATACAAATCAACCTTCCATCATAACACTCAAATTGGAAAAGGTTTGTATAAGCATTTCTTCTAGAACGTTTTTTGTCCGAATTTGAAAATTGCAAGATTAGAGCCATCTCCTGACTCAGACTCAGTCATCAGAGTAGCCATGCTATGCTGTTTAACGTGGATATCCTTTACTTCTGCTACAACATTTTGCAATCGCTAACAAAAGTCTCTATCCGACGAGATATCTCCTTCAGCACCCTTTTTGCTTATACACTGATATCAAACGAAGCCTATTATTGAGACGATGTGAAAGAAAATTCAAGTTTTATGCAGTATTTGTACACCACCATCTCTATTTTTTTCTGGTTATACCATTTGCTGCTGATGCTCTTAATAAGATGGCGACATAAAGCTGGTCATAAGTAAATACAAGACTTGTGTAAGATCTCCAGCGACCTTTTGAGGTATTTCCATTGCAAAAGATACCTTCATGAGGCAAAGCTCTCTAAAATAAGTTTTTGAGTTTAGCAGTTGCCATTTCAATTCCATGATTCCCATTTAATCAGCATCGCAATCATCATTGCCATCAACAGAAAGGCATTTAGGTCAGCCAGCAGCAATGCCACCGCCAAAATGGATTCAAACTCGACTTAGTTTTTCTGTTCAAGATTGGACAGATATTGTTTTTTTTTTTTTTTTTGTTCAGCACCACTTCAACAACATTCCCTTTCTACCTTCCATCCTCCTTCTATATCTTCAGAAATCTCTCACAACCTTACATTCCCAGGAAAACCTAGATCAACTTCTCCATCTTGTATATTCATATATCCAGTCTTTCCCCCCCCCCTCCTCTCCCTTTATTTAGGTGACGTTTAAAGGACTTTAAATATAGCATTTATTTGTCCTAAAAAAAAAAAAGATATTGTTTTTTTTTTCGACTTCGTTAATCTATTCCTTGATATTCGACTATATAAACTGTGATGATCACCCTACGCTCCTTAATACATTCTTCAAGTACTTTTCAAGGCGCTTCCGATGGTACTAGTTGTAATAGATGTTTTAAATGAAATTACCGAGTAATTCGGTGAAATATGAAATGAAGTTTTTAGCGAAAATAGCCATATTTTGCATAGGAAAGCCTCATAAAAGTGGTTTCAGAGGCTGCTTTGGATCGAAAGAAACATTTTGATTCAACACATACCATAGGAAAAGTCTTCATTTTCAAGGTAAAAAATGCGATCGTTTGATTTTCAATGAAAACCATGAGGTACCCCTCATGCTTTTTGGTCGATTTTTGGCCATTTTTTTTTGTGGCCCAAAAAGTTGAGCAAAGGTATCAGGATGTTACTACTACTCACGTACAATTGTTTGGTGTCATTCCGGTGGCGCATAAAGGTCTACTTGTCAAGATATGAAGGCTTAAAAGCTGTTAAGTTTAGTTGTGTATTGCTTTATAGAGTGTATTTACACGGCATAAATCACGTATTTGGTAGCTGTAATTTACTGGAAAGGCAGTTCTGTAGCTTGAGCAATTTTTAATTTGAATAGGTGGCATATTTGATTTTGGTAAAGCTGATTCATGCAAATTTTGATGCGCTATGTCGCTGGTAAGCATATTAACAATGGAAATAAAAACTCGAATTTGCTACTTGAATACTATGGTTTTGTATATTCGTTTTGCTACAATCAAGCCCTCATATAAATTAATGTTACCAAGTGTTGGATTGGACGCCTTATTACCATGGCTTTGCACCTTTGCTTCGCTACGGTAAAAACCCCCTATAAATCAATGCTATAAAGTGTTGAATTAGACGCGTTATATTCTTCCCCCAAACCCCTTCCCCATTGCCGGCTTTGCCGATGGTTTTATTCACTTTGTACGGCACACAATTCTATAACTTTTTGAAAGGATATGGTTTGTTTGTCAACTCTTTTGAATGCTTTACAGTATAAATAATGATTACCTCCTACTACTCAAAATTGTGCAAAACACAGTGAAACTGAGATGCATTTTAGGCGCGTTTTCTCGTGTTAGAAGCCGATTTAGGATGCCGGAATAGCATCACATAGTTGCTCTGATCTGGCACTAACTTTCAGACGCCTTTGCTCAACTTTTTTTTAGGATCGCCAAAATTCCATCAAAAACCATGAGGGATACCTCATCAAAAACATCAAAAATCAAACGATCGCGTTTTTCACCTTGAAAACGAAGGCTTTTACTATAGCATATACTGAAACAAAATGATTGTATTGATCCAAAGCAACCCCTGAAACTTTGTTTATGAAACTTTGATATGTAACATCTCGACATATTTGTCAAAAACGTAATTTCATATTTTAAAGTATTGCTCAATAAGTTTATTCAAAACACCTATTTTATTTAGCACCATCGGATGCGCTCTGAAAAGTACTCTTAGAAAGCTTAAGGAAGTATCGGATGATCACACAATTTTTATAGTCGAATCTACTAAATAAATGGAATCAAGTCGAAATTAATTAATATTGATCCAATCTAGAATGGTTTTCAAGACCGACGTTTAAATTAATTTTGGCGGTTGAATAGAATGCCTCTCCCATGGTGATGATCGATGTTTGTGAAGCTAACATGAAGGAGGCTGCAAAGTTCTAGGTACCGCAGCTTTGGCTATCTACTTTAATTTGCTTTTTTCTATAAAGTTTATATATCATAGTTCTAGTCATTGCAATACGCTTATCAAAATGCAAAACTTGGAAGCGAAATGCTGGATTGCCATCCCAATCTGGTGCTCTTCATGCGTTCTCGAAGAGACAACAGGCATAGAGACGCCAAACATTACATCAGGGCGAATACGTAACCCCAGAGGATATTTCGCCGTTCATCTTTTTGGTATTGAGTGATGTGAAATGCAATGTTACTCAAAAGCTATTTTATAATGCAACTTTATCTCGTACTTCCGGAGAATAGCGCTTCGAAATTCATGTTGCTTTGAGCATCTCCGCGTACCTTTTTTGTGCAATGAAAGAGGGGGTGATGGGAAAGTTTTCCCGTTTTGTTTGGTTTCTCTGTCCTCTTTTTTTTTTCAAAAAAATGAGTCCAGCAAAAAAGACGCTCGTTATTGTCGCTTCTAGCACAAAAGAGACTCAAATAGAAACAGATATCAAGGTATAGAATACAAGGCTGTCAAGCTCATTGATGTATTTTGACCCGAGAACGTGGTAGGATCGCTACGACTCCAAGTTTTTAAGGTTTCGAGGTGTGCCCAAGGGTTTGCTGCCAATCTCTGGAAGGCCTGCTCTTAGTTGGTGGTATGAGTATGCTCAGGATAGATTTGATTGCGTCTATATTATCTCCAATGCATACAAGTAAGTCAAATGAATAGAAGGGGCGACTGTCGTGTATTCATGATAGTTGTCTATTTACAGCTTCAAGCACTTTGAAAGATGGGCGAGTGCTGTCAATTTCCCTCGAGAGAATATACTCAACAGCGGGTTAAGGTATATAGTGTAGATGACCAACTGGGCAAGTCTTTGGGCTAAATGTATACCACAGCTCGGGCATTTTGCAGGATCTTGCATTTGTACACCGAGTGAAGCACATTCAAAACGACATTGTGATTACAGGAGCTGACATAATACCTACAGAGGCGATATACTACAACCATTCCGAGCTCTTTGATGGCAAACGCAACTTTATCAGAATGATGGACGAAAACTCAATTGCATTTGGCATGTCATTCGAGTTATTGCAAGGCCTTGACGACTATATTGAACAGGTGGCACCTACAGCGGACGCAGATCAGAGCAGTAGACTGAAACTATATATTATTACAAAGGCTTACGACGCCTCTGTCAGCAAACTATCAGCGGAAGACTATCCTCTGCTCAATTATGTCGATGCCAGCATTTCGCTGCAGTCTTACTTGGATACATGGCAATTCTGCAAGGACGATGACTTTAACAATCGATGCAAATCATTCAAATTTCAGACTGAACCTCTGCATATGAGGGCTTATGCTCGTGTGGGGTTGATGGGCAACCCCAGTGACGGGTTCTACGGCAAGACGATGTCTCTGTTGATCTCTAACTTCTGGGCAGAAGTGACCTTGATACCCAACCATGCCGATGATCAAGAAGTAGAGGCCATCACTATTCTTCCTAACCCTGTTTCCGATCCACACAAATTCTCTTCGCTCGAGTGTCTGGTGGGTGTCTCTCAAATCGACGGATACGAGACTGGAGATCGATTACTACAGGCTTGTTGCAAGGTGTTTTATCTGCATTGCAAAGAGAACAATATCCCCATTAACACCAAACAAGGCTTTCGTATGATGTTTGAGACCAACATTCCTCGTCAAGTGGGCTTAGCTGGCTCCTCTGCTATTATCACTGCATTATGGAAGATGTTGAGTTTGTTTTACGGCGTTACTCAAGAACAGATACCATTGGAATTGCAGGCTAGTCTCGTGCTAAAGGTGGAATGGGAAGAATTAGGTATTGCTGCTGGTCTGCAAGACAGAGTGATCCAGTCATTTGGCGGTTTGGTTTATATGGATTTTGATCGCGAGTACATGGAAAAGCATGGCCACGGTAAATACGAATCTTTGGATGTTGGACTGCTGCCCAAACTATGGCTGGCCTATGTTGCTGATCCTGATGATTCGGGTAAGGTACATAGTGCTGTCAAACAACGCTTTCTGAATGGTGATCAAGAGGTAGGCCGTTTGAGAGGAAGGACGATCTGAGGTTGATTGACACTTGACGTAAACAGATCATTGATGCCATGCAAAAGTTTGCGTCCTTCACTGAGCAAGCTCGCACATGCTTACAGGAAAACAATCACAAGGCATTTGCTCAACTGATGTCCAACAACTTTAACCTTCGCCGCGAAACATATGGCGACGCTGTTGTGGGTGCTTCCAACTTGAGAATGATTGAGTTGGCAAGACAGCATAACTGTGCTGCCAAATTTCCTGGTAGTGGAGGTGCTATTGTGGGAATGTGGAACGGAGAGAATGCAGAAACTGAAGCCAAGGATTTGTTACAATTGCGTAGAGCATTGGAGAGTGAAGGATTTGTATTTTTAGAAATTACACCAATGGTATATGGCAATCAGTAGCACCTAGATTGTGCCCCTGATCATTTAGCAATAATCGAATAAAGACTCTTCTCGGCCTCTACATGCCTGTTGACTAGACAAGCTGTAAATTCTGGTGTTGCACGCAACAATACGTTCGTTGTGTATCTTATGAGGAAGATGAGTTGCTCGATGATGACCCTAATGACGCCAGCCTCGTTTTCGAGAGCTATAACCGAATATCCCTATATATAGCAATCTATCAATCTTCTGACATTTGTCAGACATGTCCAATAATGAATTGCTGGTGAATTCTACCCGAAATTTGTATATGAAACCAAGACACCATCCTGATACATATACACTTCAAGTTGAAAAGTTTATTTTGTTTTGTTTCGTCAAAGATGGCCAGAGAGCCTCCTTCTGATCAAAAATCAGGTGCTAGTGCGTTTGCTATGACAACAATTTATGTATGCAGTAAATCTAAATGTTATACCAATGATACATTTGGTGTTACACACTGATTTCGTTAGCATGCAAGAAGACGTATGTGTGATATCCGCACTTTCAATCAGGCAACAAGCATTTGATACTATGATTTGCTTAGCATTGCTTGGCTATTTATATGTTGGCGGGTTTCTTCTCCTTTGTGAGCATGTACCTTTTTATAGAGAGAGAGAGCTTGGCATTGGCAAACAAAGGCTTCGCAATATGATCGCGGCAACAGCCTGATCTACTTTTCGGAAATCAAGTGTACCCGTTCATTCTGTGTTAAAAAGTCGGTAAATGCTTCTCTGGGCATGCTGTGGAACCTCGTTGGTGATGTCTCTTTCTTTTCTACTCTTCTTGTATAGGTATAAAAAGGGGCTAACAGAAAAGCAACTATACCCTCTTTGTTTCTCTGCTTATATCATCTCATAGTCTAAAATGCAAATTACATCAGGTACCGTTTGTTTAATCACAATTTGACGCAATGGCCAATTAACATTGACATCTCCATTGTAGCCATTGCGTTATTCGTTGCTGGTGCGGCATCTGTCGCTGCCGCTGCTGCCCGTAATATCACTTACAATGTCGTGTCACTTCAACCCGACAACCAAACTATTGCTGTCATTGTCGATGATCAACTATACCCACTTACATCAGTCAGCAAAAAGTCGCAATTGCTTCACACTGGCGATGCACCTGCTGCTGCCTCAGGTTACAGATATGCTGTCATTGACAAGGCCAATCCATCCAACGTGATTGACCAAGAGAGCTTTACTCGTCAGCCTGTTACTGACGACAAGACATTGAACGAGTACTATGGAAGATCTTGGAACACCATGAACCTTACTCAACTCCCTACCATCATGAGCCCTCTTCCCATCATTGATCGTATCAAGTCGAAGCTTCATATCGATGGAGAGATCCCTACTATCCACATTACTGGTAATCAATCAGCTATTGATAACATGCACAAACAGCAGTACGCAGATATCGATGTCAAGGGATTAAGCATGACGTACATTAGGTATGCACGCATTGCAGATAATAAGAGAATAACTAACTGAACAACGTCTATCTATCAGTCCGCATGATGTGCAATCTTTTGAAGATGTCACCTTTGCTGTTTCAGGCTTCAGTACTCGCTCACTCCCTAAACTTTCCTACAAGCTTCAATTGTCCAAAGATGGAGAAGACCTCTATCACTACCGTCGTTTCAAGCTGAGATCCATGGCCATTGACTTTTCGTATATGAGAGAGGGGCTGGCCTATGCTATTGCCGAGTCCATTGGTCTCCCTGTGGGTCAATACAGTTATGTGCGTCTGTTTCTGAACGACCAACCATTAGGCTTGTTTGGCTTTCTCGATAATTTCAAGGATCCATGGCTTAGAAATGTGTTTAATGGAGGCGAAAAGAAGGGATTTGATCAAGGTGCTCTCTACGTAGCCAGGCCCAACTACAATGCCAATCCTTCTGTGCTTCTTGAAGTTCTAGGCAATACTACTGCCAACCCATCGCCAACCAACGCTGATAAAGTGGAGCTCAGCAGCACCATGCAACTCTCCAATTCAGATTTAACTTATCTGGGCGACAACATTACTGCATACACACAACAATACTCTGTTCGTGAGAATCCTTCTTCTGGCAGCGCCAACTTTACTCGTGTCATGGAGCTGTGTAAATTCATCTCTGAGCAATCCAACACGACTTTGGACAATTCTTCAGTCGATCTATGGAATGAAAAGATTGATGTCACTAGTTTCTTGCGTGGTATCGCTTTTGAGGTTGTCACTTCTCAGTCAGATGCTTACCTGGCCAATGGTAACAACTACCTCTTGTACGATGACCTTGAAAACGAACGCATTGTGTACAGCAACCAAGATTTTGACATGTCGATGGGTAAGTTTATACATGTGCTCAAGTGGAAGGATGACATACTCACAACAGAAACCAGGAACCGCCTTCTTCAGCGCTGAGACTATGCATGGTGGCAACTACACTCGTTTCCCTGGCTTCCTTCAACGTCCCTTGACATCCCGTCTACTTGCAGTGCCTGAATTCAAGAGAGAAATCCACGATCTGATATACAACTTTACCAGAGACCTGGTCAACCCCGATATTCTGAATCCTCGTATTGATGATTTGTACACGTTCTTGGAGCAAGATGTTGCTTGGGACAAGTCGTTGCCTCGTGTTGGCAACAAAAGTCTGTTTGACGCCATCGACCCTAGTTTCAACTTTAATCAAATTCCATTCATGTTTGGTCTCAATGGCACCTTTCCCGATTCCACCACCTCCAGCTTTAGTCTTAGTCTCAAGAACTGGCTTGAACTTCGCAGCACCAACTTGATGAAGTTTTTCAATGAGACCAGTAACCAAAATAATTAGATTGTCTATGTATTATAATAAATAGCCCCCCCCCCCTGTTTGTTTTCCATCAAGAATCAGTGTCGACGATGAGCTACTTTATTCAAGACTGAATAGCCATGTAAGAATAGTGTGTTGCACAACTCCAATGTCACGGAGCACAGTGATTAAGGTTTGATGAATGCCATACCACGGAAGCACTGCACATCTAGAGCTATCCGCGGCCATTCTTTAATTGCACTACACGCCTAACCCTCCTCTGAATACTTGGCATTGCAGACCCTGCTCATACAAATTTTGAATATGCGATAATCCCCAATGCCTGCCCAGACGGGTGTTTGAGTGGGATATCTTCTTTTCAACGATCTGATCCACTTGCACGCCCTTGCTATCATTGCTTGCACCCTCATGTTCCACTCTAACATGCGCTTGATGACAGTTGAACGGTGTTTCTGAATAGATAATAGGATACCCCATAGCATGTGCAGTAGCCAAGAACTCTACATCCATCCATAGAGTGGCCCCTGTTTCTCGATAGCCACCGACAGCTGCCCATACATCACGGTGAGCAAGTGTGAAACCACTGGCTTCATGGCCTATTTGCAAGTAGTTTTCAGTTGACAGCGATGCCGTTTGCATTGGATGAGGCTCCTGTGAGCCAGTCGTGAAGTTGCAGCTAGATTGGATTTCATGATCTGTTGCAAATGGAGAGAGTCGCACGAGGGCTGGATCATCCAGGTTAGAGCCTTGGCTGATAAACTGCATTAGTATCTACAGCTACATCAAACGACCACAACACTTACTTGGGAGCATGTCTCTCTTGACGCTGTGTATAAATGTTTTTTTTCCTCCAAGCCTTTGATTTGATGGCATTGTACATGTTTTGCGACCAAATGTCGTCCTGGTTGACACACACAACGTACTCGCCACGAGCATACCGAATACCCAGATTTTTACCTTCAAATTCGTACAATGCCTTGGGATGTGGATATTGGAAAGTGTCGTGTATCTTGGGAGGTACAGTAATGATGCGCCAAGTGAGATGTTTGGATCGACGAAATCGGTAGGTGTCTGCAATGCTTCTCTTGCCCTCCACTGGATTCCATTCAATGATCAGTACTTCCATACGAGTCTTTGTGCCTTGCGCCATCAGAAATGTGCTGTCCAGCATGTTTTGCAATCTATCTAATTGATCATCGCCATAATTGTCGTTTCTCGCCACAAGCACGATCGAGATGTAGTACTCTGCTGACTTTCCCCTGTCCAAACAAGCTTCAAACAGCTGCTTGAAACTGTAGGTTCGATGTTTCCAGTCTGTTACGGGAGGTGATTCGCAAGGGAGGCAATCAAAGTTGTTTTTACTAGACAGTAAATGCGTATCATTGCGAGCATACATGTAGGAATCATCCTGTCTACTAAAGAGGGCATCTTGAGAGGAGCTGATGAAGCACAAGGTCAAAATTGCAGAAAACACAATGCTCAACACCAGCGATCTCTTGGAGATGGAGAGGAAATAGGCTTTGAATAGCCCGCATGGGGTCGTATTGATCATGAGAGAGAAAGAGTGGAATAAAAGAGCAAAGCAGGGCTCCTTGTCGTGTATAAGGAGCACCCCTTGTTTTCATTGTTTGTTCCATATTGCATGTTGAGAAAGACAGAGAGCAAACGGGCTTCTTGTGCTTCACTGCACATTGAAAGCCAGTTTTTTGACTATGGGTCTTTTTCTCCCTTTCTTTCATACGTACACACACAGACACATACATCATGCTAAGAAGACAGCCTACATCTGTAACACTGACAGCTGAAGATGTCGAGCAATTCAAACAATTACTATCCAATCTCCAAGAGCAAAAGGACCAAAAGAACCTCAAAGAAATGCAAGACGAAACAGCAGTGGAAGACTGTGATCCAGACGACATTTTCATGGGCAAGTCGCTGCTGCTCAGTGAACGAAAGCGAAGAAGAGAAATGGAGGCACGGCTAGGGCTACCATCAGAAGAACAGCAGCAAGTAGAAGAGTTCAGCAGTAGCAATGGTGAGCCTTTATTTAAACGTGTACATTTGTAAATTAAAAATTGGTTTTAATATGGACCTCTTGTACAATAAACGGTCGAAATCACGGCCCCTCGTTGTATGTTATATCTTAATCCTATATCGCTCCTCTTGTCACCTCCCCCCCTCCCTCTTCTTTTTTTTTTCTCTTTTTTATTCTCTTTCTTTATTTGCAATGGACATTTAGAATGGTAAACACGATCTTGATACTATTACTACTCTTGATACATTTCAATCAAGCTTATATCATTCAGCCCCGATTTGGACATTCTGCTGTGCTTGTCAATGACAGGTAAGCCAAGGCGTGATTAAGATCAGCAGTGTGTAGTAATCCTATGGCTGTAGCATCTATTTTTACGGTGGGGATTCCTCTGTGAGCTCAGCCATCAAAAACACTTCAGAATGGCTATCCGAACTATCCATCTTGCCCATTCATTCGCCTTATTCGCTGACAGATCCACCATGGAAACCAGCCTCTGGTCCACAAGACTCTATTGGAGGACCCTCCGTCTATTCTCATATTGCATTCATGGGCGGTACAAACAGTGGTAATATGATTGTCATTGGAGGTGTGATGCCGCAAACCGAAAAATACACGACGGATGAAGAGCCGACTGCTTACAGCTATGATTGTGATTTGGGTCGATGGAATTCGTTCAGCTTACCGAGTGGGAATCATTTGAACCGACAAGGGGCCGCATCCACAACAACAGAACATGGCATCGCCTATATTTGGGGTGGCAAACGTGCAGTGACAATCAGTCCTCCTACTACGACGAATAGCAGCATCACCAGACCGGCCTTATCAGCGAGTATGTATCGGTTTGACTCTACGTGGCCAGCTAATTCTGCAGTCATTACACCTGCTGGCTTGTCTCCGCCTCTGCGGTATGCGCACACACAGACACTCATCTCGGATCATAAAATTGTTGTGTTGGGTGGATTTGATAGTGCTACTGGTGAGCCTATTCCCCTGTCTGATATCTGGGTGTACGATATCAGGCTGTCTGTGTGGAGCCAGATCAATGCAAAATTGGACGCTGAAAAGAAGCCAGGTGCTCGAAGTAGTCATAGTCAAGTACTGATGTCAGACGGGTTCTCCATTCTGGTGTATGGTGGCTATGATGGGTACCATGTGTATAATGATGTGGCTGTATTGGACACCAGGACCTGGACATGGACAGTGAAGAATACCAATGCCGCCGTGCAAGGAAGAGCTGATGTAAGCCTTTGTGTTTTATAAAAATTGCATATACATGATCTTCAGAAGATGTTTACTTATTATCCTTAGCATACAGGTAATGAAAATGAAAACGACTTGATAGTATGTGGGTGTGGGTGTGTGTATATGTGTATTAATATGGTTGATAAAGCAACATTGGTGGGTTCCAATATGATTGTCGCATTTGGATTCACAGGCGTGTCGACTGCACTCACTGTCATGGCAGACATCGAAGTGCTGGATGTCATCACCTGGAGCTGGACTTCAGTTTACACACCTTCGCCTGGATACAATACAGGAGGCATCGGTACAAAATCAAACGGCGGGTTAGGAGTAGGAGTAGGAGGAGGAGGAGGAGACGCCAGCTCAACTGGCAACTCAAATGGACCGAGCTCATCTGGCAACTCAAATGGACCGAGTTCACCTTCCATCGCAATAGTAGCTGGTGCTGTGACAGGGGGACTCGTTGTGTTCCTATTAATATTGGTAGCATTGTATCTATTAAACAACTACCATCAAAAGCAGCGCAATCAGACAAAAGACGGTCGAGCACGGAGAGACGACAACAGCGAGTGCTCCGACACATCCTCTTCCTATACGATAGCACAGACACCACAGCCCCCATTACAGCCCTCCAGACTACTGCCTCAGCCCATCATTTATCCACACCATGGCATCAAAAGTCAAGAAATGCTAGAAATCAAATTTCGCGATCCACCTTCATCCACAGAACCCTTTGAATACTGCCAAAGCACCTCGCGAAGACCTTCCAACCAAGCGGCTCATCCACTGCAAATCAATACGAGCAACTTGCCTACTCGCTCGGATACCATTGGCACTGCTACCACTGTTAATTCCTCTGTATTACTAGTACCATCACCCTGGACACCTATTCAAACCAAATCTTATAAAGAGCACGATCAAGACATCATATCCTCTCCATCATCCACTACTACATTTGGATTTAATTTCAACAGCCGTGTTGAGCATGGTGATTCATCCTCCTCCTGCTCAGCAGACTGGGCTATCCGTAGAGCAGCTAGCACACCTACGCAGCACTATCATCAACATCATCCATATCAACAAGCGCCCTTGCAATCGATTGCTAGTAATATAAGCAAGCCAGACGATAAATTCTACCCTCCTAATGCATTGAGAAGAGCAGCTACAGTAAGCGAACTGACGAAAAAGTCGCCGTCCAGTTCCATGGCTACATTGAGCAGTGCATCAGCCATCCAAAGAAGCTCATCCCCACAAGAGCCACAACAACCATCGCAGGCTGACGATGACGATGATGCTCTCTTTGATAGACAAGAGTTCATACTTGAGTCAGATGAAGTAGCCAAAGTGGAGGAGCAAGAGGAGGAGGAGGAGGAAAAAGAACCAATACCAGAAACGTCATAGATAAAGCAACATTTCTGTGTACATGTGTACATATATATAAAGTATCTCCCTTATTTATAAATAACTCGCAACGTACATATACAGTACCTCGGCAGTGCCTTGCTGAACCCTTATCCTGAAAAATGTCATCCGCGGCAATGCTTTGTCTCTTTTTATGGGCTTGAATCATCCGTAACACCTGAATAATGGACGGAAAAAGAAAGTGCCTATTTATACTCTTTTGTTTTAATTTTTCATTCTTTTCTCTCTTCTTGTTCTTGTTCTTTTTCCCCTTTTTTTCAGAAAGCTCTCTCCACAAGGACATGTCAACAAGCGTCATTGCAATGAAACATGATCTTCAGGATAAAAAGAGCTCTTCAAAGCAGAAGCGATTCAAGGTTGGGAAGGCTTGCTTTACATGTCGAGTGAAAAAGATCAAGGTATGCTTGGTTCATTTTGAGCGTTGGACATGTGTATTCAAGCCAATTGATTGTTCTAGTGTGATGGATTGCAACCCTGTATGCAGGTAACCATGGCAACCCACATACATCCATCATCGTCCAACTAACACTCTCTTTATTCTAGTGCAAAGGTAATGAAAAGATGGGGATTCCGGTCATGATAAACCAGCATGTACTCATTTTTATATTTAGCCCGAAGCAGACCGTGCACTTTTTCCAAAGATGGATCTGTATTGGAAGCAGCTGCAAATGAGCAAGACAATGAATCAACAGACGCATCACCCTCCCCTTCCACATCCAGGGCATCTACTCCACCTGCTTCCAACACGCATCATTCACCTAAATTCAAGAAACCTCTGCCCGTAGATCAGAAATTACTATCCTCCACCACGGAAATATTGAATCGACTGAATAAATTATGGCCGGCAGAAGGAAAAGAAGGCAAATGGGACTTGGATCAGACAAAATTAAACCTGACAACAATGAATTCAAAAGCGCCTTCGCATGACCATACGCTGGGTATTGAATATCTACCATCGAAATCCACTCAACATGCACATATTCAAACATATTTCAAGCGTTGCTACTCCATCTTCCCAATTATACCAAAGAGAATCTTTTTCAAACAATTTGATTCACCCATTCAGCACTACAATGCCTCTTATCTCTTGACGCCTGTCTTGCTACTGATGGTCATGGCGCATGGAGCTCAGCAAACGCAAGACGATGAGTCTGACATTTGGTTTCAACATGCCCAATCGCTGATTTTGCAACAGCACCATCAACAACAGCAATCTAGCAAGCCCAAGTTAAGCACCGTCATTGCTTTGGCCCTGATGAGTCAATTCCAATCTAACTGCAACCCTCGCCCAGCCATGTACGCTGCTATGGCTTTCCAAATGTGCCTTGATTTGAATTTGATGCGAAATTACACTGGAGAATTGGATATCAAAAATGACATGCTCTATCAAGACGAAATGGACGGCGGCTCCGATTTAAAAGAACTACAAAAGAGGGTTTGTTGGGGGTGTTACACGTTGGATAAGCTGATACACATTCCAACTGGACAGCCTTGGATGCTCAGAAGCAGAGATATCAGCTTGGATATGCCATTGCTCCAACCGGGTGACGATGTAACAGAGCACCAGATACTAGAGACGTTTGTATGCACCATCAAGTTGCTTCAGATTGCTGAGCGTACATTGCAGTCAAATCAGCAGCAAGCAGCCATGTACCAACCCATTGTCAGAACACACACCTATGATCAAATGTCGCTGAACTCAGATAATGCGCTTCTGGATTGGCTTAGATCACTGCCATTGCACTTGCAGTGGACACCTCTGTTCACCCATAGCAGTAGCAGCTCACTCTCCACGCCTGCACAACCCGCCAATCTCATGGTATGTCATCTTCACATGCTGTACAATATCATTGAATTATGCGTCCTCAAACCCTATGCCTTGTCTACCGTCAAATCCATCCAAACAAGGTCAGCTGCCGTTGCCACGCATTTGGTGCGTCTGATATCTGCCTTGATCGATCACGATACCGTCTGGTACTACAACCATGATGTTACTACTTATGCCCTTATAGAGTCTATCAAGTTTCACCTTGGACAATGCTCATGTGAAAACCTTGTTTTAGCTCGACATGCACGTTTTATGTTTCAACAATCTATGCCACTTATGAAAAAATTATTAACTATGGTCAAAACTACCGGCACGCTCGACAAGATGACTCAATTTATTACCAACTTGGAGAATGCCATTACGGAAGCGGACAATCGTGCTGCTGCTGCTGCTGCTGCTGCTGCTGCTGCTGCTGCTGCTGCTGCTGCTGCTGCTGCTGCGAATAATGCGGATGTGTTTAGCCAAGAGGATATGATGACTCCATTCGTTTTGGGTAGCTTGAATGCAGCAAGATACGGAGATGAGGAACGTCAGCAATGGTCCAAGCTAGACTATTTCGCAAACGGATTGATTACACCGCCTACTGTGAGATCAAAACCTTCGATTTCCATGTCCTCCACCATGTTTGTGCCTCCTACCATGTCCTCTTTCCACTCTTATGGTGCCGGTGGCCATAGTGCTGTTACAGACAATCTATTTCAAACGGCAGCAGCAGCAGCGGCAGCAGTACATGCTCAGGCTCAAGCACCCACCCAGCCACAGCCTCACCAGCAGCACCACGAGCAACAAGATTGGAGGGCAACACCTGATAGATTTCAATATACCAAAGTTAACAATACTACCTCTAATAATAATAACCATCATCCACTTGAATTCTTGCATAACCAACAACATCAACAACAGCAACAATGGTTACCTGCAACATCAACAAAGAAATCATCCACATCTACTACTGATACAAGCAATTCTGATCTCACAGATATTGATGCATTAGTAGCCCAAATACAAGAAAACAACAATAGTCCCAACAGCCAATCGTCTTCCAATGATAGTGCTTCATCCTCGACTACTGCTGCTGTTGCTGCTACAGTTGCCATGGTAACAAACGAAAATGAAAATATACTGTATTCGCTGCTATCCAACCGTGGTAATGCTCCATCCAGTGGCACCAGCAGGAACACATCCACAGCGGCATCCAGTACCACCACCAATGCACCACCCACACGAAATCAAAGCTATTCATCTATCGTTCAGCCCTACATGAACGTTGGCTTAGGCATCTATGCATCCGCTCATCAACATCACAACGATGTCATTAGACAACATTTACCCGCCACGACATCCACAAAAGTTGTATTAACACAACATCCGCAAAATCAATAAACAAAAGAAAATACCTATTTATAGTAATATTTAAAGTTTTTCCATCTGTCTAACTATTGCGCACGATTGATACAAATTACGTGACATCATGTTGAAGCCTTTTTGGTGTCCATAATAATCCGGATTTCATGATCTTTCTAGATATCTTGCGAAACAGAAATTATTTAAATAGAGCAAAACAACCCCACCATAACTCTTTTATCTTTTTTCTTCTTCTTCATTTGTCTCTTTACTCAACACAAATGTCTGATACTTTGCTCGAAATCTTCAAAAGCAGAAAGGATGCTATGCATCCCGCCATCATCATCCCACAATCTGCAGATGTGCCATCAAAGGTCACATACAACCAAATGTTGGACATCATTTACGACTTTTCTCGAAAGCTAGCTGCTCAAGTGCCTGCTAAGGCATTAGCTCCCGGTAGATCTATCTCCATCAGCTACCCCAACTCGTTCGAATTCAGTGTTGCCTTCTTGGGCGCTACATTCATGAACCTTGTTGCATCTCCCTTGAATCCTGCTTATACTGAGGACGAATTTAATTTCTATCTGGAGGACGCTCAGAGTTCCATCATGATCCTGCCTAAAGGTGCTTTGAATGAAAAGAATAATGCCGCTGTCAAGGCTGCTCACAAGCAAGGCGCTATTGTTGTGGAAATCCACTGGAACGGTACTTCTTTGGAAATCAATGCTCGTGTCCCCATCGAATTGTCTGGTGAACCTCATCGCACAATTGATAAATTTACACCTAAACCAGATGAGCCCGCCTTACTATTACACACAAGTGGTACAACTGGTAGACCCAAGGGCGTTCCTCTGAGTCATCTCAATTTGTTGACTAGTATGAGAAACATTGTACACACATACGAGTTAAATCCCGAGGATCGCACTTACCTGGTAATGCCTCTTTTCCATGTGCATGGTTTGGTCTGTGGTTTGCTGTCTACTTTGCTCTCGGGTGGTGTTGCTGTCATCCCTCGTAAATTTAGCGCTTCCCATTTCTGGAAAGATTTCAAAGATAACAAGTGCAATTGGTATACTGCTGTACCCACTATTCACCAAATCTTGCTTCGCAACCCTCCTTCTCAAGTACCTGCTATCCGTTTCATTCGCTCTTGCTCATCCAGCTTAGCTCCTGCTACTTTGGAGGCTGTTGAGAAGCATTTCAAGGCCCCTGTGTTGGAAGCGTATGCTATGACAGAAGCATCCCATCAAATGACCTCCAACCCTCTCCCTCATCGTGGTCCTCATAAAGCTGGCTCCGTGGGTCTCGGTCAGGGCGTTGAGGTTGTCATTTTGGATGATGCCGGCAATCCTGCAGAGTTGGGTGAAGTCTGTATCCGTGGTAAGAATGTCACCAAGGGCTATTTGAACAACCCCAAGGCCACCGCTGAATCTTTTACCAAGGATGGTTACTTCCGTACTGGAGATCAAGGTAAAAAGGACAAGGATGGCTATTTGATCTTGACTGGTCGTATCAAGGAGTTGATTAACCGTGGTGGTGAAAAGATTTCCCCCATTGAATTGGACTCTGTCATGTTGAGTCATCCAAAGATTGGTGAGGCCGTCAGCTTTGCCGTACCCGATGAAATGTATGGCCAAGAGGTCCATGCCGCTGTTGTATTGAAGGATGGTGTCAAGGATGATGCCAAGGCCATTGAAAAGGAATTGCAAGCTTATTGCGCCAGCAAATTAGCTAAATTCAAGGTGCCAAAGCGTATCTATGTCACTGATATAATGCCAAAGACTGCTACTGGCAAGATCCAACGTCGTAAGGTATCTGAAGTCTTCTTCAAGGGCCCTGCTCCTGCTCAAGCCAAGTTGTAATTTCATTTCTCTTCGCACTCGTTTATAAATACACATAGAACAAATAAATTTTTGTATTCCTCTTTGCCATTTAGCCTATTAAATCCCCATTTCCCATGATTTTATGCAGTTTTAAAAGCATCATATGAGCCTCCAATCAACACATACGCATGTGGATGTGATCATGCTGTTTGCCTATAGAAACGCATATTTATAATGCTAAATGTTGACAGCAACACGTTATCCTGCGAGTGATACATCGAGTCGATTGAACCATCAATTTCCGCCCTTCTCTTTCCGAGGATAAACAATGACTAGATCAGATAAGGGCTAGAGTCGGACAATCTGACCACGCGAATCAAGATATAGTTTCATGCTTCGTTGTAGTGCGAAAGCTCGAGGGTGCAGGGTGTTTGGAGGGGGCTTACCATCATCTCTCAGTTTTGAAGCAATAACACATACATGTCTTTGCCACAGAGTGAATTTCACATGAGACATGCAGTAGCTGCAAATATATAAACGGACGTTCCCCTCAGACGAATTACCACTTTGAGTCTTGCAAACAGCAATCTCCTCCGTTTGAGTAGCAACAACCAGAATATATTGATTTTATTTAGAAAAAAAAAGCGCCAGAAGCAATAGATAACGTTTATGTCAAGACATATCATGTTTCAGTTCGTCATCCTCTTCAAAACCATTGCATGCTATCATGAAAGAGGCATGCTGGCTGCCAAAACAAATTCATTCTTCGCTTTGGCATATTGTTCTGATTTGTTGATTTTCGGATTTTCTGGACCTCCCTTGACTTATTCCCAGAATTCGACTATATGAAATGTGATGATCATGCCATACTTTCTAATGCATTCTTGGAGTACTCTTCAAGGCGCATACAATGATACAAACTTTACTTGAAGTTTTGAACAAGCATAGTGAGCAATGGCTAAAAATATGAAATAACGTTTTCTGCCAAAATGTCCAGATTTTTCCATATGAAGGTTTCACAAACGAGATTCCAGGGGTTGCTTTGGAGCAAGAGAAGCATTTTGATATGATATCGAATTCCCTTCTGCTGTCTCGCTTGTGGCATCTCCTGCGTGTGGTTGTGGTTCCTGACAAGTGGCTGGAGGAGATACAGCGCGTGGTACGCCAGTACATCGTCTCGTTTTGGCCTACTGTGGCTTGGGATTCTCTCTGCCTTCCTAGGAAGCATGGAGGTATTGGTCTGGTTGACATCAAGAAGCAACATCTCGCCTTGCATCTCATATATGTCAAGCGTCTGCTTCGTCCCAGATCCCCAGCGGATTTCCTCACTCCCTGGCTGATGTATACATTCCATGTATACTCAGGTCATGCTACTGTGCTGCCTTTGCTGCTATACCCACGTACCTGCTGGCCGCGTGTGCGGAAATGCCCTCACTTGGAGCATCTGGCTCGTCTACTCACTCGTTTGCCTCCCTTGACTCTCACTCCTGAGTGGCCGTCTTGGTGGCTCCTAGATCTGCCCTGGTTACAAGTATGCTCCCTGTCTCCCACAGCGACTTTGCCTTTGACTAGGAACAGTGACAAACTGCCACCTCATGCCTTGATTGCCAGCCTCTTGAGCGTGCTCCCCAACTCCCACATCTTGGTTTGCGTGCGTCCCCGTGATACTGCTGCATTGCAACATCTGTTCAATGCCTTGTGCCCCATCGAGGGTCCTCCTGTTTGGGTTGTCCCTGCTCCTCTCAGGTCCGTCATGGCCTTCACCGCTCCAGAGCGAACCGCACTGCTGGAGAGTTCCACTACCCCCTCTCCACCCACGGCTAGCTTTTCGCATTGGTTCATCACCACTGGCCCTCGCTCAAAAGCTACAGTGGACAAGATCACTCTCGGGGCGTTACGCCGTTCCTGGCATCCGTCATTTGACATGTTGCGTCGCCCAGCCCATCCTCCTGGCTATCGCCCACCACATCTCCTGCTTCCTCCTCACCTCTGGCGTGATTTCTGGTCTCTCTGTCTCCCGCCCAAGGCATTTACACCGTGGTGGCGTTTGCTGCATGGACATCTCTCGGTGCAGGTTCGCCTGCACTCCATGAACCGTGTGAAGTATCCTTCCCCACTGTGTAAGATGTGTCATGAAGCAACTGAAGATGAATACCATATGGTCATTGGCTGCAGTATGAAGTCCCTCTTCTGGTATGAGTTTGTCTCTCACCTTGGTCTTGCTGATCTGTTCCCTACGGACGAGGCCATCTGGATTGGGTTGACCACCCTTCACGGCCAGGACAACAATCCTCTGGACATTTCCATCTTGGAACTTCTCGGCGCTGCCTTCTCATCTATCTGGCAACATCATTGGGGCTGCACAATTGATGGTAAATCTTGGATCACTCGGGCTGTTTTCTCCTCTTTTCTGGAAGATCATTCCAAGTTAATTTCTTCTTTCTTAGACATGTAAGACCCTTATGGCACCTTACTGTCTATAATATAAATAAAAAACACATTTAAATACAAAAAAAAAATTTTGATATGATATATGCAATATAAAAAGTCTTCATATTGGAGGTCAAAAACGCGATCGTTTGATTTTCGACGAAAGTCATGAGGTACCCCCTTGTGGTTTTTGGTCGATTTTTGGTAATCCCAAAAAAAGTTGAGCAAAGGCGTCAAAAAGTAGGTACTAGACAAGAGCAATTGTATGGGGCTATTCTGGAGGTCTAAAATGGCTTCTAGCACGAGAAAACACGGCTCAAATGCATCTATATTTTGCTGTGTTTTACATAATTTTGAGCACTAGGAGACAATATTACTGTGTCAAGTGCCCGTATAGGGGCCTAATACCGTTGATGCAGACGTCAAGTACCTTGTACGACTCGTATTTATTGCTTTAGATAACTTATGAATATTTTTTCAGGTAATAATGGAACGTTGAGAAGTGAAACGGCAAAAAAAAAAAAAAAAAAAATGCCAGCATGAGTATCTTGAATCATCATTCGAAAACAGTACAGGTCATAGTCTTTAGGATGTCGCAAATAGCAACATTCCTTGTCAAGATCTTTATTTAATTAAAGTGTTGAAGTACTACCTAGCAACGCTGATTCAGGTCGAAGTTGCGCCGATTGTCAGTTCTTTAACGGGAGTATCTGGAGTCTCGGCAGCGGCAGCAGCAGCAGCAGCAGCATTACTGGCCCTTGCCAGTCTTATCTTCTCATTAAATTGAGCTGTTGAATTCACGTTGGGATAGGGTACATCAGGGATATCTTTACCAAGGAACTCGCAAAGCCCTTCCCAGCCTTCACCGAGCTTGAGACAGTACAATTGATTTGCAGGCACAATGCGCTTTATCTCTTCTATGTGGTTGTTATAATACTGTCTCATGAACTCTTGGTTCAAATACTTGTCATCATCTTCAATAATGCCCTCCAAAACTACCCTGAGAGACAGTCGTCTGAATGTATATCGAGGGTGATCAGGCTCGAGTTGAACCTTGGCGCGGATGACAGGATAAATGGTGTTTTGCATGGACTTGAACCACTCTTCAAAAGGTCTTTCAGTCAAGATAACTTTGGCGTCAGGGTACTTGGCAAAGAGGTGCTTCCAAAAATAAGCACCTGTGAAATCGGTAGTTACATCATAGCCAGCGTAGACCTTATCCCAGTCAGCTTTGTCTCTGTTCAAAGCTGCCTCGTAAAATGGTTTGCTTGTTTCGAATGTGGGATCTGCCAGCAATCTCTTCATATGATGGCAATTGTATCTACAACATGTGAATCAAGTGCTCACACAACAGACTTTTGTATTACCCTAGAATGTCCATGGCTTCACAGAAACTGCTAGTACCTGTACGTCCAAGACTTGCATTGATCACTTTGATCGGTGCCATATTGATATTTATTTTAGTGAAGACAAAAGCCAAAATGGAGGGTATTTATATAGGGAGCAAGTTGGTGATCAGCAGCAAAACCATGCCCAGAGATGTAGGCGCCCTTCGTAGGATTTACATTGTGCAATTGTTTATTGCGTGCAGACACAGGAATGTTTATAAGCAGGCCCCTCTCTCTATAGTGCTCCTTGAATGCATAATTATGTGCAATGCTCATCCATGGTGGCCAATACGATATAAGCTTACTATTTCACATACGGTGAATTACACAGAATCTAGAGGTTTATTTACAATAATTGCTAATCTACAGTCTAAGTCATAACGGTGCCTTCGCGAATGGATCTCTTGATGCGATCAGACATCATTCTATCTTTGCGTCCAATAAGTGATGTAGCTTTGCCTGTTTGACCGGCACGAGCAGTTCTACCCACGCGATGCAGATAATCCACCACAGAAGTAGGGAAATCGTATAAAATGACATGATCCACAAACGTTGTATCGATACCTCTGGATGCAATATCCGTACTAATCAACACATTATGATCCACATTGCCTCCTTCTTCACCTTCATTTGGCTTGGGTTGTGAAAACAGCTCCAGTGCTTCTGTGCGACTCATGGGAGCATCCTTATACAGTGCCAGGGCATGCAGGTTCTTGGTTTGCAGGAATTTATGCACTAGCTCTACTGATTTCTTGGTATTACAAAACACTAGTGTCTTGTCGTCCTTGATGTTCTTTTTCAATACTTCTAACAGTGCGAGCTGTCGGTTGCCTTGGAACCGCTGAAGATCCACAAACGATTGTTTCAGGTTGGGTAGCGCTTTGTGCAAAGAGGGTGTTGTGATCTTGACAAGATGAGGGAAAAGTGTGTCCAATGCATTGTGAACAGAGCGAGGTAACGTTGCTGATACCACAACGACTTTCTCGGGTTGCTTTGTCTTTTCGGCTGTTTCTTGCACACGTTTAATGATCTTTCGACAGTCATCTCCCCACCCAGCATCGAATAAGGAATCTGCTTCATCAATGATCAAATAGCGGGTGTCAGTCAAAGACAAGGTGCCGTCTTTTTGATAGGAAACAAGCGTTGTAGGTGTTGTCACTAAAATATCAATAGGCCCATTCGCAAGCAATTCAGAGACTTGGCTTCTGGGTGTTCGTCCTCCTAATCCCACAGCACGGAATTTGGTGACATGGCTCAATCCTTTACAGCTCTTCACCACCTGGCTAACCAACTCTCGAGTGGGTACCAACACGACAGCTCTGGGATGGTCCAACCGTCTCTTGACAAGACCTTTTGTCTTTTCATCGGCTTTCAGCATATCAATGGTAGGTAATAAGTAGGACAATGTCTTTCCTGATCCAGTCTCTGCTGCAACCAAAACATGCTTTTTGCGACGATCCAATAATTGTGGGATGGCTAATGCCTGAATCTCTGTAGGCTTCAAATTGTCTGTATTTCCCAATACAGTCTTGGCTGCTGTAACGGTTTCTGCACTAAGCTCTAAATCGTCAAAGGTTTGTGTGGCGAGGAATGCAGACAGCTGCTTTGCATTGCTGGGTTGCTTTTCAGTAACCAAGTCAGGGTTCTTTCTGGATAAGGTTGGCAATACACTGGGTTTGATCGTTTCCAATCTTCTTTTCACTGGAACGTATGGTGCATTTGTCTTGGGTTTGTTGGTTTTCAGTGCTGCCTTGAGTAGATCTCGGCGCTCACGACCATTGAGTCCATCAGGCTTCAAGTGCTTTGTTAATGAAGAGACATTGGGCTTGCGCAATGCTGAACGCTTGGAGCAAGCAATGGATGTTGCTGAAAATAAGCGGATACAAGACTCTAAACTAGAGCCCTTTGTTGCTGATTTGCTCAAGAGGAGAGTGTTCATACTCTTATGCAAAAAAAAAAAAAAAGATGTGAAGTGTGAGCCATGCTGAGGGATCCCCGAAATTAAGGTATTGTCAGAAAAAATGAAGGCGGACAATCATCAGCAATAGGAAAACCAGTCTTGAAGAGGAATCCTGCAGCATTTTTATACGATTCAGGAACACTACTTGAACATGGCAGGATGCTACATTTGTATTATATAGATTATCAGATTTATGATATAGATGCAGATATCACACATTTGTGAGCCCTCAAAGCTGAAACTGCGAGATGTAGAGTAGCCTCTGGGAAACACATCAGACATTGGGCAACCCTACTAGTCCGGAGAATACGGGTGATTCGATACTGCAAAAAAAAAAAAAAAAAAAAAAAAAAAAAAAAAAAAAAAAAAAAACTCTGTAACAGAGTATTACAATTATTTACGCTTTTGGAAAATTTCAACTACAAATCTACCCCTGAAGCATGAATCAATCACATTAGATGCTATGAAAATATATCAAATTTATAAAGTGAAGTACAATAAGAAAGGAATAGTAAAAAGTAATAGAAAAAGAGGGAGGGGGGGGGGGGGAACAGACGGACGGACAGCTAAAATAAAATAAAATTATAATAATAAGAAAATCAATGCGAAAGCTATAGTAAATAAGAAATGTAGAAAAAAAAAAAAGCAAAACTAAAAAAAAGAAATACAGATAAAAGGGATTATAGAAATATAGATGTAGAATAAGAAATAGAGAGAAAAAGTTAAAAAAAGGGGATATGATATAATTAATTATTGTGCATAGATTTGATTCAACCTCCAATCAACATTTTGTTGTTGTGTTTGTTGTTGTTGCTGTTGTTGCTGTTGTGGATTGTGAGGAAGATGAAGATGATGTTGTTGTTGATGGTGCTGAAGAAGCTTTCTATCTTGTTCAGTGGTATCCAACAGTGATCGAGTGACAGAGCTAAACAGGTCATCTGCAGTGGCGTCCAGCAAACTATCAGTTGACAAGAATTTGAAATCAGCAGGATAAGTATGCTGTTGTTGTTCTTGCAGATGAATAGGTTGGAATGAAGATGGCTGAGGTAACTGCTGCTGCTGCTGCTGTTGCTGTTGTTGAGTCAAGGGCATAAAAGGAGAGGAGAACGTAGCATAGCCAGGATTGTACATGGCAGCAGGGTGAGGTAATTTCATGGGAGGAGGTGAGCCAACAGAGGAAGGAGTCGTGTTGATGGAACCACTGCCAGTAGATTTTTCATTCTGAGATCTACCCCAAGATAGACGAATACGAGAATTACCAATCTGGTATCCATTCATCTGCTGAATCGCTAATTCAGCACTCGAACGAGACACATACTGAACAAATCCACACCCCTTTCCAGGAGGAATCTTGACATAAACAATCTCTCCAAAATGCTGAAAATATTGGCGCAACTCTTCCTCACGAATGGGGGCAGACAATCCACCCACAAACACAGTTGTATTGCTTTGCTGATTCATGGGCATCAAATCTTGTTTGATCAAAGGCGATTGAAGGTGTTGCAATAAAGGTGATTTGTTGGGAGAAGTCAAGAGTGAACAAGAAGATGGAGTTGAAACAGCCGTGCTTACAAATGTTTGTTGTTGTTGGTGATGATGTTGATGATGATGATGATGTTGTTGTTGTTGTTGTTGCAATTGTTGGAGTTGTAACTGTTGAAGCAATTGCAGCTGCTGCGATTGTGATTGCAACAAGGGCTGTAGCTGTGGTTGCTGCTGCGATTGTGATTGCAACAAGGGCTGTAGCTGTGGTTGCTGCTGCTGTTGCAGAGAAGATCTGTTCTTTGGTGTTGCAACAGAAACACGGATGGCACGAGAGCCGATAAAGTAGCCTTGCATTTCAATCAAAGCTCTTTGCTGATCCAACTGCTCTGCAAAACGAACAAAGCCATACCCACGGGTCATACCTGTTCTGGGGTCTGTCATGATCTTGGCAGACTTGCAAGACATGTATCGTGATTGAAACACTACTAAAAGATCCATCTCTGTCGTTTCAGGGCTCAAATCGCCCACAAAGATGGAGTATTCAGGCTGTCTGTCCTCTCTTCTGTCGATCAAGCCTCCGCCTGATGCCCAATTCAGTTTGAATGGTTTGAGCGAGTTTGGCATCAGCACGCCGTTGTAGTTGTTCATGACTCTTCTAGCAGCCGCCGCAGTACCAAAATCAACAAAGGCGTAGCCAGCACTGACACTATCCATGATTGTTACCAACACAGCATTTCACTCATAGCGCATTGTAATTTTACCCTGTCACCTTGTCTCGGATTACTTTAACCATCACTTTTTCGTTTAGATTGAACCATAGCTGCTGAATATAGACTTCGTCTTGCCACTGCTCAAGCTCTCCCATCCTACGCTATTGGATTAATTTCCAAGCTGTTTCTTTTTATTGAGTGTGTATTACCAAAGAGTTGTCTTTTGTTGTTCATTAGGAACCAGTTGAGAGTTCAACTCAAATGGATAAGACATGTAACGAAATAGAGAAGGCGATAAAAGTGTATAGTGCAAAAAGGGAAAAAAGAAGCTGAAAAATCCTTTTTTTTTTATATAAATGTATTAAAAAAAAAAGAGAAAAAAGAATGCGATAGAAGGAATATCAAAAAAAAAAAAAAAAAAAAAAAAAAATTTAGGACACCATGTTGGTGTCAGATAAATGAATCTCTATGGGTGGGAAAAATGTGTTGTCGTTTTTATGCTGCAACCTTGGACTTTTTAATGACGCGAGTAAATCCAAAATTGGATGTGTTGCTGTTGACCGCAGCAGAGCTGTTGCGTTTGCGCTTGTTGTTGTTGTTGTTGTTGTTGCGACATGGTGTGGATTTGATACATTTGTTGATAAATGTAACCGCTGCTTCTGTATTTAGATCAATGGCTCGTACGGGATCTATTTGAAAGGGAGACCTAAAGTCAAAGATTGTAAAGTATCGCAGCACAAGCAGCACATCAGACTGATGCTGGTGCTCAGTGCCATTCAGCGTCAAACAGAGGCTCTCGTTGGAGCATGTCGAGCTGTCAATCAGCTCCTTGACGGATTCGAAATTATCGGGCCAGAATGTGAATTGCTCGCTCAGAATGGCAATCACTGGCTTCTTGATTTGAACGTGCTTGTCCGCCATCATCATCAACGGCTGTGCCCATGGATCCAGCAGGACGCCGCACTGGAATCGCGTGTCTTTTTCATTCAATGTAAGCATCTACGTCAATGCTCAGTACACTCCATTGCATACAGTGCGCGCATCCATCTACTCACAGTAGTTGCTCCTCCAAAGCTATGGCCTGCCATCACCAAGGAATTCATGTCTAGTTTCCCTTTAAAGTGTGGGGCATTTGCATCATTCAGTCCCTCTAAAGCAATCGCATCGAGACCAGCGAGACACAGATCGACTTCTGACACGCGATGCCGAAGCTGATGGTGTCTGAATCCCCAAATTTCAGGAGGCACGTTATCGTACTGTATCCACTCATCGTCAATGCCCTTTGCTAGACTGGCAGAACCGTCTCTATGCTCAATAGCCACAACAACAAACCCATGGCTGGCTAGGTCAGAGCAGATGCTTGAATAAATCAGCCGATTGCCACCAAGACCATGCGAGAATACAATGACAGGGAAAGGCTTTTGTTGATCGTCTAGAATGTCTGCGTCCATGTAAAACCGTGTCTTCTTGATGGACGCTAAACCTGATAGCCAGTTGGATAGAAATGCTGGTAACTTTGCAATGTCGCACAATGCTGCCATGTATCTATTAGTTTTATTGCTTCTTGATTACATGAGGACAGGATCGTTACCTTTAGCATACTGAGAATGTGTAATCCAATTAGCTCTGACATCGCCCTTCTTTACGCTTGCAGGATAGTATAATCGCATGAGGACAGATTTTGCTGAGGGTTTGTTACTGTCATGATCGGTTGGCTTTTTGCTCTTCCATTCAATGTCATGACATCCAACTGCAAATCTGCCAGTTAAAGATGGAAAATTGGCTAATATTAAAGACATTTTTTTTTTATTGAATGGATGGTGAAGAAAGAAACAGAAACTCGTTTCACGTAATATAAAAAGGTTTATATATTGAGTCTCTTATTATGCCGAGTTCTTGTATCACTTTCAATCAATGTCAGATGAACCCATTGAAAAAGTCCTCCTTACGGCTTCAGATCGGTCAAGGATACCTGCTTGCCCTGAGTCGTGTATGTTTAAAGAGAGATCAGTGAACACACAAAGGTCATTTATAACATATAAAAAAAAACAAGGGTTCGATGGCGCATTGTATTCCATCGATTTGGAGCCCTGAATCTAGACAGGGTAAACAGAATCAATAGAATGAATCATCTTTATAGCACTGCTTATCTATGATTTCAATTGAAACTTGTCTGTGTTCATTGAGTAATGAATTCGAGATGCAACGATGATATAATAGCTTGCTGATATGCATCACGTGTTAAAGCAAATGGCTAGCAACGGACATTTGCATCTATAAAAACATATTTTGGTGACATTACGGTTAACTGGTATATAAATATTCACGGTGCGTGATGAAAGATAGCTTAATACACTCACAAGTGTGTATGCATGTGCGAAATGTATACTTTCTTTTCTAATGTAAATGGATTTCGTAGCAAGTGCCATGCATAAATTATGCTGGTCGAGCCTATGCCTCATATCTAGAACTTTGCTTTACTATCCCAGATTTACACCTTGCAATAGTTGCCGCTACCAAATACCGATATGAAGATGCAACTGTGCATGTCTCTCGCATGTGAAAAGATAACGCTCAGTGAACCGAGGGAGACGTTATTATCGCTTACTCCAACAAGTAGCAAATTAGTGGCCTCACAGAAGAAAAAGCATCTCGGCACAGTTGTCTTTTTGTATGATTGCGGTCATAGCTGATCATTCGGCCGTTTTTGTCTTTTTTTTTTTTTTTTTTTTTTTTTTTTTAGACAGATACCAACTAGGCTCTAGATTATTTCATGAATTCCATGTAATTACATGCATGACGAATGATGTTGGGTGCATATTAAATTCATTTTACCTTGCAATTGACAGAAACTTGGTATATACTGTATACAGTAGATTCAGACTATCGACAGCGTCTAAAATGTCCAGCCTGCCTTACAGCCGTCATCACCTCACTAATAAGCTGTATCATTGTGCTATAGTACAACGATACAGTAGTGCCACTCAACCTAATATTTTCAGCTGACTATGTGTATGTATCAGTATGCTTTAAATCTAGATCAATGCATACAATGTCTTTACGTCTTTATGTCACAGCAAAAGGCGACTATTGACAAGCAAATGTAGGAGACACAGCCAAATTTGGCAGCCTTCAAGCCTTCATATCTTGACATGCAGGCCTTTCTGAGCCACCTGAATGACACCAAACAATTGTACTCGAGTAGCAGCAACTTCGTGATACCTTTGCTTAGTTATTTGGGTTCCCAAAAAGCTGAGCAAAAGATGTCAGAAAGTAACTGCCAGACGAGAGCAACTGTTTGCTGCTATTCTGACAATCTAAAACGGCCGTGAACGCGAGAAAACGCAGCTCAAATGCGCTCAGATTTTGCTGTATCAGAGACACTAACGACTAAAAAGGGGAAATACCAGTATGCTACTTGCCTGTATATGAAGTAGCTACGTGTATATGGGCGCAGAGCATCACATAATAATCAGATCCACAGATAATATAGGACGGCATGCACTAGGCCACTGGCTTACTACATACCAGCTTTGATTTACAAACATTTTAGTTATCAGTGCATAAAAATACGCAGCTGGCTCCATCTAGGCCGTTTGCATACCCGTTGCAATCTCAAAGTTGCAATTTCATCAGCCTGGACAAACGCATTCGCACTAATTATCTTAACCACTTCAGAGTTTCAAAATAGCAGCATCAAGTTGAAATGGAAGAATGACCAAACCCATCAAAGTATATCACCTGTAAATGCATGACATTTACATATTAAAGCGCACATCTACTTGTTGGGTTGTTGAAGATGAAGTCTTTTAACCTGTGAAAAAGCGATAAAAGTGAATGGACGTTCAAAATCCAACAAGTAAATCTGACATGATCCGCAGATCTTTGGTGGTTTGCTTTCTAACATAAGAAGTGTAATTTAATAAGCATATCGTGTATATGATTTGTTGTTTTTACAGTAGTAGGATAAATAACACATAATAAAAAAAAAGGATCAAGAGGAAGAGGAAGAGATGGGAACGCTGAGAAAAAGGAGAGTGCTTTCATTTTTTTTTTTGTAATTTGCTTAAGCCAAACCAGCATCCTTCATAGCTTGAAGCAAGGTAGTACCCAACTTGGCAGGAGAGGGAGTGACATGAACACCGGCACGCTCCAAAGCCTTGATCTTATCGCCAGCACCACCCTTACCACCGGAAATAATGGCACCAGCATGACCTATTGTTGAACATGTTAATTAAGACATATCAAACCTTGCTGATTATCTCCACTTACCCATTCTACGGCCAGGAGGAGCAGTCAAACCAGCAATGAAAGAGACGACGGGCTTGGGAACATCTCTGGACAAGTTGTATTGGGTCAAGAATTCAGCAGCTTCTTCTTCGGCAGTACCACCAATTTCACCAATCATGATAATACCTGCAAAATCGCAATTTAGCTACCTTACCCTGTATCATGGACGCTCTTTTCTGATCACTTACCCTCAGTTTCATCATCTTCCAAGAAGACCTTGAGACAGTCAATGAAGTTGGAACCGTTCAAAGGATCACCACCAATGCCAACACACAAGGTTTGACCGAGATCAACATCAGTAGTTTGTTGAACGGCCTCATAAGTCAAGGTACCGGAACGAGAAACGATACCAACCTTACCACGCTTCAAGATGGAACCAGGCATAATACCAATCTTACATTGCTCGGCAGAGATCATACCAGGACAGTTGGGACCGACCAAACGAGTCTTGCTTTGAGTCATCAAAGCTTGCTTGACACGGATCATGTCATGTTGAGGAATACCTTCAGTGATAGCAACGACCAAAGGGATTTCAGCCTCAATAGCATCCAAAACAGCTTGAGCAGCGGCGGGAGGAGGAACGTAGATGACACTAGCATCAGCCTTGGTAGCTTCAGCAGCCTATCAAACATGTTGTTTTTCAGTCTAAAAGTTTTCCTTTTTGATTTCAATCATGAAATTTACCTCACGGACAGTACCGAAAACAGGGAGACCGAGATGGGTTTGACCAGCCTTCTTGGGGGAGACACCACCAACCATCTTGGTACCATACTCGATGGCTTGTTGAGAGTGGAAAGTACCCTATTCCATCGATAGATTGAATAAGCATTCCAAACACGTAAACTTCATATTTTCCCAGCGAAATGTTTCCCCACAAATATCCCACACTCCATGTTGAAAATGGACACCCGACATTTCACGAAAGATAGATCATTTACCTGTTTACCGGTGAAGCCTTGACAGATGACCTTGGTATCCTTGTTAATCAACAAGTTCTTGTAGGTAGACTCATAACCACCTTGGTTAGAATAGGTACGACGAGCAACTAATCAAAGAAATGGCATCAATACATTTGGTTGAGGGGGGGGGGGGAACATGTGGATGCTAGGCAACACATCATTCGTTGCCATGGTGATATGCATCTAGATGGAGATGTTACCATTGAGGGTTGAACGTAAAACAGAGGAGGCCTTGGTAGCTGAGAACATTTTGTATAGATAAAGATGAAAGAAAGAAAAGAAGCAAGAAAGCGAGGACGAAAAGAAAAAAGAAGCTCTCTTTTAATCAGGGGGAATTTAATAGGGTAAAAAGGTGGAGAAAGCCCTTCTAAACGTTAAACTTTCAAGGTGACGTTGGAAAAATTTCCTACTAGGTTCATTTGGAAGGCAGATGTTGAAGGAAAGCCTATGGTAGCACTGCCCTGTTCATCCGGGAAAACTCGGGCTTCAACTCGAGAATTTGCCCTCTCTTTTCCCAGTTTTTCTTCAAGGCCCTCCATTGTAATATGTGTAGGAGGTTCAATCAGTGATTTTTAAGTAAGATTTTATTTTTTTCGCACTGTTATTAACCTTTTGATACACGTGAAAATGAGTGTGATCTTTTCAAAAGAAATGCCACAATCTTCTCTGACTAGTCAAGATGATCAATCATCGCTTTGCATGGAGAAATTTGATAACCCACCTCGCACATTGTACGATGAAATAGGTCAACAGGAGCAAGATTTCAGTGTAAATATCATAAATTTTTTTTAGTTTAATCGGTAAATCAATAGGAACGATTCATTAAAATACATTTTCATTTAGTCAGCAGCACCACCACAACATGTAAAAGAGGAGCAAGCAAGAGTGAATTAGACTTCAATCTGACCCCTTGTTTGACAATGTTTTATAGGACGAAGATTGGAAGAGCTTGGTATTCAGGCTTCAAATCGAAAATACAAGCTTAGTTAATTCTCTACATGAGACCAACAGCAATTTAATGCAATCGAGACGTGAGAAAGAAGATTTGGAGGAATTCATACAACGACAGACGGAAACAACCGATAAAATTGTGTCCCGATTGAAAGATACAATGACAAATCTGATTGAGAACCAAAAGGTGAGTAGCCCACATTCATTTGAGTATCCTCATGAATAACAGGATGCTTTTAGAACATCAAGTTGGGTGACCATTATGACCAGCTGATTCAAGAGAAAGATAATCAGATATTAGATTTGATCTTTCAAAAGCAATATTTGTTGATGGAAAATGAGGCTCTCAAAGAAAGGTATGGTAATTTTGATTTGCATCAGGTTGAGATGTTGGTTATTAATCCCGAATACTGTAGTCAGCAGGAGATCAATGAGTATTACGGCATCTTGCCTAGAGAGCCCACTAATCCATTGTTTAAATTACGGTCTTGTGTATATGCCCTAATAGCTGTACAGCGATTTATCAGAAAGAATCAAGAATAAACATAGCAATAGACTCGATACGCACCCAGGCTGGACCTCTTCCCTTGGCCAAAATAACAAAATGATTGGATCTAACAAAGAGCTTGCACATTTTCGTAGGCTTAGGATCACGGGAAAGTGATAGTACATAATCTAGATGATTCTCTTCACTACCTATTCAACAAGTGGGGGGGGGGGTGTAAATCAGGATCTACATGGTTTGTTTAGGTTTCCTGAGAATATAACCCAAGTTATGTAGTGTGAGACCTTGATTGCTACCGTATTCTTAAAGTCACTCTGCTCAATGGCTGTACTGGAGGTGGCTGCTCAGATGTCCATGATAACCAACAAGTAGAAATCAGGCTTCAGAAACAAATTGTGTTCAAACACTATATGCTTTACTTTGGTTGCAGGAAATAGCGGATAATGAGGGTATTCTTCAGAATGCTAAATAAGGCTTTTGCAAACTGTGGTCAGATCAGATATTGATTTGTCTGACGTTAATGATAAAGAGCATCTCAGGCATCTCAGGCACAGCTTATTACTCTTCTCCGGTACCAAATTTATGCATTACGTTATATACTAGTCCACTTCTATGGCAAGAGAAATATATTTAACAGAAAAATATGTAGGTGTAGAGTATATGAAAGTGTATACAGTTGGATTATAGTTATTTGTACAATTTTAAAGCTTTTCTTTCAGTAGCTGATCCTTACGATTATACCAGCGAACAACCTCCTCATAAATGGTCCACGAAATTGCAGAGTTCAATGGCTTACGGATCAATCTGACACTGATACCGTCAAAGAATCCCATAAGGCCTTCCTCCATGTACACTTTTTTGGCTGATTGAATCAGGTTCTTGTACATCATTGGCTTTAGTTGCATACGGGTTTTCAGCATGTCAAATGGCTGTGTTGTACAAGTAGCTGCCATACCGGCTGCAACTCCCGATCCCATATTGATTACTGCATTAGCTACGGGGATACTATGACTCACAGCATAATCTATTTTCGTCATGATGTTAGCTGCTGTTGCTACGCATATTTGCTTTTGCACTATACCGTTAGCCCATGTCTTGCATCCCTCGTAAAAGAACAAGTATATGCCAGCAAAAGGAGCATCGCGAATAAATGTTGCGCCATAGCCAGCGAATAATCCTATTGTGATCCGATAAGCAATGTTGCCGATTCATGCAACCAACGTCAAGTACCTCGAACACCGTCTGTTTTAATGATTGATTTGAAAGCTTGATTCATGCTGGTATAGTTGTAAAAATTACTCTACACAATCGTAAGCAATCTATACGCTTCATTCCTCTTGACATGCCATCCTCACCTCGTATCTCACTTTGACGACTGTGATAGGCATCATCACGTAGCCCACTGCGCCTCTGGCCGCAGATCCTGAGAACAAATTCTCCCATCGTTGATGCTCAGCAGTTGGAAGGCCATTGGACCCTGATTTGTTTAGTATTGGTTGCCATGTACCCCTCGTTTTCGCTAATATTTCACGTATCTCGGATAAAGCAAAGAAATACAATGCAGAGCCCGGAACATTTCTGATAATCACAAAGACAGGGTGTTAATATTTACCATATAAAGGTCATTATGCACATTGTACCTCATAATGGTGGGCACAGTGCCTCGCCATAATCCACTATAGCCATTGCTGTGAACAATGTCCTTGATGGTAGAGTAGATGTTGCTATAGACAAAGGTTAGCTATAGGCAATCGCGCAGTACATTGTATACAAACCTCTTTTGCGGTGATACCTTGAGACCTTTGCTTTTGGCTTCTTTCAAAAATGCGAGGTGATCTTGTCGCTGTTGTTGTAAACGAGTTTTTATCAAGTCCAAAGGCTGCAGTGCAGTGCATGCTACCATCCCAGACAGAGCACCGCCTGTCAAATGTAGCGCAGGGTTCTTTTTGTCGACTTTGCTCATGCGTTTTCTATGTAGGCAAGGTTTGAAAGAAAGAAACAAAAGAAGAAAGATGTAAATAAATATTTTATGTAAATCGGCCTGGGGCTGCCAACAGAAATTCTTGATTTTCATGTAAGATTGTTTACCAATCACATTCACTTCTCACGCATTTTTGACAGCCATCTATTATAGACGAACATGGATGAGTTGATTGTGGATCAAGAGGCAGCCTTCCTAGGTTTGATTTATCCATTGCAAGTAAAGAATTCGGTAGTTTGTCAGAGATATAACTATCGTGGTGATAGGTTATATGCTCGATTTTTTGGGCTGTTTGCATTGATAGCCCTTGCTGAGGTGCAATGCATGCCTAAAGAAGCTCAAAGTCGACCATCAGTGGATCATGCATAGTCTTTTAAAGCACACTCGAGTATCTCGCGAATCCATTGGTGTAGAAATGGAAATTTCATATATTTGCTTGGCAAATATCTCCAACAATTGCTCAGCTTAGATCTGAGAACGTTCTTAGGATGCAGTGCAGAATCAAACTTCCTGTCAAACAATCACGCTCATCAAAAATAAACGCCGAAGAGCACTTTGGAGCTGATCAAGTCAGTGCCTTCAAACCATTCAGCGTGAGAAATGCACACACGATGCAACTGATCTAGGTACGCAGCCAGTCGAGTATACTACTCAATTCCTAAGCAACGTGTCATCCTCTGAAGATTGAAACACTTGTTTGCAACAGCATTGAGCGTATTCGTCAGAGTGTCCTCATCCACTAACCCTAGTCTAGATGTGAGTCCATTTTTCAAACCAAATCTTAATGTCACATCGTATCATGTTGAACTTTTATACTATAAGCAAACCCTAAAATATCTAAAAATACAAATTTACAATAGCATGCAAATCAGCAAGAGGAATCTAGACACACACAAATACACCAAGTCGGAGAAAAAAAAACGTGAACATAGTTACACTGTGATTTATTATTAGAAAATCGCATTTGCAGCTTGACTACCGACTAGATTCAGTAAAAAAAAAAAAAAAAAAAAAGTGAGTATGGAGACGATCCACAGATACCATGTAGCAACTTACTTGTAGCACCGAAACCCCACATGGCTGCCGTTCCTACCTGCTTACCAAACTTGGAGCCCATGGTCTTTACCTTACTTTCACTGCCGCCTTCTCCATGCTGTTCATTGCTATTTGCAACCACAGGTACAGCTGCTGGTTGGCCATAAGCTTGGATAGGTGGTTGAGCGGGTGGAGGTGTATACATGGCCGTTGGAGGAGGAGGATAACTGTATGGCATTGTGGTATTATTCATGGGAGCGTGTTGCTGTGGAGGGGTATTGGATGTACTGCTGCTGGTTGAAAATGATGGCTTGGCTGCTGTGGGTGGGACCCAGGGGCGTTTGGCTTTGATAGGAGGTCTATTTGCAAATGAAATAAAAGGAGAAGGTAAATACGCTTGTTTGCAATTACATAAAAATAAGATCTAAACTTACGGTATCTTTTTTACATGATTTTGAGGAAAGATGCCTGATTTTCCATTCACTGATCCCTTCCACCAATCATCATTTACTAATTGCAGCTAGAGTTAATAAAACAATCACTCTAATGTATGTGCAAACATACCATATTCAGTAACTTCTATGATATCGCCTTGTCTGAAAGATAAATCTGTAGAAGGGTCTTCCCCTTTGTAATCATATAAAGCTTCAGCAGTGGCTAATGATGGAGGCTCTGTAGTGGGTTTTTGAGTATAAGCAGGAGGAGGAGGCGTGGATTTCTCTGGCTCAGAGTGCAAGATATTCTTTGTTACTGATGGCATGACCATGCCCACTAACTGTTGTGGTGCTTGGTGATGTTGCTGTTGTGGTGATTGCCAATCAGGTGTACGTCTTGCAGGTAGCTTAGGGAAAGAAGGCATCTCACGAGGCTGGATTACCGGCGGGTTAATGCTATTAGTTGTAGAGCTCGTTGATTTGCGAGTCGGTAAAGGAGGTTTTGATGTGTCTGCTGTGCTGCTTTGGTTACTGATGCGATTTGGTAGCATGGCCACCACATCTCTATATGTTTGATGTGGCAGGAAATTATTATCCTTCAGAAACGACAGATCTTTGAGGATGGACTCCAATACATGGTTAGCAACATTGACTTCGCTCATGATATAACTAAATTTTTGATGATGAAAAAAAAAGGGTAAAAGAAGAAAGAAAGCCAAATGTATTTCGTTTTGAACCTGCAATCTATTTATACCTACGAAACCTGGCTTTGAATTTGACAAGCTTTCGTTTTATGATAGGCCTTCCATTTAAAAGGCATAGCATTGAACTGATGATAGTGTGGATGGCTATACAGAAGCCAATTTAATGAATATTCAAACCTGAACTGATATGAACATCATCTGTTTCTTGAATGTCTGTTTCAGTAGAGTGTGGCGAATGGCATTGCTGGCATTTCCATGAGGAAAAAGGTGACGTTCGTGAGTGATCATGGTATGTTGGTGGTGTGAAATCTGCATTAAAACATTTCAGGCCTTCTGATTCTCGTTTTTGCTCTTTTCTTCCCACTATTTTATCTTTTTAACAAGTGAAAAAAATTCTTTATACAAGAAAAAAGAAATTAAATTCTCTTTTTTTTTTTTTTTTTTTTTTCTTTTTTTCCATTAAATACTCTCACCTTTTGACATAAAAAAAAAAAAAAACTAAAAAAAAAATATATATATATAAGAACCCACAAAAACGCACATTTGTGAATCAGCTATTCTATCAGTTATATTCACCATTAAATCCATACATCTCAGAAAAGCCCAAAAAAAAAATAAACCCATTACACCAAAGTTCCCCCCCCCCTTTTTTTTAGATTTTTTTCTTTTGTTACAAGGACGAAAATTTTTTTTCATAACAAATCAACAATAACAACAAAGCAATATCCAACATCAAATGTCTTCTCAAGAAAATTTAAACAATGGCTCGCCTATTGTAAACAATGAAACACCCTCTCCCTCCGTCACTGCTGCTCCCAATGCCGCTGCTTCCGCCTCTGATTTGACCGAGCAACAACAGCAGCAAGCGAGCGGCACTCCTCCTCTCACAACTGCTCCATCACCCTCCGCTTCTTTGTATGTCGGTGAACTCGATCCTTCAGTTACCGAAGCCATGCTCTTTGAAATGTTCAATATGATTGGCCCCGTTGCCAGTATTCGTGTTTGCAGAGATGCAGTAACCAGACGATCATTGGGTTACGCCTATGTCAACTTTCATAATTTGGTGGATGGTAAATATCACTATTGTATACACTATGCTCATCGACTAGAAACATAATGCCTTGATGTATTTCACCTAGCTGAACGCGCTCTCGAGGCATTAAACTACAGTTTAATCAAAGGGCGTGCCTGTCGTATCATGTGGTCTCAGCGTGATCCTGCTCTTCGTAAAACCGGCAATGGAAACATCTTTATCAAGAATTTGGATCCTACCATCGATAACAAGGCCCTTCACGATACATTTTCTGCATTTGGCAACATTTTATCATGCAAAATCGCACAAGACGAGGAAGGCAAATCAAAGGGATATGGGTTTGTTCACTACGAAACTGAAGAGGCGGCTGACAATGCCATCAAGCACGTCAATGGTATGCTTTTGAATGACAGAAAAGTGTAGGTTTTGCGTCTTCTTAAGTGTGATCACACATGGCTGACTTGCAGTAATAGGTTTGTGGGTCATCATATTCCTCGCAAAGAACGTCAATCTAAGATTGAAGAGATTCGTTCTCAATTCACCAATGTTTATGTCAAGAATCTGGCAGAGGACGTTACAGATGAGGATCTCAGTGCTACGTTTGGGAAATACGGTCCCATCACATCCGCTGTTATTACTCGAGACAACGAAGGCAAATCTCGTGGCTTTGGCTTTGTCAATTTTGAGGATCACGATGACGCCAGTCGCGCGGTAGACGCTCTTAATGACACAGAGTATCACGGCCAACAATTGTACGTCTCTCGTGCACAAAAGAAGAATGAACGTGAGGAAGAATTGCGTCGTCAATACGAGCAAGCTAAACTCGAGAAACTTAGCAAATATCAAGGTGTGAATCTCTATGTCAAGAATTTGGATGATGATGTGGATGATGACCGTATTCGTCAAGAGTTTTCTGTCTACGGTGTCATTACCTCTGCCAAGATTATGCGTGATGAAAAGACAGGTGCTAGCCGTGGTTTTGGCTTTGTTTGCTTCTCATCTCCTGAAGAAGCTACTCGTGCTGTTACTGAAATGAACGGCCGTATGTTGGGTTCCAAGCCAATTTACGTTGCTCTTGCTCAACGTAAAGAGGTGCGTCGCTCTCAATTGGAGATTCAAATGGCTCAACGCAATCAAATGCGTGGGATGGGTATGGGCGCTGGTGCGCCTGGTGGATATATGCCTGGTGCTCCCATGTTCTATGCTCCTCCTGGTGGCTTCATGCCTCCGCAAGGTCAGCGCCCTGTGTTCCCTCAAGGACAGATGATGCCTCGACCCAGATGGGCTCAACAACAAGGCTATCCTCCTCAACCTATGCCTCAAGGTTATCCTCCCATGCAAAGACCTCCTCGTGGCCCTCGCCCTCCTCGTGGTGGCCATGCAGCCAGCAGAGGTGGTTATCGTGGTGGCCCAGGTGTTGACAGACCTGAGGAAGCTCAACAACAAGAAGGTGAAGTAACCGGTAATGATTTAGACGGTCAACCTCAGCCTTTGACTGCAAGCTCTCTTGCCGCTGCTGCCCCAGAAGTACAAAAGCAAATGCTTGGTGAGAGATTGTATCCCTTGATCACTGAACAGGAACCTGAATATGCTGGTAAAATCACTGGTATGCTATTGGAGATGGACAACACAGAGCTTTTGCATTTGGTTGAAGATAAAGAGGCTTTGCATCAAAAGGTTCAACAAGCAATGGATGTTCTCAAACAACATTTAGCTGCTAAAGATGAGTAATTGATCTTTGCTCATGCCCTTTCTCTATTCAATTGAAAAAAAAAAAGGAAATAAAAATTTTGCCATTTTTGTTGAAATGATTGATATGCCTTACTCCATTTATAAATATACATCTATTTGAGTTCAAGGAATACTTGAGTCTACAATCTGCCTGTGCCGACCTACAATGGCTCTTAGTGGCAAACCCACACAAACTTCACGAACCTAGTCCTCTTATTTGCTCAATAGTCGTTTATAATGAATATTTGCACCTTTTGATCGCTTTAGCGTGCCATTTTCAGTAGTAACTTTTGCTCCTACTTTATACCAAACTTGTACAGAATTGAAATGCGTATCGAATGGTACTACTCTTGATAGTCATCCCACAACTCTATTAGACAAGCCAATTTTTCAAATATCTTAAGGGTTTTCACAGAAAAGCATGTATCAAGTCTGAACCAGCTTACTTGCATTAGTATTCATTAGGTAGACCTACAAGCTACCTATCGCTTGTGGTTTAACTCGAAGCTATAATAATTTATCGGAAATAAATTATTTAAGAAAAAAAAAAAATATGAAATTAATTACATAAATAATCTGGAAACAAGAGGGTTATATAATATTATTCGAAATGAGGGATATGACGTGAAAATAAGGTGCTAGTTGGGTTGATTTGGGTGATACGATACGAGATCCGATTCTAATTTCTTGAACGTGCCGTAACTGGAATCACAGCTGAATCCAGCTTCATGCCAATTTTTTTGATCGGATGTGATCTATGCTTAAACTGAGTGTTTCCTCGCATGTAGAGATCCAGTTTATAAAAAATGTTACATCATATAAAGTTTCATCTATTATCTACAGCTACCGATAGGTCAGCCCCTGCCAATTTGTCAAAAAAAAACACAATCGCTTAAGGCTAGCTTTTGCTACAGTGGCACATACTATATTCCTTTTGCGCATTGCTAATATTAACACCATGCCCTAAAATTCTTTGAGTTTAGCACCACATGGACGTTTCCATGAAATTATTCAGAAAAGCTTATTGTTCTTTCACAAAGCAAGCTGCAACTGTCTAGTTCTAAAAGCAAGATTCTCCATCATGTCAAGTATCTATTGATAACTTGAAACCAGCAAGTTAGTATGGCCCTTTTCGTACGCTCCGATTTTTAAAATGCTCCGTCAAATTCATACTTGTGTGGTGTACACGTTCAGAAGGTCAACTGGGCTTCAATTTATATTGTTCTGAATGATGATCCATGGGATTCCAAAATCTATCGACCTTAAATTACGCGTTTTTTGATAGTAAACACCCCTTTAAACTTATACAAAACTTGTAGAGAATTTAAAGGAGAATGCAATGGTACCCGTATCAAGTGTTTGCTCTACATTATTCAACTGATATTTGATAAGTTAAATTTTGCAATTTTTTCACAGTTTTCTAAAGATTAGTCAGTCTCTGTCATTAAAACATTTTGTTAAGCTTTACTAAACATTGTAGACCAAAAAATGTGCTATCGAATGAGCTATCGCTTGAAACTCTGGCATAACTCTATCATGAAATATTGACAACATTGTCCTGACCAAAAAATCGTCACCAGATTTTTTGCTTGCTACCACAGGCAGATTTTGAAGAAAAATCAATGATTTTGCATGATAGCCTTTTTTTGATCATATCTCGACAAAACCTCGCTGGATTCGCACAGAACAAAGACCATTCAATAGATCTACGTTATATCCATTATAATATAAGAAATTTAAGTACCAGATGTACGTTCCCTTTATGAATTTGTTGAAAATCTTATATTTTATGAGCTACAAGCAGGGGATATTCATTTTTTTTTTTACTTATTTATCTATAATAACCATACCATCGTATAGAAAATTGAAAAACAAACAGAAGCTATTAAGCTTGAAGCTCTCGTTCACTTTGTAAAATCTAGCGGTATGGCACTTTGAAAATCGGTCGTCATTACTCATCGACATTGCCCTACTCAGTCAAAGTTGTACCCTCTACAACTTTTACTACACATACATCCCACATTCATATATTGATTTATAAAATTTTACTAGCAGCATCTATTCAAAATGAACTATTTTCTAAAATCCTTCTTTTCTCAACAACCATGCTACCTACGCAAATTTGGTTTGCACCATCGTATTCTCGACAAAAGCGGGGTTCCAAATCGGAATCCGAAATGAGAATTGAAGTTGGAAAATTGTCTGAGCTGTTTTAAATATTTCCTTTTTTAGGTTTAAATAGAAGAAGCTTTATGTGTTTTCTTTATCATCTTTTCAAAATTATTACAGTACATTATTCAGAACATTGAGTATAGGGTTCATATTAGCCATTACTGCAAGGTATTTAATCAAAAGCACGTCTATTATAGAATAGGATCTGTACGGAGGACTGTGGAGACCAATTTGAAAACACCACGCTATACAGCAGAGAAAAATATGTAATAAATAACTGAAGCTCTTCTCAAATGGCATACAGCAGCCTAGGGGTAGAATAAGGACATTCATAGCTTATTGTTAAAAAAAAACAAAAGCAATAATCTATGTAAATCAATCAAAATGACCTGTTGCGGAGCCCATGAGCCTGGCTCAAGAGTAGGCATGCTTTCTATATTTTTAAACCACAATGTGCGTGCAGCATCTGATTTAGTTGGATTGCTCACTGTACAGTAATACAGTTAGTTTCGAGTGCAGTGGATGGGGAATGGCAACCGCCAGTACTTTTTTGATTTGATGAACGGCCTCCATCGCATTTACTGCTACTAGTAGAAAATAATTCGTCATGCTTACCCTGTATGATCACTAATTATTAATTTAATTATCGTTAATCAAGATTGCAATATTCAAACATCCGAATAATGTAGTGCATCTGAGAAAAACGGTAATATATCTATACTGTTGCTGTAATCGTATGATCATGTCAACACACTTTCCCATAAAGATGCTACTGAAATACTTGCCTAGACAGACGTAAATTGTAAAAGTATATATTACAGAATCAGGTACGCCAGCTTCTGTGGCTACTTTTTAAAATCCTCAAACCAAAGGGTATAAAAAGTAATCATAATTGACAGCAGGCTCCAGGGATTTTCACCCTTACTACAGCTAACCATGAATGAGTTAGGTGTTCATGGGGTTTCTCAGCTGCTTTCATTTACTCCACTTTCTTGCAATACGGCGCATCGGCTTTGATCTACTTGTGTCATCTATTGCTACACATGTCTGCGGATGCTTAAATCAGAGCCTTTCTTGCCTTAGGATTCTTCAAAAGAACAGTTCAATTAGTCATCTGAATTTATGCAAAAACAGAGTTTCGAAATTAAATTGAGTCCTTTATTATTCATGAAGCAAGACCAAAGAGTAACAGATATGAATAAAAGAGTGAGCAAGTGAGTGAAAGAGTGGGAGAGTTATCTTTTTATAATCCTTCAAGTGTTTATCTACAATACAACCACAATGGACGACGAGTTGCAAATCAGAGGAGATGTTGTGTATTTACCATTATTGTTCTCCAGGTCTTTTGGCATTACAAGCAACAATTTTGACTTTATCAGCAGAGACGTTGTCTTGATCAAATTTGAAATTGGGGTTCTCAATTATAAATGTCCAAACTTCATCACAGAAACGATAAGTATGCAAATGGCCCTACACATTTTTGTTTTTTTTTTTAATAATGCATTTTCCCTCTCCCATGTACTCATAAAAACCTTTATGTTTGCTTTATTTCTAACAAGTTGTGAAAGTGCTTCAGAGATACTTCTATCAAACGTCATCAACACACGCATGGCTAATTGAGGGTTGATATGTCCACTTTGAATCAATTCATCTAAAGAATCGGTCAAAGCCATACCGATGCTAGATTAGATCGTACAAATTAGTGAATACTAGCTCTCTCAACATGGTTTTCATTACAAGGCCAAGCACAATCGTGTTTGTATCCTATTCAGCTTACCTCGAACGACGATATAACTCATAAAATGGTGTGCTGGACATGGTTAAAGAGCTTGTTTAAAGAAAACTTGCTCCCACTATTTATAGGAGGGGCTTGGCACAACATTCGAGCCAATCAATGTTATGATACTAGTGACGTACTACTTGTTTTTTTTCACTAGATTATAAATAAGCGAGTTGATTTGGAACCATTGTCTTTCATTTCATTAGTATTATTTTTATTCAGTTTTCATTGTCATTCATTACAGAGAGTGTCGCAGCAACGGAAGCTTTGGAAGAAGCAAGTTTCCTTAATTGATCCAACTCCAATTGCATTCGACTTAACTTTTCATCCTTCAATTGAGAATCTGTTTTCAGTCGAACAATGTACTCATACGAATGCTGCAGTAATAACACTTTGCTCATGAATTTAACTTGCTTTTCCTTCTCTTCTCGTACCTTTTGCGCAGGTTGGCCCGAGTCTAGGATGAGAATGTCTGCAATTTCCTCTCGCAGCGAGTCGAATCCTTCTTTCAGTGTATCTCTTCGCTTTTGTTCGGCTACTTTATGTGCACATCGACGAGTCTCTAACCGTACAGGTTGTGGTTGTGTCATTATGTTGAGGTCTGGCTGTAGGAAAGGCGAAAGCAAGGGCTTCAAGACTCTGGGTGATCGAGTGTAGGGATGTGGAGATGAAGGTGCTAATTTTCTCTTTTTTGCAATTGCGGGTTGAGGATGAACAAACGTAGGGATTGGCGTTTGTACAGGCGACCCTTTCTGTGTACTGCAAGATTTGGTGTCAATATTGGGTGCGATGGCTTTGTTATGAATTGGATAATTCATGTTCATCAGAGAGGCTGGGGTAGCTGGTGTAGCTGAAAGACCGATGTCTTGTAGTTGCTTTGATGATGGACCAGCATGAGCAATTTTCTGTAGGAAACTCGATGGGTTGTCATTTGATATTGGAGAGTGAGGTGCAAACGCATTTTGAAAGCTTCCAAATGGACTGTTTCGATAAGAGGGATTTAACGAAGTCATTGACATTTGATCTCGTAGCCTCTTTTGTTGAGCTTCTATTTGGGCAAGCTGTTGATGGAGCAATCTTGTTGACTCATTCGTGATAGCATCCTTACTGACGCCATTGTGAATCTGATGGCAGTGCTGAGGCGTGGGCGGCAATGCTGGTGAACTGAGAGGCGAGAAACATGGATCGTTGCATTGGGTGGTTTGCAGTGGGTGAATCACATTACTCTTTGGGGTAACTGGTGATACAAGATGAGCGGGGAGCGCCTATGGCAATCCAGGGAATAGAGTTAATTCTCTGATGTTTCGTTTATCAAGAAGCTTTACCTGATAATTCATTTGTTGAGGGCATATGAACGAATCTGCTAGGCTGGGTGATGGTGCGCTGTCTTGAAGAAAAGTCATGTTGAACACTGCTGTGGTATCAGAAAAGGCGACGAGGCTTTGAATCTTGTTGTCTGGTGATGGCACATGTATGTTACTCAACTCAACACTACTCTCACTAAAGTCCAAGGAATTTTCATTTGAAATAAGCTCATCAAATAAGTCATAGGTTATCTCGAGATGTTGGCTATGTTGAGGGATGAGTGAAATTGGTTCCATGTTAAATTCAAGGTGTTCAAAGATATCAAATAGGAACCCTCTTATGTGAATATTGAGCAAAAAAAAAAAAAAAAAAAAGGAAAACCAAAGAAAAGAAAGATAATCTCATAAACAACTTCTTGAGAAATTCATTTTATCAGATCTTAATTAGAGAAGTTGGTGATACACGCCTCATAGATTAAAGTTTTATATATCCCTAGGTATACTCATCTGCAACTCTTTTGAGCTTGCTCTACCTATAAATCACAAACCAGTGTCGAGCCGAAATGCAATCAGTACTGCCGAGCTTGAGCTAAGAGATTCAATATCGTATCTAGACAATTGGGTTCAGCAAAGCATCCTATACTGTGATCATTAATTGAAAGATAAATTATTGCATAAACTTCTGTTCAAAGCCTTTTGCTTGCGACGGATGAACACAACAGGACGATTGCAATTGTCATAGAGTATGAATCTACATGTAAGATTTATGTCCTTGCAATAGTCTTTCGGAAGCAAGCAAAAAATGCTCATCTTTCAAGAGATTTGAAATAACATGTCATTCTGATTACAATGACATTTGAGCCTCTATTCAAAGGAGCATCTTGTTACACACGGTAATTCGTAACTTTTCGCCAATAACATACAAGTGTCATGCCCATCATCGATTACATTGGGTAATCGATGTCCCTTTTACATACAATAAATCCATTTGAGGTTACCACCAAAATACACAAGGGTCGTTTTGGTTACATATGGCGCAGAAAAGTTGGTCACACTCATTTTGTATGTGTGCTATCCATCCAATAACTCAACCGTCTTGAATGAGTGTATTGATTTACACAGGATATTTGTCTATCCGCCTGTTTACATGCTTGGTTTATTGTGCACAAGAAGAGCAAGCCATTTCCGCAATTCTCGGGTAGCACTAATACATGCTCTTTTCAAAAGGAGGTAGCATTTGAGAGAGTGGAGTTGATTACCGAGTATTCGAACCAAGAAATCAAGACTAAAGAACTCACATTTGAGAGATGGCCAAAACGCTCCTTGCACGCTGTTGCTAGTGCAGGGCAAAAGCTCTCGGTTTTGAATTGTAGGATTCGATTTGCAACATTTACAATGATTAATAATGCAATGTTTGGTTACAGAATAGCACAGTTTTATAGATTTCTACAAAAACAGTTGAGTCGTTTAAGCTTAATTTGGATGTGGTTGATTATTAATGAATGGCTGGCTTTGTCAACAGGGCTTTTACTATTGCACACAACAGTTTTGTATACCAAGACACTGAATACGGGGTTTCAATGACTGGTGTAAAGCCATAAACAGTGCAACTATCACGAGGTAGATGTAAAAAGCGTTTTATTGCTAAGCAAGTTCTCTTCTTTCTTTTTTTCCTTTTCTTTTCTTCTCCTAAATAACCTTTTTTTTTTCTTATTTCTTCTAATACATCTTCTTTTGCACACTTTTCTTTGTCTTTGTTTGATACGCTACGTATACAATCAAGATAAGGACTCACTCTCTGATTTGTATAAAGCAGACAAAAAGAAAAAAAAAGATATAGAAAGAGAGACACATTCATACAAGGACACACAACCAAAGAAAAAAGGGGAAGGCTTTCTCTACTACTTGTTCCCTACATAAAAAAAAATATAAGATTTACAAGCAACAATGCCAACATCAGCTTCCACAAGAACCATTCGATTAACAGTGATTGCAGCAGATGGGTTGATTAAGAAGGATTTATTCTTTAAAATGCCCGACCCTTTTGGTATTATCATGATGATTGCATATAAAGTACAAGTACAAAATGTTAATAATTGTGTATTGTAGCTGTTGTCACTGTTGATGGAGAGCAAACACACACAACAACAGTAATGAAAAAGACGCTTAATCCTTATTGGAATGAAAGTTTTGACTTGTATGTGTGTTGTGGGGATAAATGGGATGCCTGGAAATGTTGTATTAACTTGTTTGTGTACACTACAGAAAAGTAACGAATGAAAGTGTCATTGCAGTCCAAGTATTTGATCAAAAGAAGTTCAAAAAGAAGGACCAAGGCTTCTTGGGTGTTATCAATATCCAAGTTTCCAAAGTATTCGACCTTGAAGTGGGAGGAGATGGTATGTTGTTGTATCAAACTTAATTAAAACTCCTTGTCATATTCACAATCATTGTCTTTATAGAAATGCTTACACTCGAACTTAAGAAATCCAACACTAACGAAGCTGTGCACGGAAAACTGATTCTAAACTTGTCTACAAATGTAAACGTGCCTATTCGAAATGGCACAGATACCCTTGCTCCAGGCACTTCATCTAACAACAATACAACATCATCATCACAATCAGCAAATGAAACATCGTCACCTCATCCTGCTGTCGCCGCGCTTGCTGCTTCAGGAAGTAATGCCGCCGCTCATTCAAACACAAATCTATCCACCAACTCTACAAACGACAACAACGATTTACCTCCTGGTTGGGAACGCAGAGTGGATCATTTGGGTAGACCTTATTATGTAGACCACAATTCTCGCACGACGACTTGGAAGAGACCTTCTGCTAGAACGGCTCAAGATCAGCAAAATCAAACGGAATTGGAGCGTCTTCGTCATAATGCTCGTGGATTACCCGAGGATAGACCAAACAGTGCTGCTGCAAGTGCTGTTTCATTGGAAAATAATCACTCAGCCGCTGCTAGTGCTACTACGCCAAGTGCTGCTCCTGCTCCTGCTGCTGCTCCATCCAGCAACACAAATGGTGCTGGTCCAAATGCTGGTAATGTTACTGTTCCCAATAACAACATGACTTCAGCAGGCTCTGGCCCTCTTCCACCTGGTTGGGAAATGCGTACCAGTGCAGAAGGCCGTCCTTATTTCGTTGATCACAATACACGTACCACTACATGGGTTGATCCACGTCGTCAACAATACATCAGCACCATTGGTCCTGGATCCAATCTTCAAGTACAAGTTCAACCTGTATCTCAATTGGGTCCCTTACCCTCTGGCTGGGAGATGCGTTTAACCAGCACTGGCAGAGTCTACTTTGTTGATCACAATACCAAGACCACGACTTGGGATGACCCTAGATTACCCAGTAGTCTCGATCAAAACGTACCTCAATACAAGAGAGATTTCCGTCGCAAGCTGATCTACTTCCGCTCTCAGCCTGCTCTACGTCCAGTGCCTGGTCAATGCCACATCAAGGTTAGACGTGATCATATTTTCGAAGATGCCTATGCTGAGATTATGCGTCAAGCTCCTGCTGATCTCAAGAAACGTCTGATGATCAAGTTTGATGGCGAAGATGGTTTGGATTATGGTGGTTTATCGAGAGAATTCTTCTTCTTGTTGTCTCATGAAATGTTCAATCCCTTCTACTGCTTGTTTGAATACTCTGCTCACGACAACTATACGCTTCAAATCAACCCTCACTCAGGCATCAATCCCGAGCATTTGAACTACTTTAGATTCATTGGTCGTGTAGTGGGTCTCTCCATCTTCCATCGTCGTTTCTTGGACGCCTTCTTTATTGTTTCCTTTTACAAGATGATTTTGAACAAGAAGATTCTTGTGGCAGACATGGAAAGTGTAGACGCAGACTTTTACCGTAGTTTAATGTGGATTTTGTAAGTGCTACAATATTTTACATATTGGAAAACGCTAATCATCATCATTATATCATAGGAACAATGATATCACTGACGTTTTGGAGTTGACCTTCTCCACAGACGATGATCGTTTCGGTGAGGTTGTTACTGTCGATTTGATCCCTAATGGCCAAAACATTGAGGTGACTGAGGAAAACAAGAAGGAATACGTCAAGTAAGTCTTGGTATTTCAAGTGTCTTGGCATCATCATATCTAATTATAAACAACAGCTTGATCACAGAGTGGCGCATTCACAAGCGTGTCGAAGAGCAATTCAAGGCCTTCAAGGAAGGTTTCAATCAACTTATTCCTCAAGATTTAGTCAATGTCTTTGATGAACGTGAGTTGGAATTGTTGATTGGTGGTATCGCCGAAATTGATGTGGATGACTGGAAGAAGCACACCGATTACAGAGGCTATACAGAACAAGATGATGTTATTCAATGGTTCTGGAAGTGTATTCGTACTTGGGATAGCGAGAAAAAATCCAGATTATTACAATTTACTACGGGTACTTCTCGTATTCCTGTCAACGGATTCAAGGATCTCCAAGGCAGCGATGGTCCAAGAAGATTCACCATTGAGAAGTCTGGTGAAGTGACACAATTGCCAAAGGCTCATACATGGTAAGTGGAATGATTTGGATCCAAAGAGAGATTGCAGATAGACTAACACACATTAGTTTCAATCGTATTGATATGCCCCCTTACAAATCATACGAGACCTTGGTTGCTAAATTGACAATGGCCGTTGAAGAAACTGTTGGTTTTGGCCAAGAGTAATTCTTTCAAAATCATGACAAATCAAAACCGCATTTACCCCTCTCTCACCCTCACACACACACACACACACACACACACACACACACACACACACAATTTCTCTCTCACTTTCTGTTCCTATTTTACCATCTCTATCACACTACTTTTCTTTCTTTCCATATTATCTTCCTTTCTCTTTATCAGATATAAATATAATCAAATTTTGTTGAAATTCAAATGCAATGGTAGTGTTAAGATGAAAAGTTGATCAAGGTCTACTAGTAGCAAATGTGGTTTGTATTCAATTTGCTATCACACCAGAGTATGCATAATCTACTTTTTAAATTACATGATCTTGACGCTTATTACGCTTGAGCAACCTGAGCAACAGGAGGAAATGGGTTATCTTTACTGAGCACCAAGAACATCTTTTCATGTGATAAATAACCCTTCATGTAGCCCTACATTTTGACATGAATAAACTGCTCGCCATGACACCCACACCATCATCAATTTACCTTGTAGATCATATTTGCCAACATCCATTCGGCCTCCTCAATCTCAACGTTTATGCCTTCAAATTCAAGAGCCTTTTGAAAGGTTTGAATAGGAATTCTGGTATTGCAACCTGAAACAAGATAACTGAAAGTGCCCAGCGTGAGTTGACTTGCTTGTTTACTGTTCGCCCTACTTACACTTTTCTGAATAGTTGTCTAATAGCGATACTTTCCGCCTTCTCAATTGCAAAGTAAGTGCCTTGTCTAATCAACATGGACTCAGAATTCGTTAATGCAACGTTAAATGCCTTTACATCACCCATCTTTATCGAGGTTGCCAATTGACTGTAGATTTGTCGTGCTCTTGGGAACTTTTTGAACAAGTTTGCGGTTGGCAAAATGCCACGCATCAGTTTGACAGGTAATAGTGTTTGTAAAATGAGCCTGTTTGCAAGTGATCAGTCGAGTGTTTCCTGTCATGGTAGCCATGGCAACCTACTCTTTGTTTTTGATGTGTCGATTCGTGCATTCGTTGAAGGCTAGATCCAATTCATGTTCTGCTTTCACGTAATCCTCCTCCAAGAAATAAAGCCTTCCAAGATAGTATCTGAATGTCACTCTATCGCTCTTTGAGAATTGATCGATAGATGGCATGTCAGCAGCCTTGAGAGCTCTCAGGATGTTCTTGCACAGGTTTTGCTGTTTCAATTTGAAATAGATTCTAAACAAGATGCCGATCATAAAATAAGTACCGTACTTTTTGGAAGAATGCAATACACCTCGATCCGTGATACAGTAGGTGAATGATTTACTAATCACATTGGCGGCTTCTTCCAATTTCTTGCGCTGCCCCTCCACTGCTGTCTCGGCTTGATCATCTGCTTTCGAGGCAGCAATACGTAAATCGTTGTTGATAATGTACAAGGCAGGTAAACACCAGCGAGTCATGTTGGACATGCCTCTCTGAAATGCCCTATTTATTGTGTCAGTATACCATAACTCTGTACGTTTTACAAGAGATACATTACTGCACGAGTTCTTTTTGAGTGTCAAATGCGTCCTCGTAGTCTCCTGCATCGATGTGTATGAGTGTCTTGAGATGATTGGAAGCAACCTCGTTCCAAGGAGCTTCCAATGAAGATTTACAGGCATTGTCAATTTGGTGAAGCTGCCAACGACTTTAGCTTTTTATGCTTGAATTCCAAGTAGGTAACCTTACCTGAACGCCTGAATTCAAGAATTGTTTGGCATAATTATGATCAAGTGCTAGCAAAAGCGACACTTGCTTTCCGTTCTCGCTGTTGACATACAGCTGGAACTTGTTGACATAGGTGGTCAACTTCATTGTTTAGGGGACAGAAAAAAGAGAAAGAGATGATCCTGCTTTTGCACATGCACTTATGAGTTCGTGACTAGTATGGGTGTGCCATCCAACAGACGTGAAAGTCTGCTCTTGCACTCTTTCTTTCCAATTTAGACAGCCATTGAAACTATGCAAGACAAGGTGAGCATGCAATGCAAGCACTGCTTCCACCTTATCATACTAACAATCTTCTATAGCAAGATACAGAACCATCGCGTGAAGTGACATTGGAGCCAGATCATGAATTTCGCTTCGAAGTCGAGTTCAACAACAAGGTGCAAATCAAGTTGGCCAAGGGTACAGCAGAGATCTTTGGCACAGAGCTAGCTGTAGGCATCACCTACACATTTACAGGCAGAAAGGCAGCTGTCTACACATGGCATGGATGTACATTGGAAATCAAGGGTACATTTCTAGTGGAATACACAGCCAACGAGACACCCATGACAAGTTACTTGAACACACATTTAGCGCTAGAGCAGCTACGACACAGAGCCAAGACAGAGCATGAATTAGGGCCTCGTGTGTTGGTAGTTGGACCTCACGACGTTGGAAAGACTTCACTGTGCAAAATCTTGGTCAGTTACTCCTTAAAGCAAGGCGGCAAGCCCATCTACGTCTCGCTGGATACCACTGAAGGATCTATCACTATGCCCGGCACAGTGACAGCAACGTGTATCAGTAACATCATTGATGTGGAGGAAGGGTTTGGATCTTCAGCCACGACAGCGGCATCGATGGGCTCATCCACCATGCCCTTGGCTTATTACTATGGATTCGAGGATCCCAGCGAAAATGTCAAACTGTACAAAATGGTGTCCTCGTGTCTATCGAACGCTATCAAGAGTCGAATGGCAGTGGATGACGAGTGCCGCAACTCTGGATTCATTATAGATACAGCTGGATTGATCGATCAAGTGGGTTATGATATTATTCAGCATGTGATTGAGGAGTTTTCAGGTAAGCGTCGTTGAATGAGTCCTCCATTTCAATGCTCTTATACTTCTGTATTAGTGAACGTGCTGATTGTCCTGGGCCACGAAAGACTTTACAGCGACATGAATCGCATGTTTAGCAATAAAAATGTATCCGTTGTCAAATTATCCAAATCTGGCGGTGTAGTGGAACGTGATAGACAGTTCAAAACTCGACTTCAAAGAACCAAGATCCACGAATACTTTTACGGCACCCCCAAATGTGAACTATCTCCTTACAGCATGCTGGTGAATTATGACGATATCAAGGTGTGGCGAGTGGGCGATGTGATCGCTCCCTCCAGTGCGTTGCCACTGGGCATGGAGGGATCTTCCAACGAGACGCAGGTGGTCAAAGTAGACAACTATGACATGTGCCTGCACTCGATATTGGCCATCTTGAATGCGGATCAGGATGAGCATGAAAATAGACTGTTGGAAAGCAATGTCGCTGGTTTTGTCTATGTGTAAGTACATACCCGGTTTGATCTGATGGTGGCTTACTGACGCACACAATACATAGGTCGGATGTGGATGACGAAAAGAGAAAGGTGACCATACTGTCTCCCTCGCCAGGCAGATTGCCAAAGAAGCATATCCTGATGGGCTCATTCAAATGGATGGAATCTTGATTTTTGCGTGTGTGAAATACATTTTTTTATTTTATAAAACAAAACTATACAAAGTGATTGAAAATAAAGCAATTTTCTTGATATATAAATTCTAACGATGCGACGGCATCTAATAGTTTTCCCATCCAACATGATCAAGTTTCTCGACCTTGGTCAGCACTTCTCCCTCCATCTTGTCCATATAGGCAGCCATTTGTTTTTGAATGCCGGGAATAGAAGCACCCAAGATACGAATAGCAAGCAAGGCAGCATTGGTACTGTTATTGACAGCGACAGTGGCAACAGGGATACCACGAGGCATTTGTACAATACTGTAGAGAGAGTCAACACCATCCAGAGAGCTGCCCTTGACAGGCACACCAATCACAGGCAAAGGTGTCATGGCAGCGACCATACCGGGCAAATGGGCAGCACCACCAGCACCAGCAATGATGGCCATCAAGCCACGTTGAGCAGCAGATTTAGCATAGTCAACCATACGCAAGGGAGTACGATGGGCAGATACAATGGACAATTCAAATGGAATACCAAACTCCTTGAGGATTTGAGCGCCCACCTTCATGACAGGCAGATCACTGTCAGAACCCATAATCATACCCACCAAAGGTCTCAATGTCAAGGGTCTCTCTACACCAGGTTCAATTTCATCCAAGATGGGTTTCAAGTTCTTTTGCACTTGCATCATCGACTCACCCACCAAGGTAATGTGACCCATCTTACGACCAGCTCTGGACTCTTTCTTACCATACAAATGGATAGTAGCACCATCTGCCAACAAAGCAGCTTGACAAGGCTTGTAACAAGCTTCCATATCACTGTTTTCACCCAAGATATTGACCATGATAGAAGCAGGTACCTTCATGGCAGTGGAACCCAAGGGCAGATCCAAGATGGCGCGCATGTGGTTCTCATATTGAGACGTCTCACAAGCCTCGATAGTGTAATGGCCCGAGTTGTGAGGACGAGGAGCAATTTCGTTCAATAAAATCTCACCATCAGCCATGACAAACATCTCGACACCAAAGATACCAGCGCCAGGGAAGGATTTGATGGCATTTTCAGCAATCTTTTGAGCCTTGACAGCGACACTGCCGTCGATTTGAGCAGGAGCAATGACGAGATGACAGATGCTGTTCTTGTGAATGGTCTCTACTACGGGATAAGATCTGATTTCACCGTTGGCACGACGTACCACCATGACAGCGAGTTCCTTGACAAAGGGAGCCCACTTCTCTGCATACAAGGGTGTCTTGGAAAGAGCAGCAACTGCCTTCTCCACATCAGCCTCAGATTTCACCACATAGTTACCCTTGCCGTCATAGGCCATGGTCTTGGATTTGAGCATCAATGGATAACCGAATTCCTTGGCCACTTGTTTGACAGCGTCAGCATCCTTGATTTCACGGTACTCGGCAACAGGAATACCATGGGATTCCAGATACTTCTTTTGGTTGTACTTGTCTTGAATGGTCTTGACGGTGAATGCAGAGGGACAGACACGCACACGACCTTCTTGCTCAATTTGGGCCAAAACATCCGCATTGACATGTTCGATCTCTACGGTCAATACATCTACTTGAGAAGCTAATTCAGTGATCTTGGCAGCATCGTTGAAGGCGCCTTGGATATGGCTTTGAGTGGATTCGATTTGCTTGGCAGGTGCGTCCACAGGGGCATCAAGAATGGTGACAGAGAGGTTGAGTCTGGATGCAGCTTCCACCATCATACGGCCCAACTGACCACCTGTCGACATGTGGGCATGATGAGTAACTTGGATCAAATCAATGCGTGAAAGACAGCTTACCTCCAAGAATACCGACTTTTTGACTATTCATGTTTGTGTGTATTTTAATGTGTGTGCTTGTTGAACAAGAGAACAAAAAGATGGAGGAGGGGAAATTATAGATGTGGGGGTTTGTAATCTATCTCTTGAGGGGCTTGAATAGCATGATTTAACGGTGACTGTCCATCTGATGTGAGTAATGTCAAGCATCTATCATTGATCTGGAATCAGGGGTTAGGCGCTCCAACATAAGCAACAAGTCATGCCATGCCTTGAAACGTTGTTGCCATAGTATACATTACTTTTATTCTCCCTTGGATTGTTTGCTACAGTGAAAGACATAATGAAATCAAAGATTTCATAGATCTGACGGTTATTGAAATGAGTCAAAGCATCAACAGGTGTAACAAGGGGAGATCAACTGGGATGTCAATTTGAATTTTAGCTTTGAGGATCTTCCTGAGCAGTTCATGTTTCATTTTTAAAAAAGGGATACACCTTTTAATGTGCCTGAACATGTCAGAAAAGTTGCATTTGATTGGCATTCTGTAGTGAGCATGTGTATCTGACAAGGGATCATAGATTTGCAGTCAAATGTTGACATTGGCTACTAGTGGAAATGCCAATGTTGAGCATTCACAACAGTTCAAAGTACTTTCTTTCAGCGTAATCTGATAAAGCAAGAAGCCTTTTCAAATGCTAGGCATTGCCTGCATAAATACAACTGAACCCATCTCTGCCTCTTACTTGAAAACTTGCCCAAATGTCATAGTGCACTACATCAAGCGACTCAATATTCGGAGTTGCACCGCCCAACAAACATGTTGATAGCCTACTTTTTGAATCACCCTTTTTGGATTGTGATTCTCTTCTTGCAAACACTACAGAAAAAAATCTACTACAATGCTAAGCGCCTTGCATTTAGTAGCCTACGGTGCAACTGGTCTTGCCTTTTGTTTTGTCGTATTGAGTTTAGGTAAGTTGATGGTATGATGGATGTTGCCACGATTGCAAAGATACTCAACGGCAACTGTAGCTTGTGGTCTTTACTACCTCGCTGAATTGGTTTGTCTTTTCACAAAGACATTCACAAGCTTGTCAAACTAACAAATCTATAGGTGGAAGAATATTCTGTATATACCAAAAAAGTGATCAAATGGATGACGGGTGTAAGTTGCATATCATAGAGTGTTGTATCATACACCAAAATCTAACGTGTCAAACTGTCTCTATTAGGTGATTATTTCGTTGCATGTGTTGTTTTGGATATTTGATCGCTTGCCCTTTTTTCATCTGGCATTTTCGATTTTTTGCCACTGCGTCTATAGCTTGAACCTCAAGAACTTCCCATTCATCAGTTTGACAAGCATCCCATTCTTGAGCAGTTGTGGTAAAATAAGACCCTTTAGATTCATGCTGTACCCCAAGACTCAACCCTTTCTGTAGTGCTTGTCTTTGTAGATCATTTCTTATGGTTCAATTACTTTACAACACATTATAAACCGTTCATGGACATCGCCGCTTTCTTTGGTTTGTGTGTATGGTTGGTACCTTTTGCTTATTTTATCAGTTTGAGTGCAAATGATAATGCGCTGCCCACCAGTGGTAAGTTGTTTAGTCGAGAGAAATGTACATGCTAAACAGGAAGAGATAGATCCTGCGTTTGTAGATGCTCTTCCAAACCAGCAAAAGCAAGGTTTGATGAAGACATTGATGAGCACGATTGGCATCAAGACACAAGACACATCCATGCCAACGACAGCAGCACCTCAAGACTTCAATTCAACTTCCTATACGCCATCCGCACCTCCATCCTCGTATGGTCAGTCCAGCATGGGCACTGCCTCTGGAATCCATTATTCACCTTCCAGAGATATTCAAAACAGAAAGGCATTGTAATTTGTAAAATAAACATGTATAAAATCGGGGTCCAAGATGGATATTTATTTGGTGTGCAGGGAAGTGGTTTACAGTATATGCAGGACACAGACGATCGTTTGATTTCCTACAGATCCTAGTGCATTGACTGGAATGCTGGTGATGGGTGGCACAGTTTTAGAGTGGTGGAGGACATTTGCTGCTAATAAACTGCTGCAGACTATGCTCGTCATATGTGTACTGTCGTTGTAAAGTGCTCTGATAGATAGCACTTGCTCCCATTTTTTCTTGGCTTGCTTCAGTGCCTCGTTTATGCTTGAAACAAAGTCTTTCAGGTCTGAGGGATCTATGATTCGAGTAAGTAAGCAATGCTTAGTGCCAAAATCAGTGGCATTACCTGATGCTAATTGTGCCACAATAGTGGTGATGTTGCTTTTGCAAAGAACCCTGCATGAAATATCCTTTACCTTGCTCGTTTCTATCACCATTCATATTAATGCCAATCCTTGGTATCCCTCCTCAGCTCTTTTGTCACTCACCAAAACAATCTTCTCTCACTTGCAATGCCTTCATTTGTCGAACTGTCTCTTCATCTTGCTCTTCATCCGTCGTGTTATCATACTCCTCTTGGCCAAACGGTGTTGGTAGAGGCGCGTGGAGGAGCACTTGCCATTCTACCATGGCGCCTCGAGGAAGTGATGGCACAGCGATATATGCAGTGGGTGGTGGAGTGTCAATGTAAGCTTCCCAAGCAGCTTGTGCTAATGGCAAATAGGTCGGGTCGCTGACAAAGCAATAGCAAAGAACAGTATGTGTCTTGAGAGGCAAGTCCAACACAGAGACAATGTTCTCCAAGTTACGTAGCGATAAAGCTGCCTCTTGTGCAAACGACCTTGGTGCTGGAAGATCCAATGTGTTTGGTACCAGACCAATCTGACCAGCAATAAAGGCATGACCTTGTGTCTACAGTATGAATGATAAGCTTTCATGCTAGCTATGATTGACACTCGTGTTGATATACTTGCAACAACGCTCTGCGAATAGGGTCCAATGTTGGCAGGAGCCCAGTAGGAGATTCCTTGCACATGCATGGTATCTCTTTTGACATTGGCAATAGACTTGATGGCTGTAAGGTCGATTTGCAGTTTGGCTTTGCCATGCAAATTAGCTCCCACTAAAGCTCTGGAACACACCATGAGTTTCTCTCTTGCTCTCATGCGACGCCTATAGTACCCCTACCTTGGAGAAGGATTGATATCAAAAAACGTCTTGTAAACTGCATTGATACGGCCAAAATCATCCATGTTGGTGACAAAGACGTTCATAGTCACCACATCCTTCCATGCTAGTCCCTTGTCCAAGAGCTTTGTTTGAACAGCTTCCATACATGCTTGAGTTTCTTTCTCAATGCTATCATACTCCACTGTAGCGTCCAGATCGTAGGCAGTGGTGCCACTTATGGCAAAGAATGGTGTGTGGTCATGAGTGATTGCTGCTGACTGGGTGCTGGGCTGCACTGCAATAGGTGTTGTTGCTGATGTCGCTTTAACAAGAGGCGTATGCCTTGCATTGTCCACCGCAGATACAACCTCATTGTATGATTCCCACTCTTTCCAATCCTGGATCGCGATATTGCTCATATCCATTTCTTGTGCTGTTTTTGCCTCCAATCTACATTTCTGAAACTTGAGGTAGGCTACTTGAGCAAATGCATCATCAGAATGAACCACTGTCTCTGTTTCCTCACTGGCCACACACATAGATGAGTTTTTCTTGGATACAAAGGCTCAATCTCGCATTCGTCCTTACACTACAATTTTCTTTTTGAATAATGGGCAATCGACAGTAAATGTCTCGTATTCTCCTCCTTCACCACAAATGTGCAAATCATACATGTCATTCTATACACAGTTCGTTGTAGGTCAATGGCAGTGTTCTCCTCCCCCCCCCCTCAATTCGCGTATGTTCCTTACCATTTTGCACAAATAAGGGTACATTTGTCCAATTGACTTTCCCAAGTGTGTTGACTTGAGTCCAATAGCGGCTACTTTGATCAAGATTGCATTGACGCCAGCATTTGCCATCTCGTAAAGCAATTCCTTTTGACCTCTTCTCCATAAATAAGCAAACGAAGTCAATCCTAAACGATTGCACCTGTGGCAAAAAGTCTGTCAACAACCCACTTGTCTCAGTAACCTCTGCTCCAACTTACACATGCTCTACTCGAACTCGTTGGTAATTGGATAGAATGGCGCCCACCGAGATACCTTTGATATCAGGATGATCATTCTACTCATTGCGGTCAATGTCATGTACATACACATACATTCGCTCCCTCCATTTACCAAAACATCCTTCAACAGCATGTATAAATCCTCTGTTTCATCATCTGCTGTCACTGTGTAATCCGCTGCTTGAAGTACAGATCCTCCTCTAATTTCTCGTCTATACAAAGGTACATCCATGCATTCCGAGTATAAATGAATAGCATCATGGCCTACTGTCTGATACATGAAACTGTCCAGCTCGTCTATTGTATCCATGTTAAGGTGTGTGTGTGCGAAAAGCCATTGCTGCTCCAAGTCCAAAGTACCTTTTCCTGATTCACGGGGAGGCTTCAAATTAGCAATAGCAGTAATTTCATGGCCATTTGCCACACATTGCATCATATTATAGCAACTATCTTTGCCTCCACTATATGCAAACGCAGTTAAATAAAGACGGCTGATACACTTGGACTATAACAACAGCTACCTCACTAGAGCGACAATCTTCATGGCTGTCAGTAGATTGATTAATTTAGAGACGAAAAAGTTTTTTTAATTTTCATTCTGCCGTTTCATGCTCTTCAAATGAAGGCTGACTTTGGAACTGAAGCTTATATGTGATGCAGATTACATGTAGATCAGTGGAAGCAACATACAATCATATGCCTAGTACCCTTGACAGATTGATCGATTCATAGTGACATGAAAATCTTGAACTGCGTTTTTATTTTCGAAAGCGAATTGTTCTGACAGGCAAACACAAATGGAGCAACGAATTTGCCTGCACTGATGTCTACGGGATGCTGCCTCTATTTTATATACTTGTGTGGAATCTTCACTGCAAACTTCTTGATATGATAGTTTTAGCTATATATGAGGATTGAACATGCAATTCGTACAATATGTCGAGTATTATGTGGATGAAGTCTGTGGCGCCTTCTTGTCCGGATAATTCTTCTGTCCCCTGCAACAATAAACTCGTCAAAGTCAAGTCAGAACAAAGCGCTTTATTACGCATATATGGTGTATGTTTCTGCATAATACACATCATTATCAATTTATACATTCAATAAAGAATCTCTCGTTTGAAAGAATTGTATGAAATTGATTTTCCTTTGCTATAATCTTGTGCATTGCCAACTTGGTAAAATAAATTTTACCAGAATATGGATCAAAAAACAAGTTGTGTCTTGTAGCGGGCTACTTGAGTTACTTTTGCTACAAGATTGCAATAGTTCTCTGGATATTCAATGATGCAGACAAGAGCCTGTATGCTTTGAATAACTCTTTATCTTTGCTTCGCTTTGGTAAGAAGCCGTTTACGTGGCGGCGGCCTGCATTTGTCCATCAGGCTACTGTATTCTAAACTTCATTGAACTTCCTGCTGTCATAGACTTCTTAACTTTGCACTTCCACGTAGAAGCGTTCTAAAACCGTGGATCTGACACTTTTCGAGTGCTCCAAGCCCGTATTACTAAAAATACTGCATGTGCGTGTAGAGAGTATACTTGTATCAACACACGCTACACAAAAGTATGCAAAACACTGCAAAATTTGAAGTAATTCGAGCAGTGATTTCTCGACTCAGAGGCAGTTATGGACCGCAGAATAGCGCCAAACAATTGCTTTCACCTAGCACTAACTGGCTGACACCTTTGCTCGGCTTTTTGGGAACCAAAAAAACATGGCCAAAAATTGCCTCAAGAGCATGAGGTACTACTCCTCATGGTTTTCATCCAAAATCAAACAATCGCGCTTTTCGCCTTGAAATTAAAGACTTCTACTATGGCATATATTAGATCAAAATGCTTCCTTTGATCCAAAGCAGCCCTCAAAACTTTGCTTGAGTGGCCTTTGCATGTAAATAATTGATATTTTGGCCAAAATAGTCATTTCGTATTTTCAAAAATTGCTCGCTAATTTTACTCAAAACATCTGTTTTAATTGAGACTATTAGATGCGTTGATGACGAGAGATCTGTGATTTTTGATATTATTTGCAAATTCTGCACAGAGGATGGTATTATTAAAACTTTCTGTATTACTATATGAATGTGGGATGTATGTGTAGTAAAAGTTGTAGAGGGCACTTTGATTTAGGGTATGATTGATGTGCAGCTATTGAGGGCACAATGCCGATGAATAATGACGGAAAATGTTCCAGATGACCGATTTTCAAAGAGCCATACCGCTAGATTTTACAAAGCTAACGAAAGCATTAAGCTTAATAGCTTCTGTTTGTTTTTCAATTCTCTATACGATGGTATGGCTATTATAGATAAATAAATAAAAAAATTGAATATCCCCTGCTTGTAGCTCATAAAATATAAGGTTTTCAGCAAATTCATAAAGGGAACGTACATCTGGTTCTTAAATTTCTTATATTATAATGGATATAACGTAGAGCTATTGCATGGTCTTTGTTTTGTGCGAATCTAGCGAGTATTTGTCGAGATATGATCAAAAAAGGCTATCATTGCAGTGAAATCAGGTTTAAATAGATTTCACAAAAAAAATAAAGCAATAGTAAAATACAATAGAAATCAACTGTATTTTATTTGTGTATAAAATGAACTGAAGATCCTGGAATTGAGTAAAAAAAAAGTAGAGTATTTATACATTTGCAACTAGCTTGTAGGATTAGTGATGATAGAGAGCAATAGGTGCTGCTATTGCGATATCTGGCAAATGTTGTTGATGTTTGATTTAAAGTGGTAATCAATGCAAGAGCACTGGCCATAAGGGTCGATTTGAGTAACCTTGATGGGCTTGGGTGAGCTATCGTCATAGCATGATTTAATGTAACCTTGATGGTTTAAAGTGTGATGTTTGTTATTATTGAAGTATGGAATCCTTTATCTGGGATATTGTGCAACTATGGCAGCAGGGCATAGTTGTCATATTTGAATATGCTTGTTATTGATTTGATTTTATTTGGATAAAGATAACATCTCTTATTACGACCGTCATGGGTGTGATTGAATACACTGTGATCAGGAGTGATTCATTCACACGATGTGCGATATAAGCGTGTATCTTTAGTATGTTTAAATGGTTTTTTGATGTACATTTGAGCGTTTTCATTAATAGATCCAAATAGCATGAATTTGAATGAGTGCTATTTGATGAATTTTGGTTTTCAATCAAGTTGCGTTTGGGTGGCTATTTCATTACAGCTATATTCGAGCATCTCAAAATGATCTGATCGTCAGAATTAGAATAAAAGCGTCGTTAACTTAAGGATTGAGTTCCGTACAATGCAGAACATCACGGACATTAGACAGAAGTGTAATGTACTTACTCTTCTCGCAACGCAACTCACTACACCGTCATTTTAAGTCGAATTCTGTCCAAATCTAGCCATTTTCAAGCACGAATATCTCATGCCACAAAGCGTTTTGAGCGCTTGGAATAGCATCATACGCCTCCTCTTGGTTACGCTTTACTTCCTGATGCTTTATCTCAATTTTTTTTGTGTCGTTGCAAATCCACGAAAATCCTCGTTTTATCATGAGTATTAGCAAGGGAAAATTCTTGAAAATCAAACGATCACGTTTTTCACCCCAAAAATGACGACTTTTACTATGATACATATCAGACCAAATTGATCGTAAAGATGTAATGAAGCATTGGAAACTCTTTCTATGAGGCTTGTATATACTAAATGTTGACATATTCAGAGAAAACCTGTTTTCATATTTTTTCAAATTGCTCCTTATTTTCGGTTTGAAAGTTGAATGTAATCAGCTTCATTCGATGCGCCTTCATCGACTCAATATAGAAGCATTAGAAAGTAAAGTATAACAACGACAATTTTCACAGTCGAATTTAGCAAAAACGTTCAAAGAATGTCAGATCAAGTCAAATTTGAACACGAAAATACCCCACTGCACAATTTCAAATTTGAGTGCCGCAACGACAGCTACTGTGACAGAAGACTGAGGCCGAATCTACTGGCCGTGACGTTGGATAGGGCGCCCTCTCATTTTTTCATACCAGCGTTTTTTTCACCCTTTTTCCAAAACGCGTTTAGTATCAAACCATGTTGATTTTGGAACCCTTTTGATTTAAAATAACACTCTATCATCTGATAACACGGCCTTGCACTGTTAAAAGCACTTGATACTGCTTCTTTGAATTGGAATATAATAGGTACCATTCGATAACGAGCACAGAAAGATATAGAACAAGTACTAATAATCGAATTTGTTTATTAGGTTTCAATAATTTGTTTTACCTGTTTGATGTGAGTGCTGCTGCCATTACTTCTCTGCCACCTCCTCTGCTGTCTGCTTCTTTGGTTTATTATGTCTGGCTGTTGCTTTTTTTGGTCTCTATCTCTGGCGGTTCCTTCTTTAGTCGTTGTCTAGTCTCTGGTGACGCTCGTTATTCGGTCTTTCTATGGTGCTGGTGTTCTTGCTACTGGTGTTCTTGCTACTGGTGTTCTTGCTACTGGCGTTGCTATTGGTGTTGCTGCTGCTAGTCTGGTCTTTGTTGGTCTGCTATCTCTGTTGTATGCTTGTTCTTTGTACTATCTCTGCTGAATGCGTATCTCTGGTCTATCTGTTGTGGTTCTGGTAAGTGGTAAGTATCTTTTTTCTTCTGGCAGCGATAATATAAATCTTCTTTGAACGTTTGTATTATTGCTTGCTTTATCGTGATAATGCATTCGTAATGTTTGCTTTGTTGCGCGTTTTTTTTCTTTCTTTTGTTGGCTGTGATATGATCAGTTCAACGGATGCTTGCAATGTTGTTGCTTCTTATGTATGAACTACAAGCATGATATGCTGCTATATATCTGTATTGCCGTTGCAATACCACTTTGTTATATGGCCGTGGATTGTTGTTTGTGTTGCCTCTGACGCTTCACATGAAACAACATTAGTCATTATGTTGTATTGCACACTTATACTACCATTGCTCATCATGCAATTATGTATGTTTGTGTTCCTTTGCATCAGACTATTATCATGCACGTTGCTCATGCATGCACCTTTGTTGCAACAACAGCGAGCTGTTCTCAACATTCTTTGATGTTGTATTTCTTATGCTTTTCTTTAACTCACTTTTTTTTTACGTGAGTGTTGCTTTTTTTGCCTACATACTACTACTATAATACTCCTATACTACTGTATCATGTTCTTTTCTTTTTCTTTCTTTTATCATGTTTCTTTGAAGCATACCTTTTTTACGTTGTGTGGATGTGCCTATCCCTGAAGCTCAACAAGACTTTATCCGAGGCTAGGAGGTAGATAGGCCGCCTCCACTTGGTTATCGCTACTTACTTTAGTGATGATTGAGAGTCTCAACGCCTGAATCTAAAGCTAGGTGGTGTAAGTAAGGCATGCTCTAGCACTTGGGGGAAGTTTGATGATAGCAGCGGCTATATTGCTATTATAGCGGCGCTTAAAATTTTGCCTCACATCAAAACAGAGGGAAACCCTCGCAAATTTTTTTTTAGGTCAGCGGAGTTTTAAAGCGAATTGATTGGCTCAGGGGCTGAAAGAGAAAAGGTCTACAACTAGTTGATTTTCTGTTGACCTGCCATTTAAAATTATTTTTTCTTTTGTAATAATAAAAGCGTAATCAAATGGAAGCAATTTAAATACTTCTTTGTTCAAGAGTATCAGTATAAAGTGTGATCATTGAATTTATCATTCAGTGAATAATTTTATGTGAGCGATGTTTTTTTTTTTAAAAAAATGCATTTTGTAGGGGAAATTATACAATAGACACTACAGCAGTACACTAGATACAGGGTCCTCCCTTTAACAAATGTCCCGCTAAACACGCGATGCACGGTACATCATTGATTTCCAACATGTTTCAACTTTTCCATCAAGATTTGCTATCTTTTATCCTATATCCAATACTCTGAACGTACAAACCTATTTCCGATGGTTTTGAAATTTGGGCCATCTGAAATCAAGTTTTGAAATATTACTGATGCTACAGCTCTGAAAATAACATGTTCCTGGCAAAATCTTACGGTTCAAAATAATCCAATGTTGAACCTTCAGCTTCATATGAGAATCTGTCAATTGCAAGAAGTAATTGCAAGTCATAGATCGATGAATTAGATATTGGAAATTGTTACATTCAAAACTGTTTGTTGATATCTTGCTTCCTTGTGCTTTGGCAAAGGTTGAAGGCTTTGCTTCGCATCTCAGCAAGAAGAGGGAACAGCTTTTTCGCACCCTATGTTGACGGTAGCGACTTTATATTAGAAAGATAATATGCTCGTCAAGCATAGAAAGGGATTTTCAGGTTTTACGTTGATTGCCAAATAACTATAGCGGGTAAAGTGCAGAGTAAACCAATATAAAAAGACCAGTGTTTCGACGCTATTATCTGTAAAGTGCCAAATCAACCAAGCATTAATTAAGTCTTGCTACTCTGTGTTTTCTCTACAGAATGAGGCCTTGTTTAAGTATCTGCAATGCTTGCAAAAAATTGGATTTTGGACTTCCAAACTGGAGTTTACACTGGTAAAAAAACGTTTTTCTTTTAATAATAGCACGGAAACGTCCATGTGGTGCTCAAATCTAATAAATAGACTTAGGATGTGGAATGGCTAATAGCAAGGCACAACAAGAATTTTCTATGCTCCACTGTAGCAAAGATTAGCCTTGAGCGATCGTTTTTCGGCAAGCTCACAAGGGCTGACTTATTGAGCACCACTGTAGATTCATGAGAACTGATGCTACAGATTTGAAACAATAGGTAACCTTTAGTTCTACACAACGAATAGTGTTTCAGGTAAAATAGTACAAATCTAATACATATTTTCCTTTGAAAACTCTCAAAATATCAGAAGAGCAAACTTGACTGAATACATCTTGTGCCATACCTGTCAAGAGTAGTACCATTTGATATTATTTTCAATACTGTATAAGTTTGGCAAGGGCCAGAAAGAATGATTACTGTTGAAAATGGTACATTAAACCGATTAAAGAATGCAAGAAACCAGCATAATGTTGTCAAGCCAGTAGAACCTCGCAGATCTTAACGGATTAGAGACTAGGTCAATGACAGCTTGAGAATGACATCTTAGCCAAATGTGTGATCGATATTGAGCTCGTTATGTGCTACTTTCAGATTATTGATGAATACTTGACATGGCGACGATGAGTCATGCTTTTAAGACTAGACAACTGTAGCTTACTTCGTTACACACCATTAAGCCCTTTACATATTCACCCTGCTTAAAATATGCCACCCAAAAAATGTTGTTTAACTCACGCATTTGTGTTGAATATGGCGATGCTGATCGTTGCCATAATCAGGTTTATCACAAAACCTTTAATAAATCAAAGAAAGGAAACTGTAGAGGAAGCGTATAACGAATTTCACAAAGAGTTAAGCCGATATAAAATAATTGTCATGTAAAAACAGCATACGCGTAAAGTAAAAGTTCGTTGCTAATAAAATCCCTGTAAATTACAATTTGCATATGTGTTTATTAAAAAAAGGAACGATGGTTTTACATGATATAGTAACAATTAGTATATATTGTATAGATAAGATAAATGAATCAAAATGTGTGTTAATCAAGCATACTGCTGCCATTATTGGAAGAAACATGATGTGCTGAATTGCTTCCACTGCCTGTATTTTGCGACTTCTTGCGAGACTTTTTACGCAATGACATCTTCAATGTACGAGATAGACTTTCAGCACGAGACATGGTAGCATTTTCAAAAGCGGTGTTGTTGCTATTTGTCAGACCAGAAACAGATAGTCCAGGCGAGTTTTCTGTCACTGGTGTACGGATTGAGAAGGCTCGACTGATGGGCGACATAACAGGTAGCGTAGGCAGTACAGGAACGCCACCAACACCAGGGGTTTGTGTATTTGTGTTTTGACGAGAAAGACTAGGTGATATGAGCTTGGCATCATCGACTGGAGGATGACTGTAAACGCTGTTGTTTTCTGTTGTAGTGCTACTGGAGAGTGTTGAACGGCGACGATTGAGTGAATTGTTGGTCGAAATGCTGAGTGAGGGGGCTTCTTTGATTTCTTCCTTGATGCTCTTTGCTTTGAGTGATTTGATTTCCTCAGCAAAGTTCTTGTTAAAGACTAGTAGAGAAGGTTAATATATATTAGCATTTCATTTTCATTATTCAACTTACATTCAGTCAATGTCGCATGGAAAGGTCGCATTTCATTGCTCACGAGCTTATTATGGGTTTCCAGACATTTCTTGATAATCAAGACCTATCAGCAAATTCGTCAGTGACTAATCCAATCGCACGGACATACACACACAAATTACCTGATCCTGAATGGCATTTTGAAGCCTGTATATCCATTGTCGCATGTCTGGGTTCTTGTCCCAATATTCTTTACTCAAAAAGGCCTTCTTGTATAGAGGCACACCACCATTGACTGGAGCATCTACAGCACCGTTGAGTGACATGGAGAATGGGTTGATATTGACGGGTGGTGCCAGACTCGACATGCGACGACCACTCTTGGGAAGATAGGCAGCATATTTCTTCTCTAACGATTCAAGTTCTTTGTTTTTGTTTTCCATGGCAGTAACAGCATTTTCGATAGGCGATATCACGCTTGTTTGCGAGCTGACAATCTTGGATCTTCTGACGATGGTTGGGAATTTATCCTCACATTCAAAATCAAACTTTTCAGTCCATAGATTCAAGAAATCAGATTCAGGTTGCTTGTCATTTTCGCCACCACCACTGGATTTGTCAGTGGCTTCTCTTGTCACAGGTTTAGAGAAAGAGAACTTAGATACGTTGTTGAAGGCATAGTATTTCTTGATGCTGTCTGGTGCATTTGGGTTGGAGAGACAGGGGATATCATCCGTATCTGGGATAGGTGTCACAGGTGTAATCTGCAAATACTGGCCATCCAGTGCACTGTCGAGTTCTTTTAGCTGGTCGTCTGTAATGGACATGGAATTGGATATTTTGCTGGGCAGCAACTGAGCATTGGGATGTCGATTTTGCATTCTCTCCACAAACGAAGACATCTTTTCCCACTCCAGGCCACGATAAATGTACTGTCTGTTGCGATTGCTAGCAGGAAAGCCACGGCCATAGAAACCAACACGAAAGTATTCAGTAAAGCAGCGTTCCTTTTTGACAATGTTTTCGGCAAACGTAGCTTGACGCTGGAGAATCTCACTCAACTTGACATAATCATACAGCGTATTCTCATATTCATAAGCCAATTCCTTGCAAAGCTGCACACAAATCTCCCAGGCGTTGCCTTGATCCAGATATGTAATCATCTTCATGTAGAGTCCTTCTTTGCGGGAAAATGAGCTTTGTACTGGCAGTGCCAGATCGGCGATGTCGCTTAATTTGTCACTAGGATCCCATTGCAGTAGGTCGGCATGGAAGCGCAACGTCAGAGCAGCTTCAATAAAGTTGCGACTATCTAAATGCAATTGTACCAGTTGATGCACATACTTGATGTAGATTTCCTCTCTTTCAATCACTTGGATAAACTTCATCAGTTTCAATGTGGCCGTAATGCGTTCATCCATAAACTCATCGTCATCTGAAGGCAGACTTCTGATTTGCAGTAACAATCCATGGAATTTGCACAGTGATTCAACAGCTCTTGTACCCACAATCAAGCAATCCTGTCGATTATCAGCAAGCAGTCGTTGCTCTAGCGCTGCGATCAGCTCCACAGTGATTCGTGCATTGATAACTTCATTTCCCTTGTTTCCAGACATGACCAAACGATCCAGCGTACTGATAACCACATGCTGCACATGGAGCAATTCACCATAGGAGTAGAGTTCAATGGCAATGATGTCAGCAATGATGGACAAAGCATTCACTCGGACGCGATCATGTAGCGTCAGACTGACAGCACACAGGGGACTGAGGATAAAGTAAGCCAAATCAGCTTGCAAGAAGGAGACTTCAGACTTGGCTACGATATCGGTATAATGCTCCTCATGAATGGATGACAGTGGTACCTCATCGGTGGGGCCAATACGCACACTGTTACGTACCGAGTAGTTGTTGGTGCTACTGGTGCGATTGGATGGGCCATTGGTGTTGAATTCGTGCTCGTCATCGTCTACTTCTTCAATCGATGCCATGCTTTGACGAAGAGAATCATCGTTGAAATGATTAAATTCTGATGTCGACGACACGGGTGATTGGTGCGAGAATTCAGAACCAAAGTAATCAGTCAAAGGCGGTTTGTTGGCTGTAACATCATAGTCATTCAGTGTACCAAAACCAGCCGCTGTACAGCTTGCACTCTTTCCAGCCAACTTCCACAAGGACAAAAAGACCTTGGCACCCACTTCACCACGCATGTTACCAGTGATCTTCCAGACAGCACGTTGTACCTGAGGCATGGATTCAGACAACTCCAGTCTTGGGCTGCCTACCACACGCAAAAAGCCAACATAAAAGATTCTCCACAACAACAAGGTAGATCTCTGTTCAGCCACATTACTACTCGATGGTTTCTGGTTGCTCTGCTGCTCGTGTGGTGTGTCAGGTAGCGTGCCTTCTTCATCCATGGTAGGCAACATGTCGTCATCCTCTTCCATAGGCATGTACGCTTTTTCAGTGGGAATGAAGGCAGGAAGCTCAAAGATGGACTTGATGGGTTCCAAAATATTGCATAAAATAATTTGATGCGCAATGGCATCAAAGTTGAGCCATTTTTTTGGTATTCTTCGTCTGTCTCGCATTTCATCCTCTTCACTGCGGGACATGCCATCCACGGTCAAGCTGGATTCTTCCAATGTCAAGACGTTATCACCAAACAGGATGCCCATACATGTGTACACAATCTTGCGCAAGAATTCAGCCGTGTCCTCAATACCGTCCTGAGCTTGCATCTTTTTGATAAAGGTAATCCACTGCTGCCTGGGTGTCATGTAGAACAGCTCCAAGATGACCACTGTCATATCCAACAGACCCGTACTGATCATGGCTGCTTGATCACTGGTCAACCCTTGTTTACCGCCAGATGTGGAGGATGTCTTGATGGCAGGCTGGAAAGGATACGTGCTAGGAAATGGCGTAGCCGGTGATGTCGACAATGCTTGCAATACCACCGTAAACTTAGACTTGTTGCTGTTGTTGTCGCTGCTGTTGTGGATGTTTATGTTGGTAATGGCATCATTTGGACCACTGGGTATTGTTGCAACGCCACCATTCGCAATCGAAGCAGACTTTTGATGAAGATTGCCCTGCATCTCTTGAACAATGTCAGGCGCTAGCAGAGGGTTCTTGCTCGTATTGGCACCAATGGAACTCGCCCTCTCCCTCAAGATACTAAACGACTGACGCGAATGAGGTCTTGAACCAGGATTTGATGCAGATCCTCCTCCTCCTCCTCCATGGGTTAGATGAGAGTCAATGATAGGCGTACCTGGAGACACGCTAGACACATGCATGGCTTGCACAGTCAACCTCTGAATGTCCTTGTACGCATTCAGTAGCTGAGGTACCAATTGAAGCGCATACTCGGTGACTTGACTCATATCCGTCACGGAACACTCTTGAGCAAAGGCATCGTCATCATTCGTCGCTGCAAAAGAAGTAGGTCGCGAGTAGTTGCTGATGGAGGGTGATGATATACACGACGATGTCAATCCAGAAGATGTCAAGCCAAAGGACTTCCTCACTCTGTCTAGTAATTCACTCAAGATGGTGGTTGACAGTCGCAAGTTCTCTATCCACTGTGATCTCGGGAGTCGAGTCTGCTGAGGGTTGTTGCTATCTGGGTGTTGCTGCTGCTGCTCTACTTGCCTAGCAAAGATGACATCCTTGGCAGTAGCCATGTACGAGTTCAACCACAGTCTGATCCAGCGAATTATATGCTTGGCCATCTCCAGTCTACATGATGGATACTCAAAAGTGGGACCCTTGACAATGCCGAGGATCATGGCGAGTTTGAAGCCTACCAATCTGCCCGTGACATGAGTACACGCATCGACAAATTGCACAGCCACGTCAAGCACTTGCTGGGGAGAGAGTATTCTGTGCAGTTCCACCAAGATATCAGCAAAGTGTTGTAGGGCCAGTGTCTGTGTGCCAATCATGGAACTGGGGTGTTCAGGGTCCATGATGCTAGTGATCTCCTGCAATAACTTGTCCAGTTCCTTCTTGAACGTCTCATCGTTGACAGCACGTTCCTCCTCATGCTCCTTTTGCTGCTGATTCAAGCGAGACCTGACAATGAAGCGAAAGAGATAGTCCCACACCTTCATGCTGCTTCTCAGTAGCTTGGCTTTGGATGCGTCGCTGGGATCTTTGCATAAACGAGACAAGCTCTTCATCAAGTGCTCAAATGTGGTTTCAGGTGCAAGACGGTAGCTGTAATTACGCGTTTCTCGCTTGTTGTTGCCATTGTTGTTGGTGAATAACTGGTGACTTACACGCTCATAGTCTTGGATTGAAAATCTATTCTGGATATAGACATCCAGTACAGGTCGAAAGTTGCTGAATCGACGGTCTTGCACGATGCCCAGTAGCCAGACAATAGCAGCAAGCACTTGGTCATGGATTTCTCTGGTCACCAGTTCGCTGATATCGTCGTCCTCATAGGCCAAAATATCCAGCAAGGCGTCAAAAATGTCACCCAAGAATTTCACCACTTCCACTTCACCCACAAAGGTAAACTGATCCAGCACAGACAGGAGCTCAACTGTGCCATCCTCCAAAGAGCCTTCCATCAAAGCACGCCAATTCAGCAGCTTGACGAGAACTTTGTTTTGAGTAAACTTGTTGGAGCACAAGAATGTATTGAGCGTGATGGTATCGCGCAACAATACAAGCTGCTTAGTGCTGCTGTTGGGGGAGGGCTGTTGCTGTTGCTGCTGCTGTGGTGCTGCTGAAGACACATCAGTGAGACTGTTGGACGCACTGGTAGTGTTGAACGCAGTAGCTGATGAATTGAAAGACCCGCTCAAACTCTTGAAGCTTTGTGTGGAAGGTGAGTGCGCGTGGCCTTTGGTGCGGTAAGAAGGACGAGGTGATTTCGCATCCATGGATGACGGGTGCACCATGTTAGACGGTGCAGTGGATCGAAGACACCAAGGCATGTTGTCCAAGTAATAGCGAGGCATAGACGACTGTCGATCGTACTTGTACAGATTGAGTGTGTGAGATCCATCTGCGACAAAATCACGGTGCAGAGGAGGCAAGAACAAAGGAAGGAAGCCCATGGCAATGATCTTTTCTCCACCGCCCGATGTTGCAGATACAACAGATGTGGATGACTGTGTAGGGGCATCTACACTTGCTTGTTGAGCTTGATATCCATTACTGCTGTTACTGCTGCCAAATTTCAGCATAGGTGTGCTGGACCCTGAACCTGTGAAATTGCTGCTACGATGTTTGACCGTCAAAAAGACATGCGAGCGCTCCCATTGATGCACATCCTCAATATTGATCTTAATCAGTTCTCCCCATTTCGGACGCTGCTCATGATAAATGACCATGCTCTCCCAATAGCTCACTGGACGCGCACCAGCACCCACTGAAATAGCATTCTCAATGACTTGACCCGTTCTATTGTCACGCACACACATGGTCACTTGAATATTACGAGATCGACCAAACTGAGTCAGGTCGCCAGACTCCAGCTTGATATACAGATCGTTTCGGCTATCATCAGGAAAGGCTACGTCCGCAAAACCCAGTCGCAGTGTATGTGGAATGTCTTGCAGCAGTGCAGCGTTGGTCTTGAGCACCTCATCCAGGAACCCAAAAAACGTACGCAACGAGACTCTCAACGACTCTGCACGTGGGTTCTTTTGAAATTCCTTGGTATTGTTGGCTATAATGTCCTCGTGCAACGTTGTATAGTTTGCCTCCGAGATTGCAGCATAGACGGGCATATCATGTTCAATACTTGCTTTCTCATCACTGTTGTGCAACGAAGCCAATGAGCTGAGCTTCAAGACCGCACAGCCAAATGGTCTTCTGCACATGGTGTTGGCAATGGCGGTAGCGGATGGTTTCTGGAACGGCTGATGGAGATGTTTGTTGGAGTGAAAGAACTGCGATGTGTGGGTGCCGATATTGCCAAAGTGATCCTTACCGTCTCCAAGCTTCATGCCTCCCAAACGCACCACATGACACACCATGTAAAGATCCTCTGTAATGTCGTGCAATGAAAGATCCACAAATAACGTCTGCAACTTGCCAATTTGCGATTCGTCTTTGGGCATGCCATTGTAATTGAGCACAACGACAAACTGCTCGGTCAAAAATTTGCCGTCTACAGCACTGTACAAGGAGAAATACAGCTCAGTAAATTCGCCAGGTTGACAGATGTGAGCAACACACGCCTTGAGCTCGAAAAACAAGTGATAAAATCTGGCTCCTTTTGGCTGCTGAGCAGCAGCAGCAGCAGTTGTTGCAGTTGCCATGGTAACAGGAGACACTGGCTGACCATGCGCAGATGTATTCGCAGCATTGGAGGACATGGTGTTGACCGTGCTGGTGCTGGCAGAGCGATCCAGCATGGCGTTGTCTACCAATTTTTTGGTTGGTGTGCTGGTGACGGCACTGGAGGCATGTGTCGCATACTTGAAATGCATGCGGTAGATGGTGCTGAGCGATGCGTTGGTAGAATCCAGTAAGTAGCCCTTGTCAGGATGTCGAATAATCATGTCTTGATTCAACTGGATGTTACTGACAACCATACGATTGATGATCTCTTTACGGAGCTTTGCCAACTCCTCCCTCGACAAAGCCTGATCCAACAACTGTCGACGTGCTTGAAACAGATAATTGATGTGATCTCGCACTGTGTTGAAGGTATTGTACTGACGTTGACTGATAAAGGTATATAATAAACTGTTCCATTCACTGACGCAAGCAGCAATCTCATCCACCAGAGGTTCAGAGCTGCCTGTTACCGTAGACTGATCATAGCGTGCTAAGGGTAATGGAGGTGGGGGTATATGAGCCACTGATTTCTTGACATCAGGTGTCTCAAAATCAAAATTCAAATCGCCAAAACTACCAGGCCGAATGGTGGAGGAGGGTAGGTCGACTGTGTTGTGAATGTAGGATTCTGAGAAAGAGCGAGGCAGGGCGTTCAGTTCTGATAATGGTCTGGATGAGGTGGTGGATGTGTCTCGTCTTTTCCGGTATACAATGGTATCTGCTTCATCTGGATCAATATCGAGGTATTCCTTGATCTGGACATGCGATCTGGGAAAACATCCAATTGGAGCCTTGTTGGGCTTTACACCTTGTTCTGAAGGGCATGATACATAGCCTCGATACCACTGGCCTTGTTGTTCAATGATGAAGAGTTCATCTCCCACTTCCAATGGTATTAAATGGCTGTAATCTTCAGTTTGAGTAGATGCTGACAGATCGACGCTGGAAGTAGAAGCAGTATGAACGGAACTGTCGTCTTGTTGATGTATCGATAAAAGACCCGACGATGGCCTTGTTGAGTTGGATGTTGTAGTGATAGTGCCTGCATTTGTAGCAATGCTGGAAGGAGAGAATGGATAAATCGCAATGCCATGCGCTATTTTTGGTAATGGAAGCCACTTCATACTATTGTGTGTGTGCGTATATAGATGGATTTTTTACTGCTGTTCCATATATGTCAATTAAATAAAATGATATTTCTTTGTTCGCTTCTTCTAAAGTAATCTTATATTACAACCAAACTGTGCACTTCTAGAAAGTCAAATTTTATGAATGTTTATTTTAAAGTTCCGTAGTAAGAATAAGCTTCAAATGTGATTTACCCTTTAAATGTAGATTAAAAACGAATGCAACAGAGTTCGAGATGTTGTGTGAGAGTTGTATGCGCAAGCGGTAAGAGAGAAAGAGAGAGGGGAGAAAAAAAAGGTAGAAAAAGCAAGAGAGATGTGAAAGGAAAGGAAAGATAAAGTTGCGTAGGAAAAAAAATAAAGAGTATACAAAGCGAAATAAACAAGTTTTATTTCTTCGCTGACTTTGAACGACGCTTTGCTTTGCGCAACCTATAGAGATTTAGTGTCTCATCAAAGTCCACTTGATGATTCACCTTTTTTTGCCATTGGATGGCAGGTAATAATTCGACTTGAAATCGCGCCTCTGCCTCCAACATGAATTTATCTTGTGCTGCCTGATTTCTAACTTCACTAATACAAATAATCGTCGTCTTTTCGTCAGACAAATAGTCCATGGTATCCACCAGATCCATGGCACTGGCTTCCGAGTAGATGCAATCACAAGCAACAATGTAATCAATGTCGCCTCCCGCCTTGATGCTGTCCATCTCCTCTACATTGTTCCAGAGCAAGGGGTCTACCACAATAACGTCATTGTCGTAATCATTCTTTCTGCGGCCGTTGATGGATTTGACATGCAATTGATTCGCCTCCACATTCTTCTCCATGGTTTCCAATAATTCCTCAATATCGGTAATCACCACATCCTCAATACCCAATTTGTGCAACATGATGCCAATGAGACCAACACCTGAACCCAATTCAACCCAACGCTTACGACGATCCAAACTGATCCAGCCATGGCGATCTCGTTTGGAACTGAGGCGTTCTAGATATGAGCAAAACACAATCGATGTCAACCAAATGTAGCCGCCCAGATAATTGGAATGGGGGTCCTGAACCAGTACAATGTCGTGAGGTCCAATATGAATCGTCAATGTGTCGGCAGATTGCAATGCCCATCGATCCAGTTTGTGAATGCCTCGCTTGAAGGGCTGTCCGTCTTCCCAGCCTTCGATCGTTGCAATAGGTGGTTCCTCGTCAATGATTCTTTTATCCCTTGCCATGGTCTTGATGATAATCGCGTGTTGCGTGTGTGTGCTTGGTACAGCTGAGTACTCTGCCTATATAGATGAAATCAACTGCTTTTGACACACCTTGTTCTGTGGCATGAAAAGTGGTCAAGAGAAGAAAAAAAGGAAGAGTGAACTTCAAAAAAATTATCATACTATAAGCGGACCATTTTTCGTTGTGGTTTTTGCAGTGCTCTGATGTGCGTTGAAATCAAAAATCCTCTTTATAATGCTGTTGGTTTCGGTTGTCAGTTATTTCGTCGCTTGGACAACCCTTGGCCTTGAAAAATGTCTCTGCTACTCATTGGAAGTTCTTTTGGTCCTTAACGCTTGCCTAGATTCAACCCAATGTAATCTACCGGTTCATCACGGGCTGCATATCTCATTGCATTGCATGATGTCTGTGGTCTCCAAGTCTCACAATTGTCCTGTCTGCTTATCTCTTAACGAACCTGCCAGCCGCCTGCTCTTGGTCGCCCTTCAAAAGAAAGAAAAAGTACCTTTAGCTTCCAACTACCACTAAAGATCCTCTAAAGCTTAACTGTAACCGCCGATCCGACTCTTCTGCGATACCCCACGCTTGTATCAATGAAAATGAATCATGTACGGGAAGATAGCATATTTGCATCATCTCCTACCACTCCAAACTATGCAAAATACAGCCAGAATTGCATACATTTGATACGTAATTTCTCGCGTTAAAAGCCGCTTTAGACTGCCAGAATAGCACCAAACAATTGCTCTCATCTAGGAGTTACTTCCTGACATCTTTGCTCAACTCTTTGAGGACTAAAAAAACATGGCCAAAAATCGGCCAAAAAGCATGAGGTACCCCTCATGGTTTTCATCGAAAATTAAATGATCGCGTTTTTGACCTTGATAACGAAGACTTTTACTAAGGCATACATTAATTCAAAATGTTACCCTCGATTCAACGCAACCCCTGAAACGTCTTTTGTGGAGCTTTCAAATGTGAAATCTCGGTATTTTGGCCAAAAACCGCATTTCATGTTTTCGAAAATTGCTCAGTAAGTTTGTTCAAAACATTTATTATGGTTGATATCATTGGAAGCGTCTTAAAAAAATACCTTAAGAAAGCTTAGGGAAGGATTTTTTTTTTTTTTTTTTTTTTTGTAGGGGAGTCGAGCTCCAGGTTTTATTTAAAGTCCTTAAAATGTCATATTGAGGGAAAGAAAAGACTGTTGGTGGACCCAATGTCTGCAAAGAAGGGGAATAAGATATTTTTGAATTAAGTTGGGAAAGAAATCTACTACTAATAAGGTGCGACACCTAGAGCCAATACAGTCTTGCGGAAATCGTCAAAATATAGATAATGGATAGAGTAAAAAACACCAAACGAGGACATCAGTACTACTTCAAAAAATCAAACAACTTGCGTTCACCAGGATTTGAACCGGGATCCTCCCGTTGGCATACGGGAGTTCTACCACTTCGCCCTACCACCAGGGACAGCTTAGGGAAGGATTGGATTGTTATTACATTTTATATAGTCGAATCTGGAAAAGTAATTTGATCAAGTCGCAAAATAAGCAATTTATCGCCATTTTTAGCAAGAAAAAATAGTCGGAGATTAACCCAGTTTTGGCGGCTGGTAAATGTGATGCCATGCTTATAATATAGGCAATTGATGTTGTTGGAAGCTCGTAAGAAGGGAATTGTGAATCTAAGAGCATTATAGCTTGGCTTAAAAACGCTTTGATTTTTTGGTTGCTCGCTTCTTTCTATAAATTGCCCCCTGCAAATATGAACTCTTATGCGAGACGCAGAATACGATGAGTGTAAGGTCTAGTTTATCGTTCAATACGATGCTCTCTACGCCTGCACGTACTCATCGCATAATATCATATTATAACACACGTTTAGTTTCTAGACACTTTTACAACTCTACTAATATGGAAATTGAGATTCTAGGCATTTTGTCAGGCCTGGCTCATATCATTATAACATAATAAATGTTTAGTCCGTAAACACTTTCAAAGCCTCAAAAAGGAAAGAAGTTGATCTAACAAGTATTTTGATAGACTGGCTCTATTAAGCATAGAATGCAAGGAAAATAGTATGGATATCAATAGTGCTATTTAATTTGCCACCTACTTTCCATACACTTCAAAAGCATCTATTACTGTATTGCCTTCATGGTATAGGGGCATTGAATTTGCCAGCTGGCCCCCCCCCCCACCAGCCAAAATTAATTCTATCCCAGTTTCATTTTTTGTTCTAGATTGGCCAAATCTTGATGATCTTCGACTCGATTGAGCTATTTTGCCAGATTCGACTATATAAAACATCGTAATCCTCAAATGCTTTTTTAAGCTTTCTTGGAGTGCTTTTCAAGGCGCATCCAATGGTGCCAAGTAACGTAGATGTTTTGAATAAACTTATCAAGCAATTTATGAAAATATGAAAAGAGGTTTCTGGCCAAAAAGTCGAAATTTTACATATTAAGGTCCCACAAAAATGATTTTAGAGGTTGCTTTGGATCGATAGAAACATTTTGATCCAATATTTACCATAGTGAAATTATTCGTTATCAAGGTCAAAAACGCAATCATTTAATTTTCGATGAAAACCATGAGGTACCCCTCATGCTTTTTGGCCGATTTTTGGCCATGTTTTTTTTGGTCCTCAAGAAGTTGAGCAAAGATGTCAGGAAGTAACTCCTAGATGAGAGCAATTGTTCGCTGCTATTCTGACAATCAAAAACGGCTTTGAACGCAAGAAAGTATGGCTTGAATGCACCCAGATTTTGCTGTATTAGGCACACTCTTGACTAAAAAGGGATAGTATCTGTATGATACTTGCCCATATATCAAGTAGCTGCGTGTATATGGATGTAGAGCATCACATAAGAATCAAATTCACAGATAATATAAAGGGGTTTCATGTGTAAATAGAGGGTCAACATGAAAGTAGCAGTATTTTGGGAAGATACGCAAAAGCAATCGGTAGCGCGAGCTGCCGCTGCGCATATTGGTTTTCACCGAGGCGAAGCGAAGGTAGAGAGCCATACGAAGCATAAACACTCGTATATACTAATATCATGCTTTCGTCTTTATTTTTTAACATTTATATAGAATTTACATTGTGTGAGTATGATACACCTTTAACGCCATTTGGAGTCATTGATAACTGGTCTGTCACTCTCTTCTTCTTCAGCCTCCTCTTCTTCAGCCTCCTCTTCCTCCTCTTCCTCTTCTCTCTCTGCTTCCTCTGCTTCCTCTGCTTCTTCTTGTGCTTCCTCCTCCTCTTCACGCTCTTCAGCATCTACAAAGGACTCTTGCTCTGGCACATATGCTCTGTGATATTGCTCTGGTGGAGGTCCGTCACGGAAGCTCTCTGATCTATAAGGTTCTTCTTCCATTGCTCTCTGATGTTGCTCATAAGCAGCCTTCTTGCGCTCTTCTTCTTCATCCTCATCCGAATCAAAAGAGCTCTTTACCCAGCTACCAAGGCCAACTGCTGCAGCACCAGCAAGCGCAGCACCACCATATTTCTAATTCAATGCTCATGTTAAACATTGGTCTTTCCAAAGCAATTTTCAGCTTACCATCCAATTAGGCACGCCCTTCTTCTTAGGTGGCATAACAGGAGTAGGTGTATCAACAGTGACAGGTTTAAGTGTATCAACCACAACAGGAGATGGTGTAGCTACAGGCTCGGGAGTGGCAACAGGTGGGGGTACGCCAGCCACAGGTGGTGTATACACGGGTGGTGGCAAGTGAGAATCTCCTCCAGGCATGGATGGTTGAGAATTATAGCGAATGGGCTGTTGAGGAGGGAAATAAGGTGCTTGACCCATACCGTACTGAGCAGGCATAGGCGATTCAGGGCCAAGCGAAGATGTAGAATCTTGTCTTACGGGCTGTTCATGGCTTGGGGTATGGGGAACTTCGATTTTACGTTCTTCAGCTTGGCCATGTTCCTCGTTGTATGAAGGTGGCAAGTTGGTTGGAATGGGAGGTGGAGGAGGTAACCCGTAAGGACTTGCAGTTTGCTGTTCCTGAGTGGATGATGGCTGTAAATTGTTTCGCATAGATTAGCTTATATAACGCACGAGTCTGACATTGACTACGTACCTCGAATGAAAGTCTCATATAGATGTGACCAAGAGGACCGCCTGCAGTTGTTGTAAGAGGAACCCAATCTTCAAACTTTCTCGATTCAAAGACTGTATACAATGGAACCTGAGCTGAACCAATAGGCCCAGGACGAGCGGGATCCTCGTTTATTACATCAAGGTGCAAGGTCTGATCTTGTTCATTTACTTGACTAAAGAAGGCATTCAAATAGATCAGTCATGTTGTTAGGCATGTTTCTCTATACTGTTCCCTTACCAAGTCAATGTATCTTGGTAATGTGGTTCGGGACCACTTGCAGAGTTGGTTCTCTGCTTTTCAGACGGAGAAACATAACAGCCTACAAACGTTTGTGATGCTGCTCACAGCAAGCATCAATACATGCTATCATAATCCCATGATACTGACTTACTAGGGAACCCGTTTTGGGCGAGTCCATGAATTGTCACTGGTGGGTAATGTAAATTGATTAACTCTGGGAAAGATAGACAGATTGAGGTGGCAAACTTACATGGTGAAACTGATAACTTTCCAGCTGGCATTAGTATTCAAATAGAGAAAAGAGGTTGTGTATGCAAGATCAAGTCTTCTGTGTTTGCTCTTATATTTATAATTGAGGAAGTAGGAGACTTAATAATGAGTAATGAGCCACGTTCAATTTATACAAGTATTGGTCATACATCTGCTTATTGATAGAATATAGTAAAGTCATGAGTGATGTTTCTTTATCCCCTTTTCTTCCAGGATTGTTGTGGCAAAACGGAACGATTTCTGTCAATTGCTTCTGGGTTACACAGCTATGTACGTTTGAAGTTTATATTGTGGTCAGTGTTCGTCAGTCTGGCGAACGTATCGATGCATTGCTCTATGATAACCGAGATTTAAACTGCAGCATGGCGTTAGTTTTGAGTACCTCGCGCCTATAAGGTTATCACTGCTATTCAGGTCCTCTACTGTATCTGAGAATACTATCAGCTAACTTTAACCTCTAAAACTACCCGAATCTGCGTAGTACTGTACCCTATTCTTTATTGAGGCAATTAGACGAAACACGTGTAGCATATATAACATACAAATAACCTTATCCAAGCGTAGAAATTCTCTTCCTTCTTCTGAATAGTAGTTCAGGAAGTCGATTGCCATCGTGCACAGCAGCTGCAAAGTAGTCAAGACGGTCACTGTCTCTTTCACTAGATACAATGCATCTTTGAGGTTTAGTATACTCATATTTCATTGCTTGTCCATGAAATTGACTCATGGCGCGCTGTCATAGTTTACTTTCTTTGGAAATGCTATCTCTTAGCAACGGAATTCATAGGTACTTGCCATATAACAATATATACATATATATCTTACTCTAGTTTGACACATTCAAGTCTTTTGTATACATTATTTATTGTTCTTGTACTCGATTTTTCTCTGTCTGGAACGCCCACCAGTATTGACGCGCAGACATTGATGAATGATAAGTTTTGAGCACATCTACATCAGCAAATTTTTCTCAGTAAAAAAGAAGCAGAAACTGGTTTGTTCAGCTGTAGTAAGGCTCAGATACATGGTGCTTGAGATAGGGTACATACAATCTAGCATGGGCATTTTAACGCGTAGATGGGAGGTAAGAGCTTGCCACCTTTTAATGGCGCCTGGGATGAGTCCTAGTGAACATCGGCAACAAATTGGTCTACTGAATCTCAACCAGTCCTTTGGAAATACTGCATAAATTAGGCAAATCTTGCTGCGCAAGATGAAAATCTAGAGATCTTCTTCTGAAGCGATTGAGCGACTGTGCGTAATATGAAACAGTGGGATATGAAAACCGAGAATTGCATATCGAATCCGCCCTGGATGACAATGAAAAATGTAGATGAAAACCATTGGTACAATCAGGCCAATCTCGTATGAAATAACCAATGATAACTCTGCATCATTACGCAAATTGGGAACAAGATAGCGGAATTCCTTTGATAAATGTGGATCGAGCAAGACAATTCAAGCAACATGAATCAAGCAGATTAAAACAAAAAAATAAAAGCATGAAATTTAATGAAAATGAGTGATTTTCTGTTCAAATCAAGGGCTATATTTTTTTATGTACAATTAGAAAACAAGTGCTATATTCCAGACTGGACTCTGGGTTAGGGATGAGATTGCTTAGTTGTCTTGTTCTTGAGTGGCATCCTCTGCTTCATCGTCAGCTTGTTCTTGCTTGGATAAAAGATTAGGGTCTTTCTCAATAACAAGGGCACGGAGCCACTTTGCTTCCATTTCGAGTTCTTTGACTTTGGATTCGAGTTTCTCAACATTCTCGGCCATTTCCTTGGTTGTCTTTTCCAATGCTTGCTCACGGAGCTTCTTCTTCATACGGAATCTAGCAGAAGCAGCTGTGTTTCTGCGTCTCTTGTCATCATCTACACTTAAATCAGACTCGTCTTCATAAGGACGCTTCTTGCTGTTGGATTCCAATAACTGGATGCCGCTTGGAGGTCCAGGAGCAGGTGCAATACGAGGCAGATTAGATGCAGGTACAGGAGACATGTTGTGGTTGTAGTATCCAATTGATGGCTGTGGCATGACATTGGGCTGAACTAGAGGTGAGAGGTTAGACGCTATAAAGCTCTAGTGCTTAATCTTTGTGCTTACTAAGTTGGGTCAATTTGGTAAATGTTTGGAACAGATTTTCATCCTTCTTGTCGTCTTCACCAACTAAGGCAGAGCCTGGAGTGGTATCAAAACTGAACTGAGCATTTGCCCATAAAGCTAATTCTTCCTGAAATACTTCTTCGTTGATCGGAGCAGGTGAATCTGCGTTGAGCAGATTTAAGGACGATATGTATGACATCGTTGAAGAATAGTCAGGACAACCTTTATAACATCCAATCTCAAAATCAAATTTCGTTTAAATAATGTGGATTTACCTCCACTGAGTCAAAAAAAAGTAGTCCATGAAGACCAAATCAACCATTGTGTGAGCAAAAAGACATTGATTATTGGATTTGTAATTGGCGGAGATCATCTATCTCTAAAAAAATCGAGATGAAGAGCATCATCATGCCGTATTAGGACGGTGCATGGTTATCAATTTTACCGTGCGGTGGAGCGTGAGTGTGTTTATCGTCTCCTCAAGAGCAGCATCTCACTTTAGAATGCTTATAAGAGATGCCTCAGAAAACCCTTGCAAATGAATTATTGAGAAGCTAGAGTATACATGAAGTTTGTGTTTCAAAACCAAGATGAGAGGTGTTGTCTGCATAAATTAAAAAATTACACTTGATGCTTCAACACAGCTGCAAACAGCTTTGTATTTTAAAGCACCTCCTACTAAGTGTTGAAATTTAGAATAAATATTATAAATACAAGTGTGTATGCTTGGAATGGCTCTCTACCTTCGCTTCGCCTCGGTGAAAACCAATATGCGCAGCGGCAGCTCGCGCTACCGATTGCTTTTGCGTATCTTACCAAAATACTGCTACCTTCATGTTGACCCTCTATTTACACATGAAACCCCTTTATATTATCTGTGAATCTGATTCTTATGTGATGTGATGCTCTACACTCATATACACGCAGCGACTTGATATACGGGCAAGTATCATACAGATACTATCCCTTTTTAGTCAAGAGTGTGCCTAATACAGCAAAATCTGGGTGCATTCAAGCCATACTTTCTTGCGTTCAAAGCCGTTTTTGATTGTCAGAATAGCAGCGAACAATTGCTCTCATCTAGGAGTTACTTCCTGACATCTTTGCTCAACTTCTTGAGGACCAAAAAAAACATGGCCAAAAATCGGCCAAAAAGCATGAGGGGTACCTCATGGTTTTCATCGAAAATTAAATGATTGCGTTTTTGACCTTGATAACGAAGAATTTTACTATGGTAAACGAGCCTTTCAGCACTTCGGGTGGTTTCCTGACCTACGCTTCGCTTCGGTGGAAACCAACCTACGTTCAAACGGCTCGCGCTGCCGCGGGCCTTTGGCTAATATCCCAAAATTAATATAGCTAAAATGTTAGAAGAGGAACCCTGATTGTTGATTGATATATAATCACTAATCATATGAGTGTTTATGCTTCGGATGGTTCTCACCGAAGCATAGCGAAGGTAGAGAACCAACCTGCGCAGCGGCAGCTCGTGCTACTGATTGCTCTTGCGTATTTTATCAAAATACTGCTACTTTCATTTTGACCCTCTACTTACACATAGTAACCCTTCATATTATCTGTGGATCTGATTCTTATGTGATGTTCTACACCCATATACACGTAGATACTTCATATACGGGCAAGCAGCATACTGATATTCCCACTTTTTAGTCCTTAGTGTCCCTAATACAGCAAAATATGAGTGCATTTGAGCTGCATTTTCTTGCGTTCAAGGCCGTTTTAGATCGTCAGAATAGCCCCAAATGGTTGCTTTCATCTGGCAGTTACTTTCTGACACTTTTGCTCGACTTTTTGGGGACCAAAAAAAACATGGTCAAAAATCGACCAAAAAGCATGAGGTACCCCTCATGGTTTTCATCGAAAATCAAACGATCGCATTTTTCACCTTGATAATGAAGACTTTTAATATGGTATATCTTGAATCAAAACGTTTCTATCAATCCAAAGCAACCACTGAAATCATCTTTGTGGGACTTTGATATGTAAAATTTCGACATTTTGGCCAGAAACCTCTTTTCATATGTTTACAAATCATTCAATAAGTGAATTCAAAACATCTATATAACTTGGTACCATTGGAAGCGCCTTGAAAAGTACTCCAGAAAAGCTTAAGGAAGCATAGGTGATTATCATACTTCACTTAGTCGAATCTGCAAAAATAGCTCGATCGAGTCCAGAATCATCAAAATTTGTCCAATCTGGAACAGACTATGATTCTGGGTTTGAATTAATTCTGGCTGGTGGGGCCAGCTGGAAAACTCATGCCCTTTTCATATGGCAATACAGTAGTAAATGCCCATGAAGCGTATAGAAAGTAGGTGGCAGGTCATAGCGCTATCATTTATGATGCTATTTTATTGCCTTCCATATCGTTCATAATGATATTTTATTGCCTTCTATATTTAATAACGTTAGTCTGGACATTGACGATGCATGGGTTGCATAAAATGTCTGCAGTAAGTAATGAAATATCTGAGGCTCTGAGACGTCGCTCAAATAAAACATTGACAGCATTGAGCAGAGGAAAGAGGGTAGAAATTACAGTGGTTTTTGTTGATTGATTGTAAAATCATTATTCTCATATGAGCCAGGTCTGGTAGATGCCTTGAAACTCAGGTTCCATATTAGGGTTGTAAAGTGCAAAAGTACTGAACATTTATTATGTTATGATATTGGATCAAAATGTTTCTATCGATCCAAAGTAACCTCTGAAATTATCTTTGTGGGACCTTAATATGTAAAATTTCGACTTTTTGGCCAGAAACCTCTTTTCATATTTTCATAAATTGCTTGATAAGTTTATTCAATACATCTACGTTACTTGGCACCATTGGATGCACCTTGAAAAGCACTCCAAAAAAGCTTAAAAAAGCATTTGAGGATTACGATGTTTTATATAGTCGAATCTGGCAAAATAGCTCAATCGAGTCGAAGATCATCAAGATTTGGCCAATCTAGAACAAAAAATGAAACTGGGATAGAATTAATTTTGGCTGGTGGGGGGGGCCAGCTGGCAAATTCAATGCCCCTATACCATGAAGGCAATACAGTAATAGATGCTTTTGAAGTGTATGGAAAGTAGGTGGCAAATTAAATAGCACTATTGATATCCATGCTATTTTCTTTGCATTCTATACTGAATAATGCTAGTCTATCAAAATACTTGTTAGATCAACTTCTTTCCTTTTTGAGGCTTTGAAAGTGTCTAGTGGAGACCATAAATTTATTACACTACGATGAGCCTTTTGACTCTTTGGGTGGTTTCCTGATCGACGCTTCGCTTAGATGGAAACCAACCTATGTTCAGGTGGTTCACGCTGCCGCGGACCTTTGGCTAATATTGCAAAATTAATAATAGCTAAAATATTAGAAGGGACTTGATTGTTGAACATTTATTATGCTATAATTATGAGTGGAATAAAATTGCCTGCCTTAAATTTACATTCAAACTCACAGTTTTTCGGGCATAAATGATATATGTTATATACGGCCGTTTAGCATTGAATCATGTCATAGACTGATATCATATGCAATAAATATGCATGTAGCACAAGCGGAAGCAAACAATAAGCTATACAGATATCATGGTAGTGATGAATTGAAATACAGTATGTTCTTTCCAACTACTAGCATCATCAAAAACGCTCTTTGTCGGTAATTCAGGTACCCGAATCATAAAAAGGAGGGCTTTACTAGAAAGAGCAAATCTATCAATTAATATAAGGGAGAATCCGTTTTTTTTTTTTTGCTTTAGGCAGAATATAGTATTTAGTGATACATATACAAAACGATAAATCGTTCCCTGTTTTTTTTTTTTTTTTCTTTTGCACACTACTCTCTTCTTTCTTTTTTTCTTGTATTTCCTGATATTTATGCTTTTACAATTTCAACAAGGAAATAGTGAAGATCTTTGGAGTGTAATGTACATGTGTCAAGCGCATTTTCAACAGTCAATTAATATGTATACAGTACAGTTCAGATGATTTATGGAGGTCAAGCTCTGTAGCAGCTTTTTCTCAAAACAATAACAGCAACAGCAACACGGATGAAAGAACTCCTTTATTGAACAAGATTATTATACCCTCAGCCGCAAGAGTGAGTAAATGGACTGAATCCTTTTATAAGCGTGCTTTTATATTAAATATACTACCTGTCGTAGTGGTATGTATATCATTGCTGTATGGCCAAATTGCTGTTTGAATGACATCCAAATAGGTGTTGATATGGTGCTCCGTGCCTATTCCTTTTGACGACTGTGACACCATACTGTGCGAATACTTTGACTACATCAACACTGCTCCTGCTGTATCCACTGCAGCGTTAACATCACCGCCCAGTCGAATCAACTTTTGGTTCTTTCTCTTTTGGTACTATGGAATATACAATGCTGTTGCACTATTCCTCATGACAAAGCTGTTTAGCATTTATGCTTTAAATGTACGTTATCATGCTATTACATCGCTTGACACAAGACGTATTAACCGTTTTTGAAATTAGTGGTATCCGAGACTTTTAGGCGCTAAAATGACATTTGCCTTATTCTGGATGATCAGCCAGACCATAGGCATCGTATTTTACTTTGTGCCTATCATGAACGATGAATCTGTGTTTTGGGTCAGTCTAACCTTTTTCACCATGTCAATGCCTGTGATAGGCGCTCTTGTGATTATCCATAGAAAGAGGATGGACCGTCGACATCGAGGAAGAGTGGGTGTATTGCTGTCTACATCCACACCAGGAGATGGCGATTTTTCAACAAGACGAAAGAGTGCAATCATGGGATGGATCCCAACTGATTTACCACGACTGAGAGCGCCCGCATCGTATAGACGATTCTTATGGTTTTGTACAGCGTTGACCATTGCATTACTAGCGCTGGTAGGAGGAGAGATGTACGCCTACTTGTTTTTATCAACAATGCCTCATACATCGCTGGATGCTTTTATCTATGTGTACAGTTGGGTAGCAGCTATCTACATTATGGATGCCATGACAGACTATATTTTGTATCGCAAAATAAGATCTCATCCTTTGGCAAGCATCTTCAAGCTTTACTTTTTCATGATTTACTTTATATTTTACCGAAACCTGTTTGCTAGACTGCGTTCTGTGGATCAATTTGCCATTGTACAGCTTGGATCGTTCTTATGGGTCTGCATCTACTATCCGATTGCAATGACACCTCAAGTCCACAAAGCACTGGTTCGGTTCATTGGAGTTACGTTGACGTACGATGAATACAAGGAAAAGCTGGGCAGATCATTCTACTTGAGAAATCTGGCAGAGAACACAACCATGATTGGATTTCTATGCTGGGTGAATATCCTTCATTTTGGGCCGAATCGAGCAGCGTATCCCTACTTTCATATGGACGATAAAGATGGAAACCCGTATAATCACCAACTCACAGTGATTGCAGCGATTATTATTTGGACCAGCGAGTTGACAAGTGCCTACATCACTCGACAAACCTTCAAAAAGGCCTTTAATCACTCCATTACGCACCAAGCAGTGCGAGAATTCGAAAGATACCCAGAAATGATTATTGGATTTGTGCTTGTAATGATCCATGTGCTGCAAAACATCTTGATGGCACTGGTGAAATTGGATTTTACAGCAAATTTAGAAAAAGCTACTTGAGTTTACACACCCGCTCACTGTATATACCATTTAAATTACTTTATTTTTTGATACACAAGGAAGAATAAATTATAAAATACCAGAGTCTTTTAGTGCATTTTGCAAGATGGTCTCCTTGATGGCAGCAAACACCAGACGAATCTAAAAATGAGGGGATGGCATGATTGTCAATTTGGATTAATTATCAAAAAGACAATGAAGGCTTACATTGGATGTGTCCGTTGCTTGCGTTAGGCTAGTTGTTATATGAATGAATATACGCGTTTTCGAGTTATGCAAACATCATGTACTTACTGAGGGTATATATTCAACTTTGCTCTGTTCATTTGATTGAAGCGCCATAGTATGTATTTAGCTGCTTTTCCAGGATCGTCTCCACCTGTATAATCAGGGAAAAACTGGTCAAAGGGGACTCGAGGTAATTTGGCTTTAAATAGATCTATCTTGTTTAAAAACAATACAATGGAGGTGCGTACAAACCAGCGACTGTTGATCACCGATTCAAACACTACCAAGCTTTCAATCATTCGGTTCTGACGGCCCTCTTCTAATAACACTTGGTCGTATTCGCTTAAAGCGACGCAGAATATGATGCTTGTTACTGATTCAAAGCAATGGATCCATTTTTTTCTTTCCGATCTTTGTCCGCCCACATCAAACATGCTACATGTAAATCAATAAATAGGGAGAAGTGATAGTAATAGCATACAATACTTGCTGTATGGTAAGTTGATTTCCAGCATTAAACCTTGTTTCTGTTATTCCTGTTGTTTTAGATCGAGCAAACAGCACGTCCTGAACAGTAGGTATATAGTCTTCCTCAAGTGCTATTCGTCTCACATCATCCAAGAAACTAAAAATGACGTTTATGAATGTTAGCCCATGTGTACAACAATAACAATCAAAGCAACTTACTACGGTGCCGAATCCATCAAGTAAAACTTGCCTGATTCCTGGTCGATCATTTTTGTAACCACAGGGTCGTTCCATAACTGAATGATAATGAAAGCTATCTCAGGATCAAATCCTTTTGACTCATCGTTACTGACGCTGTAATTCATGAGTCTATCCAATGCGTTCTAGTAGAAGGTAAGCACAGGCAATGATAGGAAGCATGCAATATACACTCATTACCGGATCATCCAGCGTCTCAAATTCGTATTCAAACCTTTCTGCTGCTGATATGATAGCCTGTATGGATTCAATGATGTTTTTGTATACAGTCAATCTCCAAGTTTTCAATTCTTCTTGTGAGTATCCGTTCTGATGAATAATCTTCATTTGCTTGACAATGGTGGATTTGCCTGATTCTCCACTCCCCAGTAGCAGGATCTTGCATTCTCTTGTCAGACGTTTGCTGTCTTCTTCTAATTCACGGTCAATGCGTTGGCTCTTTTCGCGTTCTGCTCTCTCTTCTGCTGACAAACATACTCCCATTTTTATATCCGATGTTGTCGATTCAGGTACCAAAATTACGAAAAAGAGATCAATCAATGTAGATTTATAAAGGAAAAAGAGGTGAAGAGAGAGGGACTGGAGGAGTGGAGTTTTTTTTTTTTTATATATAAATCAATTACAAAAAGGAGTAAAAAACAAGAAAGATCAAATATATCAAATAGCATAAGACGTGCTGCCGATTTACCTTTTACGAACATAAAAGTAATGAAAATGAATGCTTTATTTCGAAATTAAAATATAACTTAAACTGAAGATTGGGTGATTTTTGGTGTCAAATTTACAAGTTGTGACCAGAGATGAAGAACCACTTGTCAACGGAGCCATCAATAGGGGCAGCAGGTTGAGGAGAGGCCTATATAACAATTCGATAAGCTACACTATCATAGTCAATACAACATGTTCAACTTACTGCAGGGACATCAACAGAGTCAACCTTATAGGGAGAGTCTTCAACAGCAGTGTTGACACTGAATCACATATGATTAACTCGAATACAGGCACAGACAAACTACACACACTTACACTTCAATATCCTTCTTATCGGCAGAACCAGAGATGAGAGACTTCCAGGCTTCATGAGTGTCAAGAACGACATCGGTGGCATACTTCTTGTTCTTGGCTTCACCACTGAAAGCGAAAACGTTCTCAGGCTTACCATCGGGGATTTTGTAGATACGGAACCATTCATTGGTAGCACGAACAAGACCAGGAAGGTGCTTCTCAACATCTTCGATATCTGTAAAGAGAGCAGTCGATCAATTAAAAAAAAGTTCCGTCGCATCTCCCAATATGCAGCTTTCTTGCGTCTATGTATCCCCTTCTCCTGTGCACAACAATCCCTTTATCATGGAAAAATGACTTACCGTTCAACTTGGGGGCCAAAGGATCGTTGACATCAATGGCGAGGACCTTCCAATCGGTCTCACCCTCATCCAAAAGAGCCATGACACCGAGGATCTTGACTTGCTTGATTTGACCGGGAGTGGCAACTTGCTCACCAATTTCAATGACATCAATAGGATCGTTATCACCGCGAGCCTTGGTCTCAGGGTGAGAATGGTTAGGATCTTCCCAAGTCTAATTTAGATTACATTTAGATTGGTGTTGTAAACAAAGCAAAAACTAAACTTACTTGAGGGAAAGCACCATAGTTCCAGATGTAGCCCTTGTGGGGGAAACAGTTACGGACGAATCTGAGCTTACCCTTCTTGGTATCTTGAACAATGGGGTTCATGGCAATTTCCTTACAGATCTAGTTGTCAAGATGAGTATCGACGCGTTTTTTTTTCAGCCTTAAATCACATGTGTTTACCTCGAGCTTAGCGTTGGTCCAACGAGGAATTTCAACAACCATGTTGAAGACGGTCTTCTCGGCATTGGCGAAGAGAGGAATGTCATGGAAAGGGGAAACGGGGACACCGTTCTTCTCTGTTGGATGCAACACAGATATGATGAGTTTGTGTTGCACATCTGGCCAGATCTAACTCCCAATGCTTACCAAAATAGAGCTTGTATTCGAGAGAGTTGAGGGCACCAACTTGGCGAGTGGTAATGTCAGCCATTTTTCAAAATAAGAAAGAGTCAATGAAGAAAAAGAAAAGAAGAACTAGGGTTTTCAAAGTGTCCTTTTGATATTTAATTAACACAATATTTGATGACGCCACATGGTTGGTTTGTATAATTCATCCAATAACTAGATGCTATGAGCACGAAATTTGCTACAAAGATTCACGCGATAACAGCTAATCCCATCAGCAGCAACTCAGCCAAACTCTTGATGCGCTCGTATTGCTTCTTTATGGAAGTTGTCTTTCTAGGATTTCCACGAATTGAAATCAGCGTGCCTTATTGCACCATTTAGACTTCAAACATAGTTACAATAAGCATAATCCTTTAGCCTTGGTATACAAGATGGATGTAAAGGGAATGCCCATCAATCAAACAACTTTCAAGGACCGAGCGGAAGTTTACATCTATGTTTATCATCCCATCTACACAATTGCTGTTGATGGCAACCAGAAATTCGCAAGCCCATGACTCAATAAAATCGTGTAACATTAATACTCCCTATCTTTGTTACTGAAATCGAGATGGATTGTCGATACAATTTCAATACAAAGAGTGCACGGACAAATATTCCGAGTGATCCATGAGAAACTATCATTACAACAAATAAAGCACTCATCTTTGGTATTTTTCTAGTAATGATTAGCAGAACCATATTCATGTGCTGACTGTGCAATTGGCCCTTGCTAAAGTATGTCATTAACAGAATGCACAAAGCCATTTTTCCCGCATGAAATAATTTAGCCCAAAGAGCTTCTGCCAATTTTCATAGTATTTGTGAGCCATGGCCAAAAACTTTTCAATCAGCTGATTTGACAAGTTTTTTGTATACAAGAGCAACACGACAACATGTGGTCTAAAGCATAGTGATTGATGAGCAGCCCAAAAACCACGTATATTTTTCATTGGAGTTTTTATATATATAAAAGTATTTTGACAATCAACCTATAGTCTAGCATTACGGAAAGAAACACTAGTCCTCAAACGATCGTCATAGCCCGTGAAGGCCATTAATCTTGCAAGCGCTACATAAGCGGCACACCTCAAAGCTATGGATGAGCAGTGAAGTGTATAATGCGAATGAACTTGCGTGTTTGGAACAACAAAATGTAAACACCAACATTACGAAAAAGATAAAAAGACCCCAACATGTGGTAAAAGAATACTTTTATGTAATAGTAAAAAGCAAAATCGAATCTATCTAATGGATACAAACCTTGAAAGAAGAACACAACGCGTTGAATAATTTTTCACAGTTCAAAATTTAACTTTATATGTTTGTTCTTCGTAAGCCACCCAAGTATGAAAAAGCAAAGCCGTCTTGAAATTTATGGCTTAGATTTTTCTGCTCTGAACATAAAACGTTTGCAATGTTGATAGCATATAATGCTAATGGAGTTTTTATTTGTGTAGTAATCATGATTCTTTATCTTTATTTATGCTGCTTTGGTGTGTGCAATGACAGATATTATATCTCATAATGATACAGTATAAAGATGAAGTATCTGCTTGTTCATCATATGTCAGTTCCTTTCTTGGCAGCTTTCGCAAGAGCGGATATGCAATTTTTTGCACTGTCTTCAAATTACCGCTTTTAGCAAAAGTGCTTTTCCATCTCCAAGGTGTTGATTTACGGGCTGAAGCTTGCAAGAGGCTTGCAAAAAAAAATCCAGCTTTTAAAGCTGTGTTTAAAATGGTAGATCAGATTGTGTACCCCTGAACGGAGTTAAAATGTCAAATAATTTCTATTTTTGTATGCGGTGTATGAATATTGAGCCTTCAATGAAGCTGTTTTGTCGATAGTAGCTGGTTCTTCGATGCGAATTTGACATCATCTCTCAATGTTTTCAAGTCATATTTGTATCTGCTTTTTTTGAAGTATAATACTCAAGCTCAATGTAACTCCCTTCTTGATTACCGATATATTCATGTGAAATACGGCTGCCTTTGCGATTGTTAATCGAGTTGGCATTCAGGGGCGTGTAGAGATATCCCATATGAAGTAATTTCAGCAATCTTGCTTTGAGGGTTTCTTAAAAGAAGCGTATACGGGTAGAATGCACGCACTGGAAGCTCATAGTACGTACCTTAATATAGCTTATCCCTCGTTTTACTTGAAAGCGTGATGATTTTTGTCAATTACAAGCATACGTGAATGGGAATAATATATACATCTTTAGACATAATGCAATGCAGTGAAATGTGCATGAAACCAGGCGTATTGACAAGTGAGTTGATATGAAAATTTCAAGCATTGATGAGTCTTTCACATGTTTTTTGAACATGAATACGTATTTCGTCCCGAAATATGCCTACTGCTGTACGAATGCTTTGTTGGGCAACACTCGAGTCAAACTCTGTCCACTTCAATATTAGCTGTTCTTTGATTTCCACAAAGGAGGCTATATTTATACCTTGAGGTATTAAAAAATTCAAAAAGAAAAAGACCCAAAAATGTAATAATAAAGTTGTGTTCAACAATGGTATTAATTTCTGTGATTCTGGATGACCAATTCGCCAATTTCTTCCGATAATGGGATACAAACCAGTTTACATAACCAATCACAAAATTAAACCGAGAAATGGACACTGTCCATGCATGCAATCCCTTTGAGAGTAATTGAATCTACTGGGATCTGAGAAATATAGTAGTAGCATAAACGTAATCTAACTAAAAGATTCTAACTTCCAGAGAGATAACGGCAAATGCATAATAGCTCGTTGAGCTGTATTTCTCCGTCAATTCTTAGTGGGATGTAGTTGAATTTGATAAAGTAAGTGACCATGTCAATAATGTTAAGCGACGGCAATTTTATTCGATAGAATAGAGTACGTGTAGACATCATTCAACAAGTATACGAATCCAAATCGGTTTTTTCTTTAGGCTTCTTTTTATTCATCATCTTTAAACTATGACCTTGTGTACAACAAACATTGCGTAACGTAGCAATTGGAATTACCCCGCTTTTTTTCATGGCCCATCAAGTCAAACTTTGCTGCTGCTGATTGGGTTCATGTGGATGGATCAAAGAGAAAATCTTAAATGGTTTTTTTCGTGGGTAAAAAAACATTAAAACAAGATATCTTCCTTCTCCCTCCTTTGATGACGGATGTGGTGTGCATAACTAAATATTAAGAAACATCATTATTAGAATATCCACTGCACAATGACATGCAAACACGTCGCTATTGGTGTATTGCACATCTAGTTTCTTTAAAATACCATATAAAGCTATTTTAAAATGTTTGATCACATATGTAACTTTATGCGTGTATTCCATATTGGTCATCAAAAATTGGAATGTTTGAAGGGAGAGAAAGCAAATTTATCTTTTGCTCTCCATAATCTTTAACCGGGATTTTTTCTCAAATGAAAGAGAAGGCGATGGGCGGAAGTTTAACTCCTATCGTTTATACCCTTTTGTTGAAATCAACATTTATACTATACGTCATGGAGAATATCGGTATAAATTGATTGTTATTGGTGTACAAACGAGATAATGGAATTTAAAATACTAATTTAGTTTATAGCTTGTATAATTCAAATCATGGATTGAAAAGCGATGAATTCAAAGAGTGAGAAAGCAATAGAAAACTCGCATTTTAATACGAAGGATATTACCGTAATCTATAGTCAATTACTTCCGCATTTCCATCAGTCAAGTCCATGTGAATATGATAAAACAAGCATGTGATACCATAAAAAAAGGTTGTAAAAAAGTTAACTCGGTGGACTAGCAGTCCTTAAAGTTATTAGATTAGAAAGCAATCAAGCATCTCAAAGGCAAAGTATAAATAAACCTAGCTGTTAATTTTCCATTTTGTCTTGTTTTGCTTCTTCTTTTTCTAGTCTAATCATCATCTATAATGTCTGTCTTGTCTCAAACTGCAAAGCTCATCAAATCTAGCGTCCCTGGTGTCGCTGTCTTGGCACCTGTCACCGCTGCCGAAGCTGAAATCCTCTCTCCTCAAGCTTTACAATTTGTTGCAACTCTTCAACGTATTTTCAACCCTACTCGCAAGACATTGTTGCAAAAGCGTGTGCTCCGTCAACAAGCTCTTGATCGTGGTGTCCTCCCCGATTTCTTGCCCGAGACCGCTTTCATTCGTAATGACCCCAACTGGCGTGCTGCTCCTCCCGCTCCTGGTCTCCAAGATCGTCGTGTTGAAATCACTGGTCCCGTTGACCGCAAGATGGTTATCAATGCCTTGAACTCTGGAGCCAAGACCTTCATGGCTGATTTCGAAGGTAAAATAGCAGATCAATTGAGATTTTCCAACTCGATTCACATCATTAAACCTATTCCATTAGATTCCACCGCCCCTACTTGGGAGAATGTCATCTCTGGTCAAGTCAACATGCGCGATGCTGTTCGTGAGACCATTGACTTCACCAACCCCAATGGCAAGAAGTATGCACTTCGCAAGGATGGTCAACTCGCTACTCTTCTCGTCAGGTAAGACCCAAAATTTCCTTTTTGAGAGTCGTGCGTGGAGTACTATCATGTGAAATACTCGATTGTTTGGGATGAAAAAAAAAAAACTCGGATACACACACTTGATTCATGGGCTTCATACACGGCGATTTCCGATGTGAATATCATTGGCTAACAGTTCATCTCTCACCCATGTAGACCTAGAGGTTGGCACATGCTTGAGAAGCACGTCCTCATTGACGGTGAACCTTGTTCTGCTTCAATCTTTGATTTCTCTCTCTACTTCTTCCACAATGCCAAGGAACTCGTCAAGCGTGGTAAGGGTCCTTACTTCTACTTGCCCAAGATGGAGTCTCACTTGGAAGCTAGGTAAGCATTTGTGCAATCATTCTGCATGATACAAGTTACTAATTCATGCCAATAGACTCTGGAACGACATCTTTAATGCCGCTCAAGATATGATCAACATTCCTCGTGGTACTATCCGTGGTACTGTCTTGATTGAAACCCTTCTTGCTGCTTACGAGATGGACGAAATCATCTACGAACTTCGTGATCACTCTTCTGGTTTGAACTGTGGTCGTTGGGATTACATCTTCTCCTTCATCAAGAAGCTCCGTAACCACCCTGAATTCGTCTTGCCTCAACGTTCTTCTGTCACCATGACTGTTCCTTTCATGGATGCCTATGTTCGTTTGTTGATTCAAACTTGTCACAAGCGTGGTGTTCATGCTATGGGTGGTATGGCCGCTCAAATTCCTATCAAGAACAACGCTGAAGCCAACACTGCTGCTATGACCAAGGTTCGCAACGATAAGCTCCGTGAAGTCACTGCTGGTCATGACGGTACCTGGGTTGCTCATCCTGACCTTGTCAAGATTGCTCTTGAAATCTTCAACGAACACATGCCTACTCCTAACCAACTTCACATTCGTCGTGATGATGTCAAGGTCTCTGCTACTGATTTGATAGACATCAACTTTAAGGGTACCATCACCGAAGATTCCATCCGTGAAAACATTCAAATCGGTTTAGCTTATATGGAAGCCTGGTTAAGAGGTGTTGGTTGTGTGCCAATTCACAACTTGATGGAAGATGCTGCTACCTATGAAATCAGTCGCTCTCAATTATGGCAATGGGCTCGCCATCAACCTACCACCGTCGAGGGCAAGAAGGTTACTGGTGAACTCAACTTGAAGTTGCTCGATGAAGAGATTGAGAAGATTAAGAAGCAACTTGGTTCCAAGTACGCAAACACAAAATACGAAGCTGCCAAGGCCGCCTTTGCCTCTAACCTCACTGGTGAGAGATACGATGACTTTGTCACCACCATGTTGTATGATTCTATTGTCACTGTCAGCCCTCAAGCCAAGTTATAAGGATGTCGACCTCTTTACCCCACTTCCTTTCATTCCCCCCCTTTTTACGCAAATTGTACTTTTTACACACTCCCAAAATACTTGAATACGATGTTATTTCACTCAATGTAAAATAAATCAGAAATATTATTGAATTACATATAAAACTGCATGTGGCGATATTTTTAGTGATTTTGAAATGCTAAATTTGTTAATGTAAAGCGTTTCTAAAGCCTTGATCAGAAAACTGAGCCTATATACTGCATATGTTTTAGTCATAATATAAGCTAACTGACATTATCAGATATAAACCTGCGCATCAGAACCAAAAAAGAAAAAAAAAATGTATCCAAACTTAGTGATGGTGCTCTCGCCAAAGCCAAACTTCATTTAATGTTCGACTTTTTTTCTGCAACGATTCGTTGATTTCTGAACTTTTTGAGCTTGATTCGACCTATTTTGCCAGATTTGACTAAGTAAACTGTCGTGATAATCTTATGCTTCCTTAAGCTTTTCTGGAGTATTTTTCAAGGCGCATCTAATGGTACCAATTATAAAAGGCCTTTTGAAGAAGCTTGTCGAGCAATGATATAAAATATAAAATTAGGTTTTGGTTCAAAACGTCGAGATTTTGCATACCAAGGTCCCACAAACTAAGTTTCAACGTAACTCTAGACTGATAAAATCATTTTGATCTGATATATGCCATAGTAGAAGTCTTCGTTTTTGAGATGAAAAACACAATCGTTTGATTTTCAACAATTTCCATGAGGGGGCTTTTGTCGAATTTTGGCAAACCCAAAAATATTGAGCAAAGGTGCCAGAAAATTAGTGCTAGATTAAAGCAACCATTTAGTGCCAATCTGACGGTCTAAAAAGGCTTCCAACGCGAGAAATTGCTCCTCAAATACATCGACATTTCGCTGTATTTCGCATACTTTTGAGTAGTAAGGGGCAATGCAAGTATGCTGTCTACCTGAATATGGATTGTTCTCATTGATAATGATGTGGAGCATTGTAGAAAAGTTAAATCCACGGTTGACGAGGGTTGGCAATTGATAGTGGAAGCTTCAAAAGCTCACAACAATAATATGATACATGTTCAATAAAGCTTACAGTAAGAGCTGGACAAAGGTAAAGATCAAGAATTTGAAGACACTTTGAGGAGACTACTCTAATGAAATGCGACGATACACACTATTTACGCAATGGATGGAGCTCATGACTCTGAGAAATCAATTTAATAATATTTATAGCAAAAAATGATTTGATGACAATTCTATTACAATTCTTTCTTGTCTTCTACCACAATGGGCTTATCTTGAGTAGGAGCAATACCAAGAGCCTTTAATCTCTCTACCAGGCTGGGATGAGAATGGTTCCAGGCCGAGTACCAAGGATCCACATTGAATCCACCAAGATTCTTGACACTCAATTTAATTAAAGCACTACGCAAGGTTGAGGCATAACCCAACTTGAGAGCATAGGCATCAGCCTCGTATTCGTTCTTGCGTTGATACACATGTTGCAAGAATCCAATCACACTTTCAATGGGGGAATAGATGAACTGGAACAACAAGAAACCAATCAAGGTAGGCATGGTATTGAATCCAAAGTCTTGATAAAGTTGTTTGTTGTGGATAAAGAAGGAGAACAACCAGAAAATGGACAGCAAGTACACTTGGTTGACAGCAAGTAACTTGAGCGTGTGGCCCATCTTCCAATGACCGAGTTCGTGAGCCAATACAGCGCAAATCTCATCCGTGTTGGAGTGGTCAATCAAGGTATCGTACAAGACAATGTGCTTGTTCTTGCCAAAACCGTAAAAATAGGCATTAGAGTGACCAGAACGCTTGGATCCATCAATGACGTACAATTTCTTCAGAGGGAAATGGATGCGAGCTGCTAATTCCTCAATGCGAGTTCTTAATTCACCATCTTCCATAGGCGTGAGTTTGTTGAAGAAGGGCTGAATAAAGGTGGGATACACAGTGATGATGATGAGTTGGAAGGCCATGACGATCAACCAAACATAAAAGAAAAAGTTGTCACCAGTGGACTTGATGATCCACAGGAATGCTGACATGAAAGGGAACATGAGCACTGCCATGATGAGTTGAGACTTCAAGAGATCGACAAAGTACAGCTTGAGGGTTTGGTTGTTGAATCCATGGCGTTGCTCGACAACAAAGGTGGAATATAGACTGAAAGGCATCGATGTGATGGTGGAGATCAAGGTGAAGAGGGTGAGGAAGACAAGTGAATGAAGAATCTATTAGAAAAAGTCAGAGGCCAGTGTGTTGTCCAGCAGCTTGTAGATTTATACCTCATATTCAGCACCGTAACCAGCAACCTTGAACAATATATTACCAGCAATATCCCAGATTTTGGGAAGTCCATCATAATGAAGCATCAACACAGTTTCAACGAGCTTCCAAAAGTTTACGACAAAGGAAAATCTGGACTTGTCATAATTGTACAATTGTGCCTTTTTGAAGTCTTCTTCAGTGACGATATCAGCCAGCTCACTAGGACGCTTTGGCATCAAGTAGCGAGTGTATTGACGGTAACTACCGCACACACACGGTCAATCCCAGGCAGCCACAATCTTGTACAAAATGTCACTTACTTGAGATACTGTTCAAAAACATAGACGATGATGGTAAACCCCTCCACAAACTGCTTGTAATCCAACCTGTCTAATTGAGTCAATATACCATCCATTTTGTGAGATAATATATATATATATATATATATATAAAAAGAGAGAGAGAAGAGACAGAAGGAGTGCAATATAACTACTGACGCGTGGATGCCTTAGTTTGGTCGCTTTTCTCCTGATTAACACCTGCCTGTGACTCTGCAAACTCTCTCTTACATCATTACACAAAACGAGCAATCAACGTTGGCTTCCTTTACTGTCCTTCAATATTATACATGACGGAAAACTCGAGCGTCTTTGGCCTTCGACACCAGGTAAAAGTTGCATTTCCATCTAAAAAAAGTACTCGAAACTAACCGTAATTTAGGCGAGATGCTTGACACCAGTAACCAGTAGCACCGAGCAAAGTAAGTTTCTGGCAGGCACAGTCGGTGCAAAAGACAACGTGGTGTGTCTACTGGAATATGACGACGATGATACCATGATTACACCTACCATGTATAATCACCCTGAAGAAGTGTGGGATATTGTCTCTTGCCCAACAGACCAAGATTTGCTGTTCACATGCCATAGCCCTGTCTCTGGAAATCCACTCAACAGGAAAGCAACATTGTGGAGAAAACCAGCAATGACAAAGGATGACGGCGGCAGAGATCATCGCCACAACCTCACTTCATTAGTGACATTAGAGCAAGAGGGCATCAAAAAGTAAGTGCGTGTGTGGTTTGCATGAATTCCATCATTGGGTTCTTATGGATTGAGGTAGAGTGCTATGGGATCCAAAAGAACAGAGCCAGCAAATCATCTCAATAGACGCCAACAAAATATACCTCGCATCAATACACAATGGCGAATGTCAGGTGAGTATAAGCTGTCAGGTTGTGAATTCTCGTCGGCTAAACAAGAGGGTATATGTAGACCTCGCTCACCATGGATGTGTCTCCCACATTCTCAACAGACACCAATTCACCCTCACTACGACAACTTCAAAATGCTGTTTGGAACCCACACCAACCCGAGATCATCACTGTAGGCGATCGCACATTATCAGGGTGGGATTTGAGGTCGGGCAAGAGCAGTTTTAGTAGAGCTGATACACACAAGAGCACTATTCGAGCCGTGGACTATAATCCCAATAAGCCCTATTGCGTGGTGACAGGCGGTGATGATGCCATGGTGAATATCTGGGATGTCAGACAATTGTCGCAACCGATGATGGTAGTGGAGGGACATTCGCATTGGGTGTGGTCTGTGGCATTCAATCATTTGCAAGATCAATTGCTACTGACGTCGGGTTCTGATACGTTGGTCAATTTACACAATGTGGTGTCCGTGTCGTCGGCTTCCTACTTGGATAGCTCGAGTGAGGATGAGGATGAGGATGCACAGAGAGACGATAGAAGCACGTAAGTAATGATCAGGGCTTTAATGGCCTTTAAAAGTTAATTTTGTTGGTTTGGCTAGTGAGAAGCCCACAGACGGCTTGATTTGCACATACGATCAGCATGAAGATAGCGTTTACAAAGTAGCATGGAGCCCAGCAGATACGTGGACCTTTGCCTCGATATCGTATGCCGGAAGAGTGGTCATTAGCCAAGTACCTACGAATGAGAAATTCAAGATTTTGGGTGTGTAATCGATGCTTTTCATTGCCATTTTGCATTAATAAAAGAAAAAGGTGGCCCCGGCTTGAGCGAAGCCTATTGCGAACCACCCCAAATCAAAAAATTATGCGCTCGATATGTCTTGATTGCCATACCGCGAGAGTAAACCAAGACTCCCGCCATATCAACCGATTCCCAAGAGAATGGCATCATGGCGCGCCCTTTTTTAAAGGTCACATACAGCCAGCATGATGTGCAGAACCTGCATCTTTATGAAATGTATGGTCGACTTGTGGGAAAGACTTCTTTTTTCTTTCGTGATGAAATTTCCCTCTTTGAACAAGGAACGTCAAGCGAATGATTGGAGCTATGTTGGTGAGGGCAATCAAAATTTGGTAGTGAGATACGTAGGCTCAGACAGGGCTTTTGTAAGTTGACGACATTTACTGTTTCATTCGTCAACTAACTTATTTACAGATTGGGAAAGTATTGCGTGTTATCAAGAGCAATGACAAGAACAAGCATGTCAATAGGCAAACGTTGCTGTTACAAAAAGAATTTATGGACAAAGTCGTTCGACCACTATTAGGAAAAGAATATGTACTTGACCTGGTAAGAGATGGATGGTGTATCTGATTTCATGGCTAACTTCATCGTTGTTTACAAGCAACCCGTTGCGACTGGTGAACAGTTCTTGGCTCAACTAGCAGCAAATGTTCAATCTGCTCGGCCATCATCACGTCTTGAAACCGAGATAATCACAGATGCGCCAGTTTCATTTATAATGACAGATCTCACTCAAATGTGGCCCGGTAAACCTACACTCACATTTGAATTAAAGGTACTCGTCAATGTATATGACCTATTTTTCATGCCAACCAACCTATTTAGCCTAAATGGGGGTTCAAACCTTCCTGTGGCACTGTAACAGAGATCAAACTACTCTACTGTCGCTTTTGTATGCATTCACATCTGCGAGATACAAAACCCAATGGATACTGCCCTATGGATCTCTACTCGGAATCGACATCAATGGTACACAAAGCGCTGGATGTACTGCTCAGAACATCACCACAAGAAAAGACACTCAAAATATCGATCAATGGACAAAACATTTCTTTAATTGAAGCAGATCCAGATGCTGAATACAAAAGATTGTTGGGAATAGCATCTCAGCAAGCACTGCTTCTAGAGATATTGAAAGCTATTGTGATTCAAGACCCTATTTTGCCCCTACTGAAAACGCTACAGGCTGATTTAGACTCTTTGGATGTAGAGAATATATTGCCTTTGTACCAACAACAACAAGACAACATAGAGGCAGACATTGATACATTTGCAGAAGTAGTCGAGAATTACAAAAAGCGGATTCTACATCCTGATACCCCTACAACAGATATACAAAGAGTGCTTGAATATGTGCTATCCATGACATTTAAGGATTGCTCGATTATGATTAATGTAATACCAGCAACAGCAGTATCAAGGCACAAGTCTATCACTCTCGACAATGGGCTTATGTTTCACTACGATGTCAAAGTCATTGACACAGACCTGAAAAAATTGGATAAAATTCCGTATTGGTATGAACTAGATCAAAACATTGTGAATTTTGCCCTTGAAACAAGATTTTCGAAGGCAAGTGCTTGTTTTTCTAATAAACGATCATGATTGTTTCTAGACTTTAGGTGTATGCAATGAGATTGCGACACACCTGTTATCAGGCTTGATATACAGAACACCTTAAAAATTCTTATGGATCATCTGATGGCTCCATACTTATGTCACTTGAGTGCAATGTTAGGTATATTGGTTCGTACAAAACAGAATGTTATTTATTTACACTTGTCTCTTCTCGTGACGACGCACATGCTCGTGGCACAGCCTGTCATTGCTTTACATTGTTTGTATACAGCTATTTAACATTGAGTACCGAACAAGGAAACCCCTTTTTTTTCGCATTTACAAGCATGCTCATGAAATCCTGAGTGAAGAATAAGAACGAAAATACTGGAGTAATATTAACGAGGTTAATCACATTCGATCCAACTCTTAAATGTTCCATTTAATTAGCATCCCAATCATCACTGTCATCATGAAAAAGGCATTTTGGTCAGCAGGCAACAGCGTCGCCAAAATCAATTCAAACTCAGAACGCTTTTTTTTTTTTTTCTTTTCAAGATTGGACAGATTTTGTTTTTTTCGACTTTTTTAATCTATTTTGTAAGATTTGACTATAGAAACTGTGATGATCAGCCCGTACTTCCTAATATATTCTTGGAAGCCTTTTCAAGGCGCTTCCAATGGTGCTAAATAAAAGACGTGTTTTGAATAAACTTATTGAAAAATCCTTGAAAATATGAAATGACGTTTATGGCGAAAATGTCGAGATTTTGCATATATAGGTTGCACAAACAAAGTCTCAGAGGTTGCCTTGGGTCAAGAGAAACATTTCGAGTTAATATATACCATAGTAAAAGCCTTCGTTTCTGAGGTGAAAAACACGGTCGTTTGATTTTCGATGAAAATCATGAGGTATCCCTCATGGTTTTGGGTCGATTTTTGGCCATGTTTTTTGGGTCCTCAAAAAGTCGAGCAAAGGTGTCAAGAAGTTACTGCTACTCGAGAGCAATCATTTAGCATTATTCCGGTGGCTCAGAAAGGTCTACATGTCAAGAAATGAAGACCTGAAAGCTGTCAAATGTGGCTGTGTTTCATACATTCGCTTGTCAATAGGCGCGTCTTTGTTATGATACAAAGACATAAAGACGTTGTACACATTAATCTGATTTCAGAGCATGGTGTTACATCTAAATATTCAGCTGGAAATATTAGAGTTGAGTGGCACTGTTGTATCGCTGTATCATAGCACAGTGAGACAGCTTATTAGTGAGATGATGTCGTTTGTAAGGCAAGCTGGGTACTTTAGACGCAGCAGACAGCCTGCATCTAGTAAAAACTATTATTATACTACAAAATTAACTGAAGTATAGATGGTTCATAACTCTATGGCTCGAAGTATTAGGTGGTCCGTATCATATCCGTTTGTTATAGACATAAATATGTTAAATCTTGGTGAATCCCACAAACTTCAATTGAAACTTGAATGCCCAATCAAGAATTTCATCAACTGGCATTACCATGTCAACATGTCTACAATGCCGATCTTTTTCTCTACATCAAGGCTCTGTACGCTCGTGTTCCTTGGAAGGATGAATGGTTGATCAATTAAATCCCAGTGAAAATCCATCATGTTTCGTTTTGATGTATTACATAAACAAAGCTACAGGTGACGTATCTGTGGTTCAAAGAGAAAATATGTCGAGTAGACAATAAAAATAAAGGTGCATTTCCCTTCCACACACACACTCTCTCTCCCTTTCTCACTTTCTTTTTTTTTTGCCTCTTTGTACAACTGTGCGAGAGAGAGAAAAAAAAAAAAAGAGAATCACCTAGGTTACTGTTCTTTTGTATATATATATAAGGAGGAGCGTTTGCATGTATTGTTGATCATTTGAGAGATTCTATAATTTGTAATATACAGTGGGTTTGATTCATCACGATATAAAACGAACCTGTCTAATGGACTGACGTGTGCGATAGACTCAATTCTCGATTTCCATACATATATAATATTGAGGACATCACAACATGGTAAACGCCCTGCCAACAGTTACTATAGTTAAGATATTAATCGCATGGTGAATAGAACGTCTATACCCAAGATATCAAAATTATATGTCAAAATCATGTATTGAAATCAAGCGCAAAAGCCTCTGAAGGACATCCATGGAGAAATTGGAAGATCAGGGTCGTGGCTGTAGATAATAATCGAGAAAAGAAGGGAAAATTGAATCATCTTTTGGATCATGTGGAATACTGGCTGCATCCAACATTTGTAAATCCTGTCAGAGGTATTGATCAGTCTATGCGTGCATGTCATGTTAGAGATGCTCATCAGTAAATACCTGTATAGAATTTCAAAAGGAACCTTATTTATTGCAAGAGAAAGGTTGGGGAGAGTTTGATATGCGTGTCGTACTCTACTTTAAGGATTTCTTGCAAGAACCTGATCCAGAGGAGATTCTGTTTGATCTACACTTTCGTGAACCCATCTATACCATCAAACACACCATTGTCTTTAACAATCCTTCGCCGGAACTGATTCGGATCTTGCAAATGGAGCTTCCCAACAGTGATCTACAGACAACCATCCACATTGATAACAGAAAACGACGCACAAGCCCTAGCTTGATGACATCGAAAAAGATCAGAACACCACCGTCGACATCTTCGCCTGCAGACAATGGAGGTTCCATGGCACCTTCGCTCTCTTCTAACAATCACATCAAATACCCTCCTACATCGCCATCGTTAACCATGCTGTACAATTTGCAAGATCACGAATCAAGTGCTGAATCAGATGATTTGTATCGAGCAGCGCACGGATACAGACGGCAAAAGAAGCCAACGGTTCAAGATGGTGTGATTATAGATGATATTTACAACGAAACAGACATAGAAAATGCAAGCAGTATACACTCCAAACAAGTGGACGACCATGTTCGAAAAGCTTGGGGAATACCAGTGGTAAAATCCATGCATGACCTACAGGCTTTGATCGTTGATTGACATGTGTGTTTTCTTTAGGGGTTGGATATGCTGGAGCTAGCGAAACGATTAACATTATTAACACCTGAGCAAATAGAAGAAGTTCAGACATTGATCCTTCGAAACAAGAAAGAAGAAACAGTGGTGGAAGACAATGACGGTAGCGTATCTAAATTGTAGATATATAAAAAAAAAACCGCCCTTAACCCTATGGATAGATGAATTCATGGTGGATTTGTATTCATTAGGGCCCGAATTACTGACACAATTATGGGATTACACAACAGAAAAGAAATCTCAACCCAAAGCCATGGCACTATCGCCATTTTCACTAGTGCAAGCCAATGCCAACATGTAGTTCTAGCCATTTTATTAACACTTATTTACAAGCCAACACGAAATAAAACTTGCTTTCCCTTCTTTCCCTTCTTCTTTCTATTCATATCGTTGTTGTTGGTATTATCTGATGAGAGTTCAGATTCACTTGCCATGGCAGAAGAAGAATCTCCCCACGCATTTCTATTGGGTTTTCTAAGCAAATTATCCAATTCAGCTCTTCTCGATGGTCCAGCTGTTGAGGACGGCAAAGCAGGGAATAGTTGTTGTAAATCGCTGTTGGAATGTGTTCGTGGTGTGGAGGTACCGCTCCAGGGTGTTTTGGACTGAATAGGTGGAAATGAAATATTACTGCTACTGCTGCTGTTGCTGTATCCACCCGCATCCATGGCAGCAGAGGCTACTTTATCCCACACGCCTGGCTTCTTCTTGTTGGCGATACCTTGTTTTCTTTGTTGTTTGGAAGCAGGATTCACCACCAAGACACGGGGTGAGCCAGTGTCATCTGAATTGGCCAGCGAAGACTATCGAATGTGTCATTTACTCATCATCTTGTCTCATCCCGAACCATAACAACTTACATTGGGATTCTTCTTCTTGTTCCAAGTATGAATCATGTTGGTTCTCAGTGAACGATTGTCAATGAGATCCTTGGCACCTGTCAACACCTTAGCCGTAAGTTCCGCATCCTTGCCACATAGTTCAAAAATGGTATTGACATAGGCATCCGCATCACTGCTTAGACTTGTGAATTTAGTGGTGGCCTGACGAAACTTGATGACCTTTTCCACGTTCTTGAAAATATCTGCCACGCGATCCAATGCAGCAGCATGCCGAGACACGATACCTGATTCCGTCTCACTTCCTGATCCTCCTCCAGAAGGCGAGGCTCTTCCGCTGGTCGATGTATCATCACCTAATGTTGGCCACTGCTCTTGTTCTGATAAACTAGCAGATGCCATCTGGGATGGTAATGAAGACAAGACAGATCCATTGATATCAGGGAAATCCTCTGCTGTAAAGTTTCGTTGCTGTCGGCTGGTGGGATTGCTATTACGTTGGCTGCTGTTGCTGTTGCCGTAGTTCAGATTGACATCCACACGACGTGCTTCTGCTTGCTTTGCTCTTTGATGACGAGACAGCGAATTACCGTGCTCCTTGACTTCATGTGCCTTGAGGTCGATATCTGAATCAAACACGACAAATTTGTTGTCCAAACATTCCTTGTACTGACACAAAAAGTGATCCTTCTTGAAATGCTTCTCCAAACTGTCATAATTGGCGTAGTATTGATGCTGGATGCCCTTTCGCTCACACAAATGGCATTTCTCATGCTTATCTCTGCAGTGTTCAAACAACTCATCCGCACCGTAAAAACGTGTCCTACAAAACACACATTCTGGATGGCCCGTGAATCCAGTTTCATCGTCCTTGTTGAATGAAGCGTCTCCTTCACGGTAATGTTTTTGTAATTGCGATTGGGTATAAAGGGTGTGTTCGTGCGAAAAGATTTTCTTGTTGCGAAGACACAAATCACAGCATGATCTATCGTGTGCTTGCTTGACATGACGCTTCAATTCGTTCCAGCTCTCGAATGCCTCCTCACAGTCTTGTTCAGGGCAGTTGTATTGAAGCAGCACCATGGTCTCTTTGTACATATCTTCTGTCTCGAATCGAATACCGTACTTTTTGTCGTAGAAGGGTGTGTCATTTCGCTTGTAGTCCTCATACGGCTTTTCGCTATCATTGGTGAAAACGACCTTTTTGGCTTCGGCCTAAGTATATACTTTAATATCACTGCAATTGCTGATCCACCTACAAACATAATTTACCTTGCAGTAGGCACAATTCTTTGTCTTGTAAAGTACTCGAAGTCTCAAGGTACACATATGACAAGTACGATGATCGCATGGAGCTACGGCATAGTAGTCGATAGGATGAGTACAGATGAAGCACACCTCTCCATCAGGATCCTCGTTTTTCTGCTCTTCATCCTCCTTGGGAGTCTTCTTGAAGCCCTTTAATGGCTTCTTTTCCTGCTGCTGCTGCTTGCCCCCTTCTTCAGACGATGGTAGTTGTTGGGCATTCGAATTTGCGGCACTTGAACGCGCCTTTTTACCATCTTCAGTCTTTTTGTTATTGCGACGACGATGGTTGTTTCGTTTCTTGTTGTTTGTCTCTGTAGAAGAGGAGGAAGTGGCATTGTTGGCATTGTTGGTATTGTTGGCATTGAAAGCAGCGTCCATATTAGGCGAAGATGATAAGAAATTGAGAGAGTTGTCAAATGAAGAAGAAGAAAAAGAAAATCTCACTTTTAAGAGGTTTTACATTTCCTTGCCGCAGTAGACTTCTTGGTTGCTGCACTTTTTGAGAGAGAGAGAGAGAGAGATGTCGTTTTTAAACCAATGAAATATGTAAGTATGACGAACAAGCAAAGGCAATTCAAATAAACCGGAATTTAAAGAAGGCATCGATTAGTAATAGACAAAAGGCGTAGCATATGGATTTCGTATTATATACAACATATGAAAATCCAGGAAATTTCGTATATCGGATGTTGCTCTTATCTTGTAGCTGTTTATCTGCTGGAAAAAAAATTAGTGTTTGTAACAATATGATTTAAAGTTTTAGTTTGTTGATGTGCAAAAGCTCAAAAAGACTCTGCCACTCGGGGGAAAAACTGCTTGGTGCTTGTCAGATCACGGATGAAGCATCTCTTTGCCCCATAAACCACTTTTCTCTTGTATTAAGGTAAGGTATCTTCACATACAAATGGATAAGAAACAAGGCCGAGTGCATTACAGATAGAATTGTTTTCATTTTTATCAGATGATTTGAATCAATTGTTTAATAAACAGTTACATCTCACAAGTATATACAACATTTACAGAGAGTGTTTCATCTTGCAAACATGTTTTCCCCATAGACATATGAATATTACATTCAATATAAATATAAATAAGCTCATATCTCTCTGTCTTTTTGCTCTTTTTCTATATACTTTATTATTACAAACACAAAGCAATGTCTAGAGACGCTGAAATTCAAGATATGCATCAGCATGAAGAGTATCCATCCTTGACTGGTTCATCATCGTCCTCTGGTAACAGAAGGCTATCCATCGCATGCGTTACAGTCTGACTAATATTTGCAAAATAGATGATGATAGTGCCAGTACTGGAGGCGACTCTGGCTTTAGTATGGGACAAGATGAGGAAGAGCTCAAAAAGCAAGAAACTCCTGAAATCACCGTGATTGACAGCAGCAGCACCGCTACCATGAGCTTCTTTTCAAGATTTGCTGCTATCCCCATTATCCAAGATGGCTTTGTAGGAGCTCAAAACATGGTGAAGCAGCATGCTGTAGGTCAAAAAGCACTTGATTATGCTGAAACAAAACTACAAACCATAATATCCACTGCTCAGCCTTACTATGAAAACAACAAGGTCATTGTTTGTGCTAATCACATTGGAAATAAATCCCTCGACTTGATTGAAAGCAAGTTTCCATTGATCATTAACGCCCCTACAGACAAGCTGCTGGTGGAGCCTATCAAAGGACACATGGCCCAAGCTGCACATGTCGTGAACCCTCGCATTGACTACATTGCCAATCAATTTGAAACACTGATGGAGCAGTATTTTCCGGCTGAAGACGAGCAACAGCATCAAGAAGAAGAAGAAAAGCATGGCATGGAACGTTTAATGCATGTTGTCAATCGACTCTCTTCGAGAGCCTCTAGAAAGATCTCCAAAAAGGCGTCTGCTACCATGGAAGAAGAGCTACAAATCAAGCAAATGATCCGCACGTGGGTTTTGGAGCAGGTTCGTGTCATGACACAACATCAGCAGCAGCAATGGCCACAGCTGCAGGAACAAATGGAGTCATTCAAGGCCAAATTCAAGCCAACCATCCAAACCATGTACGATTTCACTCACTATGAGTTTGACAAGTTTCGCCAAGAGTTGTTTAAGCCAAACACAAGTCATTTGGACCGTATTCGTAACATTCTGATCTTGTCTCAAACGGATATCTTGATGCCACTCTACCAAAAATCATACTCTATTTGGAAGAATAACAATAATGTAGCAGCTGCTGCAAATGAATAAACCACCTTTATGAGCTAGCTTCTGGGCATTCCTCTGCATTGCCCTTATAGATGCATTCACTCTAATTCCTCACTTATCGTTTTATAAATACGTGTTAATTCAATGCATGCTGCCTTATATATATACCTTCTGACCTGAAATGAACTTGACAAAGATACTGAAAAACTCGTCAGGCTTCATAGCATAAGGATCCTCGCCAAAGTAAAGCAAGTACGTCTGTGGAAGCTACACCCATGGAGGTATATCGCACCTGTAATTGGTCAAATCGAATTGTCGCATTCTTGTTAAAATCAGACGTCTTTTCATTAAATAGATCACCATCAACTATAAATTCTGTGATAGTATATGCTAATGCGTCAAGGTCATTTTTCAGTTGATTGTAATCATAAACAAGACTGTGTAGTATCACTGCCAAATACAAGACAGGTTGTTCTAGTTATCTTACTTACTTAAGCTGCTCGCTTCGACTTGCATCTGAAGAAAGCGCCAAATTAGGTATGATTGAATGATAAATGTTGGCAAATTGTGCCTCTATCGTGTTAACAATAAAGTAGAGTAATGCCACATCATTTGATTCTGTACTAATCAGTTTACTGATACTAGTGATTTAAATACCAAAGTGCTCTACCTTGATAATTGAAACCATTCTGAAAACTGCCAATGTGCAGGATAAACTATCAACTATATAAGCATTTCAGTCTATGGTGTGCTGTTGACATTGCTCACATTAAAAAGCTGTTTAACAAATACTGAATGAAGGAGAGCAATTGATACTTTCATGATATTAGCCATGCTCCTTTCCAGATGTGGTAATATGTTATCAAATGTGAGTTTGATAAACATGGATGTGGCCCGTGCTGTGCATTTTGGAATTCTTATGACACATTATAGCAATTAATTAGATGTTCATACCTGAGAGAGAAACAAATCTGGCTTCGCCAATGTCGTTTTTGAACTGCCTTGCGAGACAACATTCAGTTTTCTCTTTTCTTCAGCAGAAGACAGGTTCGCTATCAGGTTTTCAAGTATCTCTTCAACAAATAAAGCTTCATCCATCTGCTCGATACTATAATTCTTGAGTTTTACTAATACAGCAATAATGATATTGGTTGCTTTCTGAGGATCCTACACATTGATCTCATTGTTGCTAGTTTGTTTGCGACATTTCTTCTTTTTGCTGCTAGATAGGCGGTTGCTTGGCTATTTTTCTGCTGACCAAATGTTTCATCGTATATTAAATACTGGTAATGTCTAACATATTTTGCTGACACACTGCAAGCAACAATACCAAAAAAGGTGCCAAATGTTTATTGGTAAGAAAGAAGTGCATGAAATTTGAGTGAAGATCGCTTATACACAACAGTTTGAAGTAAACTAGACTGGATTCCCACCATAAAAGTACCCAAAATAAATGTCATCTCAATCAAGCCATGCTACCATTATTAATAGAGATGCATGTATAATAATAGTATTAGCATGACAATAGCAAGGGTGGAGTACTCTAAAAATGAGAGATGAGAGATACTAAAGTGCGTGACAAGGGTAGTATAATGTGTAGTAGCATAAGTAAGCATCAAAAAGATATATGCTCAACAAGTAAAAGCTATTCTTTACGCATGATTTACGAGCCATATGTTGAAATACCGTTCTTGATCCATCAGATCAACAACTAAATAACCCAACAAAAATATATAATATTGGAATCACTGGCAGCTACTAAATTGCTACCATATAAGAAATATAACCAAATAATATAAATAGAGATGTAGATTATATACTTTATTGCACACTATGGAATTTGAGGCTTTATAGACTAAAAATCACGGAAAAAAAGAATAAAAAGCAATGAAGTCAACTTGATAAAGGTATGTTTTATTATCAAACGGACAGGTGTAAAGTAAACTGAAGTCTCTCTACTGGCCAGGTAGATGATCCTTCTTATATACTATAACAATGGATAAAAGTTCTATTAATTAGATTGACAAATAAGTCAACTCAGATCAAGTAATGTCTAATCATGCTAAAAGACAACTCCAGCAAGCTAATCATGATTTAGCTTTTGCCTGGATGAATAGTTAGACTCTCATCCAAAGTACCCTGATCTATCCTTTCTATAAGGATAATTAATATCGATCTAGTAGCAGCATGTATCCGATAGGTACAGTCTCCTTAGTCTATATCAATAGTACATATCTGAGTGTATATCGCTGAGCATACATCTTTAGCATGTATCTGCTGGATATATGGCATGTCTATAACATATCGTATGCATGTCTGTAGCATGTCTCATATATAGTACAAGTCTGTAGTACATAAAGTATCTGCAGCTAGTATCACGGATATAAGCATGTGTCTTATAGCGTGGATCATAAAGTGCACACCTGAAGCAACAAGCTCATATTGCATTAATCTTGGTGGTGCCTATCCAGATATGGTAAACATCCGTAGTCCATGTCGGAATACAAGTATAAGTCTATAGTGCCATCCATGTCCGTGGTGCCATCTATAGCCTATATCTTATAGAGTATGAATCTTATAGTACTAGCGTATCTGAAGTCCATATCTTCTTATAGTATAAATCGATATCGTACATCTAATCCAGTGTACATACAGTTTATATCTAAATCTGGTAACTGGATGAACTGTCGGAATGCAGATCATAGTGGATGTATTCCACACAAATTTCGTCAAACATTTTAGCTATTATTAATTTTTTTTTCTTTTTTTTTGCAATATTAGCCAGAGACCCGCGGCAGTGCGAGCCACCTGGACGCAGGTTGGTTTCCACCAAAGGTCAAGAAACCAACCGAAGAGTTGGATTGCTCACCGTAACATAATAAATTTATGATCCCCAAACACTTTCAAAGCCTCAAAAAGGAAGAAAGTTGATCTCATAAATTTTTTTGATAGACTGACGTTGTTATAAGACATAGAATGCAAGAAAAATAGCATGACTAGCCATAGTACTATGTAGTTTCCCACCTACTTTCCATACACTTTAAAGGCATCTATTACTGTATTGCCTTCATGATGAAAAGGGCATTGAATTTGCCAGCTGGCCGCACCAGCCAAAATTAATTCAACCCCAGTTTCATGGTCTGTCCTAGATTGGCCAGATGTTAATCATTTTCGACTAGATCGAACTATCTTTCCAGATTCGACTATATAAATTGTCGTAATCCTCAAATGCTTTTTTAAGCTTTCTTGGAGTGCTTTTCAAGGCGCATCCAATGGTGCCAAGTAAGGTAGATGTTTTGAATAAACTTATTGAGCAATTTTGTAAAATATGAAAAGAGGTTTCTGGTCAAAAAGTCGAGATTTTTCCATATCAAGGTCCCACAAAGATGATTTCAGGGATTAGGTTAGATCCATAGAAACATTTTGATTCAAGATATACTATAGTAAAAGTCTTCATTATCAAGGTCAAAAACGCGATTGTTTGATTTTCGATGAAATCCATGAGGGGGTACCTCATGCTTTTTGGTCGATTTTTGGCCATGTTTTTTTGATCCCCAAAAAGTTGAGCAAAGATGTCAGAAAGTAACTGCCAGATGAGAGCAATTGTTTGGTGCTATTCTGACAATCTAAAACGGCCTTGAACGCAAGAAAACGCAACTCAAATGCATTCGGATTTTGCTGTATTAGGAGCACTAAGGACTAAAAAGGGGGAAATAACAGTATGATGCTTGCCCGTATATGAACTAGCTACGTATATACGGATGCAGAGCATCGCATAAGAATCAGATCCACAGATAATATGAAAGGTTTTTATGTGTAAGTGGAGGGTCAAAATGGAAGTAGCATTATTTTGATAAGATATGCAAGGGCAATCGGTAGCGCGAGCTGCCGCTGCGCAGGTTTGTTCTGACCGAAGCGAAGCTTAAGTAGAGAGCTACCCGAAGCATAAACACTCGCAAAGCATAATATTATTTGTAAACACCATAATTTTTTTTATTAAACATCAATAACTCGACTCAACTTTTGGACTCTATTCAACAAAAGATCACCTTGCTTGATAACAGCTTGGTATTGGGCATTCTTTGCATCGGGTCTGTTTGTTTCAATGATCCCATTTACCTTGTCAATAACACAGTTGAGGCGGCCAGCAGCAATGAATTTATAGAGATCCCTGTACATCTAGTTTAGTGCATCAAACTTACACAACTGGTCTAAACACAACTTACTTGTCAATGTATTCTTCACTCATGCCAAATGCTTGTGCCATGCTTGTAACTGTTAATGATCTGTAACTCTCCAGTAATTGAGCATAAGCTTGAATACGCATTTCACGGATGTAGTAGCGCATGTGAGGTAAGAGGTAGCGAGATGTGCGTAAGTGAGCTTGTTCAATGGCTGCTAATGAACGGAAGAACTGAGCGTATTTGCAATTGTACAAGCTAGCCATGAAATCTTCGAGATGAGGGATATCTGAGATGACCTCTAAGATTTCAGGGGCATCCAATACTCGCTTCTTGATATCTACACGCTTCATGCTGATCAAACTGGTCAAGACGGCATATTTGACAAAATCTTGGTAGGACATGATCTCGGTGCTGGTAAAAGTGCTCAAGGTATCCAAGAACAAAGAGGCGGCTCCCTTGAAATCACGAATAGACATGAGATAGACACCTTCGTATACCTTCAATCTATTGCGGCGATCCCAATCACCGCCTTGTTCAATCAATTCTCGAAGCTTTTCAATGTTGGGGCGGACGAGGCTGTTGTCGTTGAAGAAGAAGCCGATACGAACAAAGGTGAATACAATATCGATGCGAGTGCCCAATGTGATTGATCTCTTTAGTAAGTTTTCGTATGCTGTCAAGGCGTTTTCCTAGTAGCAAATCATGTCAGCGCTTGCTTGATGATACACTATACACCATCTCACCTTGTCTCCAATCTTGGCATAATAATCAGCCTTGGACAAAAAGGCTTCATTGATCTCTGTCTCTCCTTGGTTTTGCTCAGCGTCGACTGCCTTATCATCAAACTTCTTTAATTCTTCCTCGTTCTTTGCAGCCATGGCATCGTACAAAGCTTGGTCGAAAGGTGCTTGAAGCTCTTCTACCATGATCTTGTAGAAGGGCGCCATGTCTAATGTATATCAGTGTCAAATGGCCGCTTCTACATCTCTCATTTAAAATACATACTGTTCTCCTTGATGGCTTCAAAGAGTTTGTTCTTGGCTTCATCTCTTAATTCAACTGGACCTTGACTAATAATGAAACGTTGATGCTACATGTTGCAATGTGAGTACATTTCCGCTGCCGAATTATACTCGTCTGACTTACAGCGAGAGCAAGATCAGGAATCTTGGGGACCTGATTATCATCAATGGGTGCAGACATGTTGTATTGTTATAGTTTGTAAAAAAGAACAAAAGAGATAGACAAGTCTAATGCGTACGCGTGTCCTCCTCTAACCCCCCCACCCAGCACATTTCCAAGCAGCGCCCGGTGCTAGCTGAGGCTGCGCTGCTGCTTCTCCCTTCTTGCAGAGGGTCATGGATAGCAATCGTCATATACAACATTGCATGTTCGTGACGGTGAACGCGTAATCGTTCGGTTCCAAGGTGACCTCTTGGTTATAGGACAAGGTCAATGGGGGTTCAAAGAGAGAGATTTAGGGCAAATCTTTGAGTGGCATTAAACTAAACACTTCTTTTCTTACATATACATCTACAACAACAAACATGGTTACTGCTACAACAAAACCCGCTCCTACCAGTAGATTGCAACAGGCTGATGATTTCAAGGAAGCCAAGAAATTTGAAGACGCTGCTCGTTCCTACAAAGCCATCATGGCAGAGCAATCTACTTCTGAAGAGACGTTAAGAGAGCAGGAATACGCTCTTTCACAACTCGCCCAACTCTACAGAGATCTCCAGTAAACTATTCAGCTCATGATACTCACAGCATTGCCTATTAAACTCACTACCATTGTTAGACTTCCTCAAGAGCTTGCAGAATTGATTCGTTCATCTCGTCCTTTCATGTTGTCTATTGCCAAAGCCAAGACTGCAAAACTGAGTAAGAGCGCATCTCCCACACACGTTTTATAACAGCATACTCACAATCCACCTTATAGCTCGTTCACTCATTGATTATTTCAGCGACATTCCCAACTGTCTTCCTCTCCAAATTGAAATCTGCAAAGAAAACATTGAATGGTGTGTTCAAGAGAAGCGTCTCTTTTTAAAGCAAGCACTCGAAACTCGTCTCGTTGCTCTTTACTTGGATAACAAGATGTATCATGAGTCCTTGAGCTTGATTTCAGTGCTCTTGAAGGAGTTGAAGCGTTTGGATGATAAGATGGTCTTGGTTGAAGTTCAGTTACTTGAAAGTCGTGTCTGTCATGCCTTGAGAAATCTGCCCAAATCAAGAGCTGCATTGACTTCTGCTCGTACTTCTGCCAACTCTATCTATTGCCCTCCCTTATTACAGGCTGCTTTGGATATGCAATCAGGTGTTCTTCATGCTGAGGAGAAGGATTACAAGACAGCTTACTCTTACTTTTTCGAGACATTTGAAGGTTTCTCCAGTCAGGAAGATCCCAAGGCTATTTTGGCTCTCAAGTACATGTTGTTGTGTAAGATTATGTTGAATTTGGTAAGTATTTGGCTTGACTGGTGAAAGGAGCTATTGAGAGATGGATCGCTAATATCGCACATCTTCTATAGACTGAAGATGTCCATTCAATTATCGGCGGAAAGGTCGCATTGCGATATGCTGGTGTAGAAATTGATGCCATGAAGGCAGTTGCTCATGCTCACAAAAATAGAAACCTGCAAGAATTCGAGACAGCATTGGCCACATACACCAACGAACTCAACAACGATCCCATCATCCGCACTCAACTGGCAGCATTGTACGATACGCTTTTGGAACAAAATTTGGTTCGCATCATTGAGCCTTTCTCTCGTGTTGAGATCACTCACATTGCTGATATGGTCAAGTTACCCACACAACAAGTAGAAGCTAAATTATCACAAATGATCTTGGATAAAAAGTTCCACGGTATTCTCGATCAAGGTGCTGGTTGTTTGATTGTTTTTGATGAGCCTGAGGAGGACAAAACTTATGAAACTGCTATCGAGACCTTGAAACAAGTGGATAAGGTCGTTTCTAGTTTATATCAAAAGGCTGCTGAACTCTCTTAATTATACGAAAAATAAAACAAAACAAAACAAAAAAAAGTGTTTATATCAATTATTACCTCGAATCACACAATTTGTGTATGTGTTGCAATAGGCCCCTCTTCTGTCATGTCTGTCATCCAGGTAGAGATCGCTGAGAAGTTGGCGCCATCGCTATACTAGTCAAAATGCACATTTGCTAGGAGCAAAGTGAGGCGCTGTAATCGAGGCAACTGTAAGCAATGCAAAACAAATCACCCACCGATAGATTTCTACGAGGCACTTGATTATGTGAGCCTCACTAACTCATTAAAAGATATATTCTTTTAAACCGTACAGTTGATCAGGGCATGAATGAATGGCAATCTAAGATGGCCTTCCCAAAAAAGATTCAGTGTGTTCCCGGCTGATTTTATCAATTCAATTAAATTCATCACATTATTCTTTATATGTATACTCGCCTTGACGCTTGATTCCAATAGATATAACCTTGATAGATGGGTGATTATAAAGCTTGGTGACAAATATTACAAAAAGGGGGGGCTTTGGTCTGCGAGAGCGCAAGATTCACTTACGCAATTATGTGGAGAATTAACACAGATCAAACTTCCTGATATGGGCACCGAAGAAATTACCCAAACAGGTGTAGCACATCCATGCGCAAAATGTATAAATGCAGAATCAGGTTGACAGATCTACTTATTTCACCATCTCACAGCCATCTCTTTTGCTCAAGCTCATTCTTCATAATGCGTTTCTCTTTTACTGCCGCTTTCGTCGGTGCTGCCGCCTTGATCTCTTCCGTTTCTGCTGATTTCTACAACCGTCTTAACGTGGATGATGCTGCCTTTTTGTTTGTTGATCATCAAACTGGTCTTTTGAACTTGGTTCAAGACTACAACCCTGATACCTACTTGAACAACATCATGGGTTTGGCCGAGTCTGGCCAAGTACTTTAAGGTGTGTCGCACTGCTCCTTTATATTCATTTGGACTTTTACTCATGACAGCTCAATTTTAGATGCCTGTTGTCCTCACCACCTCTCGTGAAGATGGTCCCAACGGTATCTTGCTCCCTGAGCTCAAGGCTTTGTTCCCCAACTCTAGCTATGTTGCCAGGCCTGGTCAAATCAATGCCTGGGATTCTGAAGAGTTCCGAGCTGTACGTTTACCTCTTGGCGCTCATCATTATTTGTATTGACTCACACATTCCACTTCATAGGCTGTCAAGAAGACAGGCAAGAAGCAATTGATCATTTCAGGTATTGTTACTGATGTCTGTGTTACTTTTGTCTCCCTTTCTGCCAAGAAGGCTGGCTATGAGGTCTTTGTTGTTACCGATGCTTCTGGTACCTTCAGCGAGGCTGTCCGTGATGCTTCTTGGTTGAGAGTGCAACAAGGTGGCATTCAACTCATGAACTGGTTTGCTGTTGCTTGTGAATTGGGCCGTGATTGGCGTAAGGATATCAACGGTATGGCTGCTTTGTTCGCTAAGCGTTTGCCTTCTTATGCTCACATCATGGACTCGTTTGCTGGTGCCCAAGTACTCGTTAAGGGCTCTGCTTAAACTAGCATATCAGTGGTAGATTCGCCTCATTATTTATTTCAAGTTTCCTAAAAAAAAAAGCTTTAAAGCCTTCATAGAATCCACTAATTGCGGCCATCTAAAGCCGATTATGCATTCAATCTGGTGAAACAGGTACATGAAACACTGTAGACCATTTGCATCTGGAATACAGCGCCAAAGCGTTTACATTGAGGCTACATACGCAAACCCTCTGAACTATAGATATAAAAAAAAACACTGGTAACATCCAAGTCAACACACTAGACACCTTGCTTGAATATATACGAAGTTTATAGTACATCTTTTTAATAAATAAGTATAGCTAAAGCGCTTTTGCTTTGTTTGCTTATCCCAAACTCCAAGTAGTACTAAGCCAGTCAAAGGTAGTAAACGATTCATCGCTATTACACACAGGGAAGGGATACTTTGTGCTGGGCTTGGGCATCGAGATGGAAGTTTTATCATCACCTGAATAGAAGGAAGCCATTTTACCGTAACCTTGAATACTGATCACACGGTATTGGGTCTCGCCAAGCAACCAATTCTCCATGTAAGCGCTATTGACACCAGGTGTCATTCTCTGCAAGTTGACCTCCTTGTGGACCTCGACATCAATGTATTTGGCAATCTGATCTGGCTCAATGTGTTCGATAGGCAAACCCGTAATGACCATGCTAGAGATATCCACAATGTCCTCACCAATGTACTTTTTGGCCGCTTCACGGTTACTGTTGAGCGCAACAAACTCATCGCGCAAATGAGCAGAATCAGTGACCAAAAAGAAGACAATGTGCTTGTGATGGTCCTTCTTTTTAAAACTGGCCAGTTCACCAGCGCATTTCAAGAAATGGCCCCACTTTTCTAATCCATTGACATCGTACTGTGGGTTGGCAAGTGCATTGTCGTCTGTACGCACTTGAATACCGATACTCAGCACGCTCTCCATCTCGAACAGCTTTTTGTATGCGTTCAAGAAACGCCTGGAACCAATCGTGGGCTTGAACAAAAAGTTGGTGATACATCTAAAGGCGTTGTCCTTGGTAAGGCCCATGTGGTTCAGGAGCTTCTTGTATCCTTGATGAACGTTGAATGTGCGAACAATGTAGCCACGGTTTGATCTGACTTCGACATACTGTGCAAAACGAGTTAGAATGCTACAGTGGGCGGCAGAGAGAGAGAGAATAAAAAAAATACTTTACTGTGCCGTTCCACAATTCCTTCAAGTCAGTATTGCCACCATCAGGGAAGATGATCTTTGTGAGATCCTTGAGTTTTTTGTTGAGAGTGTCTACTTTTTGATAACCCAATAAAGGATTAGTGTCATCCGTGAACAAGGCTTCCATCTCTTCTGGATCGTGCGACCAATCCACATGTGGACGTTCCCAGATAGCCTCCAATGGCAATGGATTCATGGGAGCCCAATTCAACAAATAAGCCCTGTCTGTCAATAAAGCATAAAAAAAGGTAGAGATCATGCCTAAATTAAAGAAATCAGTAAAACAAGGAGTCTTCGTCGCAAGCGTCTCTCTTTAGTCACTGACCACCCATTCTATCTGCTAAACCACCACATCCACGATTACTATCTTTGGGCACTTCCTTGCAAAGATAAGACACAAATTTAGGTCTGTTCTCGATATCTATGTCCTTGGGGAAAATGCCGTTCTTGTATTGCTCTAAATAAGCCATATCTGTCTTGTGCAGTTGTGTGTATTTCTCTTGCCAGTTTCCACATTCACCGTTTTGGTTGTATGGCCATTCGTCCGAGAATGCGCCCACTTCAGTATCATACAGTTTACAGTATTCCTGGTATTCTTGGTTGGAAGCAAACCCCACAGCCTCCACCAAAGAGTGATGGGGCGTAGGAGGTGTATAAGTGCCATCAGGGCTGGTGGGCATTTTAATGATGGCTGGTAAATGGCAACGCTGAGTTTGGGATTGTTCCTGTTGTTGCTGTTGGTTATCAGCATTTTGGTGTTGATTTGTGTCTTGATTGCTGCTGGTGTTGCTGGTGTAGGTAAAGTCTACATTAAAGATCATGTCAGCCTACAGCTCTCCACTGGCACATAGAGAGCATACTTACTGGGATAAAATATCGAGCAAAGTGCCATGATGATGATGGCAAATAGACTCACCATGGTCAACGCTTTCGCTAATCTATATTTGAACAGCAAGCTCCCCTTCAACTCGTTTTGAGGTTGAACGCGATGATAAGCAACATCACTGGCCATTTTTCTTGAATGTGGAGAACAAGAGAAAAAAGAAAAAAAAGTTGGTTAAAGGAGATTTCGACTTCTTTTTATAGCTTCCAGATTTCGAGTTACCTAAAGCCCGATCTCTGTTGGTGCCATGCTGAATGTTGCCAAGGAATTAACTACTCGATAAGGGACGTCGATCCCGGTGATAACATGTATCACGGCCGACACAAGAGTTGTTTCATTACAGCATGGCATTTTAGTTGGTCTTCATCAGTTATCGGTTAGATGGATACGAGATGAAATGTCAAGCATCTCATCTCATCTCATGTGATGGCCACAGGTACACTGCCCTCTGCTTGACCACTTTATCGATGGCCACTTGTTCTGCCAGAGAGCTGCTGCTGCTCCTCGTTTTCAGCATAGGCTGCGTATCGCACTATGGGTACATCATATCAAGGTAATTATCATTGTACAACAGCCATCATCATCATTGGGTCTTTGGAACTCCATTGAACCGGTTTGGATTTTATTTTATTTTTCCACTAAGCCCACTCACAACAGCAGAAAAAAGAAATATCAGTCTTCTTTGTATTCCTTTCTCGCATGATCCACACTTGTCATTGTAATGTCGGATAAAAGTGATAATGAAGATACAGGCAATACGCCAAATTACACTGCTAGTGACACTCATCAAATAAACGGGAATGACGACATTCAGCAACAACAGGAGGATGGTTTTGGTAGTTTTGATGATGCCGTACAGGACGATGACTTTGGAGATTTTGAAGAGGAAGAGGAAGAGGAGGAGGAGGAGGAATTTGACATAGATGTAAGATCTCCCACATGGATATACCGTAAAGCACGCCATTCAATCCTGTTTTCTACGCAGAACACCCCCATCTTCAGTACCATGCAAGATGCATTAGACTTATGGCAACACCTACTAGGCCAAATATACCATTATGAAGCATTAGACAGTTTCACAGGCAATGCGCCTAAAAGTATAGAGCAATATGTACTCGAGGAAGCACCAGAGTACGTGTGCCGTTTTTAATAAATCAGCAACTCAATCTAATCCCTTTATATCAATGTAGATCTCTTCATGCTCGACTCACATGGGATTCCGTTACTCGTTACATGGAGAATGACACTGGTATACCCAGAGTGAAATGGCATCAGTCTGAAATTGAAAGGCACTATTTGAATGCCCTTGCCTGTAAGAGATCAGCGGTAAAGAATTGCACAAATTAGTAGTGTAGTACCACACATTGTACTAAAAAAAATATATATATATCTAATAGACTCCAACCATATCAAATACACCTACCATGTTGAATACAGACATGACGCAGGAGCATCATCCTATGATGGGTATGGAGCTAGCATTGGACACGGTAATAGGATCCAATGTATCTTCCGCAGTAGCAACAGACTCAGTGGTAGATCAACCTACCACTCCCAACAGCAGTGTGAGTATCTAGTTACACTAAATCAATCAAATTATTGTCTAATATAAAAGTATATTAATAGACAACCACGCCAACCACATCAGAAAAGAGATCGTCCGTCTTTGGTCTATCCTCTCTATCAAGGTTCTTGCCTCATTTGTCAAAGTCCAGTTTGCCCAAATCACCTACAACTACGACTCTTACATCGCCTATTACAGCCTCTAAAAGCTTGCCTCGACAACAAAGCACACCATTCAATCATTTGAATGTATCCAATTTGAAGCAGCAGCAAGATGCTGGTTCATCCTCCATGAAGCGGTCCAATTCGGTTGCATTTACATCAACAAGAGATACAGGCGTGCCTTCTTCATCCATGCAACTGCACACTGCAAAACCTCGACCTACCTCTTTTCAACCAGCACCACAAGGCATGGATCTGTTTGACCTGACAGACGATCCCACTACCATTGTCAAATCACCTACCACATTTCAATTCAATTTTGAGCCTCTCGTTCCAACGCATGCATCACCTCCAACGCCTGTGCGCCGAAACACAATACCAGCCAACATGCATTCAGATACCAAGTCTACGACACTTGGCAATGCATCCCTAGATACCATTCAGGATGATGAGTTTGGCGATTTCACAACGGAGGTCAACCAGGACCTGGGTCAGACGCAGGAAGGGGATGATGATTTTGGTGATTTCAGTCAAGAACGGCCTGCACCCGCAAAACCGGTCAATTTTATAGACGATGATCCGTTTGGCATCATGGGCAGTAGCAACACAAAGACAGGTAGCACGCCACTGACTAAAAACAACGACGATCCATACGATATTGCCAGCTACACTCAACATCCACCACAACCACCACCGGCCCAGCAATCTAATCGTCTGATCAGCTTGGATCAGAGTAGTTTTGCACCGCAATCAGCACCCGTAACCTCGCCCAAGCTCATGATGCCCACCACATGTGATCTGCTAACACCTATTGCATCTGGCCTCAGTGAGCAGCCGAATACGAGCGATCTAGTGCCGAAAACAGATGCAAAGGCTATTGAAGATGACGATGACTGGGGAGATTGGGCATTTTAGAGTAGCAAGAGCAATTTTAAATGGCATGTCTTGGTGCAGACTTCAGGATACACTTTTTTTTTTTTTTTTTTTTCTGAAATAAAGCCAAGTTATGTGGATGCCTTTTTACCTAGACTGGACAATAGACTGAACATGATTTACAGTTGCCAAGATGTTTATTCAAATACATATTTTCTACGCATTGTTTAATGGACAGGGTTCTGGGAATCAGTGTAGCAACCCCATTCACCTTTAGGACAGCTGTGTTCTCCAGTCAACTTGTAATTTTCGTAACAAGCGCTGTTGTGGGTTGTGAGGCATTCGCCAAACCAGCCCTTATCGGTACATGAGCAGCAGTATTCAACGAATCTATCATCACGCTTCAACTCTCTACAACCAGCGCTGACAACATTGAGAGTAGCCAAGACACAGAAGAGTACAATAACCAGGGATTTGACAGAGGCAAGCATATTGAGATTGGCTTTAGTAGTAGTATCAAAGAAAGTAAGATTGATCGAGAAAACGAGGCAGAAAATGGATTCTATTTGTATTCAAAATCTTATGCTACAACAGCATATAAACGGATTTAGATGGAATATAGAAATGCAGTGTTATGCAACAAGACGTAACTGATGGCGTTCAGGAATGCCTTTTTGTATATAGTAATACGATCTGTCGATCATTGCGTGCAGAGAGCCAACAACATGGTTTTCTAACAACATCTTGAGATACATAAAAGATCGGCAGCATGTAGCGGAAAGCGCAAAAAGCACTGGAATATGCGTTCTCCTGGATTGTACCTTCGTTTCGCACTAGTGCAATGATCAGATTCCAGGCTGCACTGAGTGCTCAAAAATGCGATCACTGATGCCAATTACAGGGCAATCGGTTATATAAAACACTGGCAGTGTACATTTGGGAGGAGGATGCCATGTAGCCTTGTGTAATGTTACCTTTGCTTTGTATGATTTAGCATATATGGCGCCTATTATCCATATGATTTTATAGCGTCATTGAACTCGGAGCTGTGTGACTTATGGAGAGCATTGATGAGACATTTGCATCTGATTCTTCTTTTTTCTTTATTTCAAAAATGTATCAACCCGAGCAAAGTTCCAGTCTATTTCTAGGCGGCCAAAGAACGACAGGACAAGATGTCAGATCGAGCAACAGTGAGTTATATTATGGGTGTGTACATTTTCCGTAAGCTGATACACAGGTCGTAACAAACCAGTGCTTGCAGCAGTGTCTATTGCCAACATTGTCAAGAGCTCATTAGGCCCAGTTGGATTAGATAAAATGCTGGTGGATGAAATTGGGGTAAAAGAGCATCTCGGGCTGGATCATGGTGTCTCGCTTCTAGTAACCCACTCGCCACATATAGGACGTCACTATCAGTAACGACGGCGCTACCATATTACAGCTCTTGGAAGTCGAACATCCTGCAGGAAAAGTGTTGGTGGAATTAGCTCAACAACAAGACAAAGAAGTAGGTGATGGCACAACCTCCGTCGTCATTATTGCAGCAGAATTGCTCAAGCGAGCCAACCACCTTGTCAGAAACAAGATCCATCCCACCACCATCATCACAGGCTACCGATTGGCTTCCAAAATGGCATGTAGATTTATTGCGGATCAAATGGCTGTCAGTGTCAATACGTTGGGGAAAGAGTGCCTGATCAATGCAGCAAAGACATCCATGAGCAGCAAAATCATTGGCTCGTAAGTGGCGATCTTTTTCGCTCCGCACTGTGGATCTATACTCATGGCTATGTAGCGATTCAGACTTCTTTGCTACTTTGGCAGTGGAATCTATGCTGGCAGTAAAGACAACCCATGCGCGAGGACAAACCAAATACCCCGTTGAGGCCGTCAACATTTTGAAAGCGCATGGCAAATCAGGGCGTGAATCAGTCCTTGTTTGTGGATACGCATTGAACTGCACAGTAGCATCACAAGCCATGAACAAATGCATCAAAAATGCTAAAATTGCCTGCTTGGACATCAACTTGCAAAAGGCGCGCATGCATCTCGGTGTGCATATTATTGTCGATGATCCTGATAAGCTACAAGACATCCGCAAGCGAGAGATTGACATCATAACCGAGCGCATCAGCAAGATTTTGGATACAGGTGCCAATGTCATATTCACTACCAAAGGCATTGACGACCTCTGTCTCAAGTTGTTTGTGGAAGCAGGTGCTATGGCTGTACGTCGATGCAAAAAGGAGGATTTGCAGCGCATAGCCAAAGCGACAGGTGCCACACTGGTGTCTTCTTTGGCTAATCTAGACGGCGAAGAGACATTTGAAGCCAGCTCGTTGGGACAAGCAGAAGAGGTGATCCAGGAACGCATCGCTGATGATGAATGTATAGTGGTCAAGGGCACAAAGAGTCAGAACGCAGCTTCTATTATATTGCGTGGTGCTAATAGTTTCATGTTGGATGAAATGGAGCGGTCGTTGCATGATGCCTTGTGTGTTGTGAAGTGTACGCTGGAGAGCAAAAGCGTGGTGCCTGGCGGCGGCGCTGTAGAATCGGCTCTCAGCATTTATTTGGAGAATTTCGCTTCCAGTGTGGCTTCCCGTGAACAGCTGGCTATTGCTGAATATGCCAGCGCTCTTTTGATCATACCCAAGACATTGGCTGTCAATGCTGCCAAAGATGCCATTGATTTGGTTGCCAAGCTCCGTGCGTATCATAATGCTGCATTGCAAGAGGGTGCCAATGAGCGCAGACGTGCCCTTAAAAACTATGGCTTGGAGTTGATGCAGGGCGGTGTGCGTGATAACCTGAATGCTGGCGTTTTGGAGCCTGCTATATCCAAGATCAAGTCGCTAAAAAGTGCTACAGAAGCTGCTCTTGCTATACTCAGAATTGACGATCTGATTAAAGGTAAAGCTTTACGCGGTGTTTTATTTTATGCAATGTATTGACGAGATGTTTTGTACAGTAAACCCACCAACTGCGGCTCCAGAAGATGGTCATGGTCATTAGCAAAGAGTGTAATAAAAGAGAGCTTGTTTTTAGTTTGGTTGATTGGATGTCAAGTCTACAGTGCCTTCTGAGCGATCACTCGACATGGATCTATAGTGAGGAGTGCTTGATCCAGAGCCAGTGGTGTCTCGCCTAGGAGTCTCTTCACGCTTGACATGATTTGCTTTATTGCTTTCCGTGATGCCACTGCGCTGTTGAGATGTTTGTTCATGCTCCTGTTCTTGTTGCCAATTCAAATCATAACGTGCCTCAAACTGTTGACGATTGACAAAGTCTACTCTCTCCACAATCATTCGCATAAGTTTATGAATCATCACCATACCCTGTTCTTCCAAGCCACCCGCTGTGTCAACATGAGGATATCTTCGTTCCAATCTGTTTGTATTGACCATGATGCTTGACATCAGTGCGAGACGATCCAGCATGAGACCCCAATCACCGATGGCTTCACAGATGTAGACTTCATGGGCAGGGAATCGTTGGCTCTCTTTGGCAGGGAGACCTTGAGTGCGCTCATTGTTCTGCTGTGCCATGGCATGTCCCTCTGATAGAGCATCTTGCTCGCCGTCGTAAACTTGAGAGTACTCTTTTTGTAACATTGGCATATACGTGCTACTCAATTTACCTGGAGTGCAGATGATGTATCTGCGAAGCTCATGTAGATATTCAACAACTGCACCAACACGATACCATCGGATGGCAGTAAATGAGTCCAAGCCTTGTTCTTGCCAATTTGTGTACATTTCTAATGTGATTATGAAAGAGAGAGAGAGAGAGAGAGAGAGAAATGAAAAATTAAAATGTGGTGGGCCATACAGATGGTATTTATTAGTGTCATTGGCAACATTTCGATTTTTATTAGCAGTATAGGATGGCTCGCATTGTTCTGAAGTTCAATGAACACACCAATTTAGTTTAAAGGCATGATATATCAACATAGTGCAATGAAGAGAATGTGCATCTTCTTCTTACCTTGATGGCACACGCATGAGTGATACAAGAGAGGCCATCACCCTCATTTGTTCTTGTTACAACACTTTTTAGATATATACCAAGTGCCAGCTCTCCAGCATACCAAAGATTACACTATGTAGTTGGCGATACGACATGGTAAAACAACACATTTTACAGCTTAAAAAGAGACATGGTTTATTGCTGATTGAGTTTTTTTTTTTTTAGTTATATTTACTACTAGCCGATCTATCTCGCTACGCTCGATGACGGCGTCGCCCTGCGGGCTCTGGCCGAAGACATTTCAAATCAGAGATAATAAAAATTTGGTATATCAAGTAGGTTTTAAACAATGATTATATTCGATTCGAAGATTTTAAAACAAAAAATAGACTTGAAACTTGATTGAGACGACAGGAGTTGGGAGTTACAGACCAACTTTTTTTATACAGCATTTATATTATATAATACTTCTGGGTAGACAACATTCTCTGTCCGAGTCGCATTTTCTGGCAGTAGAATTGTCATACCATTTGCAGATGTTGCTCTCGAGATGGCAACATAGAGTTGGCCATGTGTGAAAACAGGACTCCTGAGGTCTACAGCGACTTTTCTAAGGGATTGCCCCTGAGACTTGTTGATTGTCATCGCAAAAGACACTTTTACAGGGAACTGTTTCCTAGTCAAAATAAATGGTAATGTACCAGGCAATGTTGATAATGTAAAGCGAGGAATCAACTCTACTGCACCTGACCCTCCGAGGATTTTCACCTTGAGGACATACTGTCCAATTTGCTGAATGATCAGCCTTGTACCATTGCACAAACCTCTTTCAGGGTTGAGGTTTCTCAAGAGCATTACAGGAAGACCTACTTTCAACTCCAAAACTGCTGGCGGCAGCCCTGAAGGCGAAAGGGTTTGCAAATACTCTGAGGGATAGGCTTGGGTCTCCGTGTTGGTCAGATCAGACTGAGCTGTGTCAGCAGAGTACAGAGTGACCTTTTCCCCAATCACGTTCTCCATCACCTTGCTGTTAATAGCATCAACGTTGACGTTCTTTGAACAGAGAATAGCTCTTTCCTTGAAGAAATCACTATTTTGCAGAGGACACTGCAGAACATGCTGAGGATAGATATCTTCAATGAACTGATCAAGATCAGTCATCTGCCTCAAAAAAGAGGGCAAAGCAATGCTGCCAATCATGGATGGTTCATACGACATTTTTCCTATCCAATCTGCAAATTGCCTATCTGTGTCATTGGAGTTGGCAAGTCTCATATTCTCAGTCAGGCTCAGCTTTTGTAATTTGGGCCATAATCTTGACGATTTCAGTGAGGCATTGACGATTTCAGGACGGCCACCTTGCCTAACAACAGGTGGAATTTGAGCAAAATCACCGCCAAGAACAACAGGAATACCACCAAAGGTAACTTCATCACCACGACTACAAATATCACGAAGTGTTCGATCAAAAGCTTCAAAGCAATATCGATGCTGCATTGGCACTTCATCCCAAATTATCAATGATGTCTCTCGAATGAGATCAGCAAGATCATCGTTTTTCTTGATTGCACACACAGACTGCTCGTGGATGTTGAGTGGAATGGCAAAGCGAGAGTGCGACGTACGCCCACCAGGAAGTAGCAAAGCAGCAATGCCAGAGGAGGCAACACAGAGAACAATTTTTCCTTGGCTTCTATAAAAGTGACAAAGAGTATTGTAAATGAAGGTTTTGCCAGTGCCAGCTGGACCTTGCAAAAAGAAATGTGAGCTATTGGTGTTGCTGTTGATGGAGGAGGTGATGGTATCAAATACGTGCTTCTGGGTAGCGTTCATTTGAGCGTACTTTTGCTGGTACGAAAAGGCTTCTTGATCTTGGAGATATGACATTTCATTGAGTATCAATGAATTGCGCTGTATGCCAGTCATTCTGCTTATCAAGCCATTCCAGTTGAAGAGAGGCAAAGGCAAATTGAACTGACCTAGAGATCTGTCTTGTGCACCAAGAGATGTTTGCAACAGATATAAGCCGTAATCAAGACTTCGCGTTCCATGGTAAAATTCAGCGTCAGGTTGCACGCTGAGCAGCAGCGAATACCCTTTTTGCACGATTGCATGCTCAAGATCATCACAGAAACTTTCACAGAATTGATCCCAAATCTGAACAGGCGATACCAATGAGTTGAACATGAGCGCAGAGACAAACATTGAACGCATTGCGTAGCCAGAGGCAAAGGTAGCAGCTTCTTCAAAGGCTCTGGTCCATTCTCCATCATCTTCGATCAAATGCAGCATCATACAGGCCTCGCGAAAGGTGGCGTACTCGTGATTATTGACAGTTCTCAGATGAGAAAACGACATGGCTCCTCTGACAACTGTGAGCAGCAGACGCAGATAATACCTCTCGCCGGCAGCAGGATTGCAGTAATACATGCGCCCAATTGACATTCTACTCGAAGACCTAGGCTTCCACTTTTTTGCATTCTGCTGCCAAGTCATATGTTCAGGGAACTCTTGATAAAGCAACGGTCGAAAACCGGGTTTGCCGTGATTTGCATGGTTGTAATGAAAGTAAGCCATCAAAGTAGAGCGACTCTCTCTCAATACTTTGTCAATTTTCTCCTGTGGCCATTGGGGATCAAAATAAACAGGTTGCTCGTTTTCAAGATGCACAGCAAGTGGAGTAACAGATGGGCTTTCCTCATGCATTGGGAATTCAAACAACCTCCATGCAGCTTCAACAGGACTAATATAACGGCCATTTAGATACTTGGCTACTTCGTTATTCTGAGTTGTTGCTGTGGTAGTGGCATTTGCTGTTTCAGTGGCTGTGGTGGTGGCTGTAGTTTTGAGCGTTGTCTGATCAGAGCCTTTGTAAATATACTTGTTGATGTACTTGATTGCCTGGACGCTACCACATACTTCGACATTTACATGGGCATTGTATTTTTTTGACAAATAAGGGTTGTATGGCACCACCCACTCATTCGTCATGTGGAAATCGCGGTAGACACCCAACTTGTCCTTGACGCGCACCTGATGAGAACGACCATCTCTTCTTCTTCTATAAGTAGGATAACCATCAGCACTGGTCACCGTTACTGGCTGGTAGTTTTTGGGAAATTTCTTTGAGCATACATCATTGCCAAAAGCATCTTGTACCATACACGGAGACTTTGAGTTTAGCTCGCCACATGGGCCATGCATCATATTGCGAGTGATGATTGCATGCAATTCAGGTTCTTCTTCAACATTTGGGATCTCAGCGCAAATGATCTGATCAATCCTCTCTGGCGTATCAAATCTATCTGTTTCTGCATCCAAAAACAATAGCATATGACCGTGAGGGAGACCACGCTTTTGATACTCAATAGTCCTTACAATGCCTTTATAACAGCCAAAGACCTTTCTGTCTTTCAAGTCTTTAAGCAGCTCTCGGTGCTTAAGGTTGAATACTCGAGCAACCAAGTCGGGGCGATCAGCGGCTGTTTGGCCTGGCAACAATTCATCTTGGATCTCCCTCCAGTTTGGGTTGGCAGTAAATGTGATGAATAACGTTGGCTTACCAAAGAATCTAGAGATAGCCATTGCATTTTGATATAGCTGCATCATGAATCGCGGTCCACCAGTGAAGCTACTGGGCAAGATGAACGTCTTTCCCACCTGTTCGAGGTCTGAGTCAGCAGCAGAGGTAGCATCAGCAAGTCCTTTATACACATCAGCGCGAAGATTCGTCTGATTGACTTTGATCCAGTTCAGTTTTGTTTGCTCACAGATTGCCCAGGCATCAATCACATATTGTTGAAATAGACGTCTTGACAAAAAAATGATCTTTGACTCGTTGTTTCTAACATGCAATCGAAATCTGTAGAACACGCCCTGGGTAAGTCGGCTATCTGACACTTGTTGTTGTTGTTGTTGCTCTGCTGGTGTCTCATCTTCTTCGCTCTCAATAATCATGGCATCAGCAGTTTGCGCTGACGATTGCAGTCTTTGGCCCCAATTCCACCCATATTCACCTCTAGGAAAAAGCAAAGCATAATGAAGAGGCATATATGCAGCATGCGTCTCATTGATACGCTTAAACTGGCCTTGAGCCCTGGCCGAGGAATTGCTACGATATGTGATCAAAATATCTCTGAAACTCCTGTCAGAACACTCGTTTGGAATGATGGCAGCAATCTCGTTGACAGTTGGCAGATTTTGAGTGCGTCTGTCCTGGCCAACAACCAATTCCATTTGCATCTGAGGACTGAGCCTGATGTGAGCATTCTCGCTAACACCATCTTGAGCTTGCCTCTCCTCTTCTTCTTTCAGGATTTCGTGAGCATGTTTGTAGATGCTTACAAATGGATTGCCACAAACTACAGGATCAGCAATCATTTCACTCAGTTGCTCAATGATCGTGTCGTCCAATCCTTGATTTCTGGGGTCTGCACAGCGAATCGCAGCGGCATACTCTGGGTCGTAAACGTACAGCTGGCTATACTTTGGCACATTGCTCAAATTTAGTGGTGCTTGCAAGTGATAGAGTTCCCCATGAACACGAACCGGCGTGATGCCGCCTCTCATCTCATTCTCTCTATCCCTTTGGAGCTGCTCAGGCGTAGCATCGGTGCCAAATGATGTAAATGCGAACAAAGTGTTGTATTGTCGCATGTGCTGCAAAAAATGAGAGGATCGAGGATGGCTTCCGTTGATCAAGCTATTTAAAGGCTCGGGAGGCTCTTGCAAAAGGGGCAAGACAGCTCTACCTTTTTTGCAGCAAGCATGAAAGCAGTTGTCGTTTACT